TTAATATAGTAGCAATTAGGTGTTAATATTACAAGAATTTGATATAAATACAATGAATTGGATTTTAATACAATAAAAATGAGATGTTAATGGCACAGGAATTACATGTTAATATTACAGAATTGGATGTTAATAATACATAATTGGGTGTTAATATAGTTGGAATTCAATGTTATTGTTACAGGAATTAGATGTTTATAATACAAAATTGGATGTTAATATTGCAGGAATAAGATTTTAATACAGTAAGAATGAAATGTTAATATTACAGGAATTACATGTTAATATAACAAGAATTGGATGTTAATATTACGGAAATTTGATGTTAATATACTAGAAATTGGATGTTGATATTACAGGAATTAGATTTTAATATGGTAAGAATGAGATGTTAATGCAGCAGGAATTGCATGTTAATATAACATGAATTAGATGTTAATATAGCAGGAATTGGATGTTAATATTACAGGAATTACATGTTAATGAAGCTGGAATTGGATTTTAATATTACAGGAATTAGATGTTAATATTACTGGAATTAGATGTTAATAATACAAAATTGGATGTTAATATAATTGGAATTAGGTGTTAATATAGCAGGAATTTGATGTTAATGTAATGTCAATATTACAGGAATCGGATGTTAATATTACAGGAATTGGATGTTAATATTACAGGAATAAGATGTTAATACAGCAGGAATTATATGTTAATATTACCGGAATTGTATGGATATAACAGGAATTAGATCTTCATATAACAGGAATTGGGTATTGATATAATAAATGAAATTAATCTTTCCAGCAGGAATTAGATTCTTATTAAGCAGGAATCACTGCCATAAACTCATTTGTCAATAGAACCACTAAACAAATGCATTTCCAGAGAATGATTCAATAGGAGACAATTATTGATTTCTTTCAATTTCGTAAGTTGTTTTTGATTTAATCCGACAAGAGAAACCTCGACCTTTTCGTCTTTATTTGATGAACAGAAATAGCTGTTTATTTAGACTGCAGTAACCAATAGTACAGTCCCACTCAAGATCAATGTTAATGCGTCCAATATTTCCTGAGAAATACTCTGGAAAGTGATTAAGATGATATGGACTTTTTTTAAATTGGATTTTGGTGTTTTTATTTAAAAGGGATATCCAAGCATATTGGTTTTACAGGTAAGTACATTATGTGATTGAAAATTGCAAGTTTTCTTTGAGAAAAGTACATACAAAATTGATGTTATTGAGTTCAACGACTTGTTCTTCTAATAACCCTTGTGGAATCTATTGGTTGCCGTAGTTGGGTTTTAACAGGGAATAGAGGTACTGAGAGGAATAAGTGGTTCAAACACAAAGTCCATTCACTTAATTTAAGTATATAAGTGCATAATTAGACTAACAACAGAGATTGGAGATTGGACATAAATAGCACTGGTTTTTTATTTAAGAATAAAGGACCCAAGGTCCTGTGCTTACACAGTTTGGAACCTTCAGAGGAATGTATATCCTGACTTTCAAACAAAAATATTTATTTGGATTTGTCGTCTCGAACTTTGAGTAACTTAGATAGCACAGTTGTGTGACCTAGTTTGATGACCTTTGACCTTGAAAATTTTACTTATTTAGAGCTCAGTAAGGTCTATTGTGATTAAGCTGACCAAAATTTACATCCAAAAATCAATTTGAAAAATCAACTTTTTGACCTTTCGAAGGTCACTGAAGGTCAAGTAAAGGTCAAATTCTAAAACTAATGTCAGATTTGAACTCCTGGTAACTTGTAGATGATTTTCAAAAAAAATTGGTCAAATTGATGCAAGTTGAAAAATAACTTTTTTTACTGTTTCTTGATGTCAAATATCTCAGAAACGGTAAAAATTTGATGCTGACATATATTGAGCAATATGTAGGGAATGCATAAATCTAGCAATGATGTAACTCATTGCAAGAAATGATCAAGTATAAGGCAAACTTTGAGAAACTTGTCAATCACAAAACCTGCCATTGACTTTATACATGAGAAAGTTTCCTGAAAATGACGAAGTCCTACTTTTTGTCAAATTTTATAGAGTAAACACCAAAAAATGTAATTCCAAGAGCTTTGAGATCTTCAGAAGACATAAGTTGCATATACAGCAACTACTACAAGTTATTTGAAAGTTCTACTTCAACAAAGTGTCCAGTTTTTACAGAATATTTGACTTTTTGAAGTCAAAATGAGCAATTTCTCGGAAACCAGGCAAACTTGGGAAATGGCGATGATAGGTCAAATAGGCATTATAGATATGCATAAAATGAATGTGGATATGACTCAATTCGAAGAGCAGTTCTAATTTGTGTGGCCAATGTTGACAGACGGACCAACAGACGGACGGACTGACAGACGCCTGGTCGATTCCATAGGCTCACTGTGTGACCCAATAAGTGCTTTTCTATACTTAATTATTTCCTCTAGTAAGGTTTTTCAACTTCCTCTTACAATGGAAATGGGATATAAAAAAACGTTTAGGTAATATTGTAATGATAGTGGTAGGTGCATCATGAACCCTTACTAATAAGTTGATGCTGCTTCTTAAAAGAGAGTTTCATACTCATATTAGACTCATATTGGACTGCACTAGACTCAGAAGAAACACTAAGGGTAACCCTTAACATATTCTGTAAATTGTGTGAAAATAATGAAGAATATCCCTCTATTTATGAGAGTATTAGCTATTTTTGTTGCAGAGAATCTTCAAGAGCTCATCTTCTGATGAACCTGTATTTTATAGGAGATCCAACTGTTAATATAATCAATTGATTTCACCCTTGAATACTATTAAGGTGGTGTTTTACAAGTGTAATAGGAGGGACACTCTTATTGAAGACAAATCTGGATTTATGAGCTTAAGCATGATATACTATGTAGGATTGGGCGAATATAAGATACTTTATTCAAAATTATGAGAAAACTAATATGGATTAGAATGGCAAGAATATATTTTGCAATGTAAGAATTTACGCTCTCAACTAGTCGCAAGAAAACAGCTGATGATATACTTTTTTACATAATTTTGTACAGGGACCATGATTAAGGAGAGGGAGTAAGCTATATGAATATCAAAAAATGGGGCAATTTTGAAAGAATACATATCATTAAAATGAATTTGAAAAATTAGAAATGGACCCTTTTTTAAAAAAGGTGGGGCCCATTTTTCAAAATGAAGTCAATTAGGCCTGTTAGGCCCAAACTGAAAAAATACCTACTTGAAGGCAATTAAGAGCATCAAATTACTATCTCTCAATGAGTAATAATAAGTTGTTTACCAAAGATAGATATTATTACAATCACTTAACAGCTTGTTAGTGCTTCAGTTTATCAATTGCGTTGCTTTTGTAAAGCAATAACCACGTGTAGAATTCCAGGCACTTGTGCCAGTTGCTTATATCGGTGGTGATGATTAGATGGAGCTGCATTGAAATGAATCACTGTGTGAAAAGCAATTCCGTTAATGTTACCATATCAGATAAATTATTTCTTTATTTACTACAAAACTGAATATAAAAATCATTAATATTCATGGAAAAGGAGAAAATACCTATAGAGAAACACTATACTGTTTGCGGTATGTTCCATCTTTGATTCAGTCAGACTTCTTCTCTTAACTAATGAATTGCCATGGTGTAGAAACACAGACATTCTTCAATAGATGAAAATATTGTTTTGCTTGTTTATGTAAAAACTGGTATGGTTTTACCTGGAATTGAACTTACTAGTTTTAAATGAGATTTTGATTGATCAACTAAAGGCATAAATATATCCTCCTTCATAGTATTAGTATATTAGCAGTCTTTCAACTGTTGGGGATGTCTTTTGATAAGATTGGGTGGGGGGCAAAGGGTAAAAGGTACATAAAATGTTAGATACCAGTTTTTGCATCTTGATCCATCAAGGTATTACATACATATTACATACGTATTTATGACTGAAGGAATACACTGGTTTAACAATATGAGTCTTCATCTATGTTAGGTAAAATAGTTTTAAATAATGAAGATGTAGAAATTCAATGACATGAAATGTCATACAAAATTACTCAATATATGTGATGGTAAAGAGTAGCTATAATGCTATAGGTGAAAAATTAGTTCAGTAACCTTTAAAAAACTCCTCACAGTTAGCATGTTTGTATTTACAGGTTGGTCCAAAAATGTGAACCCCTTTTTTTATTCACGTAATATAATTATTATCAAGTGTTACATTTACACACTAGATACCCATAGGGGGGTAAGCTGGGGAGGGGGGCTATATCAGTGCATTAACAAAAATTGGAAAAACAACCCATATAAATTATTACCTGCATTAATGAGCTAATATTCTCACAAGTTTTAGACGAAGGTCTTAAGTTTTTGTTGGTACCATAAAAGTCACTCAGTCTTAATCTTGTAGAAGATTATGGCATCAACAGACATGCCTGATTATGGATGAAGTGCTCAATCCATGCTCATTTTTCACTGCTCAAAATGTTTAGATACATCTTTATTTTTCCTTAAAATGAAGAAAAATGCATTAAAAATGCAAAATACCCCTAGATATGCTGGATAGAGCATATTTTCGGTACTTCAGAAGATGAGGAACATTTTGCCATGATATGTGAAAAAAAACATCAGAATGAAAACTTTTGTTTGATATCCTTAGGCCATTTCTAAAATTATAGGCAGTACTGATGTTATATTTTAATAGATGTGTCATAAAATTGTTATGTAATTTTGTTTTGTATTGGCAATTTTTTTTTATCAATCATTCAAAAAGTTATATTGACATTTTACAAAATATACATCACATCTGATTTTTTCATTTTGTCATGCTGTATTTCAATATTGACTTTTTGTAGTTGTACTTTTGTCTGATTTTAGTTTTGTTTAGTTTTATTTATTAGTGACCAATGTGTCATTGCTACGCCATCAGAGTCAATATACATGTAGATTGATTATAAGTGTAAATGATTACAATTATTTAATTCTAGATATGCAGTTAGAATGAAATCTGGAACTACGCTCTGGTTGCCATAGTAGCAGCATGGGGAGATGAAGATGTGGAACCAGTTGGTGATATGTCTTGTTGTCATAGCAACCGTGGCCGACACCAAATGTCTTGATGAACCTGGTAGGAATAGTTTTGAAATATTTGAAAATGATTTATATTAATGAATAAAAAAGAGAATGACATTCAATAACCCTGGCTTACTCTTTATTTCTACTCAGTCCGGACCACAGCTACAAGAAAGCCTGTCTGAAATATGAAGATGTACTTGGGATATTGCAGTAGATTGCACTATAGCTATATACATGTATTTCCATATGAGAAACACAAGGGCTGTGATTTATATTGCAATGGATCTTGTCCATATAAACTGTGAACTTGATCATGAAATCCATGAGTAACTGGAGATATATAATGCTAAAATCCATCTACATATTGATTTACTTGCAAGATTAATGTGCCTTGAAAAACCTGTCAGATCCATGACATACAGTCATTAGCAAGCATGCAGTATATATCATTAAAGCCTACCATTCTAGTCTAGTTTCTTGCACTTTATATAAGGTTTGCACTTGACTTTGACAATAAGGATAGTTCATTGATTATAATTGTTGGGAAATTTAGCCATCTGCTTGCACACAGGGTACTAACTTTGACCGTTAATTTGAATTTTTGACCGACCAGATGTTTGAAAATCAAGGATTGCGAGTCTCATACTGTAACGTTTTTCTTCCAAACTTGTTCTATTCAAAGTAAAACAAAATATCCTTTCTGTCAGTGCATTGCTTTATTGTAGAGTCCCTTGTTTAAGCAGCATTTTGGTCCCCAGCTGTAAGAAACCTTTCTCACAGCTGTAGACCAAAGTGCCGCTGGACGTAGGGACTCTGTTTAATAGAATAATATACCAACTGAAAGGTTTGAATGGAACAAGTTTGAAGAAAAACGGTGCAGTATGACACTCGCAATCCTTTATTTTCAAACATCTGGTAGGTCAAAAATTCAAATAAACGGTTGAAGTTAGTACCTCATGTTGATGTGACAGCTGAAATCGGTTGAAATGTACTTAATGCTTTTCAGTGCCACCTGTTCCTTGTTCCAGAAACAGTACTTACTATTTTGAATATCTTACACATTTTTGTCTATTCAATAATTAAGTAGCATATGTATTTCATGCTAGAAGGTCCAATTTATTTTAAAATATGATAGAACATATCTACTTTAGCTCTATACAATTGCTGGTATTTGCTGTATACCCAAAGAATTTTGAATTCTAGTTCTGTACCTGGTTTATTAACATTACATGCATCAGTATTGTATTTACTAGACCCTCTATACATGTACAAATACCACCTGCTGTCATATGCATTGTATAAAGTAAATATGTATACTAGATAAATATTCAATTGGGAAGTTTTCTATTCTATATAATATTATGTTTTCTATATGTTATAAAGAAATTATCGAAATAATATGGATAAATGAGCATTTGAGTTTTTAGATTGGATCCATATTTTATATGATATACTACTTTTTTCAAGGCCTGACTTCGTCGCTAACCTTCTAAAGGTTAGAACCCGAATCTTAATGAAACCATATCACCTTTGTTGCGTCGATGATGATGCATAAACATAGCATTTGATAGAAATTAGTGTAAATGCTTTTCCGACTTTTTCATTTTTCATCAATGTTGACTTTCGGGAAGGCGTTGTAGTTATCACGAAATAACGCATTGACCCTTGAGTTTACTTTGTTGACGTGTCAACCAAGCATGTCTGGTGTGAAAATTAAAAGAATATTAAGCAATGTTCTACATCCGCCAAGCTAAGTGAAGTAGCCAATATAAAATTACCAATTTCAAGTGAAGTACGCAACGAACGAAACTGCGTGATCTACAGTCCCACTATTTGTCTGAACGAAATGCTACGTAGAAATATGAGCCGTCTGCTGTATTAGTCGATTAATAGAGTAAGACCTGTTGGTGATGCTTTATAATTTAGACCAAAACATTGAAGAACATACGAACCTGTAAATCGTGAAAACAACGAACAAATATTCGGTTTTCATATATGTTCGGTAATTTTTCGTATTGAAACTTCCGGAACTTACAAGGAAATCATTCATTTTCTCGGTCCATGATTTACCTCTTGGATGTTGTGGCAAATGCTCCATGGTTGACGGAACAAAGGTGATATGGTTTCATTAAGATTCGGGTTCTAACCTTTAGAAGGTAAGTCAGACTCCCAAATGTCAGCTAACTCTTATATTTAGCATGTTAGCGACGAAGTCAGGCCTTGAAAAAAGTAGTACAAGAAGCTTTTAGAGAGACTTGACATGAGCAGGGTATGCTGTGTAGTGTTGCATTAGTATTTTTGCTATTCGAAGGAAATATAATCAAGCCCAGATATGAAATTCTCTGGACCAGTCCTTATATATTATATCTTATCCTATCCTGCAGGCACCCTTGATCTGGTTGTAGCAGAGTTGAGCTCATTGACCTTATTCAGTATGTTCTGGTTTTTGGATAACCCTTTTCACACTAAACAACTGCATATGATTGCGGTTAGGAATTAACAAAAGAACATTGAATTCTTTTTATTTAGTCTACTTTGCGCATTCTGCATATAATTGTGGTTAGGAAACAACAAAAGAAACTTGAATTCTTTTTTATTTAACAGACTTTGTGTATTTGAAAAATATTCTATTTGAAAGGGTGTATTTACCTATTTTTTATCTGCAGAAACCTTCACTGAGATTTTCTGTAGTTTTGTCATTGAAAAACCCTCACATAAAATTATAAAAGAGGTCATGGTACAAATGATATTTGAAATAGGTGGAATAAAGATGAATTGTGATATTTTCAAAGAAATCATTTTGAAATGATGTTGTCTTTGCTGATTTTAATGTTTCCTTTCCCTTTGGAAAAAGTAAGAAGGCATTGAACAGTAATTTTAAGAATATGGGAATATTTCATCTTTTCATTTCTGTTCTCTCAGTGTACTATTAGTCAGTCCAATGCATTCCTTCAAGAAAACACTATGTTCTACTGTATTATAATAAATTGAAATAATAGAAAGTCTAATGATATAATTGGTTTAGATACTGACAAACTGGACTTCTAGCTAAGCTGGCCCAGCCTAAGTACCTGTTCCCTCTCCTTCTTCTAGTGCTTGGAATGTTTTGAGTATATTTCCATTGCTGGTGATCTCACCAGCCAGCGTAATCCAAATGTGAAAAGTTTCCTTGTTAAACTGAATAAATGAAAAACTGACTTGTCTTGGCAGAAACGTGAATAAACGTTCATGGCAAACAGATTGCATAAGATTTTGATCTATTTCAGATGTCTTACCAAAACGGAAAATTATGTGGAACAGCCTTAATGGTGGGAAAAAAGAACTCCCCCTGGTGCTTGAAAATAGTTCTCGGCTATCCCACCAGCTGACGAATGCTATACTGAAAATCCTGTTAGAGGAGAAGCTAGGTTACAACAAAGTTGAGTTTAACAACACCGGTCATCAGTCCAATGTCAGTGAAGTCCTGACACGTGTTGCTGGCTGCTTGGGGAACAGGTATGTATCTGTAGTGCAGATGTTTTCCTTATAGAAAGTCTGTATATAATTGCTTGAATCACAAGGTTGTCCTGTGAAAAAGTAAGCAAGAGCTGAATTATGTATTGTTGAATATTTGTGTAAAGATTGATTAAACCTTAATACAATGTTAAAACAAAATACTTAATGTTAAAACATCCCAATCTTTATTATTTTTATAATTCTTACGAGTTCAACGTATACATAAAGTGTTATGCACTGGTTGCTCCATCCAGTATCATCATGTACTTGTGAGATAGATTGACCTGTAGAACCGTTATGCCTATTGAGCTCTCTTTGTGTTGTTTCAGTTGTCCTCTCCTAGATGATAACAAGGTTGTTGTCAACATGGAAACTTGGGTTCCTCCAGGATACACAATTGCCAGCATTGACAATTCAATGATTAGAGCTAGGGTGACTGATGCTGGGCCACTTGGACCATTTGGAAGGTAATTAATGATGACATGTATTTATATAAATGATTTTTGTTATTTAGATAATCTGAATGTTACCATTAAGAATGAACATTCATTGTCTTAACAAATAATTATTACATTTTTATGTCACCACCAGAAGTTGCACTGGTGGTTGGTGTTTGGCATTCAGTGTTTGGTGGTCAGTGTCTGTAACAAATGGCAGGTGGTGACATTTTGCATGTTAATGCCTTGTTGTTATTACAATTTGGAGGTGACATTTGGTCAAGACCCCTTGAGGCAAAGGTTCTATTCTGTTTTTTGCTAACATCTGACATATTATGTAACTTAATAATCACATATCAAAGTGTACACAAGTGTACTTAATCACATATCAAAGTGTACACAGAAAATACATTTTGACTAGCTCTAAGGAAAATATGATTCATAGTGATACTAGATAGTATGCTCTTTGTTGTATAATGTTGCAATGATTGATTTGCGACAAAGTAAACCCTTGGTGCAATCTTGAATCGATTGAATTATTGTCTGTTGAGCCACATACTGTATTTTTCAGATTTGGTTGGTATATCCCGAATTCCTTCGTTGACCAACAATGGAAAGATCATGAATTAATTGTTGACCACTGGAGGGTGCTGCAGGTTGGTCGCATCACGGACAAACTCTCGCTGAAGAATAATGACATCAGAGAAGTGCTTCTCTCAAAGATGAAGCGCCCTGGGATACATCGACAGCAGCCCTACTATTGTGATAGCCCAAAATGTATAGATGGAATGTTAGTTGCAGATAGGTGCCATAGATCTAGACCAGAACACAATTGTGCAACATTGCTCAGCAGTTATACAGGTCATTATAATAACATTTTTTCAAAGCTATTTGTCTCACGTCAATCTTTATTGTTTGCTTCTAATGTGTACACATATAGCAATCCAGTAGGTATCTAGGTGTCATGACATCTCAAGAGTCAGTTAAAGATATATGAGCCTCAACACAGGGAAACCGATTTTATCACTTAAATTAAAGTTGTGCTACAGAGCCAAAAATATGCCCATGTAAAAGAGGAAAATGTGCTAAATTCAAATCCGTCTTTTTGGTCTATATCTGCAAGGAAAATTTTTTAAGACATAAGCCATTGCTCACTCTAAGGCCTCTTTGTGCTTTTTAAGAAAAATATGTTTTCCTGTCCCCTGACTCATGTACACACGAGAACCAGAGGACTATGCAATGTAGGGTTTTGGAATAAACTTCCCATTTTATTTTTGTGTGTGTTTATTCCTGTTTGACAGCTTTGTTCTTTATTTTCAATGTTCCAGATCTTGACTCAGGTCAGCTAGAAGCTACAATCAAGAACCACGACTTAAAGGTGAACATAGCCTGGCTTGGTGAGCAGCTAGAGAGCTTTGTGACTCAGTGTGCAGAAGAGAACATCCCGACTCTCTTCTATAACTGGGAGCCCAACGTCTTAACAAATGGTGATGAGTTCACCCGTATTAAATTCGACCAAAGAGATTTTGAGAAATACCAAATGCGGAAAATGATTTGGAAGGAGTTGGCGAATGCTCCTGGTGGGAAACCTGCTCATGATCTCTTCCAATCAGTTCACTTCACGACGTCTCAGTATAACGATTTGTTGAGTAGTGTTAAAAGTTTACACCCAGATATCAATGAGCTAGCCTGTGATTGGATAAAAACACATCAGCCAGTATGGGAGCCATGGATGCCTTCTGAGGAAACTTTATCAGAAGGGAGTAAACTCTACATAGGGGGTATTTTTACACAGGCTTCAAGAGCATTTAGTGACCCTGCATCTGTATATGGAGCCACGATGGCTATAAAAGACATCAATGCTAATCCCGACATATTGAAAGGTTATACACTGGAGTTGCTAGTAGAAAATAGTTCCTTTGATAAGAAAACTGCACTGGAGAAATTCATTGGCTATATATACACGAAGAATCCTGAGAAAAAAGTTGTTGGAATCATGGGTAAGGAAATCTGAATTTTTTAGACCTTCCCACTAAATCCTGACCCCTTTTGATAAAACAAAGATACTGGTAATTTTGCAAGCAACAGTGTTTTTAAAAAAGTTGAAGTTTTTGAAAATCACCAATAAGTAGCTCTTAGCAATAAGTGGTAAATAATGATGATTGTCATAAAAGTTAATGGTGATACAACTTTTATCAAGAGTAGCAATATCCCATCTCAATATATCCTATGGAGAACACTAGAACATCTAATCTTATCTTATAGTTGGAGTTTAAGTTAGTATAAATTGTGCTTTTATGTTGCCACCACAAGTGGATGGTGTCCGGCAGTTGGTGTTTGATGTTAGGTGGTTGTTGTTTGATTTGTTTGGTGTCTGTAACAAATGGTAGGTGACATTTGTATTGAATTAGAAGACTTTTTTCAATGCTAATCTTAAGACAGTATTTAATTCGTATATTTGGAATGTTATGACTTTCCAGGGCCGGGACTAAGAGAAACCAAAGAGCTGGTACAGGTGGCAAACCTCTTCAGTACAATTATAATCAACTATAGTGAGTTTGAGGAATATGATGACAAACATTATCCATTTTTCTTCAATGCTAAACCTTCAGAGCGACAGATAAGGTATGCAAATATTTTAACAGATTAAAAAATGCTTTCAAGTTCTCGACTTTTCTTCACTGACTGTACAAACATGATGGAATTTAAGAAATTATCATGTAAAGATTTATATTGCTGAGAGTTTGATTTGCTTTCATTGTTGCCTTTCTAGATAATACAGTAAAACCTGTATAAAGTAAACACCTATGGAGGCACAAAAAGTGTTCACTGTAGGTAGGTGTAAAACCTGTATAAAGTAAACACCTATGTAGGCACAAAAAAGTGTTCACTGTAGGTAGGTGTTCACTACAGAGAGGGTTTTTATACAGTAGTTGATGTAAAATGTCTGTTGGAGTGGTGTTCACTAAGACAGTTTTTTTTCTGAATATTGGATACTATTTTTACTTCCAGCCAGCTGTATGTTGAGATGTTCCACCAATTAGGCTGGAGCAGGGTAGGTCTGCTAATCTCTGATGGTTATGATGGTCCTGAGGAGGTTCTGCAGGACAACAGTATAGATGTGATCACCAGTATAAAAGTTGCTGATGCTGATATCATAGACAATGCAACTGCACAAAAGGTATTTCACTTATTGCTTGGACAATTCAACAGCAGAAAAAGTATTTCACTTATTACATGGACAATTCAACAGCACAAATGGTATTTCATTTATGGTATAGACAATTCAACAGTAAAAAGGGAATGACATTTAGGAGCAAATTGAACTGGGACTGAATTCCAACATTAAACTGTCACTGCCAACAAAATTCTAATAGGCCTTACTGGAACTGCAAGTTAAAACTCCTAGGCTAGCAGTAAATATGTATTGCCTGGTTGCCAATCTCCTGGAGTTTGATCTTTGACTGGCAATCACACAAACATGCAAATAAACGCACAAAATGTGATGTATTGACTGACCTCAGATCTTTTTATGACTTCCTCCTATCAGATTAAGACAGATGGAGGGATAGAGAGGCTAAACAATAAACAGACCATTAGTCTTCAGAGACATTATTCTTAAAACTAAAATTGTTTTTATATCTTCATACTTGCAGTACCTTCAGCAGCTTAAACTCCTGGGAGTGACAATTATCGTAGTTCATGCTGAGGAATATTCAACTGCAGTCATTATGAAAGAAGCTTTCCATCAGGTAAAATTTAGCTTTCGTAATGCTTTTTAGCATATAAGGACTTTAGTTAATACAGGTCTCATTATGTCACCATTTCATATTGTTATAGGCTCCAACTTTTTTATGGACAGTATTCAGCGGTTGGCATTCAGCTTTTGGTGGTTGGCATTCAGCATCTGTTACATCTGTAATGGCAGGTGGTGGCATTGTGCATGTTAATGCCTTGTTTTGAATTGCCTTTAATTGTTGACACTTTGTCATGTGAAATATGATTTAATTCAGTCATAGATAGCCATTGTCTTAATAGAAGTAAAAGAAATTACATAAACAAAATTAATTTGTTATACTTTGATTGCATCAGGCATCCTTTTATTTAGAAATACACTAAACCATTCTTCCATCTCTTTATTGTAGAAAATGACAGCAGAATATGGTTATGTTTGGTTCCTGCCTTACACGCCCCACTGGTCTATGAGAAACTTTGAATTTGAAATGGACATTGAGGTAGTGAAAGCAACACTGGGGGCCATGAGCTTAGACATGCAGTTCCTGGATAAACCTGATACGCAAGTTATAGGTGACCATACTGTTGAACAATGGAAGCAGAGTTATATGAAGACCATAAAACAAGAGGTACACAAGTAAATTTACTTGCAAAAGGTTTTGTTCATATTGTTACATCGTGAATTAAATTTTCTGCATATCCATGGTTTAATGTTTCAGTCGTACTGTGGTTAGGGTGCCCTTTTCATCATGATTTAAATGGCCAACCACACTTGAAAATCATCATTTGTACCTATTATTTTAAATTCTTTTATGTAATCATTGAGAAAATGTCATTGGAAATGGCATTCTGAATCTGCTGGATCTACCAGAATAATGACAGTTTTTGAAACTTTTGTTTTTTAACAGCTGTTTCTTTTAAACTACCCGAAAAACTACAGAAAATAACCCAATAAAAATAGACTGTAGAATAACACTTTTTTCAAAAGATTGACTGTATTTTTCATTTTAGGTTGGCCAGAATGCCTACCCCAGTCCATTGGCACCTTACACGTATGAATCTGCCTGGGTGTTTGCCTTGGCCCTTGATAGACTCAACAAGGAGATTGATAGGGGAATTGAAGAGCTTTTTGGAGAGAAAAAAAGGTTTGTAGATACACTGTATAAGCAGTATAGGCCCTAAGGATCTGAAACCTGCTGGTCAAAATGGCCTTACTGACCAGTCGCAATGTTATTTTCCTATACCTAGTGAAAAATGAAAAAATCAACTGGTCCGTGTCAAAAGTAACCTGGTATAATAACCAGCGGACTGGCCTACATTGTGTACACATATTCATGCTTTGATCCAAGTAGGGGTTGCCCTTCGCTAGAGTTTAGCTTTATGTACATGCTTTAAATTAGACTTTATTGCATGATCCTGTCTAGATAGATTTTATGCTGATAATGCATATACAGGTATATGAAGGCTAGCTAAAATCTAGGATGAAGAACATTTGTAGGCTTGTGACTTAGTATCTTGTAAAACATGTGTTTTATATTTCCAGCAACACTTTTAAAAATTTTACTGAGTTCGTGAGTGAAATCAGATTCCAAGGTTTGGCGGGGGAGTTTTCTTTCCAAAACAACAGGCGACCAGGGGTGATCAATCTCTTTCAATACCAGATGGATTCCTCACAGTTAATCAATTCAAGCCATTTGGAACTCGTGGGTCAATATAAGTCATACACTGGTGCCTCGGAACGCCTCAACTTGACTAAAGTGGTCTGGTATGATGGCGGACAGATTCCAAGTGATATTGGAGATTTAGGTAATTTGATTGGATATACAATACATGTATTTATTGAATGATTTGATTGAATGAAAAAACATGGTGTATTGTTATAGTTTCCAACTTTATTGTGGGTGGTGTTTGTTGGTCAGCAGTCAACGTCTGTGATAAATTCGTACAACTTCCAATAATTTAACAATTACTGTTTAGACTGACTTCAAATTATTACTGTGAACATAAAATGTTATTAATAATACTTGATAGTTCTTAAAAGCCAATGTGAGCTACATTTTTAATGAATTCTACAAAATACAAATGGTAGTTTGTAACTTTTCCAGAGCACAGTAATTCTACAGAATTGGGTCCACTGGAATACTGTCATGTAGAAGCATTACGAGCTGCCTTAGGTATTACATGTAATGAAGCGAAAACTGTTGCGAATATAATGGGTGCTGTTGGATTCATTCTGATCGTTATGATAGCATTGGTGGTTATAAAAAAGAGGTGAGATGTATTTCACAATTACAGTTATTATTGTGTGTGAATGTATAATTGTATGTATATCTTTATTGCACTTTATGAAAAGGAGAAGCATGTATACAGTGTCCAATGAAAATAATGGTAATATAACATTAATGTGCAAATGAACATAGAATATCAATATATACAATATATAAAACACACTGGGTTATCTCCAATAAGTGGTGACATATTGTGGTTGTAACCAATTTTTGAATGGACATTTAGCTTTGGCATTTGGTGAATGTCCAGCCCCATAGCCATCTCTTGCCAAGGGGTTCACTTTTCAAAGAATGCCCCAAAATCACTTGAAAAGTGCTCAGAATGGTGAAAAACTGCATGATTTTGAAATAAATGTTGCCAGGAAAAAAGAACCCCCTAAACTACAGGCCTGATGTCATAAACTTTATACCTTTGAAATTGCAACTTATTATGTTAATGCCGTGTCTTATAGCTCACTTTGCACTTCTTCCTTGTAGATATGACAGAAAAATGAAGCGAACGAGGGCTAGAATGCAAGAGCTCGGTCTGATGTCAGACTTTACTTGGCTCTCATTGGATGAGTGGGAGATGGCTCGTGACCAGGTGGTGCTAAATCGTAAATTAGGGGAGGGGGCATTTGGCACAGTGTATGGAGGGAAGTGCTGTATTAATAATGAATGGCAGGCTGTTGCAGTGAAAACATTAAAAATTGGCTCAACTGTAGAAGAAAAGGTGAGAGAAATATCTGCTCAATCTATGTAGAAACAGGAATATTTAATGGTCATGTCACTATGACATGAAATATGCCTGAGTTCTCCCAATAAAGGCCGACCTTGGGAGTCTCTACATTTGGGCAAGAAAGAAGACATATTTCACGTCATAGTGACACAACTGATGTATTACATACCTTTATTCTCATGGCTACATTGTGATGTCACACATCTGTGTGTGAGTAGAATTTGATCGAAATGAATATAGCCCGAAGTGGATATAGCCCGCTAACTTTCCCATTGACTGTTTCACGAGGCATGTAATACACATGTACTGTATATTCTTTCTCAGAAAAATATTGATATGATCTGAGAGTTGCAATAATTGATATTCCTCAAAATATGATATATTCGAGTAATATCCAATTACGATATTCAAAATTATCATACATATCCTCACCATACAAGGATCACATTCACTACAGCATAATCTAAATTTTCTACACTTTTCTTACAGCTGGACTTTTTAAGTGAGGCCAATATTATGAAAAGATTTAATCATGAGAATATTGTAAAACTACGAGGTGTTTGCACTAGAGGGGAGCCTGCATACGCCATAATGGAGTTCATGTTGTTTGGTAAGACTCATTATTTCATCTTTCATGAGGTACTGTACTGATGATGAGTTGATTTTAGCATTTTAGCCAGTTTATGAACAAGGTCATTACAGTTAAACCTGTGTACTATGTACACCCATGAAGCCACAAAAAGTGTTCTCTGTAGGTATGTGTTCACTGCAGAGAGGCGATTTTATACAGAAGTCAGTATAGTATGTGCCGCCTAGAAGGGGTGTTCACTAGACACAAGTGTTCACGATGACAGGTTTCACTGGATATTTTTGAAAGCTCAAAAACATGGATTTATTTAAATATCAATCCAACGAAATTCAGATTCAATTTCTTCAACTGAATTTGCTAGATGCTCGATCAAATTGAAAATAATGTAATTTTTTTGCAGGTGATCTTAAGAGTTATCTGTCAGCTAGGCGGGACCTAGTGGGTAGCAAGAGTAAGGAGAGTCATGACGTGTCAGCTCTTAGTCTCACTCGTATGGCACTAGATGTCGCTAGAGGCTTGAAGTATCTCTCCGATCTCAATTATGTACATAGGTGAGTTTTGTGCAAAGGTGAGCATTTCACAAATGTGAATATTTTACATTAAGTGGCTGCTTGATAAAGATGAGTATCTACATAGGATTTTGTACATTAGTAAGGAGGCTAATTTTGATTCTTAATTGGAAGTAATCATTTAAATAAAAAAACATCATTATATACTTTAGTTCTTAAAAAGTGTATACAGTCAGAAGTTGGTGAAAAACCATCTCCCAATCATTTAAGTAAATTACAGATAATTTGATGAAATGTTTTGTTTTCTGGGGCTAATTTAGTAAATCATTCAATGAAATACATGATGCATTTACTCGTATTTTATGCACATTCTTACAATTATGCTTGTTAATTTGTAGGGACATTGCATGTAGGAATATGCTGTTGAACAGTGAAAAAGTGGTTAAGATTGGAGACTTTGGTCTGACACGTTCTATGTATGACTCTGACTACTACCGTTGCAATAGGAAAGGTATGTATGACAAGTTCGTACCGATAACATGTGAAAATCACTTTGAAGGTACAATGCAGACCCTTAAATAAAATCCTGTGTAAATGAGCTGAAAAACAAAATAGTTTTGCTTTGTGAATGTTCAGAATGTTTTACATGTTTGAAAAAAGATTTCGCATAAAACTTAGTTTGGATAAATATAATACTGTAAATATAATTTTGTCACCAGTGGTTGTGACATATTGTTCTTCGAGTAGTCCCCAACTTTTTGTGGATTGCGTTTGGTGGTCAGCTTTTGGCGTTCAATATCTGTAGCAAATTAACAACTTGCAAGGTGGTGACATTTTGTCATGTTAATGCCTTGTTATTTCTGTTTTATAGGGCGATTTCCAGTCAGATGGTGGGCTCCTGAGAGTCTATCAGAGGGTAAATTCACCTCAAAAGCAGACATGTGGAGCTATGGAATTCTCCTGTATGAAATCTCAACATTTGGCAGTTTTCCCTACCAGGGACTCTCCAATAATCAGGTGCTGAAATATGTCACAAGTGGATTCACATTGTGGCTGCCAAAAGATATAAATAGTAAATTGTAAGTATGAAGCTCATTTGGAAGATTTGCTGAAAAATGAGTATCAAGTATGTACTTGCACAATTTGTAATTCAATGGTAATGATCATTATAATATCGTCTACATTTCAGGCGAACACTGTTAATGCAGTGCTGGTTAAAAGATCCAGAGAAACGGCCAACTTGTGATCAAATAATCAATGTAATACATCATAATAGTAAGTTGATAGTGCCATGCTTGGATGCCCCCATGGCGTCAGTGGCATTAGAGACAAATGGGGAAACTGGATCTGACTCTTTAGAGCTCCCAGTCAGTATCCAAGCCTCTCAAAATCACAAACTACTACGTAGTGTCAGTGAACCATCAAAAGACCCGGTGCACCCAGAATGCCAAAGACTCATGGATGAGATGGCTGATGATACTGTATCAGGCTCTAGTATTCATCTTGATGATCTCACAGTTCATCTCTCGGCATCTATGCCTGAAACATGCGAGAGAATCATCACTCAAAATTTCGCTCACTCTAAATCACACGATCCAGATCTTAACAGACGGATTAATATAAATGCTCCTGAATCGCTCATTACGCAAGAGAAAAGTGAACCATTAGAATCTGATATTAATCATAAAGACCCCTTAGAAAAAAATCATCATCCAAATTTTCATGAACCTAATAATCGAAGGAGTAACAAACGGATGTCAAAATCTAAGCAAAGGAATGCGATATCTCAAGATGGGGAATACCCTGTACTTTATCGAGGGAATGGTACCACAAGTAGTTATGAGAGAGATAGTCCAAGTTCTCCGAGACTAACCCCAACCAAACTGCAATTTATGCTCTCTCACGATGAGAAGGATAGTGATTATAGTAGTGACCATTCCAAGGAAACTAGAAGGAATTACCAAGACAACTGTGTTAGCCATGTATGACACACAGGAAGAAATTACCCAATCACTTCTGTTAGCCATGACACAGGAGGAAATTACCCAGTCACCTTTAAGTAAGCTATGTATGACACATAGGAGGAAATTACCCTATCAGCAATCACCTCTGTTAGCCATGACACAGGAGGAAATTACCCAGTCGCCTCTAAGTAAGCCATGTATGACACATAGGAGGAAATTACCCTATCACCTCTGTTAGCCATGACACAGGAGGAAATTACCCAGTCACCTCTAAGTAAGCCATGAATGACACACATGAGGAAATTACTCAATTATCTATTAGGCCATATTGCACAGGAAAAAAATAACTCATAACTCCAAAAAGCACTCAGTAATCATTTCCATGATGAAAATACCCAGAAATCTCTGTTAGTGCCATGCATTACTTTTTTGAGTAAATCACCCAGTACAGTTTGTAACAAGTATGAACCAAAGGAGAAATTCACCAAGAAATCTATATAAATACATGTAAAAGGCAATTTTTAAAGTCATCTTCATCCATTTTGGTGCAATACAGCTGTATAGATGGCAGTGAATATTAGTTATTCTGCCTGGTACCCTCACATCTACCATAGGTATCGGGAAGTTAAAAAAGGCATTTGATTGGATTATTTATTTTATCTTATTTGTAAACAAAGGGACCATTTGCTAATCTCTTATTGTCCCAGGCCAGCACCTTATTATGACTTCTACCTTTTGTGCCAGTTAAGTGCAATGGATTGACTCAATATTTCATGTAGATGTATGGAATATGTATTAAACAGTAAAACTGGGACTGATGCCTGTATCAGTTAATTTTAAAATGAGCCAAATGGTACTACAAGTGTCTAATATCAGGTTTACTTTACATACTATGATAATGGATATTTAATTTGCAATATTGTATCGTTTAAAAGTAAGGATTAAAACCAGGATTCCATGAGTGACTTCTTTGTATGTTATTCATGTTTGCACTAAAGGTAATTACCCAGAATTTAAAGATGAATGTATTTTCTTTAAAGAAAATCTCATGATAGGTTCAACTTTGAACTCTGGGTTATATCCTCCCTTTTTACACTGCTATTTCATCCTTTGTGCATTCAACAACAGAAAATCTAAATTTCGGGGGGATATTGAGATTTTATAAATACTGTGATAGACCAGAATTGCAAGATTTACTAGAAAATGTACATTTAATTTAGTTTAAATTTGATCTTGGGAAATGTGTAATAATATTGTGCCTATAATCTGTACCAACAAGATGTTTTAAAAATTTCATTGCTTTACATGATGACTCCTTCCTTACATTTAGGAATTTAGCTCCTTTTATATTTTAATTTGCATCAGATTGGGCAAGAAAGCTGAAAATGTGCCATGTTTAAAAATGCTTTGCATTACAAATCTTTACACATATATTTACATTATATTTGCTCTGGCTTTTACACCTGAACAATCATAGTTTACCTAAAATTATTACGTGATGGTAATGATAGAGATTTGCTTGCTTCTACTTTGTGTCCTTGATTGAAGTAGGGTTGGCACAGAACATAATCAGAATAGAATAATAAAGTTTTAGAGCTATCTTTCAGAATTTGAAACAATATATACCTATATATAAGCATAATATATTTTACGTGAAAAATCTAAAAAATATTGTCACGTTTTGTTGTTCACTATAGCGAGTAGATTTTCTCTCAGGAAACTGATAATATTTTTGGAAATTTAGATGCTGTTCTAAAAGTTCTGTGCTGGAGGCGAAAATCACAATGTTTCATTTTCCATTTTTATTTTAAGTATTCTGTTCTGAGATTTAGTTATACTCGTATAATTGCTGCTGGCTTCACTGATGTTAGGGAGGGAGATACCAGTGGTGTAAGGGATAGCATCACATTCATTTTACGTTTATGAAGCAGTGTCAACATATTTCGTCATTATTATTTAATTATTTTGCCATTATGCACAATGCACATATGCTTTATGTAATTCTGATAAGCTTAAATAGCAGCAGATATGATATACAGATTAATATATTTAAAATATGTTCTATAGTATGTAATTATGTGTATATAAGTTGTAAATACTCTTCAGCAACAATGCAATGAAATTGTAAATATACAGGGTGTTCAATCGACATTGTACACATAACATTGGGACACCTTGTATTGTAATAAATGTTTAATATTGAATATGGTATATAGATGAAAGTGAACTCAATCTCAGAGGATTTCACATTTGATATAAATGATTAAGTGCAAGGCCCTTCCAGGATAATTGTCTGCTAAGCAGTTTCTTGTTGAAAAGAGGACGGTAACAAGGAGTTCTCCAACTTTTTGCTTGATATTAAAAATTGCAAAATTACAGTTTTTGAAATGAAAAAAATATCACAAAAAGGCAACATGTTTGACATGGGAGGTTTTTGAATATATTACTAATCAGATTAACTTGTAAGGGTCTAAATGCAATATTAAAAACACTGACTGAAAAGTTAGATATTTTGACAGTTTTGACTCAATTTACATATTCCATATATGCGAACATTTATTAAGGTTTCCACATTTTTTGTATCTTTTCAATGCAGGGACTATAGCTCATCTACTAGCTTGTTTACCTGCTCTATAAGCCTTGCATTTAGAGGATGCGTTTTAACTAAAAAAAGTTTTTGAATTTCAAATTCATGTGAGGTCTGCTCAGGTGCTCATAAGGGTCAATATCAGGTTCTTAAAATCTCAGTTCTCTCTCAAAGACTTGCATTTTACTGAATTGAGCACTAATATTTCTTTATTTTAAAGTCATTGACCTTGTTTTTTGTTGCATGCTGATTTCTCAGTATTCCACTTCTGTTATTTGTATTTGAAAACAGAATCTCTCAAACTTTTATTTTCAGATGGTTTAGATTCAGAAGTGAGAGAGAGTTTATAAAACAATGAAATAAAAAAAATCCTAAAAATAAAGCCACACTTTTAATTCTGTCAATTTGCACTAATTAGAGAAAATGCACCATGTCAAGAAAATGCACTAAGTAGAAATAATGGAATAGTCATGATTCCGTGACATGCTAAGTGCAGAAAGGCTTTACATTCATTTGCATTTTATCAGTCAACATTAAAGCTATTCATTCATTACACTGGTCAGTTGACAGCTTCCCAAAAAAAAAGAAGTTTTTATCGCTAGATTTACATCAACATGTCCTGCAAGTTTGAATCTTTTATTGACTTTCAAATGACCTTTATACATGTACTAATACCAGATATGGAAATTGAGCTATGTTGTTCTGGTTTTCATCAAGTTGATTTGAATATTGGAGAGTTCGTCTGGGCTTTCAAATATCAACTTTTTTAAAATTCAACCATTGATTATTTTATGTATTATTTGATACAGGATTGAAATATGAGGTCATTTTTATATTGTTTCCTTTGGACCTTTTTATGGGCACACACAGTACACACTGGTTTCATTAAAGGACAACTGAAATAGCTTTTCTCAACTTGCAGCTACAAAAATGCGGTTTTCTCCATTCTAAGCCCAACGTATAGTTTTTGCGATAGCCATTATAAAATAAATGTTAGATAACTGCTAACGGTCATAGATAATGAAATAAAACTAACTGATCAATTAAATTGGCCCCCACGTGATTAGTAACGTCATATACAAAATATAGCTTTGGTTTATCGGTACCTTAGTAATGACAACGTCACGGCAACCATAGAATTGTTGTGTAAACAAATAACAAAACATTTTGGCATTGTGATGTCATGATCTAATGGACCAAAACGGGCCACGTGGGGACCAGTGAGAGATCACGTGGGGGCCAATAAGGTCACAACCAATTCGAATATTGCTTATTAAGCAGCATATAACGATCGTTAGAGTGAAATAATTTTCACACTACTGATGAGAAAACATATCCCAATACATTTATCAAAAAATTATATTGATTCCTTTAGGTTAAAAATACCATTTCATATCTGCTTTAATTTCTTATATACAGTAAAACCTGTCCTAAGTAAAACACCTTTGGTACCTCCAAAAAGTGTTCCACTTGTGAGGTGTTCAACTTATATAGGTTCATTTAACATTAAGTCAATTGATCTTGGGACTCCGAAAAGTGTTCGACTTATGAGGTGTTCCACTTATACAGGTTTATTTAACATCAAGTCAATTGGTCTTGGGACTCTGAAAATTGTTTGACTTACAGAGGTGTTCCATTTCACAGGTTTCACTGTTATTGGAACAAGTACACGTAGGTTGATTCTCATCACTCTCTTGTGCATCACCCAGATGCTTCCTTTATGTGGGTAGATCAACATTGTGATAGCTTCACATCACATCCTGCAATTTGATTGGAGATGATGTGGGAGATGACGTAATGGGGAATCCCCAAATACGATAGAATATGAAAGAATTGTGAGGGCTACTCACTTCTTCTGCCACAGAGTTGTTAATGCCAAATTAAGAGGTTACCATGGTATTCCATGATGTCACCAAATCACCAAATTTAGATTTTTGAGCAAATATCCTGGGATAAATGAGACCAGAGTGACCTTAAAGAAAGCAATATCTCAAGAAAGTCACCTGTCCTCTGTTCACCCCTTGCACCTCTTATAAAATTTGTTATTTATCATGGTTTAGTTTTGAGGTTTTATACTGTGCATTTGCCCAGCAGGCTTTTGTATGAAAAGATGAACTTAAAATTGTTTACCAGATATAGTAAATGTGTTTTTACTCAAGTTTTATCTTAGTTTTTTTATTTTATGACCCTTATGTTAACAGTATAAGTGCACATCTATTTTAACATCTGTAAAAATCATATTATCATTCTCTTACTATTTGTATATGAAAAGTTCAAGAAATATGTCTCTTTTCAGTGTTATTTGAAAATCCCACTAATCTTATCTCTACTTTATGTTCTATACAGTATTTTATGTATATTACATTGAAAATAGAAATGAATTAAAAGCCTTCTTTTACGATATTGGGGAAGTGTGTGGGGTTGGGTTCAATCTGTAACATTACCTGTAAATAGTGGTAATACGTTAGGTATGTTATAAATGCTGTTTTCGTAGCCTTTGGCTTTTGATCTTAACCTCATTAACCTAAATAGGTGTTTGCATAATTAATTATATGACTCAAAAGGAATTCTATAATTTACCGCTTCATAGTAGAAAATTTGGTTCATTTTAATTAATGAATGTATCACTTTAAATGTCTTGAAGGATAAAATCATTCATTATTGTGGAATCAATTACAACTAAAAATAAATCTTTATGAAAAACATACATGTCCTTAAGATATTGTCATTTTGCTGAGGCTTAGTAATGTATCTATTATTCTTTTATCCTACATTAAAATCAATGCTTTGTAATGGAATATGAGATTTTTAATGGAATATGAGATTTTTAATGGATAATTATCCCATCGAACGAAGTTCGGAGGGATATAGGGAACGCCTCCGTCCGTCCGTCTGTCCGTCCGTCCGGGCAATAACTCAAATACCGTTGGCCCGATTTTGTTCATATTTTGTACACATATACCCTATGGGGGTAGAAGTTCTGCTCGAAAGCCGATTTTCAAAATGGCCGCTCATTTCAAAATGGCGGCCATTTTAGTGCCGAATTTACAGTAATTTAGGTGCAATATGTAAAACTGTAATAGCAATATGTTTTAGATGTAAAAAAATTATATAGGACATTAATAAAGCTAGAAATGTAGATATTAAAGAAGCACATGGCAGCCATCTTGAAAAATGGCGGCCTTTACTCATTTTTTTACGATTTTTGCTGTAACTCGAAAAGTAGTGAAGCGATTTTGTTCATATTTGGTATGTGAATACTATAAGCCTGACACACTGTCCTATGACACTTTTGGTAGAAGGCGGCCAATTTAAAAAAAATTTTGAAAAAAATGGCCGCCATTTTAACATATTTTACTATAACTCGAAAAGTAGTGAAGCGATTTTGTTCATATTTGGTATGTGAATACTATAAGCATGGCACACTGTCTAATGACACTTTTGGTAGAAGGCAGCCATTTTGAAAAATGGCCGCCATTTTAACGTATTTTACTATTACTCGAAAAGTAGTACAGCGATTTTGTTCATATTTGGTATGCGAATACTATAAGCATGACACACTGTCCTATGACACTTTTGGTAGAAGGCGGCCATTTTGAAAAAATTTTTGAAAAATGGCCGCCATTTTAACATATTTTACTATAACTCGAAAAGTAGTGAAGCGATTTTGTTCATATTGGGTATGTGAATACTGTAAGCATGGCACACTGTCTAATGACACTTTTGGTAGAAGGCGGTCATTTTTCAAAATGGCCACCATTTTAACGTATTTTACTATAACTTGAAAAGTAGTGGAGCTACATTTTTGCTATATACTTTGTTTGTAAAAATGCCATCCATGGCTGTTCGATGGGATTCGCTACGCTTTGGCGTTGCTGTTGTTCTGGTTAGATTTTGAGCTAGTGTTTATATTGAATTCTATGAGCAAATTACTAAATTCTGAGCTTATACTAATGTCATGAGATAGTGTGTTAAAACAGAGCTGGTTTTACAGTACAATACTACCAAAAAACCCTAAACTTGTAATGAGGAGGAGTATAGTGACTTGGGGGGAACCATAAAAGAATTTTATCTGAGGAAATAGAATATTTCTTAGACGCATTTTCTCACAAGCGTCCATATGTTGGGAGGTTATTCTCATTCTTCTTGCAGTGAAATAGTAACCTTTGCATTTGTTCGAACTTCACTTCTTAAAAGAGAGCTTCAGTAGTTTGTAACTAGACACTGCGTGCAGGGTAGTGAAATAGTAAAAAATGTTTTGTGATTAATTTTGCAATTTACATACATGTTCACATTTTTTCCAATCTTCAGAAATCTTTTATTTCGTATTTAATTTATTTATCTAGTATTTAGGGTATACAATTTTATTTACTTCATTGTTTCCCTAATTCAATCAGATATTTGCGAAAATTTCTCAAATGTGAAATCTTCGAGGTTTACAGTGTATGAGTTGGACTGTTTACAAACGTCACAAAGCTCTGGTTAATCAGTATGAAATAGTTCACAAGTTTGTTGAGCCTGCGCACATACACTGACTTAGCTTAGCTGACCTAAAGAATTTTCATACAAGCCAAAATGTTTATTTAGCAATATTATCATCCTTTTATTTTAGTCATTTTAGCTGTTTTATATTCAAATCATGTTTCTTTAGGGTATTTTACCAACCTGTGTTGAACTCTTTGTATGAACCTTTATGTGTATTGGTGGATCCAATTTGCTAATAAAAATGTTAAAATAAAATGTTTTGTGTACTGTGCATGTAATTGTCATTCTGTAAAGAGAAATGTTTTTAAAGTTTGAAGTAATGTGGGATAAACAGCTATTGTATAAGCTTACTCAGTACATGTATAAAAGCTAATAGACATCATTGATGATAACAAGGCATGTGTCTAGTAAAGCATATATAGGATTGAATTTTGTCTTTAAAGACTCCATATAAAGTTAAACCCAATTTGGCCTACATTGCAGTCTTACCCAATGCTATCAAACTTTGCATAGGGCCTTTAAAGGTACAACTAGGATAACAGAAAAGTTGAGAGTAACTTTCATCAAAAATTTGGCAATAGGTTTGAAAAAGTATGCATCCCCTTTTTAGTTCAAACGAATTAGGATATTTCTAAAATCTTGCTAATTATTAATTACAAATGTTTTTGGTTTGTTTTCCTGATCAGTATATGAAAAAATATTAGAAAAATCTCAATTCATTAAAATTTGAGAGGGTATTGAAAATGGTGAAACCAATGACAAATTGGAAAACATTCCATATATAGTTAAGGATTTAAGCCCTGGACTTGAAGGCATCATTCTTTTCATAGATCTTTGCATGACTGTGTAGCTGGAATGCAAAGTTTTAGGACATCATCTAAGTGGAATGAAGCAGCTGCAATGCATTGGGTCTTGGGCTTAAATTCCTTTCACACATTGCAAAATATTTTCTACAAAATCATCTAAAAATACAAAATCACTAAAAGAAAGTTTTTTAATGAAACTTTTGGCAAGGGTCAAGTATTGGCAAAGCATCAATTTCAATCTCCTTACCTTGACAACCATACAAAACAAATGCGTCATTGATTATTTCATGCACTGTTGTCATGTGAAATACTGTGTTTGGATTGGCTGGAATCTGACACACCTTGCCTAGCTATGTGTGAATACAGTAGAACCTGCAAAGTGGAACACCTCTGTAAGCGGAACACCTCACAAGTGGATTAGTTCAAAGTCCCATTTTAAAAACCCATTGACTTAATGTTAATTGAACCTCTGTAAGTGGAACACCTCCAAACTTAAATGGTGAACGTCCCATATTGAAAAATTAACCTGCAAAGTGGAACAGTCAATTTTCCATGAATTTCAATACTGATATGATACTTATGTAAACAGAATTAACCTCCTACAGTGATATCTGAGTGTAAAAACAGGTAATAACGTGATAATGTGATAATTGAGACATCTAATTAAAAGATTGACATAAAAATGTTGCAGTCTTATTATCAAAACATTGAACATCCTGTCCTTTTTGACAGCTATCTGCTCATCTTTGAATGCAGGAGACAGGCTTGACTATTTGAGGGACAGGCTCGACTATTCCTGGGGATGGTTTAGAATATTAGGGTCAGACACTCTCTTTTGAGACCCGATGCAGACAAACCTTGCTCACTTCAACTGCGGCATCAGGGCCAAGATAGTCCTGTCCAGATTTTTACCAATATTTCTTTTTTTTAAAAATGATTTTTTTACCTTCAATTGTTTTCATCAACAATTTTATCACCCTTAATTCATTGAACTACAGGACATGATTTGCCTAAATACAACATAAAAAGCCCAATTGTGTAATATAATTAAGATAGATTTATTTTTGTAACATATAACATATCTGCAAAACATCACAAATAGGTTAAAGTGAGGACTACAGAAAAATATTGTACATTTTAAAGGAATGATAAATTAAGAATTGAGACTGGAGTCTCATTGTTAGCCTTGCCCAAGTCGGTATATTTTTACTTATCCTGATCTTGAATTATTACCACTGGTCATAATAGAAGTCAAGATAAGTAAACGAGACTGACTTGGGCAAGGCTATCTCATCGTGAAAGAGTTAGATTCATCAGTGGATATGAAAGAAACATAGAACCCCTTTTCAGGCGTTGATGTACATTGTAGATGTAGATTTTTAAATTTTCAAGGAAACCATGTAAATTTTATTCTTATTTTTCAAGAAAGGGTATACATAAACTTTAACTTGATTTTTCTAAACAAAAGGCTACAAATGCACACCATTTGTACATTATGCACACCATTTGTACATTCAGAGGAAGAGTAACTGTTAATGTGAACTTATAGTTTATTCTTCAAGAAAGGCCAGAATGGGTAGACACATCTGTACATGAATGTTGATTTCCTCCTTAAAGACTTTACATTAAATTGTTTTAACACATTGATTGCACTGTAAATGTCAATATAGTCAGGTATATTACACCTAATTTTGACAAGTTTTTTTTAAAACGATTGACCGCTGTGAAATCTGCTATCTCCACATATGATGCATTGGATTCTTCTATTATCCTGGTCCCTGATTTCCTATGTCTCATATGGTAGCTCACAATTTTTGTTCTTGAAATCTTCATAAGTTTTGCATCCAGCTGCATTTTCTGCCATCCAGTGGAAAAGATTTACTTTGAACCTCCAAGTTCCATCTGCAACAATAAACAGCATTTAATTCATTTGTGAAAGGTAGACATATGAAACAGCATAGGCTTTCAATAGACATTCGAAAGAGTAGACATGTGAAACAACGTATGTGAAACACTAGATATGTGAAGCAGCAACATTTGAAACAGTAGATATGGTGAAACAGCAATACTAGTATAAGAAATATTACACATGTGAAACAGCAACATAATAAACAGTAGATATTTGAACCAGCACATATATGTGAAATAGCAACATACAGACATAGAAACATAACACATGTGAAACAACAACATAGTAATCAATAGATATGTGAAACAGCAACATAAGAAACAATGGGCATGTGAAGCAGCAACATAAGAAACAGTAGACATGTGAAGCAGCAACATAAGAAACAGTAGACATGTGAAGCAGCAACATAAGAAACAGTTGGCATGTGAAGCAGCAACATAAAATACAGTAGACATGTGAAGCAGCAACATAAGAAACAGTATACATGTGAAGCAGCAACTTAAGAAACAGTTAGCATGTGAAGCAGCAACATAAGAAACAGTATACATGTGAAGCAGCAGCATAAGAAACAGTAGACATGTGAAGCAGCAACATAAGAAACAGTGGGCATGTGAAGCAGCAATTTAAGAAACAGTATACATGTGAAGCAGCAACATAAGAAACAGTTGGCATGTGAAGCAGCAACATAAGAAACAGTAAACATGTGAAGCAGCAGCATAAGAAACAGTAGACATGTGAAGCAGCAACATAAGAAACAGTGGGCATGTGAAGCAGTAATTTAAGAAACAGTATACATGTGAAGCAGCAACATAAGAAACAGTGGGCATGTGAAGCAGAAACATAAAAAACAGTGGGCATGTGAAGCAGAAACATAAGAAACAGTGGGCATGTGAAGCAGCAACATAAGATACAATAGACATGTGAAGCAGCAACATAAGAAACAGTGGGCATGTGAAGCAGCAATTCAAGAAACAGTAGACGTGTGAAGCAGCAACATAAGAAACAGTAGACATGTGAAGCAGCAACATAAGAAACAGTGGGTATGTGAAGCAGCAATTTAAGAAACAGTAGACATGTGAAGCAGCAATTTTAGAAATAGTAGACATATGTGAAGCAGCAACATAAGAAACAGTATACATGTGAAAGTATACATGTGAAGCAGCAACATAAGATACAGTAGACATGTGAAACAGCAACATCAGAAACACTATATACGTATATAGATGAATCGGCGCCTGTCTCTTCATAATATTTCAACTACCAAATACTGGATACTTCATTAGAACCGTGACTTTTCATTTGCCTTCCCTGTTTTATTTTGCCAAAATTAAAACAATACAAATGTCATTTTAACTTTCTTCTGCAAGCATTATTGATTATAAAGACATATAAATCTATGAATAATTGTTACTTACTATTACAATTATCCGTGCGACAGCATGTCTTCTTGTCGACACATTCACTAGCTTTGGCACATCCCCATTCATTACTAGTCTCCCGGGTGTAAAAACACCTAAAACACAACATTTTGTTTTAGCAATAGAACTAGCTACATTTCCTAAATTCATGGGGAATATTTAGCTCATGGGCATGATTAAAAGTCCAATGATGGCTTACTCTAATGATCAAGTTTGGATCAACGTGTGAACAAAAACAACGTCATGAATAAAAGAAAATTAACGACCAATTGCAATAGAATGTTATGTTAGGATTTTGATCTTCCAATATTTGCTTCACTATGTTTCAATATAACTATCAGGTAAGCGTGTCTGTTTGCCTGCGTACGTACGTACGTGCGTGAGTGCGTGCGTGCGTGCGTGTGTACCAATAAAAAGAGGCTAAATGAAGGCTGAGTATAATGAGAAAGCGGAGACGTACTTCCTTCAATGATCAGTGATGATATGATTGCGGATTCTGTAATACGGAATTAACATGCAGAATTGCATACTGATAAAGACTTGACAAAATTGAAGGTGTACAATGAGTCCCCCATTTCAATGTTAAATTATCTTGGCATGACATCAAATTTTGAAAAATTAATCATATCGAGAAACAAAGGGATGAATAGAAAAAAGTAATGAATCAGTGGTATATTTATTTAGTTTGTGATTTACGCCAAGAAATAAGGGAATATATACTCTTCTTATCAATGGCCCATTGTTTTATCCATACAGAATTCTGTGAAAAACAAGTTGGTACTGATGTCACTTAATTTATTAACATCCTCCTTATCGTCTCTTGATCACAGAGGTGCAAAGATGACAGAGATAATACACGACGTATTCTGAATCACTACCATGAATGTTCGGGGTACTACTAGTGGTCCCACGAGACAACATCGTAGATGGAAACGCCGAAGGAGTAATTTGCTATACCAGAAATCGATTTACACACTTGATTATAAATACATGTACAGTAAATAAATCTGAGGAATGATCTAAAATTCAGACGTACAAAAAACTCCAGAGGGAAATCACGAGTCGAATGACCTCATAGGCCTTGAATTGGTGATGCAAAACTCGCAGTTGTTTTAACATGATCATGCCCTAAAGTCAGCGAACACCCAAACAATGTATCCAGTCTACCTAGTTGGTCTAGTTGTTGATGTAACTTGCTTGAGTTTTATTTTATTGCAAATATTGCCCCATCTTACTTATGTCAGTATTTCATATGAACTATAATTTTGTCGAGTCTTGATGTTTGCAACCTTCCAGAGTTTGTGCCACGAGGGTTGACAAAAAGTTTTGTACGATTATTTAGAATGAATATCAATTAAAAAGTTGATCAGTTCAGAATGTTTTCTTTGTGGTCGATTGATATTGAAATAGGAATACTTGACAAAATGAAGAAAATGCTATGTTGTCGGGTGTAGATCGAAAATTATTAACCTTTCCAAAATGCTCCACGTGCATACCAACGACCAACAACCGCTGTCGAAATTAAAAATACGTTATATCAAAAAGGCATAAATAAGGCAAGTCTTTTCCTGCCTAGCCCCGTCAATTCGGTCACCATTTTGACTATTCAATCATTTTCACCTGGTAACTTGAGTTGTTTTACAAAAATTATGTTTCCCATTGCCTAATTGATAAAGAATCGCCGAACTTGAATTGCCATCGTATATTTTGGAATCAAAAGCTTAAAGGATTTCTCGTAGTTTGTCATGTGTGCCAAAAAGTGAATCCTTCGAATACAAACAGTGTCACCAAAATTACTTAGGTTTGCTTTGATCAGTGTACATAGTAAGTCCAAGGCAAGCAAGTGGATGAACAGTATGCCCTGAAATAAAGGAGGATTGGACGCCGTTATTCAAACTCGATGCCCGGCGTAGAACAATTTGGTAACACTATTACTCATATTTTGAAGACTAGAACTGCTGAGGAAGCTTGAATGCTACCAAAATATTCCCAATGACCATCTTTCAACGAAATACTTGGTTCAAAGAGAACCTTATAGAAATATTTTACTAATTTGTTCCACTGCAGGCAACGAAGTATCGAGTTTGAATAATGGCTGCCAATCCTCCTGTCCAGGTCTTTGTATCTTGGATACATCCAAACGTTCAGAAAGTTAAAAAGTCATTGACCACCTCTAATGTATACAAATGCGTAACATGGGTGGACATTTGTTTTATTTATATGGGTTTGTTTCAATTACAAATTCGAAATAAATGTGAGGCTGACATTTTAAGTCAAAAGAACCATTTAATGTACGCATTTAAAACCAATCTACAAATACATCCGACAGTCAGTTTATATTTAGTTAAACGTCTTTATTTATTTTATCTTAGAATTTGTAAACGTAAAAAAAGGTTAACGTTCTTAAAAGAAATAAAGATGATTTTAATTATGATTGTATCGTATGTTTTTTTGTTATCCTTATAGTTTTTATTTCTCTTATGCTCATAAGTAACCTTCGATCTTTTATTTATTTCTTTTTTTAGTGTCGGTGCGAATGCCATGCATTATTCTTGGGGACTTATACTGACCCTAAAGTTGAAACTGTCAAAACAAGTCAATATAAAACCACATTTTATGTTTTTCAGATGAATCGAATTTAACAACAACATGGAGTGATACAATCTCCTGGTCATTAAGTCCATTCTACGAAAACAAAATTAAGTTTTATTGTTTTGTTATTGTGTACAATGTCTACAACATTTATTTTCATTAGCGGATTTTTCAAAAGGACCAGATTTCCTTTTTTATTGTTACATTTAGCCTTGTCCAAGTCGGTATCTTTTACTTATCCTGATCTTGGATTATTATCGGCGATCATAACAGAAATCAAGATAAGTAAAAGAGATCGACTCGGGCAAGGCTATGTACATTGTAAAAACACGAAAATTCCAAATGAAACAAAATGTTGAAACCTCAAAACTCAGGCAAATGGGTTTGACCACAAAGGTTTTTATCAGAGTCCCTTAACATTGATGAACCCTAAAATTCAAGAAAAGGTTTGAATTGGGAGTTTTTGGAATGACTAAACAGACATTTAATTTGTGATATGGTGCAAGCTAATGATCTTACGTAAAATATTGACGTTGTCACTATGGAAACAGAACAACAAACCTCATCAAACCATATCAAATCATGGTCAGTGACCTGTCAGTTTTCCAGTTCTATAGTTATTTGTACCGGGTAAATTAGTTTCAGCTCAAGAAAATCATTTTCATTCTTGAAATAAATCAAAAAAATCTTGACGTTTTTAAACCTTATGTCACACGGCACAGTCACTATACAATATCTATTGTGTAAATGTACTCACCTATCTTGGTCCTTTTGACATTCACAGTCTCGCCTGTCATAAAATGTTAGCCGTTTGTAGCATTTTAGGCCTTCAATAGAACTCACGACCAAAACTATCACAGCTAAACAAAGTAACACTTTCATTTCGTTCTATTATATTATATTTGTATAAATCGCAAAATTGTATAAATTATTTTGTCCTTGTGTCCGTCGTGCTCAAGTTCTTAATGAACACGAGTTACCGCTGGTGCTGTTTTAAAGAAACTACAAACAAAATATATAAAGCCCGGACACCATGAACTAGGACCATGGATTCTTTCATATGCAAATGTAAATAGCCTAATTCGAATAAGTCAATATATTTTTTCGTGTACGATGTGGAGGAGTGGGCACGAATTATGAGTAATTTAAGACCGGAACATACACGAGTTCACAGATCTTGAATAAATTATATGCCTTTCGGTTATAATGTGACAAAAATATAAAAAATTGATTTAATCTGTAGTTTAATTAAAAATGTCCTCAAATATTGGCTTTTTGTAGTCCTAGATGTAAAATACCAAACGGTCGCACTTTGTAGGATAATTAAAGGTGGACAGAGAGTGGAATGGTCTTTATTGACGGAAAAATTAATATAGAAATAACTTTTATATAAATAACTATATTATGACACTTAAACTTATACTCAATTTTTCAAACCTTAGAAATAGGTTAAATCATGACTAGTGCGAATGTCCATTCAGAAATTTATACACGGGTGATGTCGTGTTTTAAACGATAAAAGATGAAAAGATGGTAAAGAGGAGGATAGGGGAAATCCTGTCGATGTCATCCGGGATGGGGCATACAGGTGTAATGTCTTCGTGTTTATGGTTTTATGACTGTATCGAAACAGTTGAATCATCTTTATGTGAACTACTGATCCCAACTACATCACTGACCCACCTGGAGAAGGGTATTCTAACAGTTTGAAATAGACAAAACTGAATGACAAAAAACACGTGCATAAAATAAACAAATAAATACATAAATAAATAAATGAATGATTATTTATATGAACTAGTACACCCAGAATCTCTTTTTAAAAGTACCGTTTTAAGGTCGTAAAGATTCGAAATTAATTTTGTTGTTTCTAATACCAAGTACTGACTCAAGGCTCTAGGTACTAACGTGCGAGAAAAGCCCTATATACAGGATGAGCCAAAAAGGTAACCCGAAATGGCTAACGCAACCCTTGAAACATTGAAACACGGGATAAGATTGGAGATGAGAGCCATTACACAAGTTGCCTGTGCTCGTGTAGCCTAGTGAACACCAATAAATCAAGTTTACCTCTAGACACCGAACGCCAGCAATTTACAGCATGATCTTGACCATTGAATATGTACCCATGGAAGTTGGTATACTCAACTGTAACCAAGAACATTGAACAAGGTTGAATTGTATTACACATCATGCCCGTAGCCAGAGAGGGAGATGTGAAAAAATTGTGAAAATCTCCCCCCCTGAAAAAACTCCCCTCCTGGTAAAAGCTGGCTAGGGGCATATAGTAAAGCACATGACGGATAAAACCATGCTGAATGACTGAGTATGTTTGGGTTACCCTTTTCGGGCTCACCCTGTACTAACTTAGTCAGTGTATCTAGAGTGTGGGGATGAATATATCTGCATTCTTGCCAAACCTGAGATAGTCATAGAATATCTATTTTACTGCTGGTGCAAGCCTCTGCATTATCAGGGGACCATCAGTGCCCGCATCGGGGCTTACAAGTTAGTAACGGCCCAGGGACCAGTTCTAATCTTAGTAGACGCATTTCGTTCAGTGACATCTCGCGAGATCTCGCAAGCGCCAAAAATTTGAAAATATTTACAAATTTCGGAGATATATTTCGATGATTCTACGCATTTGCTGGACATTGAACTTAAATACTTACAGCTATATGTATTGATCCCGTACTGTAGTTCGACAGTAACCATGAAAGGGGATGGTAAGTACACGTAATTATTGGTAAAATCGAACTCAAACAAATCTGGAAAATATTTTCGACTTTTTTTTCAAATAAAATTCTTCAAACTCAAAGTTAGAAAGTACAACAAGTGTTAGTACACATAGCCTAACACCTTGTGAAAAACCAAAAAAATGATAATATTAGCTGACATAAACGTGCCAGGATATTAGCAACAACAACAAATTAAATAATATGCTTCGGTCCCCCAAATCTGTCAGCCTGTCTGTCAGTACATGACAGGGTTCTCACTTGACTATATCCTATTTAGTCTGAATTATATTCAGACTATAAGGCACATATGTTAAAGTTTAGATATGTGTTTACATAGGAAGTGCTATTCAAAATGGCTGATTGGGTAAAATTAATTTGCACATTTGTTACTTCAACTAGCTTTATTTCCACTTGACAATATGCTGTGTTACTTTTTATTGCATTTAATTGTACCTTACTACTTAATTGAAATTTTGTAATGTTTATTTTATTGAAGAAATGGTTCCTCTAATTGATAATTTTCCACAGGAAAGTAGTACATCATAACAGACTGACTTCTAGTCAGTTTGTTGGATACATACTAGGGTTCTCACAAGGAAATTTTTAGACCCTAGATCTCGCGGTATCGCAACTACTCCTCCCTCATGTGAGATCAGAGATATCCTATGAGTATACTTTTCAAAATACTACTTAAGGCCAGGGTGCTTGTTGGGAAATCTTCTGCATTCCTCAATTGAGTCGCATGTTATTGTTCAAACAAGAATCACTCCTTCCCCACATTATCTACATCTTCCAGTTTTGCACAAATAGTGCACATATGTACTTAGAAAAGACTTGTTAGAAGATTTGTTTGGTAAATTGTATAAAAACGAGAAAATTCAGTGAAAAAATTTCTGAATTTTTTCACTGAATTTTCTTGTTTTTTATACACTTTATCGAAACATTCTTGTTACAATTCTTTTCTAGGCATATAAATGTACTCTTTGTGCAAATCTGGAAGATGTAGGCCATGTGGGAGAGGAGTGATTCTTGTTTGAAAAATAACATGTGACTCAACTGAGGAATGCAGAAAATTTCCCATCATGCACCCTGACCTTAAGATTATCTTCCTATTTGAATCACAATATACATTTCTAAAAGGTTTCTGACTTCCTATTCCTTGTTTTTATCCAGTTTTATGTATTTTCTCAAGAGTTTTACCACAAATAATGTGACAAAAATGTAAAATTAGACTCCGGGAAAATATATCTGTCAGCCCGTCTGTCAGTACACGACAATGTTGACTTAGGCCTATACCTTTGTTCAATTAATATGTCAAATTAGAGCTGTATATCCATTCCAACAGTTTTAACCATTCTTGTTGTTGATATCATTTTTTTATCCCGTGCCAGGACTATAGTCCTGAAAACGTCTCAATCTTTTGCCTGTAGGATTATAACATGGGAGAATTTTCTACGCCACTTACACTTAAGATACCTACTTCAATATATTCCTTGGTATTTTAGCATTCTTTTTGCACGGGATAATCCTTTTTGTGCTTCGATGTTGCTGAATGGTCCATCAATACTTACTGTTCTCTCTGTTGCCAAAATCTGTGTATTATCACTTGTGTAACTGATCTCCAGGGGTCTATTCTTGTACCATTCTTAGTAAAGAACATTCGCAATTCGTAAATTTTACGAAATTACGGAAATGCAACTTTCTGAAATTGGCAAATTTATCAATGGACTTACGAACATTTGTTACCACGAACGGTACAAGAACGGGCCCCAGGAGGACAAATCACACCCACGGGCCTTTATTTATATAGTTGAGATTTTAATGAATATATGATATACATCAATCTTGTGATTCGTCAAATCACACGATGAGGATGTCATATTTTGACATATTTTGGGTAATTATTATGTAACACATTGTTCATTTGGCTATTCTTATATATATTTCAGTTGTAAAAAAATTGTAAAACTGTCAATGAATATAATATTATATTATAAGAATTTCTGATCAAGGGGGAAGCAGTGTTTTCTCTCTTGCATAGATGGAAATATATTACTACATGATTTTAAGTTTTAGTCGTTGAAATCAAAAATCTTGGAAGATGGAGGTTCTAATGCCCTTGTCTCATTATCACCCAAGTAGAGAAGAAAGAATGAAAAATGACCCCTCTCGGGAAAATTGGGTATCAATACAAAATATATTCATTCAAATATACAGGCAGTTAATATTTTTTGCAGGTAACTCAAGTTCACTATCTTCGACTTCTGGGTAAGTTATCATTGTAGACTTGGTTGTTATTGCAGTCATTTCTGTTTGAGTCTACCTTTTGTATAAACATATAGCTGAGATACAAATTATTGTTTAACTAACAAGGAATATTTTGGAATATATATTTGAGATGATCATAACTGTATATATATTAACCCTCGACTTTATTTTCATTTATTTTCTCTTTATATGTAAGTATATAGAGATTATCCTATATGAGGTTCAGGATATTGGGATTATCCCGAGGCCAATATAATATATCTGCCCGAGGGCCGTAGGTCCCGAGGGTAGATATATTATATTGGCCAAGGGATAATCCAAATATCCTGAACCGACTATAGGATGATCTGTTTATCCCATACCAATCAACTTGTTCAATTGGCCAAAGTTCAGAAACTTTGCAACCAACCGTGGAATTATTTTAAAATATTCATGTCCAGTTTTGTATTCTTGTCCGTAGCCGGATTTTCCTGTTCAAATCTTTGATTATTAACGGGGTATACTGCTCCTTTCCTTCTTTAAAGCATCAAACAGATCGCGATTGTCTGCGTTTTTCTCCATTGTCGTTTACAGTATGCGAACGTTACAAAAATAACCAATACGGGAACAGCGATTATGACGTAGCAGGTAGATAAACTATATCTGCCCGCTCGGAGCGGGACGTAAAGCTATATCTGCCCGCTGATGAAAATATAAGTTTTTACAAACCGGCTTTATGTACCCGTAACACGTCCAAGTATGGGATAAAAGAGTCTTTAGTATTGCACTCATCTTAAAATATTATTCAATAGAACTGGTGTCATGTCTAATTTAATGATTTTCAGAGATGGGGACTCGATCAAGGTGTACCTGCGGGTACGCCCCATGGACAGTTCCATAGACAGCAGCACTAATTGCTTAGATGTAAACACAAACAGAAATTCAATTGTCATGCAATGCAAACCTGAGCCAAAATTATTCACATATGACTGTGTAGGGGATTCTAATATAACACAGGTAAGGATGGGTAAATGTCTCCGCTCAATCGATATTCCCCTTGTATTCAGTTTACTAAGTATTACCTCTATGTGAGAAGTTGATGATTGTGATTCTTCCAGCTTTAGACCTACAGTACATAGATCTCATTAACACTTGCATTAGTTTCCCTTTGAAGAGTGGTACTCCTTGATTTGCAGGACAGCGTGTTCCAAACAGCAGCAACTGACATCATAGAATCAAGCATTAGTGGCTATAATGGGACCATATTCGCTTAGTAAGTAATCCATTGATTGTTATATAAGCAACTTTTGCAATATAAAGACCGTGATAGAACATTTAAATATTGTAGATTTTTAAAATAATTTAACATTAAAGGCTAGAAGTCTTGATTCATTGTTTAAATAAGAAATGATTACTGTATTCATAAAAAATGACCTTTCATAAATTTTATTCATATTTACAACCCCTAGAAGTGATGCATATTTAACATACTATTTTATGTCATCACCAGAAGTGTTTATATATTGTTACTTGTTAGTCTCCAACAATTTTGTGTTTGGTGGTCAGCTCTGTAGCAAATGGCAGGTGGTGACACGTTAATGTCTGTTGTCTGTTGTTAGATTATATTTCCACCTCTGAGACAACCAATGAAAAGTACTGAAGACCTGACGTGTGTACATAACCATTTTCTTTTTCTTCCAGTGGTCAAACAGGGTCAGGTAAAACATACACAATGTTAGGACCTTCTGAACTGGAGAGCTTCCAGAATGACAAGCGAGGACTGATTCCACGCAGCTTTGAGCACCTTTTCCAAAATATCCGGGGTAAAACTGAATCTGTAAGTAGGTTTATTGAATTAAGAAATATATGCATTAAAAGTTTAATTGAATACCACTCATAACATATATGGGACACCCTGTATTCCTTACCTTGTAAGATCCAAGTTCCTCTATATCTTGTGCCTGGAAGTGAAAAATTTCAAAGCCACAGTGCCATGGGAAGTAACCAAGATTTTGCTCGAAGCCTGAATCCCAATGAACCCTAGTCATGCTTGTATGAGGAAAAATAGAAGGCTCTCTACCTTTGTTCATTTTATCTTGTGTTTCTTGTCTCCTTAATACCTGTTTTAAAAGTCACTCAGTACATTAAACATCACTATACAGTATTGCATTATATTGATATATTTTGTGATTCAGACTGACAATGATACAAAATGGGAGTTCCTTATCAAAGTGTCATTCCTTGAGATCTACCAAGAACAAGTGTATGACTTACTTGATACAACAGCTGCCCCTAAGCACCTGAGGGAAGACATCAAGAGAGGGGTCTATGTAGAAGCTCTCACTGAGTATACTGTCAGCAATGCAGCTGAGGCTTACGAGGTAAATATTTTGTGACTTGGAAAGTTAAATTACATGTTTTAAGAGAACTTTTAAGTGAATGTGTAATAAGACCCAGAGGGATGCTTCAGTATATTCCATGGACCTCTTTACAGGCATTTGAATTCCTTTACATTTATACTCAATTTGGCAAGTAAATACCAAGTGGAGAACTTAGTAGCCCATCTACTTTCTATTTGTTAAGAACGTATATCTGTTGTGTACAAACATGAGGTTATGTTTGGTTGGTCAGAAATATGGAGTAAGTACTTCAATTCATACATTTGATCAAGAGGTGGCTGCATCATATTAAATGAATGTAACCAAACTTTTCATTAATAAATTCAGGTGTTATCCACTGGTTGGAACAGCCGCACTGTAGCAAGCACACAAATGAACAGAGAGAGTTCAAGAAGTCATGCTGTGATGACTGTCACCATAGAGTCAAAGGTGAGGCAACTTGTATAATCAATTTCAATATACAATGTGACCCAATAGTAGGTTTACAGTTATTCAACAATCCGTATACTGTAACTGTAAACCTACTTTTGGGCCAACCGGTATTTGCCCACAAATCAATATTGTAACAAACAAGTCGATTGCTTTGATTTGAAATGTTCAGAATATTGATCGATAAACTGATTGAATTGAATTGTGATTGTAGGAGACCAGAGGAGAAGTAGAGAATGTTCGGATGTCCCAGTTACATCTCGTTGATCTCGCAGGTTCCGAGAGGCAGAAAGACACAAATGCCGTTGGTGGTCGATTAAAAGAAGCAGGGAGCATAAATAAATCTCTTTCCACTCTTGGACACGTCATGATGACGTTGGTAGAGAAAGGAAAGGGAAAACAGCGGTTTGTGCCATATAGAGACTCCAAGTTGACCTTCCTTCTTAGGGTGAGGTTCTTGATAGTAAAAGAACTTACTTCAAATTTTAAATCATACTTTAAGTAATGTTGATACTACATACTTGTACTTGTTAATTTGTTTTATATTAAGAGATTTTTATGCACCCCTCCCTAATCTTGCACAGTTAGAATCAGATGTGGAATTTAGAAGCTTTATCAGCATGAAAAACTGATCTAGAAAAAAGGTCTGTTGCTTTTACGATAAAATGCCTCGAAAACCTTTTTCCTTGAGGTATTTTTAAATTGGTATCCGTATTATATTATTTTATAATGCATTGTACTGTTGTGATAACATGTACTTCCAGGATGCTTTGGGGGGCAATGCCAAAACATTTATGATTGCATGTGTACATCCTGGCTTCAAGTAAGTTATACTAACCTGTATTTACTATTTGAAACATATCAAAAACAATTTAATGCAGTATAGAAGTACAACATAAATATTGTTATATCACATCTATTATAACATTTTCCTCTTCTTTTTCTTCATGTTTTAAGATTTCAGAAAATGTGTATTATGTAATACTTTGTAGAGAAGGGTGACTCGACCCGACTCGAGAGGCCAAACCCGAGACCCGACCCGACCTTATCCGCACTTGACCCAACTCTTATATTTTGCTTATGTTTTTCAGGTGTATAGGGGAGACTTTATCAACTCTCCAATTTGCCAGAAGGGCAAAGATGATCAAAAACAAGGTGAGGAAATCAAACACTTCCTTTTCATTTAGTAATCTGTTAGTCTATTTACTTGTCTGTCCAATGGCAATGACATGGCTGAGGATAAGAACAGCTCAGATACTAATGAACCAAATTTGCTTGTTGGGATTAATTACTCTGTGTAGTTGCTATTTTCTAGATACTACATGCTTTTCCACACTAGAGACAACTTTCCTATAATGTGATTCCCATTGTAATTTAGTTAAATGTTTTCCTCAAATTGATTCAATACTTTGGGATGTTCTTGGTGTTTTTACGAATAAACATTCATGTTCTGGTACATAAAATATAGATAGGATGATGGACTTTGTGTTTTACTCCAAAAATCGTTCATATTCTGGTAAATAAGATATTGATAGGATGGTTGACTTTGTATATTTGAAAAAATTTCTCACACATGTTTTAACTACTACACTACACTACACTATGTAGTGCAATTTATTGCTTCAAATGATGTTGTTTCTCTGTTTCAGGCTGTTGTAAACGAGGACACAAGGGGGAATATACTGGCCCTACAGGCTGAAATTAAATACCTGAAGATGTGTTTGGCATCAAGTGGCATTGAAAATATGTCACAACCATCAGGTATGTACAGAGTGAGCCATTGAACATATCTGATACTTAACTATTCAAATTTATTGTATTCAGTCGAATAAATTTAATTCATGTGTGAAGGCATTTCTATCTCCACCTAGAAATGGAGTCTGGTGGCAACACTTGGGCCTGTTAGAAATTGTTTCTAAATATAACTTGGTCAATTTCTCCATGTAATTTAATGGAGGGGTTTCCTCAAAAAGTGAAATGCAAGTGTAAAGTGAAGTGTAACGCTTGTTTAACCTTCAGGTGATACCACAGAGCCCAATGAACCAGCCACAGAAAGTACTGACCCTGGGGTGGAACAGTGGAAGAAGAACTTCATTGATGCCATGCTGTATGTTGAACAGATGCAGAGAAAGAAACAGGTAATAGATATGTTGTGGGTCACCTATTAACATTAAAATATGATTATATTAATTATATTGAGTTCATTAAATTTTTCATAGCAGCCTAAATAAATTAAAACAACAGGCAGAATTCATAAATTTACATAAAAAAGTTGAGAAGTTGAGAAAATCGCCTGTTGCATGCTGCTATTGAAACCCCTGTATAAAACATAAAATCAAGACTGGGAGTCTCCAGCAATATATAGCATCCCAGAGACAAGAGATGATGTTAGAGTGTATGGAATATGTTTCTAGTTACTTGAAGACAAAGTAAAAGATGCTGAGAAGCTATTAGAGGAGAAAAGCAAGGCAATACAGAGACAAGAGATGATGTTCAAGTACAAGAATAGCCGTATAGACCAATTGTTGAAACCAGGGAGAGACATAGATTACCAACAATTAAATGTAAGTAAAATACATGTGTGTATTTGTCAAGAAAACATTGCATTTACTTGCAGTGGATCTGAAATTATGATTATTTATAAGATTGACTTGTATAGGGGATAGAATGAAGTATATGATCCAGTAAACCTTATAGATGTACATAATTATTATATAATCTTAAAAGTACAAAGATTTTTTTATTGATTTTTTTATTTAATTTTTTTTAATTTATTTATTTTAAGCTTTTGCATTTAGAAATTGGCTCAAAAACCAAACGAATCAAAGTTTCATCTTAGGATGAATTTCACTAATTTTGAATTCTTTGTTGTCATGTCTCCAACTTTTTTATGGATGGTGTTCAGTGGTGGTCAGCATTCAGTGTCTGTGATAAATGGCAGGTGGTGACATTTTGCATGTTAATGCCTTGTTTTTCTTTGTTATAATTTTTAATTATGTCCTCATAGACTGACCTGCAACAGGAGATAGACCTGAGGCACAAAGGGTGTAGGCGTATAGACGAATACATACAACTGGATACCAGGAGAAAGCTCTTAGAGAGAGAAAGAACAGATTTACTCAACCAAGAGTCATACAGACTTGGGAGGGCGACAGATCAGAAGCGTGTCCAAGAACTACTAAATGAACTACAGAAGCTTCAACGTAGTGAGGAGCTCAGAGGTAAGTTCAAGGAATACTTTTTTTGTGAATGTCAAGAGGTTACATACAAACATTTGAATAAGCAGAGCTTGCATGATTTCTGACACTTATTGTTGAATTTTCATATCATAGAAGGTGTATAAATACAATGAACAAATAAAATCCATGCACGGTAAGTTAAATTGAATTTCAACCAAACTGATATTATTAATCAGAATGATTCCTTTACTGTTTGTGATATGGCTTTTGTCTTTTGCTTCTGAAGGGTACATATTATATGTTCATATTTTCTAGATGGTGGGATGGGGAAGTCAACACCAAGTACAAGTGAGAGAGAGGCTACTGTTGCCATAGGAACTGAGCGATTGAAATCTCAAATACAAGACATGCAAGCTGAGATGGAATCAGTGAGTAATTTTGAATATTTTGTTTGCTTCTTTATATTAATAGTGCATGTAACTGCAATAACAATATACTTAATAGCACTTGTTATGTCACCATGGATGGTGTTTTTGTTTTGGCAGTTGGAGTTTGGCATCTGGTGTTTGGTGTTGTCATCTGTAACAAATGGCAGGCGATGACATTTCGTATGTTAATGTCTTGTATAATGCTGCTGTGCTTTGTTTCTGGCTTTATTGATACATCAGATCAGAAATGATGGAAATGTGGTCTTTACTCTATCTAGGTTAGACAAGAAAAAGAAGAAATGAAAGAAGGTTTTCGTAAAAAAGAAATTGAGCTACAAGCTGACATCGAGGCAAAGGATTCCTATATACAAGAACTGGAGACTAAATATAAGGCAACCAAAGCAAAGAATGCAGCATCACACCAACTTCATAATGACTTGATCAAGGTTGGTCTGAACTTTTACAATTTAAGATGTTCTATGATAAAAACATCAATACCTTAAATACTTTGAAAATATGGCACAAATGATTGTTCTACATATCTTTACTAGAGGAATAAATATTATAATTCACTATTTTTGACAATCCACAAAATAATAGTGTAATGTGATTATGTTTTGAAAGGTTACAAGCTAAAGTATTGGATTTTATTAGTATCACTGGTATTTCTGGCACTATACTTTGAGAATTTTTCATTGAATTTTTGATAATGTTCTTTAGAGATTAACTCCAACGAAGTCTTCATTGAAGTACAACTTGCGTAATCGCCCTGTATTAGGCCCCAGGGATAGCCTGACCCCAGGTGGCTACTCTGATGATGAAGAGGGTATCTCTGATATGTTGGCACCTCAACAGATGATTGATGAGGAGAAAGAGACTCTCAGGGAAGAGCTTCATAAAGTCAAGGTAGGTTCAGTTTTGATTAAAATGTCTAATTAAATGTATCAACAGATGATTGATGAAGAGAAAGAGACTCTCAAGGAAGAGCTTCATAAAGTCAAGGTAGGTTCAGTTTTGAGTAAAATGTCTAATTAAATATCTCAACAGATGATTGATGAAGAGAAAGAGACTCTCAGAGAAGAGCTTCATAAAGTCAAGGTAGGTTCAGTTTTGAGTAAAATGTCTAATTAAATGTCTCAACAGATGATTGATGAGGAGAAAGAGACTCTCAGAGAAGAGCTACATAAAGTCAAGGTAGGTTCAGTTTTGAGTAAAATGTCTAATTAAATGTCTCAACAGATGATTGATGAGGAGAAAGAGACTCTCAGAGAAGAGCTACATAAAGTCAAGGTAGGTTCAGATTTGAGTAAAATGTCTAATTAAATGTCTCAACAGATGATTGATGAGGAGAAAGAGACTCTCAGAGAAGAGCTACATAAAGTCAAGGTAGGTTCAGTTTTGAGTAAAATGTCTAATTAAATGTCTCAACAGATGATTGATGAGGAGAAAGAGACTCTCAGAGAAGAGCTACATAAAGTCAAGGTAGGTTCAGTTATGATTAAAATGTCTAATTAAATGTCTCAACAGATGATTGATGAGGAGAAAGGGACTCTCAGAGAAGAGCTACATAAAGTCAAGGTAGGTTCAGTTTTGATTAAAATGTCTAATTAAATGTCTCAACAGATGATTGATGAGGAGAAAGAGACTCTCATAGAAGAGCTACATAAAGTCAAGGTAGGTTCAGTTATGATTAAAATGTCTAATAATTAAATATCTCAACAGATGATTGATGAGGAGAAAGAGACTCTCAGAGAAGAGCTACATAAAGTCAAGGTAGGTTCAGTTTTGAGTAAAATGTCTAATTAAATGTCTCAACAGATGATTGATGAAGAGAAAGAGACTCTCAGAGAAGAGCTACATAAAGTCAAGGTAGGTTCAGTTTTGATTAAAATGTCTAATTAAATATCTCAACAGATGATTGATGAGGAGAAAGAGACTCTCAGAGAAGAGCTACATAAAGTCAAGGTAGGTTCAGTTTTGAGTAAAATGTCTAATTAAATGTCTCAACAGATGATTGATGAAGAGAAAGAGACTCTCAGAGAAGAGCTACACGAGGTTCAGTTTTGAGTAAAATGTCTAATTAAATATCTCAACAGATGATTGATGAAGAGAAAGAGACTCTCAGAGAAGAGCTACATGAGGTTCAGTTTTGAGTAAAATGTCTAATTAAATATCTCAACAGATGATTGATGAGGAGAAAGAGACTCTCAGAGAAGAGCTTCATAAAGTCAAGGTAGGTTCAGTTTTGATTAAAATGTCTAATTAAATGTCTCAACAGATGATTGATGAGGAGAAAGAGACTCTCAGAGAAGAGCTACATAAAGTCAAGGTAGGTTCAGTTTTGAGTAAAATGTCTAATTAAATGTCTCAACAGATGATTGATGAGGAGAAAGAGACTCTCAGAGAAGAGCTACATAAAGTCAAGGTAGTTTCAGTTTTGATTTAAAGGTCCATCTGCCGAATTGTTATGTTAGCATCAAACAGTGTTGCCATAATTATAGTTGCCACATTTGTGACTGGAGTTTTGATTCAGAGACACCAGCATGAATTATGTTTGTATATTTTTGTTTATTCTGTTTAGAACTTAACTAAACTGTCGTTCATTGATAGTCATTTGAAATAGCCTTGTGATTTCAGCTTTTCAGAAAATCACAAAGAAAGTGAAAATATGGGCTTTTGTTGTATTAGTTTAAAAGGTACACTGATACAACATTTGTGCAACTCTTAAGTTTTGAACACTTTCTCTTGATATTAGGATGCTAACCTTGAACTTGAGAAGAAGGTAGAGGCAGCAGAGAATATGGGTTATAATCCTATGCTAAAGGCTGAAAGTGAAAATATGGTCCTTTGTTGTATTAATTTAAAAACTACACTGATCCAACATTTGTACAACTCTGATTTTCTCTTGATATTAGGATGCTAATCTTGAAGTTGAGAAGAAGTTGGAAGCAGCAGAGGCAGATCTCATAATGACAAGACAAACCAGGTCTAAGCTGGAGCATCAAAATGAGAAACTGGAAGATGTAAGTAAATTTTCTGTGTGTAAGCATGATTGTGATCACGATATAAGATTACATCTTATCTATCAGTCAGTGTCACTTGGTAATATACCTAAGTTTTGTCAGTCATATACTGTAGTTTTCATTTTTCTAGTTTTGCTCTATTCCAACTTTCTTACTATTACATTATTCTAACTACTATAATATTGGATGAGTATGTTATATTTTCAGTTGTTGAACAAAGAGAGATGTGAATGGAAGGAACAAGCGAATCAGCTGAATACCAAGATACAATCGCTACAGAAAGACATCAATGATATCACTTCTCAACTTTCAAGTAAGTGCATCCGCCCATTTGTCTGTCCATCTGTCTGTCAACACATTCATGAGCTTAATTCAAAATGGCTACTCAATTCAAAATGGCCACTGTGAAAATGAAATTCTTGGCCAAAACTTGAATGCCTCACTTACCAACTTTAGTCATATTAGAAGAGTTATGTCATCCTGGTTTCTGGGCTATTTTAACGAGCTATGTATGTTAACTTTAAAATATAGGTTACTTACTGTGAATAAACTCTTAATTCCAGTGAAAGAAAGTGAAGTGATTGATCTATCTTGTATGATGGACAATGCTGAGAGAGAAAAGAAATCAATGAAGCAAGACCAGGACCGTCAGGCCCACCTATTGGCAGACCACCAAACTAGAGTTCTCGTTCTAGAAGCAGAGAGTGCCAAAGTGTTGAAGCAATTTGAAGAAACACAAAAGGATTACTTCACAACCAGAGTATGTTAAAATTATTTTCCCTATATGCTACAACTAGCTTTGCATGTATTGTTACCTAGGAATCATGGAATGGGTGTTTATATTTTAATGAGTGTCCCGAGGCATAATACAAATAATTACATGTTTCCCTAGCTAGAAAGTCACTAGAATGAGAGAGGTATAGACACCATTAGTTATTCTTAAGTGCTTTCTTCCAATTCTTGATGCATGTGTGGAACAATTATAACATTTTATGGGTTTTTATTCAATTTTTTCATTTTTGTAGGATCGATCAGAATCACTCCAAGTAGAAGTATATGCGCTGGAAAGTAACATAGAAGAAGCAAGAACTAAACTAGAAGAGGTGACACAGCTCAATATGCAACTGGAGGCAGAGTTAAAGGTTAGCGTTTTAATTATAATGACATCCATGTCCCCAGTGTAGGCCCTAAGGATCTATAACCTGCTGGTCAAAATGGAAGTACGGAACAGTTTCAATGTTATTTTCCTATACCTAGGGAAAAGGTGCGTATCAAAAGTAACCGTGTAATGACCAGCAGACCGGCCCTTAAGGCCTACACTGCATGTCACTGGAATAATATCTCTATTAAGTCAACCCACTTTAATATGATCAGTACTCAATAAAGACATTGATTTTATGATTTATGACAAATATATGACCTCAAATTTTATTCTGGCCATTACCAAAGACCACAATTGCTATGTGATTTCTGTCTTTTAACAAATTTTCGGTCAAATATTGTGCCATAAATCATAAAATCGTCCTCTTTATTCCTTAAAGGCTTTTAAATGAATTTGGAAATTGACCTCAATGTTTCCATGTTTGATCTTCTGATTTTATATTTCAGGATACCCACAACAGACTAAAGCAACAGGAGCAGTCCAATATAAACCTGCTACAAGACAAAGTAAGAAACATACTTTACTATTGGAGATAACATATACAATGCTAGAAATCTTTCCCCTCCAAATGAGTAACACTCAGAAGTCTGAATGTTTTAGTATGTGCAATAGAATCAAAATTGGGGAATGGTGGTCACATTTCACAATTTTCACATTTTTAGAAAAAAACAAAGTTATATTTTCAATATTGTCAAATCAGTTTGAATATGGAGCTTATTATCACTTCACATTTCATTCAAAACTAAATTGGACAAATATGCTTTTAATCATGCAAGATACAAATAGTTCATAAATATTCTGATAATTTTAGGACCAGGCCACACAAGAACTGGTGCAGGAGAAAGGTTCGCTGGAGGGAGAATTAACAAAGGTGACCAAAGAGAAAGACACTCTCCAAGCAGAGCTGGATGAAGAGAGAAACAAGCTGGTAGAGGTCCAGGAGAAGCTTGCTGAATCTACAAGACTGAATGAAGTCAACAAGGTAATATATCTGTTTTGTTATGAAACATTAGAACTTAGTTTAATATTATCTGCATTGAGGGTGAGATTATTGATCTATGATCTTATTTATAGATATATCACTTTCCATTTATTGGGATTCAATATTTTCGTTCCATTCATTTGGTTTGCCTGACTTGCTCGACTCACATAGAAAAATCTTTGTATGTTGGCATACCTCTTCAGATAACAGATGCATTTCAGAGTTGTATATATGTTCTGAGAAAACACTGATACTCTGAGCTACCTGGGCTGGGTGAGCTTATGTTGAATAGTTCATTTGAATGTGATAAAAGTAACACTAGAATATTTTTTATGCTTAGACGGAGGTGAAAAAGTTTATGCAGCAGTATTCATCTGAACATGAAGAGAAAGAGACTCTGCAGACAGAGGTGGACCGGAAATCAAGCTGTATCACTGACCTACTACAAGAGGTATTTATTACTGCATATAATACATACTGGGGCAGGGATGTACATGGAGATTATAGTTGTGGGGGTAGTATGGTTAAAGGCTTATGTTATTCATCTATGGAAATTTTCCATAATTGAAATAATTAACAAATTCAATTTCAAAATATTACTATGAATGAATGTGTGTTATAAACATGGCTATTTCTGCTCTTTTTTAACATCCCTGACTTTAATACTTGTATGAAAATTCTACTCACAGTCTGCCCATGCTTATATATTGTATATCTCTTTTAACTTAAATGAAGTGTCATTTTGTAGTTCTGTAGAGAGCATGTTTGTGTGTACCTTATGAAAATCATTCCACTTTATGTCTCTTTAAAAGCTATTTGTTATGTTCCAGGTGACAATCTTGAAGCGAGATTTAGACCAAATCACTGATGAGAAGGCACATGTTACAAGTCAGTTTCAGCATCTTGACAATGAAAAATCGCAGATGGCAAATAAATATGAAGTTGAGGTAGGCGTTCAAGTAATAGTGATTAGTACTGTTATTTTATTTTAGTAGGTAGACTAAAGCCTGGTGTGTCTGAACTCTGAAGTCAAGCCTGCTTGTTTTTAATAGAAAATGTTGCTTTTAATTTAACTAATTTAAAGATTCTCATATTACTTTGAGTTCCTAGTAAAGTATAACTTGAAAGTTGAGTTAATGTTGTAAAAGTGTAGGTTTTAGATTTAAACACATCCATCCATTCATTCATTAATCTTTTTATTTCGTTCATTTTAGTTATCCCTGATGCGTGATGAGTTTGACTATAACATAGAGTCTGCCAATGATGCTTTAGAGGCAGAGCAAGCATCCTGCAAATCACTTGAGGCTGAGCTTCAGTTGATTACATGTAGTTAATTCATTTGTTTATTTCAGTTATCCCTGATGCGTGATGAGTTTGACTATAACATAGAGTCTGCCAATGATGCTTTAGAGGCAGAGCAAGCATCCTGCAAGTCACTTGAGGCTGAGCTTCAGTTGATTACATGTAGTTAATTCATTTGTTTATTTCAGTTATCCCTGATGCGTGATGAGTTTGACTATAACATAGAGTCTGCCAATGATGCTTTAGAGGCAGAGCAAGCATCCTGCAAGTCACTTGAGGCTGAGCTTCAGTTGATTACATGTAGTTAATTCATTTGTTTATTTCAGTTATCCCTGATGCGTGATGAGTTTGACTATAACATAGAGTCTGCCAATGATGCTTTAGAGGCAGAGCAAGCATCCTGCAAGTCACTTGAGGCTGAGCTTCAGTTGATTACATGTAGTTAATTCATTTGTTCATTTTAGTTATCCCTGATGCGTGATGAGTTTGACTATAACATAGAGTCTGCCAATGATGCTTTAGAGGCAGAGCAAGCATCCTGCAAGTCACTTGAGGCTGAGCTTCAGTTGATTACATGTAGTTAATTCATTTGTTCATTTCAGTTATCCCTGATGCGTGATGAGTTTGACTATAACATAGAGTCTGCCAATGATGCTTTAGAGGCAGAACAAGCATCCTGCAAGTCACTTGAGGCTGAGCTTCAGTTGATTACATGTAGTTAATTCATTTGTTCATTTCAGTTATCCCTGATGCGTGATGAGTTTGACTATAACATAGAGTCTGCCAATGATGCTTTAGAGGCAGAGCAAGCATCCTGCAAGTCACTTGAGGCTGAGCTTCAGTTGATTACATGTAGTTAATTCATTTGTTTATTTCAGTTATCCCTGATGCGTGATGAGTTTGACTATAATATAGAGTCTGCCAATGATGCTTTAGAGGCAGAGCAAGCATCCTGCAAGTCACTTGAGGCTGAGCTTCAGTTGATTACATGTAGTTAATTCATTTGTTTATTTCAGTTATCCCTGATGCGTGATGAGTTTGACTATAATATAGAGTCTGCCAATGATGCTTTAGAGGCAGAGCAAGCATCCTGCAAGTCACTTGAGGCAGAGCTTCAGTTGATTACATGTAGTTAATTCATTTGTTTATTTCAGTTATCCCTGATGCGTGATGAGTTTGACTATAACATAGAGTCTGCCAATGATGCTTTAGAGGCAGAGCAAGCATCCTGCAAATCACTTGAGGCAGAGCTTCAGTTGATTACATGTAGTTAATTCATTTGTTTATTTCTGTTATCCCTGATGCGTGATGAGTTTGACTATAACATAGAGTCTGCCAATGATGCTTTAGAGGCAGAGCAAGCATCCTGCAAATCACTTGAGGCTGAGCTTCAGTTGATTACATGTAGTTAATTCATTTGTTTATTTCAGTTATCCCTGATGCGTGATGAGTTTGACTATAACATAGAGTCTGCCAATGATGCTTTAGAGGCAGAGCAAGCATCCTGCAAGTCACTTGAGGCAGAGCTTCAGTTGATTACATGTAGTTAATTCATTTGTTTATTTCAGTTATCCCTGATGCGTGATGAGTTGGACTATAACATAGAGTCTGCCAATGATGCTTTAGAGGCAGAGCAAGCATCCTGCAAGTCACTTGAGGCAGAGCTTCAGTTGATTACATGTAGTTAATTCATTTGTTTATTTCAGTTATCCCTGATGCGTGATGAGTTTGACTATAACATAGAGTCTGCCAATGATGCTTTAGAGGCAGAGCAAGCATCCTGCAAATCACTTGAGGCAGAGCTTCAGTTGATTACATGTAGTTAATTCATTTGTTTATTTCAGTTATCCCTGATGCGTGATGAGTTTGACTATAACATAGAGTCTGCCAATGATGCTTTAGAGGCAGAGCAAGCATCCTGCAAGTCACTTGAGGCAGAGCTTCAGTTGAGGAATAAGGAACTAGAGGGAATAAACAAGGAGGTAATATTTCAATAAAAAGCATGGATGTAAGAGTGGATGTAAATGTAAACTTCTTTACAGTAAGTTAGTTAAAAAGTCACACAATTAAAATACATAAAAGAAAATACAATTCAACAAATATGTCCAGCCGCTGCCGACTTATGAGTCACAATAAAATGTGTCTTCTACGCCACATTTTAAAAATACATACAAGCTGTTGGAAGAAGCAATACTCCATAGTCATCAATCTATTATCTGTTAATTATATATAAAAAAGATGTAATCACGATAAAAAGACTATCTTGTGTATTATAGAAGAAGCAACACCACAGAGTTATCTAGCCATTATCAAGTATAAAATAAATATATGGTTGCAATACAAAAGCCTGGTTAGTGTATTATTATGTCACAGCCACAAGTGGTGACATCTTGTTCATCTCCAACTTTTTTTTGTGGAGGGTGTTGTGTGGTTGGTGTTTAACATTCAGCGGTTGATGTTCAGCATTTGGCAGTTGATGTTCGGCATTTGGTGTCTGTAACAAATAACAAGTGGTGACATTTTGAGTGTTAATGCTCGTTATGCTTGTTATGTTTGTAGTTCTCCAAGAGGTCTGAGCAGTACTACAAGTTACAGGAAGAGTTTGCTAAGTTGGAAGCTGAGAGGACATCAGAGGATGTTGTTAGAGGGTTACAAGACAGGAATGATGAGCTGAGAACAGAGGCTGAAAGGTGAGTATAATGAACAGTTTTGGAAAATTGGGCTACCTCAATAGGCATATCTTCCAACATTAAATGAAAATAAAATGGGAGATTTTTTCAAAATATGATATTTTTACGGACGATTTAAAAACGATAGTTTTTCCAGCAACATTTTTAAAAAGTATTTTATCTTTTGAAAACCCAAGCCTATAGATTTTTTACAGTAGTTGTTTCAAAAAAAAATACATTCGTTTTTCCTTTCTTCGCTGGAAATGAAAATTTTTGGGTCCATTCATTCACAGAAATGGTTTGTTGGCAGGTCTGAAAGGTATCTTGCATTTTTATGATTTTAGTGTCACATAGTGGTCAAATGAACAATAAGTTTACTCTTGTTTGCATTACAGGCTGAGGCCACTGTTGAAGGAGATCGAGGATATGGAGGAACTATTAACGAAGAGAGGAGTAAGTTTGCGTCATATCCTATTATTTAGAGCTCTGAAAATACTGGAAGCAATCAGTTTTAATAGATAATATCTTACACGTCTTCAGTATATAAGGCTGACATCCATTTTATTGTGTAGTGTCCTTGCTGGTAATTTTCATTATTGGTTCCACTCCTACTTTTGCTTTATATAATATTTTGGAAAAATCTGAATTTTCACAAATTGATCCTACGGAATGGTGCCATTTTTAGCTGAAATTAATGTTGATGTATTTTTTCAGGAGGAAAATGCCAAACTGAGAGAAGAAATGAAACAGATGGAGAAACAGGCCGAGTCAAACCACAGTGTTGTAGTTTCAAGGTATGTTAGCCCTAATCTCTGCCACCCCTTGTTCCCAAATAGGTCTTCTAAACCTAACTCCCCTGTGATCACAAGTGGAACAACCCTGGTTAAATCAGTATTAGACTCTGGAATGCTCCAAAATCAACAATCAAGGGGTGGACAGCATGTACATGTGACACCTGTGAGTCGCAAACAGACAGATTTGAATCATAATACAAAACGAATGAACTCAACCTTAGAATTTGATCAAAATATAAAACGCGAAACGAAAGATATGAACTCAACCTTAGAGTTTCAAAGTCCTTCTGATATTGTGAATGGTTGGAAAAAACTGTGTGCGAAAAGTGAACCTTCATGAATGTACTCGGTCAGGGTGCATCATAATAACACATACACAGGTTAAAATGGAAGTATGTAGGCATACCAGTTGTCCTGTTATTTCCCTGTTAATTCCCTGGGGCCAGCCATTAACAGAAATTTTGTAAAGTTAAGAATTCATAAAATCCATTGTTCTTTAACTGTGATGTCATTATATCCATGGTTACAACAACAGGATTACTAATTCGTAACTTTACAAAGTTTTTTTAAAGACCCCTTGGTACTCTAAAAACAGATATGTTGCATTCCAAATGACTGTAATTTCCTTTGATTTACTGTACAAAGAAGTGATCTCCCCAGCATCAGAGTAACTGGGTAATGCATCTTGCTGAATATAAGAACACAGTACATGCCACCATTTTGAAAATTTACAAATACCCAAAAAGGGTGAAATATTGAAATATTTTGATCAAAACATGTAAAATTAGAATTTGGCATCTTTTGAGACTGATACCAAGGAGATCACTGCATGGATATATTTCTGGACAAGGTAGAGCCTTTTAACAGTAATAAGAAATCCTTGCTTTATTTAGAATAGTATATTGTAGTGTAGTGTAGTATATTGTAGTGTAGTTTAGTATAATATGTAGTGTAGCTGCTTTGATTGTACAACATACTGATAAAAACCATTGTAGGATAGTTAACTACATGTTAATAGTTAGGGGATATAAATGCCCCAAAATTTGATAAACTCCAGAGTGTCTGAGATTTAATTGTTAACATATATAGTTAATTATCCTACATTGATCACTTGCGTAGGTCCATAATTGCTTGCACTGTGTGGTTCCTTTGCTTAAAATGATTTTATATTTTTGTTTATTTTGGAATTTTGTTTATTTAGTAGAATGTAGTGTAGTGTTGCACTGATTTGCTTTCCCATGGTCTTTATGCCCATGGTTTTCTGTATGTATTTCTACATACACCTTTTTACTTTAATTTATTTACTTTAATTTAAGACTAGTGATGCTTGCTTCTTTAATAGGGCTGATACAGAAAATGTTTAAAAATTCAAATAATGTAAGCCTAGCTTTTTGCTTCTTTTTAATTTCAAATTTTCACTTTTGAAAAAGAAGTGATATATAAATGTAATATACATGGCATGCAATAACAGATTTTGCCAAATATTGAATAATAGAAAATAGGTTACAGTATTTGGAAAAAGCAGAGGAGCTTCATTATCAATTGGCTTTCAGTAAAATAAAATGAGTGCGCATTAGCTGCCTTTGCATCTACAGGATGGGCCAAAAAATGTTTCCCTTATTATTTCAGTATACAATCAGAATGAGTTACTTTTTTGGCCCACTCTGTAGTTTATTTATTGTATTTTTTGAATGTATTTACAGATGTACTTATAATATACAATTGTCAGTATTTATGTTATAGTAAATGAATAATATGATGTATTATAGAACAACCAATATATTTTTTATTGTTGTGTTATTTCATTCGGCTGACAGTATTAGGGTATCTCATGAAGTTGTTTGTTTCAAAATTACAACAAAAGGCAAAAATATCTTAATACACTGAATATTATAAGTGCATCATGCTTTCTTTTATTTGCTTTATTTCACCTCTTGCTTTCCCATATAGTTAGTGTCTGATGATATATAAACTTTCTTTCTTTGGTTTGTTTTGAGCTTTTGCAGCTTGTGCCGGTGCCTGTTATTTTAAAGGGGCAATGAAAGATAGAAGCAAGTCAGGGGAGATTTTCTGTAAAAATATCACAATTTACAATGTGTTTTTCCTCACCATGATATCATCTGATGCAAAAGTTTATTTCATGTTTTTTTTCAGTTCTGATTTTTATTAAAGTTATTTGAAATTCATTCATGAAAGGGGTGCCTTCTTTTTCAATGTATCTTTAATGTAAGGAAAGCTTCCATCATTTTACATTCTATCATTTGCTTCCACCTTAATGATTCCACTATTGATCCCTGGGTAATGACCTCCCTTGATCTATCTTATTCCATGATGCACTTTATCATATGCAGGGGTTTCCCTAGAATTTCTCACAACAGTCTATATAAATGAAAACAACAGGCAAAATTATTGGAATTCATAAATTGACATGGAAAAGTCCCTAAAAACAACAGGCGATTGATAACTTAGATAAACTATTTGTTAGTTTTTTCCCATATATCTATCTATATTATAGAATTGATAGAGAAAGGAAGAATATCCAGATTCATGATTGATATGATTTTTGTATTAAACATGATAGATAAAAATCACAACCAAATCTTTCAGTATTATGAGAGAATGAGTACTTTCATTCATACATTCCAAGTTATTTTGCATCATGTACGTTTTTATGTCACCACCACAAGTGGTGACATATTGTTAAAGCCTCCACATTTTTTGTGGACATAGGTTGGTGTTTGGCAGTTGGTGGTTGGTGTTTGGCAGTCAATGGTTGGTGTCTGTAACAAATTATGCTGTCTGTAACAAAAGGCAGGTGGTGACATTTTGCATGTAAATGCCTTGTTATGGCATTGTATTAAACCCTACCTGTGAAATAAAGTACCTGCAAGACTTTATGAACAGTTACAGAAAAATACAAATGTAAATGAATGTGTTTTACTGCAGGTTTGACCAGCTGACTGCAGAAAATCAACTGCTGCAAAAGGTAGGAATATTTCTCATTTGCTCATGATGGTCCTTTGTCAGCATGTGGAAGACTAGAAAATTAATCGAATAGTCTAAATTTCAAATAAAACATTTATTATTTCAAATGTATGCATTTCACTTTTTTATTTAGAAAAATATTTTAAAAAATATTTCTTGGTAGAGCACAGAGCAGCCCAATTGCTCCTATGTTTCACCAAGAAATGCAAACATATCTGTCCAATATATCATAATTCAATTTGACCCACATTTTCCAAGTTTGACCCACTTTTTGGATTAAACTGGGTCATGTGACCCACAAAATGTTGAGGCTACCGCCAGTACTGATATAAATGTATTAATGTTAACTTACCTGTTCCAGGACCTGACTGCCAGCCAGAAGAAGATAGCAGAACTACATGAGCAGAATGCCCACCTAATAGGACATCAGAACCACAAACAGAAGATCCAATACCATGCTAAGATTAAAGAGGAGAATGACAAACTCAGAGAGGTGGGTGCCTATGGCTTTTAAATCAAGGCTTTTAGCAATGAGAGTTTGACAGTACCCTTAAATTCCAGAGAAACCCAAATGAATTTCATACCCAATCAAATGAATTGTCATGAAAATTTAGTCAAAGAAAGAATATGATTTCATATTTTTTTTATACAATGCTACTTTAAAATCCTTTTGGGATAATATACTATATTTTTAAAAAATGCAATGATTTAAAAGATTTTTTAGGTCTAAATTTGACCCTATTTGCAACATGTTTGTGCAGAATACTGTGATTTGGCTGATATCATTTTATGTAATTTCAGCTGTATGTCACATTTAAAACAAATATATGTAACATTTAATACAAGTTAGTATACCTCATATTTGATACAAATGCAGGTCATATAAAATGCAAGTGTATGTCACATATAATATTTTTGGTGATTTCAGGAGTTAGTACAGGTGAAACAAGATCGCAATCGATTACAATTTGAGATCAACAAATCCAAAGACAACAAAACTATAGACACTGGGACCCCTAATAGAGAAAAGAAGCGAATTGGCTCAAGTACACACACACCACATAGAGATTCAAAACTTTCTCTTAAACCACAAGGGACTCCACTAAAGGAGAATATGATCCCTAAGGCTAAAGGACTGACCCCTAGGGTGGCAACTAAGGGGGTTAATGTAGGGGAGGAGGGTTCTGGGAGTACATGACGACTAAGCAGCACAGAAGGAATATGCCTTATAAATACATCTATACCTTACACCCCTAATCGTGATTACAAACACCACACACACTTACAGATACCTAACACCCCTCAGATGAAAGTCAGCTCTAACCTGATCAAAGATGACAGATGTCAGTCAACACCTCAAGGGGCTCAGCCCCGCCCCCATCATCATGCTAATCCACCATTCACACCTTGGCAACACATAACACACCTACTGCATACGCCGAGTAAACCCGTCCTTGAAACCAGCAACATTGTCAATCAATCCACTTTGAAACCGCCCAAAACCCCAAGTGCTAAGTCTATTCCACAGGCCAAGGATGAAGTAACTCTTCATCCACCCAAGACCCCAAGCTCCAAGTCTATGTTACAGGCCAGTAAGGACATGTTAGAAGGAGACCCATATCTTTCTGCACTGTATCTTGGAGCTATGGTTGGGTGGAAGCTCTCAACTCCACAAAAACACAACAAAGATGGCACTGCGATATGATCATATTCCAACACCCCTTTACTTTAAAAATGAACTCAACCATACTGACTAGAGGGAACAGTACAACTTTAAGAATTTTTTATGCTGAGTCTTTGAATGAAAATGTTTTTTGCTACTCTTTCCAGATCAAATGGAAATGAAAATGTTTTAGTTGTTAGATTGTATTATATTATTATATTGGGAGTTATTTTTGTAAAATGATGTCATAACTTCTGTGCGGAAGTTTATGTTGAAATATTACTGATCCCATGAATTTGTATGTTCAGATAAGAATTCAATTTACAAAGTGTTTGTGGAACGCAGTAAAGTATGTTTTATAACATATTAAAATACTGTTTCATTTTGAATAACAAATAATAAAATGAAAAAATAAGCAAATGAAAACAGAATAAGCAAAGGAAGAAAGTGTAACATTAAAATGCCCTCCAAGAAAAAAGGCAAATTCAAATATGAAATTGTGGTTGAAACTTGAGCTTATCTTTCATCATGATCGTGATTTGTAAGTATATTGATGAAAAATATTTGCAAATTTTAAAAGTTAAAAAATAAATCCTGCATTTATTGATAACTGTGGCACAGTATTGTACATATTTATATACATTTGAGCATTGTACATGTGATTTTTTTAGAATTGTATAAATGAAATCTGTAAATATTAACATTTTGATAATATAATTAATATAAATGAACTTAATCGTATGTGGGGCCATTTGGAATAAAAATGAATAGAAAAATATTTTAGTACCAAAACATTGTTTTTATTATTTCATTACTGAAAGCAGGATCAAATGAGGAATGAAGCATGGAACTAGGCATGGGAAGGGTCCATAGATCTTCAGTAATTACCCCTCCCCAAGCATGGGGACTGGGGACTAGCAAACATCTTTTCAGAATACTTTGTTTCTAAATCATCTCCATACTGCAGCTTTAATACAATATAGTATTCTTATTGTAAAAAACATTTGCAAGATAACAAGATTTTCTTTGTTTAACCTAGCCAATAAAAAAGATAAATGAATGCAATGACATAACATCAAGACACATTTCCCTATGATGTAAGAGCATTAGGCCAAAAGTGTAAACAATAGGGGCATAAAGTTGACGCAATTACTCTGACCACCCACAAGGCATGGAGATGGAGTTAGCAAAATAATGATCTTGAAACAAATCTGTTTCCAAGTAAAACTCATACCACAGCTTGCTTTTGTATGAAATTTTCATAGTAAGATCTAAGAAACGATTGCAAGATGAAAAGATGATTTCTTAATAATTACTGACTAAATACTTTAATGACCCAGAATTCATAGTTGAACCTACATGCATCTTCATGATGTGAATGAACCTCTAGATCTGTTTTTACATGAAGATAGGATCATCTACAGGCCTATCACTAGAATTTCTCACAACACGCTGAGGCTAAATAAATGAAAACAACAGGTTCAAATGTGTATCATTGTTTCAGTGTTTGTACTTTTTGATGAAGTAAGCTAAAACTACATATAGATGGCATTACTTGTCAGTCTGATTAGTTATTAATAGATGTCAGGCCAAGGAACTACACCGACTGGTGCTGCCATCTTCTGTACAAAATAAATCCAAGATGGCAGATGATGAACTTGCAATGCATAGGCAGAAAAGGATGGCTGAGCTGCAGGCCCAGATGGGAGTGAGTAGGTTGATGCTATAAACATTGAACTTACATAATTTTTTATCATATGTAAAGAGATTTGGGGGTTGAAATGTTATACTTTCTTAGATATAAGGCTATAGTCTAAATGCTTTTTTTTATACATTTTTTTATGGTTGGTCATTCGCTTCGGTGATTGGTATCACTAATGTAGAAATCTCCTTACTTTTTGTACAATTGAGATGCATGTTAAATTGACAAAGTTTAGCTTGCAATTTCTCAAATTGCAACCCATTGATTTTTAAAGAATTTTAGAGAAATACAGCAAAACATCTCACCTTACTTACTGCGAAAGCATTGTGGATTTTGATATAATAGCTTTCCCACGGCGCACTTGGGCAGCTGAATTATAGTGACCCTTGAAACACAAATTAAGTCGATCAGCGTCGATCAGTGGCTTACTTTTGGTCTCTAACTGTGTCTTCCATCGGTATCATCAATCCGTGCAAGTATTGGAGCGCTGAAATACTTCTTTTTCGATCAAGACTTGTAAATCGTTCTTCGAGTGAATCAAGGAGGATTGGCTCCCAGAGTGCACCACCGATATTCTGTCCCATATATGGGTATGTCGTAATACAAAATTCGAATTCAAACAGCCGCCATTTTGTTCACTTCAACATTTAAATCGTGAATTTTGGTCTTATTTCCAAACGAAAAATTCCAAAACTCACAAGAAATGATCGAGATATTGGTTCGAATCTTTTGAACTGTTTATTTTGAATTTATAGTCGGTTTTAATTTCAGAAAATAATGACATTTCCACGTTTTCATTGTTGGAAAATATCGAGTTTCGATCCTGGGAGCCAATCCTCCTTGGAGTGAATGTTTTTTTCGACCCATTTCCAATATGGCGGTTTGCTAGGAGCGAGATACGCAACGAACGAAATGAATTTTGAGAATGAGTTAGGTTCGGACAACCTCCGGAAATTTGCGAAAATGTCTGAGCAGAAAACGCCATATTGGAATTTTGCAGAAAAAAGATTCACTCGACTAACAATTACAAGTCTTGATCGAAGAGGAAGTACTTCAGCGCTCCAATACTTGCACGGAAGGATGATAATGATGTATGACATAGTGCATAGTTAGAGAACAAAAGTAAGGCGCTGATCGACGCTGATCGATTCAATTCATGTTTCAGAGGTCACGATTATTCAGCTGTCCATTTCCCCGTTCGAGAGCCATAAATTGAAAACCTAACATGGCTCTCGAAGTGAGTAAATCTCACCTTCATGTCAAAAAATTGAGACCCTATCTGTTGCAAGACTTATGGCTGCCAAAACCGTTACCATGTTATTAAGTTTTTTTAAGTTAAGCAAGGATCCTGCCATGACTGTGGTAGTGTTATCGTGAAAGCCTGGTATAACCGTAGTGATGTTGAAGCACGATATGACCGAGACAATGGTTATTAAACTTATATTATATGACATTTAGAAGCATGAGAATACAGTAATGAAAAAAATCATAAATAAATCTAGACTCAAGTGCTTTGATACATAAAATTTAGATTCATTATCTCATAATTATCCCATCAAACGATTATCCCATCGAACGAAGTTCGGAGGGATATAGGGAACGCCTCCGTCCGTACGTACGTCCGTCCGTCTGTCCGTACGTACGTACGTCCGTCCGTCCGTCCATACGTCCGTCCGTCAATCCGTCCGGGCAATAACTCAAATACCGTTAGCCCGATTTTGTTCATATTTTGTACACATATACCCTATGGGGGTAGAAGTTCTGCTCGAAAGCCGATTTTCAAAATGGCCGCTCATTTCAAAATGGCGGCCATTTTAGTGCCGATTTTACAGTAATTTAGGTGCAATATGTAAAACTGTAATAGCAATATGTTTTAAATGTAAAAAAATTATAAAGGACATTAATAATGCTACAAATGTAGATATTAAAGAAGCGCATGGCAGCCATCTTGAAAAATGGCGGCCTTAACTCGTCATTTTACGATTTTTGCTGTAACTCAAAAAATAGTGGAGCGATTTTGTTCATATTTGGTATGTGAATACTATAAGCATTGCACATTGTCTAAAGACACTTTTGGTAGAAGGCGGCCATTTTGAAAAATGGCCGCCATTTTAACGTATTTTACTATAACTCGAAAAGTAGTGGAGCGATTTTGATTTTGTTCATATTTGATATGTGAATACTGTAAGCATGGCACATTGTCTAATAAAACTTTGGGGAGTAGTCGGCCATTTTGAAAAATGGCCACCATTTTTATGTGTGTTATTTTACAAGTACATGTGCGATTTTTCAAAAATTTTAGAGGTGGCTACTTAAAAGCATATTATTTCTTCTGATGACACCTTGGCAAGTGAGCAACCATTTTGAAAATGGTGGCCTTTCTGGTGTGTTGTTTTATGATATTTGCTATTCGTTTGTAAAAATGCCAGCTATCTCTGTTCGATGGGATTCGCTACGCTTTGGCGTTGCCGTTGTTCTGGTTCCGCAAACTAAAATTCTAATCTCATTCAAGAATGTGAACATTGTCATGGTCATATCAGGCTTTAACATTACCACGGTCATGACAGGTCATGCCCCCCGATCCACGCTTCACGCACAACTCATCCATATCTAAAATCCTTCTGACGCCTCTGCACTAACACGGTCATGACAGGATCCTTGCCAAACTTAAAAACACTTAATAACACAGTTATACTGTACACTAGGCATATGTCTATAGAGTATTCCATTGGCGTTGGAAGGGGGAGGTCGTTGGGGGCGACTGTCCCCCCTTTTCCCAGATTTTTTTAGATTTGAAACAGAGCTTAGAATTCAAAGCTCTAGAGTTAATTAAAGTCAAAGTGTAATAATGACAGAAATGATACTATGTCAGTATCTAGTGTACATCAAGCATAGAAGATCTCATTTTTCATATTATATTAATTCTGTGCCTTGTATAGTTTCTCAGGAACCCATACAATATGTATATACTTTGAGTGCAAAATGTATGTTTTAGTAAAAGTCAGTTTTTTAGTCAAAGTCAAGTTAAATTTTCTATAAACACAATTTTTTTCTTGTTTTTATTATTGGAAATGTTGTGCCCTAACATTCAAGTTCATGTAACATACGTTTTCGAAACAACTTTTATTGAAAGCTCTCTTATGTCTTGACTATATCTACAGGGTGGGCCAAAAAACCACCCCCTAGCCATTATTCCTGATAAATATTTATTTTTTAACATGTACACCAACAATGATATATCATTTTAAAGATAATTTAATTTGCAACAAAATGATATATAATAGCACCATTTTCAACAACCCCATATAGAAATATAACCAATTATGTGGCATGGGGGTCAAAAAACACCTTTTCAATTTTTATCAATTTTGCGAGCAATAGCCTTTTTCTACCAAATTTTACTATTCAGTTAAAAATTGCAACATTGTCATGAATCTTTCATAATTAGATATTATACATTGTTTTCATTCAGATTTTGAACCATGCATGCTCAATAAACATGTGTATGCTTATAAAACAAATTAATTTCTTCTTCAGTCTGTCTAAATATGGCTCAATAGACCCATCCCCTGACCCATCCTCTGATCAGATTATTCGCTTAAGACGCGAAAGCCATTGGTTGATGGCATAATTGATGGATGTATGCGGAAGTACCATTCAACTACTAGTTATTCTTTGTTTTAGTCCCTCTACATCCCTGATAGGCTGGGTATCTTTAAACACCAACTGTTCTAGATGCCCCCAGGTATGGTAATCAACATTATTGGGATCTGGACTGTCAGTAAGCCATTTGTCCGGGCTAGAGATGGTGACATCTCGAATCTCCAAAAACTCCAGGGTAGCATTGGACCGGTGACAGGTCATCTCAACCCCAAGTCATCTCAACCCAGTCCAACTCAACCCCAAGTCAACTCAACCCCAGTAAAACTCAACCCCAAGTCAACTCAACCCTGTTAAACTCAACCCCAGTAAAACTCAACCCTATTCATTTTGAAAATGGTGGCCTTTCTGGTGTGTTGTTTTATGATATTTGCTATTCGTTTGTAAAAATGCCAGCTATCTCTGTTCGATGGGATTCGCTACGCTTTGGCGTTGCCGTTGTTCTGGTTCCGCAAACTAAAATTCTAATCTCATTCAAGAATGTGAACATTGTCATGGTCATATCAGGCTTTAACATTACCACGGTCATGACAGGTCATGCCCCCCGATCCACGCTTCACGCACAACTCATCCATATCTAAAATCCTTCTGACGCCTCTGCACTAACACGGTCATGACAGGATCCTTGCCAAACTTAAAAACACTTAATAACACAGTTATACTGTACACTAGGCATATGTCTATAGAGTATTCCATTGGCGTTGGAAGGGGGAGGTCGTTGGGGGCGACTGTCCCCCCTTTTCCCAGATTTTTTTAGATTTGAAACAGAGCTTAGAATTCAAAGCTCTAGAGTTAATTAAAGTCAAAGTGTAATAATGACAGAAATGATACTATGTCAGTATCTAGTGTACATCAAGCATAGAAGATCTCATTTTTCATATTATATTAATTCTGTGCCTTGTATAGTTTCTCAGGAACCCATACAATATGTATATACTTTGAGTGCAAAATGTATGTTTTAGTAAAAGTCAGTTTTTTAGTCAAAGTCAAGTTAAATTTTCTATAAACACAATTTTTTTCTTGTTTTTATTATTGGAAATGTTGTGCCCTAACATTCAAGTTCATGTAACATACGTTTTCGAAACAACTTTTATTGAAAGCTCTCTTATGTCTTGACTATATCTACAGGGTGGGCCAAAAAACCACCCCCTAGCCATTATTCCTGATAAATATTTATTTTTTAACATGTACACCAACAATGATATATCATTTTAAAGATAATTTAATTTGCAACAAAATGATATATAATAGCACCATTTTCAACAACCCCATATAGAAATATAACCAATTATGTGGCATGGGGGTCAAAAAACACCTTTTCAATTTTTATCAATTTTGCGAGCAATAGCCTTTTTCTACCAAATTTTACTATTCAGTTAAAAATTGCAACATTGTCATGAATCTTTCATAATTAGATATTATACATTGTTTTCATTCAGATTTTGAACCATGCATGCTCAATAAACATGTGTATGCTTATAAAACAAATTAATTTCTTCTTCAGTCTGTCTAAATATGGCTCAATAGACCCATCCCCTGACCCATCCTCTGATCAGATTATTCGCTTAAGACGCGAAAGCCATTGGTTGATGGCATAATTGATGGATGTATGCGGAAGTACCATTCAACTACTAGTTATTCTTTGTTTTAGTCCCTCTACATCCCTGATAGGCTGGGTATCTTTAAACACCAACTGTTCTAGATGCCCCCAGGTATGGTAATCAACATTATTGGGATCTGGACTGTCAGTAAGCCATTTGTCCGGGCTAGAGATGGTGACATCTCGAATCTCCAAAAACTCCAGGGTAGCATTGGACCGGTGACAGGTCATCTCAACCCCAAGTCATCTCAACCCAGTCCAACTCAACCCCAAGTCAACTCAACCCCAGTAAAACTCAACCCCAAGTCAACTCAACCCTGTTAAACTCAACCCCAGTAAAACTCAACCCTATTCATTTGTGCAATGTCTAATTTAATTTCTTATGAAGAATAATTTTTGGCTCGCTTATGCCACAATCGGCACCCCCTGACTGAAAACCTATTTTTTGGGGCGATCGCATCCCTCCTGACTGAAAGCTGGCTATGCCCCTGGAAAGCAATGGTCATGTTCCAGTTTTCCAAATAATCAAGAGTGTCAACCTCATAGGGATTACAACAAAACAAACGTATTAGCAAGATTAATAAAATGACCCATATTTTAATCCTATTAGTACCATGTTGACATTTTGGAGATAAACTCATTATTAACTATCATCCAAAAAGGCAGTGGTCTAAGAATGAAAATCACAAACTGAATCATTCGAATTATTTTTATGAAATAAACTTTCTTATAAGTTTATCAATATATAGAAATATAGGGGTTGAGTTTTACTGGGGTTGAGTTTTACAGGGTTGAGTTGACTTGGGGTTGAGTTTTACTGGGGTTGACTTGACTTGGGGTTGAGTTGACTTGGGGTTGAGTTTTACTGGGTTGAGTTGACTTGGGGTTGAGATGACCAGGAAGCTAATGACATGAGGTGTTAACTCGCTGGTGTCCACTCGGTGTTTCCCAAAAAGGAAAGACCGTACAGGCCCTGTTTTCGTTGAACCAGGAGCAAAAATCTGAATGTTAATGGCATGAGGTGTTCACTCCTCAAAGATATAAAAAACATGTGAAAAAAAATTCATTTTCTGATAGGAAAGTGCTTCTTCACACAGGTCCAACCACACCGAGTGGACACCAGCGAGTTAACACCTCATGTCATTAACATTCAGATTTTTGCTCCTGGTTCAACGAAAACAGAGCCTGTACAGTCTTTCCTTTTTGGGAAACACCGAGTGGACACCACTACCCTTTCAGAAAAATGTCATCTCGATTTGAGTAGCCTTTTATCGCAAATGTCCCTATTCTTGCTTACTGATATAAGAGTCTATCCTGTTGATTACATGTATAGTACTTGGGGCATTTAGAACAGTTGGTCTATGAAGATCACTAGCCTATCAGGGATGTACACAAACTGAAAGAATGAGTAATTAGGAGTTCGATGGTACTTCCGCAGAGATCCATAAATTATACCAATGGCTTTTGCGTCTTTAGCGAATAATCCGATCAGAGGATGGGTCCAGGAGATGGGTCTATTGAGCCATACTGTATTTGGACAGACTTAAAAGGAAATTAATTTGTTTTATGAGCATACACATGTTTATTGAGCATGCATGGTTCAACAACTGAATGAAAACAATATATAATATCCAATTATGAAAAACTCATGACAATGTTGCAATTTTTAACTGAACAGTAAAATTTGGTAGAAATAGGCTATTGTTCGCAAAATCGATGAAAATTGAAAAGGTGTTTTTTGACCCCCATGTCACATAAATGGTTATATTTCGAGCCAGGGTTGTTGAAAATTGTTTTCTTATAATATCAATTTGTTGCAAATTAAATTATCTTTAAAATGATATATCATTGTTGGTGTACATGTTGAAAAATGAATATTTATCAGGAATATCGGCTAGGGGGGTGGTTTTTTTTTGGCCCACCCTGTATATTGTATGTCTTTTAATATCTGCCAAATTAATCAAGGGTAGAGTAGATGGTCCGTACTGTACTACTGGTTAATTTTGCGAGTTTGAATTTTGCGAATTTTGAGAAGTTAAGATCCCATTATTCTCTGAATTCTCAAGCTCTGTAAATAGGGATACCTCATGTACAGTAAGTACTAGAGGTGCAACTCGAATGCCAGTACTCGCCACTCACTCGTTGAACCTGTCCAAGATAGTTACTCGAGTACGTTTTTTCAAACTCGAGTAGGCATGTTTTCTTATGAAGTGTTTTAAACCCCGGGAATGATGATTTTTTTGTATGCAATGAACGAAATAAAGTATCGATTCCGGAAACAAAATGAAAATATTTAAAAACAAACAAACACACACACCCTCATTTTTGCGAGCATGCGAGTGGTACTCGATCACAGTGGCATTTTCACACTTTCTACTCGAGTAGCATTTTTCTTGCGAGTTGCACCACTAGTAAGTACACCTACCTAATGTCATATTTGGATAAGATTTACAATTACTGCTAGATCTTGGTCAACAGTACGCTGCACCTTAACCTCTATTACATCATCATTTTCAGTTTATTTGATCTAATAAGCCACTGTAACAGACATTGTTACTTAGTATCCCATTTATCGCCTAATAACACTGGACAAATGTACGAGTCACAAAATACAATGAAGTCCCGGAGAATTTAATTGACAAGTTCGCGAAAGATTAGTATTTTTGTGATTTTACTACAATGGGGAAAAGCGCGAAACTAAATTGCACGCGAAAAATACCGGGAGTACAGTAGTTTGAAAATTTAGATGTGCAAGGATGTTCTTTACTCAATTTTTTCTGCCAAATTGAAGGCTTATTCAAGACATTCTGATGTATGATCTGGTTTAATCAGTTAATAATAGAATGGCTCATTATAACTCTTTGAAGTTTGATGATGAAAATAACACAATATATTTTTTCTTTCAGGGTGGTGGTGGTCCGGGAGGTGGACCAAGTCTAGAACAACAAGAGGAACAAAGACAACGACAGTCAGATATGAAAAATAGTATTTTATACCAAGTGCTTTCACAAGAAGCCATAGCTAGGTGTAAGTTAATATAATTGAATAAAAGGTATTCATTTTTATGGTTTCCAACTTTCCACGTAACATATATACAAGTTATAGAGGCCAGTGGGAGTATTATATATCACTAGTAAAATTCTATAAACCTCTGGCAATATAATTTCACTTCAAAAGTCTACCATATTTTTTTTTTTTTTTGTAAATAACATAGCCTATTTATTTGCTATTTTACATCATATGTTGTTTCATCTACAAAGTCTACAATATTAAATTATTATCATATTCATGTTCCAGTAAAAACTATAGCAGTTGCTAAACCAGAGAAAGCCAGGATGTTGGAGAGCATGATAGTTCAAATGGCACAGCGGGGACAAATAGGAGATAAGGTACAGTGTTTATAGCGTCTCTTTTGCTCACATGTGGTGTGGTCGCATGAGTTCAAGACTATATATTCAGGAGTTTCAGAGGAATTTCTTAGAACAAAGCAAAATAATGAAAACAACAGGCAATTCAAATAAAAACAGTGGACAAAACACATGAAAACAACTTGCAAAACAGATGATTGAGAAAGGCAAGGTCAAGGTCATCTCAACCTTAGGTCATCTCATTTGCAATGGGCAAAATTATTAGAAATTGTTTTTAACATGGAAACAGTTTCAAAATGTATTGTACATATCTGTTTATTTTGCTTAGATACATGTTTATTTGATATTCACACGTAGACCTGATGTAAAATATACATAATCGTATTCCAGTGCCGACTTTATTCATTCTCATGTTTCAGTTGAGTGAAGCCCAATTTAAGGAACTATTAGAAAAAGTCACTTCTCAGACTCAGAAAACTACAACTGTCAAGGTATGTAAGTAGGAAGTAAAAATTAAAGCACATGACTGAATGAATTGAGCTTAGTCCCCATGTAAAGTTTGAAAATATGTTTTATCATCCATTTACTTCAAGTTATGTAAGAGATTTTTGAAGAAAGAAAATGTTGTCAGCGTTTCATTTCTCAAATATTCAAATTTCCCGCCATTTTATCTAATGTGCCACTTCAATGTTTTTTATCATGCCAAAAATTTTCTATGTTTAACTTTTCTTAAAGTTCCAAAAATTTTCTTTGTTAAACTTTTCTTAAAGTTCAACGAATAGTTGGCAATGACCTGAAGATGCGTTTGATCTGCTTAAAGTAGGTACTGATGAACGATTGAATTAACAAATTTATCTATTTTAAACGTTTTAATTTAACTGACCTGCCTACCCTAAATACAGGTTACCATGGCAACCTTATCTCAAAATTAATTTAAGATATAGCTATAGTATTTTAGCATTGTATGATTGTGTAATTACACATTCTATATGTTCTGAAAAATGAGAGGGATGTGTGAAAAGATCACAAAATGAGAGCATTTTTATCAGAATATATGGATCGCCCCTTGTATGTGAATCAATTTTCTTAATTGTTTTTGGCACAAAACATGTAAGGATGAATGCTATGCGTTGGTATGAATTATCACTTATTAAAAGAAATGTGTGACCTTTAAAAGTTAGTTAGAACAAAAAGTCCTTCAAATACCACTTTTTGAAATTAAAAAAAGTTTCACATATCACATTTTGACAACATTTGGGTAACCATACAATATAAGCCAAAGTGGTTTAAACTTTATATGGGGGCTTTAAATATATTATACTTGTGGAATTTGTATGTGTTAACAAATATATATATACAAGTACATGTATATCTGAAAATACGTAAACTGCAAGCATTTTTTTCCAGTTTGACAGAAGGAGAGCAGCATTAGACTCAGATTCCGATTAAGGTATAGAGACGAGCAGTATTTGTTACAAGCCACCTCTCACTCTTAATATGGAGAACTACTCACCAAGCTAAATATGGAATTAGCTTATTCATTGCCAAATATGGAATTTTCATTAAGAATATCAAGCCACCTATGGCATTGTAAACACAGAAGATTGTGTAACCTATTAACATGATAAAGCCAAATATGTAATATATTGCAAAATGTGGATCCTTCAAATATGGAATACTAGTATGGATTACCACTCATACTTATTCTATTGCCAAAGGACTATCTAGTAAAGGATATGGATAACAAGTGAGTGTCTAATACTCTGGACTGCTCATATATCTTCTCTGTTTCATCTATACTACTATGGAATTGCCAGTATCATTTTTGTCACAGCAAATATGGAGTTAAAACTATTGTAAATGCTGGACTTCTAATAGAGTGGATTTTCAAAATATTAAATATTTATCTCATGTGGATCTGACACAAACATTAGAGGAATACTTGTTATCATCATTATCAAACGATATTACAGATTGGTCGACAATGTTTTGTTTTACTCTTCCATTTTGAGTATTGTAGGAAGAGAATTGTGTTCAGTTATGATTCTGTGATATTTCAAAAGTCTGCATAAAAGACTCCACTCTTTGACTTCATTTCAAGTAAAGTCATTGAATCAGTACTGTACACAACGTTCATTTAACTTGAAATGTACAAGAACACCATGCAACATATGTACGAAACCTGAGTAAATGAGTTTGAAGCCCTCTTGTTGATATAGTTCATCACTACAATATTGTAGCATGTGTAATGATCCTTGATAGCAAGTTGCTACGGTAGCGATAGGGTCTGGGTTCAATTCCTGCACAGGGCATTGAATTTAGCATACTCCCTTTCATGTCTAGTATCTGGCTTGTTACACTACAGCTCCCCGGAGACATCTCGGATCGTTACTCATGTCATGTATATGTAATTCGAACATGATTGTATTCACGCCTTCTATAAACTGAAAACAAAGTCAACATTTCACCCGGGATATATTCGCAATCAATACCCTTGGTAATACGTGTAATGTGTGACGTCATAATGGTGGGTCGTAGTAATTGCGGACCATGATGAATATTCAAAACATTTTGGTGAGTTTTCATGTTCGAATTGTAATATAGACCTCAGAGCAGGGGTAATATCGTTGAATACACCCCTTAGGGCTAGGCACAAAAACGTTTGTGCCTAGACCTGTGGGGTGTATTCGACAATATAACCCCTGCTTTTTGGTCTATATTTCTTAATTCATAGTTTAAAGAGAAGTAACTCCCTGATCAGCTGATAAACTTGATGTAGCTTACAAGTTATATCTGAGTCACATTTACTCCAATTCATCGGCTGACACCCACTTGATTGAGTATTTTGTTCAAAACTGAATACAATTTTGAACAAAATACTCAAATCTGCTGGGCACTGGCTGATGATTCGGAGCAAATGTGACTCAGGCATTAATGAAATAAAACATGATATATGTTTAGATTTGAGCATTTATCTCTTTATAAAGTTTATTCTTCTCAGTTTGCTTTGTTTCAATAATAGTATGTGTCTGTGTGTTAAGCTTTTGAAATTTAATTGTGTAAATACAATCTATCTACAGACATTGGATGCCTAATTGATCTCTATAGTTTTGCCTTTTAGTGGTGAAACGTTGCATCTGGGCCAAATTGTACCTACACCAATTTATTATTCTCTTGGTGTACACATTCATTTGACCATATTTGGGCTTGTAGCCATAGTTGGCCATGTGAGTCCTAGGAAGTGATGCCCAGTTAGTCCAGTCAATGAATATGTAAATATCAAGTGTATTGTATACAATGTAGATGCAGCTTTTGTATCATTTGTATTTGTAAATATTATAATAAATAATATACTAATGCCAACCTAATTATAAGTGCTTGTTGTTATTATTTATCCATGAAAAGAGGCCATATATGCTAAATTTCCCAACCAAAGGTCATCTCATCACCAGGTCATTTCAACACTAGGTCATCTCAATCAAATGTCATCATTTTAACCCCAGGTAATTTCAACCTCTCGTCATATTAAGTTATTAACCCCAGATTATCTCAACCCAAGGTCATCTCAACCCACCACAAGGTCATTTAAACCCAAGCCATTTGAAGCATGGGTTATGTTATCTCAGGGTTGTTGGTAATCTCTGTTGGTGAGCTTTTTGTCAATCATATCACCCGGTCAAATCAAATCCACATCACAATCTCAACCCAAGTACTTTTTAACTCGGGTCAACTCCAGTAATTTCAACACAATTGCTGTCATACAACAACTTGAAGCTAAAGAAACCTGCACTTTCATAATCATATGTTGATACACATGGTAAGCAGACCTAGAAAAAAGAAAATTCTATTAACAAAAGTGTATATTGGTGATATTTCTATCTATGGACCAGAATGACTGGTCCCTGCCTTATGTGGTCGTTCATGACATGTTTAACCAATCAAATTACGCCATATGGTATACCGGAAGTTGTTCAAATTTCACTGAAAAGTGTATAATCTAGAAATATTGTACTATTTTACAGGTATCTATTGTACATTAATAGATTAAAGTATGTGAACATGTTCATAAAGTTATTTATGTTTTGTTGGTATTTATTTAACATGCGATGGATGTTGTTAAACTGAGAAATATCCAATCTAATTTATTTTCTCAACCCGGAAGTAAAGGAAACATTGAATTTATACAGGCATAAGCTTATGGGGCATATGATGTTCAGGTTTCCTTCATCTGTGTACATTGTTTGTTGCAATTCAAATAACATCTAGTCGTTGTCAGATTACATCACAAAGATTAACAAAATCGAGCATACTTATTTGTTTTCAGATTTCCGTTGAGTTGCGAACATCAACTTGTCTGTTGACCACCACGACCAATGAAAAATTAATAAACATTCCGAATCTCCATAAAATCAATGGACATCATGGTCATCAACTGCTAACTTCATCGTTGTGCCATCCAATAATTCGTCTGTGTGTCAACTTGTGCTTCAACACAACACAGTAGCCAGTTTAGTCGCGATTGGCTCAGACTGCCATCATGTGGTGGCCATCCTTGACTCTCATCTTCTCAGGACTTTTCCTAGCATATATTGCCAACTCTATGCTAGTGATCTACTATATATTCTTCCCAACACCATGCCCTCCAACGTCCAACTGCATACATTCATTCCTTCGAACTAGTCCCAAATTGGAGGTATGTACATGTATTATTTTGCATAAAAAATGAACACTTAAGCTGGTGTAGAATAAAAGTATGTTTGAATTTCCCAGAAATGTAAGAAAAAAATGTAGAGAAATTTATTTCATGCTTAAAAAAATATCAATATTTTGATGAGCCAATGATGATAACTTTCAAAGTAGTAGTTGTAGTGTATGTACATGTAGCTCAGAATTAATAAATTATATTAAGAGACACTGTGTCAAATAAAATGTTCTTGGACTCTAAACATGTAATTTCTAATCTTCAGATGAGGGTATACACCTCTTTAAAGCAAAAGGCAAGTGGAGAGAAGAATTTAAAGTTACTTTGGAAGTTTGACAACTTTACAGTAGATGCTTACGAACAAAGGTAATCTCTATACATTGTATAACTACACACTAACACCTCTAGATTTGACCCAGTGACTTGTGTTGTTGTAGTTTATCAACCCTCTTTTGGCTTTTTTGAAGCTCCATTGTATATAGCTTGGGTTGTCAATATACAAATATTTTTTGTAATATGTTGTATTATCACATCTCATCTTGATACATATTTGAAACATTCATTTATATATTATCCAATGAACATGTGCTATATTTGAATCTACTGTTAAAACAGGGAAGCGAATGAGAACTGCAGGGATTAAGTTGGCACATTTACATGTAGATGTAACCTGGTATTTTAACTCTGATATGATTTCTATATTTCTAGGGACTTCAATGTCACTCTACCTCAGAAAGTGCGGCAAAATGGCAGTATGTTCTTACATTGCATTGTGTTCCCAAGAGGGGAAGATCCATTTGACAGATATACGTCCTATTCTTCCGTCTCGCTCACCAAATATGCCGTCCCAAAATCAAAGACATTTAATCTCATGGGGGAAGTGCCATCAGAGTCAGAAGTAAGACGATTCACTTCAAAAGAGTTAAAGCTTATGTGTTTGACATAGGGTGTCACTCAAAACAATCTTTTCTGTTTAATAAGAAACTTTAAATCAGTTAACAAGTTTTAGCAACAGTTGATCCAGTTTTGACAAAGGTTGTTTAAACACTGTTCTGCAACTAGTTACTTTGACGGAACGTCAATGTAACAAAATGGATGAACTTCCTGGTTACGATTTTTTGGTTCTCTCGATTTAAACCTATTTATAAGTCAAGTTGCAGATTATAATTTTTAAAATCGTATCCAGGAAGTTCATCCATTTTGTTACATTGAAGTTCCGTCAAAGTAACTAGTTGTGGAACAGTGTTAAAGGCCATCCCAATTCAACAGTCAGATCCAAGAAGTCGCATCTAATATTACAGCAGTAGCTAAGCGATGATGAAAATTGCTTATTTTGTAACAATATTTTGGTCATTTCCTTTATAAATGTCTTAATATATTTCTGTTTCAGAAACCTAGCAAGAACACTGCAAAAGATCGTATTGTGACTCACTGGAAACCAAAATTAACAATCAATGTCATGTCAGACATGATACCATTCGAGAGGATGGCCATACCAGGGGAAATTTACAAATATCTAAAGTAAGGTCATAAAAATCATTGATACACATGCATTTTCTCTTGATAGAAATAAAATATATAAACTCAAATTAGATATTTATAACAAAGTTCATTTTACAGATAAATTGAACACAAAGAAATTGTTTTACAGTCAGGGAGTGGATATTCTCACAAATTGCTTGAGGAAATAAGTTTGCAGGCGTACAGTCTACATATATATGAGATTTGCATCTTAAAAGTTAGTTTTCAATGTCTCCATCATGCAAGGACGCCATCTATCTGTCCATCATATGTCTTGTATCCAAGCCTTTGAATTTGGGCTACCACCCTCATTGAAAGTCTTGATACAAGGCATACATGCTTTAAATATTACACAATCCCTAGAGCCTTGGGCTAAATCCTTCAATATATTTCTCTAGGTCCACACCACAGGGTGACTACCTTCCTATGCTATACCTGGATGAACTTAGTCAGAGGATGAAAGACCTGGAAGAAGTCACTGAAGACACTAAACAGATGAAGTTGACAATAAATTATGCTCCAATATCAGTGGGGAAGCTTCGAATGTTTTCAACAATGCAAGAATCCATGAAATCGTTAGAAGGTTTAGGTGAGTAGTCCAGTCTGGTTTGATTTCATTTGATAATTATAAAGATAGATGATAGCTGTGTTTTATTTGATATGCAATCTAGACCAATTTAACTTCTTTCTTATTTCATGGTTTGGAAATACAATAATGGAAGAATTAACAACTGTGCTCTAAAAACTTGTACATTAACATTAAATCTCTGAGGAACTCATAAATAACAGGAAATCTTTAAATTTTGGCGTCACTTGAAAATTAGCAAAAATGATCCAAAAAAGCTATTTTTCTAGGTTTTACTGAGAAGGACACAGATGAAGTGAAAGGAATATTTACAGACACTAACTTCTATCTGCTGATGCTCACCTTCTTTGTGGCAGCTGTACATGTGAGTAGTTCATTATCACCTGATTTAAACGGAGTAATTGGACCTTAAAATAATTTTTGTCACCATTTTTAGCTAACATTAGTGAGCTATTGTACCTAAACCATTTGTTTTTCACTCATTTTGAAGAATAAGCACATGTACACATATTTTTCAATTTATTTGGTCGCTACAAGTAATAAACATTTCTATTTCTTTATTTTCAGCTCCTATTCGACTTCCTAGCATTTAAGAATGACATCAGCTACTGGCGCAATCGGGAAACGATGGTTGGACTGTCTACACGTGTCGTATTGTGGAGGTGTCTTAGTACCATTATTATATTCTTGTACCTCCAGAATGAAGAAACTAGTTTATTAGTCCTAGTGCCAGCGGGTGTAGGAACAATTATAGAGGTATGTTTTAACAATAGATGGAGTGAAGGGGCTTGGAATTTTTAGGTGGGAATCAGCGATTGGTTGAAATAATTTATGATCATATTGAAATTATAGTATTAAAGGAATCAAGACATACAATATATATAAAATAATGGAATACAAAATCTGCGCAACAAGTGTAAATTGAAGCACATGAGAGAGCACAAAGAGAATCTACAGTACACGAGACGAACTGCCGAGGAAACAGCGGCTTATGCAACACAACAACAACAACAAATAAAAGCGATAGGGAGTGTAAAATATTGGAAGCATGCCACTGCCAATGTTTCCTTACATTGTCCAAAGTCATTAGAATTGAAAGAAGGGATGGCCACTTTTTCTAATGTATCGACAGATAACAAAAATATCCTTTACTTTCTGTTCGTTTCTATTCCTTTTATTTCCTCTAACTGTCAAATACATTTTACATACTCCAGAAATGATATTCACATTGCACTAGCATCATAGTTTACTTTTTTGTTTTTAGATTTGGAAGGTGAAAAAAGCATTTAAAGTCAGAGTTGACTGGCAGGGATGGAAGCCTTCAGTACAGGTAATAAACATGACAAAACTTTGAACAGCCTGGTGTTATTATAACATCAAGTATAGAACAGAAATAGTGTACATGGATAGTCATTACATTGTGTACATTCAGTTAACTTCATTTCAGTTGAGACATGTTTGGAAGAAAGATCCAGAAAACAGAACAAATCATACCCAGTCTAATGGTGTACCAGATCATAAACTTCTTCTAAAAGCCCATTTTCCAGTCAAAATTCACTTAACTCCAAATGTTTTCACGATATGACTAACACTTTTTGGAATGTGTCTTTCAGCTTGGAACCACAACTGATAAAGAAAAAGAAACTGAGCAGTTTGATTCTCAGGTAACCAAAAACTTCTTAAATTATGTTGAAACAGTTCTGCAGTGGTTTATACAGATCGTTGCAATTTTGCATTTGATGGTTATCTTCAATTTCAATTATATGGTAGAGACACTTGATGATTTCTGTTGTTCAGATTCAGTATCCTTTCTTCATTGTTTGACTTAGCCCATTTATATTGTATATATAATGTTTAAAACTGAATACCTCAGGTTAAATAAGGTGACCTCAATTGTACTATTTTATTGGTGTATATGATGTTGGACATCAATAAAAGGTTGATGTTTATGTTATATTTTTTCTTCCAGGCAATGAAATATCTGTCCTATTTATTATACCCACTTTGTGCAGCTGGAGCAATATACTCACTAGTCTACACCCCCCACAAATCATGGTACTCCTGGTGCATACAAAGTGCAGTTAATGGTATGTATGAGACCTATTATAATAAAGAAGCCCACGCGCATTTATGAACAGTTACAAGGTTTACAAGGTTTGCAAATTCTAGAGGCAATCATTTTACCAGGCCTGCCTGGTGAATATATGTCAACTATTCCTAAATGTCCAAGTTGACAGTCATGTTTTTGTAAATGGTTAAGTTCTTGAGAATGTCAAGGTTTAATATTTTAGCATCTGGGATATCATATGGGATGTAATAAACTAAATTATTTGTTCTTTGATTTGACCTTGTTATTTTTACCATTATATTGCTCACTCCTTTTTTCATTCTGTGTTTTCGTTAACCGTTAGTTCAAGCTACAGACAAACAAATCTGTATGTTCCAAATTTCTTTGACCTTGACATCCATGTAAAGTCAACTCATATAAACACTACATATACATGTGTATCTCATACTTGAGTGGGTTTGGGGTAGATATCACCCGGGAATATATATCGTATCTGAGGAGCGGGCAGGATATATTGTATATGTCCCGCTCCAGGCCAAATGCGGGCAGATATAATATATCCATCCCGCTCCTGGGAATTTTTCAAAAGTTTAAAAAAGTTTGAATATCAAATGTTTTAATTTTTTAATTTTAAAATTTAATTTTTTAAGTTTAAATGTTATAATTTCATTGTATTGAACAAAAAGAATATTACGAAAATGTTAAATATAAATATCTTGTCATTTGAAAAAGGTGGAAAAGGTTATATCTACCCTAAACCCACTCAAGTATGAGATACACCAGTTATGCATGGTCGGTTTGGATACATGGAATATCCCTTGGGATATACAATACATCTTCCCTCGGTCCCTTCGGTCCCTCGGGAAGATATATTGTATATCCCTCGGGATATTCCCTGTATCCAAAACCTCCCAGTGCATAACCCCTATATATTTGCTGTTAAAATATTCTGGTTTTGCAGAATAATTATTATGATTTCATGTTAATTTCTAGGTGTGTATGCATTTGGGTTCCTGTTCATGCTACCACAGTTATTTGTCAACTATAAGGTGAGCAATAAATTGTGTTACATGAAATAAATATTACACTATAATGCCTAAGTCACATTTGATCTATGGCAACCATATAATAGCGGCTGTAGCTTCCCAAAATTGAGAGAAATATTCAGCATAAAATATAGGGATAAGCAGTATGATGTAGATTTTCGATATCGATTTTGTGAGGCTGTAGCCACCGTATGCCTGTCATAGAGCAAATGTGACTGAGGCTTTAGGTACAAACCAGGACATTCTTTATACTTGATCAAAGCAACACTTCACTGAGATGCTGCTATACTTACTTCAAAAATAGTTAATGAAGAAAATCTTAAGTTGGTATTTATATTGGCCAATCATCACTAGTATAGACTGATATTGTGTTTTAATACTGATTCACATGTAAAAGGGAGTGCTTAATTCAGTAATATAAACAACCTTTAATATTTTTTTTAAATTTTAGATGAAGTCAGTAGCTCATTTACCTTGGAGGGCATTTATGTATAAGGTTGGTTTTGAAATTAATTTGTCTAATCGATTTATTTATGATTTAAGTTATCATTTGACTTATCAAATTCTGAAATTATCAAATCAAAAACATGCACAGTTTAGTAACTATATAATGGAAGTTTTCACAAAACTAACTGGATATGCAGTAATGGCTAAATGAAAATGTTGTATCAAAATTGAGTATCTCTTGACCTTGAATCCCTTCCTACTCTTAAGCAATACAGTTGCTATATTTGCATTTTAATATATTTCAGGCTTTCAACACTTTCATAGATGACATATTTGCTTTCATCATTACCATGCCAACAGCGCATAGACTAGCCTGTTTCCGTGACGACATAGTATTCTTCTGTTATCTTTATCAAAGATGGTAGGTACCATGAATCTAATAAGGGAAATGTGTACATTGTAAAATTATAAAATGCAATTCCTCAAAGTTGAACAAAGTGAAAACAAATGTTTGATTCAGATTCAAATATTTATTTACCATCAGCTAAACAATAGTGTAAATCAAAACTAGCTCATGTCTCAAAACTAACTCACGTTCATTGAAGTAAAATTTTACAAACAGACAACTGTTAGCTTCATTTACAAATATATCTGCTGTATGTTATTATTATTGTCTATTCAATTATTTCAGGCTATATTCAATTATTTCAGGCTATATCCAGTTGATAAGAAACGTGTTAATGAATATGGACAGTCGTTTGATGACCAATCCACAGATCAGCAAGAAATCTCACAATCTAAAAAGAAGAACTGAGAATTCTCAAAAGGAAAAGAAGAAGGGGTTGGATAACCATAAGATTGATTTTAGACTCCTTTATTGGGTCAGCCTTTGGACTACTTTATAAGATCTGTCTTTAGGCTAATTTATTGGATCAGTCTTAAGACTCCTTTGTTGGATCAGTCTTTAGGCCTCTTTATTGGATCTGTCTTTAGACTACTTTATTGGGTCAGTCTTTAGACTCCTTTATTGGGTCAGTCCTTAGACCCATTTGTTAATTCAGTCCCACAATCAGTCAGAAAGAGAGTGATGAATAAAGTTCAGAATCAAAGGCCGGACTTAGTTACACAATGAAGTTCCAAAAATGAAGTTTTCAAAGGAGGTGTTTGATGACCATGTGATTTTGGAGTCCTTTTAATGGAACAAATATTCTGGATGAGTTGTTTCCCAAAAATGCATTCACAGTAAAATCGAATATTCCAATCCAATAAATCCATACTGATTAATAATTGTTTGCGCTATACTTACTAGAAGTTGTCATTTATGCCATTTTGATGTAAGCCATGCAGCACTGAAAGATATTTGAGCAAGGCCACAGGAAAAGGGGTCTTATGTTTTTTTTTCTTAAACAGCACAAAGAGACCTTTCAAATGAACCATTGCTTATGTCAAAACAATTTTTCCGTGCAGATATAGACCAAAAAGACGGATTTGAATTAAGCACATTTTTCTCTTAATCTGGGGTACATTTTTGGCTCTGAAGCACAATTTAAATTTTGTGATAAGACCAATTTTCCTATGGCTCGCTCATTTATAGTGTTATAGCCTAAGTTTTTTATGAATGGCAGTTGGTGGTTGGCATTTGTTGTCTGTAATAATTTGCAGTATTATACCAGGTGATGACATTTTGTCATGTTAATGCCTTGTTTTTAATTGCTAATCATTTAATGTTGTCTCATTTTGTCATCATATTACTTTTAATGTAGTTATTTTTGATATGTGAAATGTGACAACTGTAATGTTAAAAATGTAATTGACCTGTGGGAAGTTGTGATTTTAATAATATTAAATGCAATATTTATCTTATTGTCAAGACAGCCTCAAATGTGTATTCTTTTGTTGTTGGGTGGTATGTGGCATCAATATCTATATTAAAAGTTGTTGAAAAGATTTTTGTAACTGAAAGACAGTGGAATTAATTGAAAAAATCAATTAGCCCACTGAAGAATAAGTTGCAGTGAACAATGAAATTCCTGGACTCAAAAGAACTAGCCTGTTACGCATTCCATTATATTTGATGAACACTGGTCCTCTTGATTAACCAATCAGTTACAGAGATGCTAAAATGTGCAATTTTCTTTAGTCCTCAGAATCATTTTTAAATGGAGAGTATTAACCTACAACCCAATGTGCAACTTTGTATCATTTTACAATTTTGAAATGTGAAGTTTGAAAATTCTATGATTTCTGTCTCTTGAAAAAATGTGACACAATTGTAAAACATATTATTTGGAGAACTTGATAACCTGAAGAGGGTTAATCAAACCACTTTTTATGAGAATTTTATATAAAGGCTCATGCTAATACACTGGGGGTCATTAGCAGAAACTTCGTAAAGTTGTGAATTCGTAAATCACTTGTTGTTACCATGGATATGATGATGTCACAGTTAGAGAACAATGGACTTTCATATTCTTAACTTTACAAAGTTTCTGTTAATGGCCCCCTGGAACTCATTCATGCGTGCAGTTAATATGACTCATTTAAGGTAAGAGTCCATTGCCGTACTTATTACATCAGCATCCCTTCAAGATATCATGCTAATTGCTAGCAGGAATTCACAGATTAATTTTTACTCGGCATTTGTAGTTCACAGCATGTTTGTCCATATCAATTATGCTTAAGCAAATAACAGAGACTTAGTATATATATTTTGGAATTATTTATTGAAAGTATTTTATGAATGGAATAAATGGAAGAATGGAATATACATAAATACACGGTTTGTTGATATTACTTACAGTTATAATACCACATAAGTCTTGCATCAGGTCAAATAATGATATAGGGTGTCTCATAAAAATGCTCAAATCTTTTTTGAGAGGCCTTAGATGTCTTTCAATTCAATTAAAAATCATACCTGTAAAGTAACACATCAGAAATCAAGAGAAAATATTGCATTCGTTTACCAAAAGAGGGTAGAATGTATTGGAAAGGTCTACTCCAGTGTGGAGTGTGCATTGGGATGGACTTGATACAAGACTACTAGGCTATTACTTAATATACATGTACATGTGTAGGATATCTCATTAGAATGACTATGAACTATACAAGGTTGGAATACTGCATACAATTATTGGCCTATCCAGAGGTTGGCTGTTTAAATTATACAATGTATCCTAAAATTGTGAACCAAGACCACGGTCAACCAAAGGACGGTTTGGAGAACGAAGTTCATCAATCTAAATGAGCATTATCCCTGCTTCGGACAAATTTGATTTTTTTTACATAATATAGATTTGAATGTCTTCTTTTGAATAGTCATAATTTAATTTGGGTAATATTTTTAGATTTTTCGCAAAAAAATATTAGCGCAGTACACTGATGAACTTCTTTCCCCAAATCGAGACTTGTATTTTATTGAATTTTTTGAATATTCATAGTTTAATTTGGGTAATATTTCTATATTTTTCATGAAAAATATTAGTAGCCCAGGAGACTGTTCTCCAAACCGAGAATCGTCCTTTGTCTATAATTGTTTTTCTAGACCAAAGCAATTATAAAGTTGACTAAGCTCATATTCAATGACTAAATCGAGCACTCATATTCATCAAAATCTGATTCGTTATTTTAACATAACGGTGTGACGTCATCTCCTTACACTTTTGACCAGCGATGCATTGGAGTCAACTGTTAAAATTATTGACCATCCCTTGACCAATCAAAATCCAGCTTTTCAACTGAACTGCTAAAAATGCATGTACTTTATCATAACTCAGTTATACTTTGGACAACATAAGTCAACGCATTCTACAGTGTATATGTATATTGTATACTCCTGTCTATAAAGATGAAACCATCACCTCTAAACACTTTTTCTTCATACCTAAGACATTACTGAAGAATGTGAATCGAATATCTGTTAAAATATGTGCAATAGTATCTTGAGCAACAGATGACGGAAAGAATGATGATGAACGATTGTTTTAAAATATGTACACATCTTAGATATATGTCTATATATATATATTACATTATGCAATTTCATCTTTAAAGATTGATGCCTAAAGAACTATAACATCCAGATAAAATATTTGTTTCTCAATTTTTAATCAAAATTAAACGGAGCCCCTAAATATTTAAACATTTGAAAGACTTCTTTAGTTCTTTTGGCATCCATTTTTAAACATAATTTTTGTATACTGGACTCCCAGTGTTTTTAGCCATGATAGTTTGTTTTCTTAAATCATATCCATACAATAATTCTTCTTCACAAATTAACCTACCATTATAATTGTAAAATATTTCTTCCATGTAATTTTCACGATCTTTAATAATCTTTCGCACAAGAAGAACAGTAAAACAAACCTGAGTTGACACATACACATGCTGCCTTCTTTGTCATGGTCACTTTTTCTAAATATGGTCTCTGTCCATCAATGGAATTCAAGTTTGGACCACATTCATACAGGGTGACACAAACATTAACTAAATTTGGAATAACATTGTCAATATTATGGTGGACTCTTCTTGAATTTTCTTGTGTAAATACCAAATAAAATAAAAATAGTATTCATTGTGAAACAATGATGTAGTTTCAGTATCAACTACTTTAAAAAGTGAAATCATGTTTTTGTGTCACCCTGTTTTAGCTCATATTCACACGCAGTATTTGCAACATCCATGATAGACTGCAAAACATACTCACAGGGCTTCACTATTCATATAATATAAAATATATACCCATAAATAAAATTCTATGGTAGTCTTTACTTAATACCCGAGAGGAATCAACCAAAAGTCAAGTGGAAAACATCAATTTAAAGATAGAATGTTCACATCAAGTCTCTGCCAATGACATTCCCTGTGTCAGTGAGAACATGGATCGGGAACAATTAAGATGAGATAATCTATGACATATGTAAGCGAGTCAAGAATGACATTTAAAGTATGGGTAATCTGGTTGTAGATCTGGTCAATAGACCTAAGCATCTATTGTCTTCTTTTCATTTTCCTCTCCATCTTTTTCTGTTTCTTATCATCCATCTCGGGTGGTGGCTCTGCGAAGAACCACGGTGCCAGGATGTTGACCCACAGTAAATAAAACGCCCGCCCTGGGATCTGCAACATAACAAAATGAAATGCTATCATGTGAAGAAAAAGGTGGGATTTAGCTACTTTTAGGAAACATAAAATGATTGATACTTTGAGAATGTGTTTGGTGCATTTCTCAAAATATCAAGGTAGTAAGGATATTTGTAAATTCCTTGTTAAAGTTGAATTTGTGAAAACATTAAATTCCCAATACATGTCCAAATGTCTCTTTGGTGACAAATTGCTTGCATTGAAGCCACATTTATAAATTGTACAGGCATTCTAGCGATTATTCTCATATATTATCTTTCAATGTCAGTTTTCATCATGCCATGTTTCTATAAAATATATTTATATCAGTCATGTCAATTTGGGATGAGAATAATAATTTTTGAACCCCTAAAACTCCCACCTAATCTATTATTTAATCATTTTTCACTTACTATGAGTAGGCCTAGCCAGAAGTAATTGGATATTATAGTAAGTATTTGTACTATGGCACACAGTAGGATTGTATCTTTGGCATGTCTGAAATAAAGAAAGAGAAACATTTCATGGGGAACAGTTTTCTTATTGTGGAGTATATTCCAATATGGATGTCTTTCCTTGGTATCAAATCACAAAAATGGCGCCTACAGTAAACACTCTATCACGCGAGCACTTTGCGGAACTGCAACATTATATGCTTGTTATTCAAAGATGTCATTACTGCATTGTATTATATGTCGTCATCAGTCACGTGACACCACGAGGCTGATCAGGGCGCAGCCATCTTGGGATAGAATAAATAAAGTCGAATTACAAATGTCAGAGTAATTGAGTCTTTTGTACAATAGGACGTCTAAGAAACATTATAGGAACCAAGTCATCTTTGAATCTAAAGCATTAAATCTTGCATAGATTTTGAAACATATACAATATCATATATGCTGCCTATTAACTTCTGTGAAAGAAACAAGAAAATCCGGTATTTTTTGCCAAGGTCCTTTTTAAAAAATTCTAGGGGTTCACATTTGGCAGCTTTGGCCCAATTTTGGCCAAAGTCTCTCAAAAAGTACTCAGAATGGTGAAAAACTGCATGATTTCGAAAGAATTTTTGGCCAAGGGGGTTCCCTCAAACCCCACTATTTGTATCTACAGGCCTGAAAATTCTACAACTCACTCTGCCATTCCTGATTCCATATTGAGATCAATTCCACCATCATAGAGAGTGCCGCCATCTGGGGAATATGTTGCTCGTGCCATCGTCCCCATAAAGTAGTATGAGCCAAAATAAACCAGTGACACAAATATAGTAATTACCTAAAATGAGTACATCAAATGTTAAAAAAATAAATGAAACCAGACTATGGCCCACCATGGGTTCGAGTTGTCCAGGGTCCGAGTTGTCTGGTTATACACATAAGAACATAACCAAAATGTACCCTGACTAGTGACTATTATGAACATGTATGACCAATCATTTTACTGCAATTGTAATATTATTTTTGTTATCTAATTAAATGACACATTTTAACAGCAACTAATAAAATGGAACATTTGAAAAACCAATATATTATATTCTTAAAAAATGTAATCATCACTAATTTCCAATCATGATTATACACATGGAAAAATATAATAACATGTATTTGCTAATATACAAAAATGAGACAAAACCATGCAGTGTCTCTTTAATAAATCAACTCAATATTTTCTACTCACCCAATTCCATGTTCTAAATGAGTCCCAGAACAGGAAGAAATTGACTAGGAGATAAATTACCTGGAACATACAATGATCAATACAATACAATTACCTGAAACCTGCAATGATCAATACAATACAATTACCTAGAACATACAATTATCAATACAATACAATTACCTGGAACATACAATTATCAATACAATACAATTACCTGAAACCTGCAATGATCAATACAATACAATTACCTGGAACATACAATGATCAATACAATACAATTACCTAGAACATACAATTATCAATACAATACAATTACCTGGAACATACAATGATCAATACAATACAATTACCTAGAGCATACAATTATCAATACAATACAATTACCTGGAACATACAATGATCAATACAATTACCTGGAACATACAATTATCAATACAATACAATTATCATTCAATTTTAAACACCTCAAATAAAAATCAAATGCTTTTCATACCGGTACTTTAATTCTATTTAATGTGGCTCATACACTTACATTCACTGCAGCTATCACAGTTTTGTAGAACCTGAGCGTCTCTTTATTTTCTTCAACAATTTGTTTTTGACCTTTGGTGGCTACCTTCCCTTTGGGCTACAAGTATAATATTTACATATTAGTTTCAATCAACAAAAGACATACTAAATCACTTTTTGCCTTTTATGATATTTGATTCAATATTCTTCCCAATGGGGGAACCTGGAACCTTCCCTCCCCACCGCATCACCTAAAATTGAACTTAATGACAAAATTGATATAATAACTGAGACGTTGTGAGGAATTTGGCAAAATGTCCCTTAAACAGATTCCAAACCAACAGCTTTGTCAAAAATTCAAGATAATTTCCTCGCATAAATAAGAATTTTACTTATTTATTTGACCATGAAACACTAATACGCAGAGATTGGCACTGATGTAGGTAGGGATTATGCCCGTATTATGTAGATTAGTTTTGTGGTTTAGTACAGGGAGGCAGTGTTGTCCATGTTATTGCTACAATTCCACTGTTTTCATTTATCTTTCTAATAGGCTTTCAAGATGCCTTTCCCCATTGATAAATCATAACAGAAGAGAAAATCTGGACCAAAATCTCTTGCTGCAACATTTGGTCCAGGAGATCTCAAGATAATGCAGCAAACTCCTCATTGTTGAGATCTTCAAAAAGTTAACCTGGCCTAGTCTAGGCTCTGAATCTGATGCATCAGTTAACGAGGCATTCACATGACAGAATGTCACCACAAAGTTGCTCACAATATTATGAGTTCAATCTTAAGTCAGATTTCAATTTCTGAGAACTTGTAGATGATTTTGAAAAAATAAATTGGTCAATTTGAAGCAAGTTGAAAAAATACCTTTTTAGACCCTGAGAAGGCCATTGAAGGTGAAATCTCAAATCTTAAGTCAGATATAAACTTCTGAGAACTTGTAGATATTTTGAAAAAATGGTCAATTTGAAGCAAGTTGAAAAAAGATTTTTTGACTTTGAAAAGGTCATTTAAGGTCAAATCTCAAATCTAAAGTTAGATTTGAACTTCTGGTAACTTGTAGATGATTTTGAAAAAATGGTCAATTTGAAGCAAGTTGAAAAAAGACCTTTTTGAACTTTTTTTGACCTTGAAAAGGTCATTGAAGGTCAATTCTTAAATGTAAAATCAAATTTAAAGTCGGTCTAAACAGTATTTTTTAAGTTATTGGAAGTTGTAAGAATTTGTTCCAGACACCGATTGCCAACCGCCAACCACAAATTGCCGTCAATAACAACCATGGTTTTATTAAGCAATTAATCAATGTAGAACCAATCAGTGATGACTAGAATGTTGTTTAGGTCATTTGTTAGTTCAGGTTTTGAAGGAGCAATATGTGACTGACATCACAGATGATGGACATGGTATCATATTCAGAGAATTCATAATCAAGAGTGTCATATGACATGTGTATCACAGCGTTCAACAACACTGAATAATTTTAAACAATATTAGCTATCTATTGAATGCCCATGATGACGTAATGTGGAGGACTCTTTAAAATATAATAATCAGTCAGTATTTTTTTATAAAATAGTAATGTGGAAATTTGAGGTTAAATTTTGGTAATTTGATCGCTTGACTAATCAAGGTGGAATGAGATAAGGAACTGAACAATTACGGGGTAAACCCTATCCAAAAATCGTGATCTCTCGTCAAGTAGATGGTGAACACTGCCTCTAATGGGTTGGATTGTCGTATGGACTTGCATTAGAGGCCAACACGATCCTCAGAGACCCAGAGGGTGCATGAATGCACCTACTCGTCAAGTAGCTGTAAACTATACGAATGCTGCCTACTGGCAGTGGAGATCTAAAATAATAATTAGATTGAATGTTGAATTCAACGCGTATGATGAAAATGAGCATAATGTTCGTCTAAGGAAATGATAAATCAATCCAATGGAATTGGAAATATATTACCAGATTGGAGAGAAAGTTTCTGTGATTGAACGTATAAATGCAGCCCTTGCTATTGTTTGAGGATACAATGACCTATATAAAAGTGTTCCAATAGATGCCAATATTAAACTACTGCATTTGTATGTGTTCTACTGTACTCACTGGCATTTTATCCACTAAAATGATGCAGAAAGTTAAAATTTTTAAAACTTTGGTCTGCTATATCTACTTCCGGTGACAAGCCCAAAAACAATTTTGAGAATGAAGAAGGGATCTGTCATATCGTAGCATAATATTAACTGATTTTAATATACTTTATCATTATGTTTCCATAATGTTTTTTAATTGACTGACCATTTTATTTGTTGGGGTATAATTCAAACATATTTTACTCTCAATAGTGCATATGATTGAATAAATTTGATTAAAAACAGCTTTACCGATAGGTGGCGTAACCGTGGAATAGAAAATGTAAGCCCCAAGTTTCGATCCAAAACGGAGGAAAAAGATTGAGACTCTACAATTTCTTCTTTCTGATTACAGGTAATAATATCCATGGTATTTTACTGATCAATCACTTGCATAAGATATGTTTGACAGCCGTGTTGAATGTTTAGGTTAGCCTTGATGATATTCTTATTGAGTAAGTTTTAGCTTGGAACAAGAGCTCAACCCCCACTCAGCACTCACTGACTGACTGTGTACGGCTAGAATCTAGGCTACACTCTTAGAGAGGGGGGGGGCTTGATCTCTGGCTCCTGGGCCTGTGAGCTTACACCTAGCTGGGACTTGTGACGCGATTTTTATTCTGCAACTGAAGATGCTTCATTTGTTGTTCAAGGAATTTGATTCATATTGTTTCAAAATGTGAAATAAACATATTCTTCCTGTGCAACATACCCCCATAGATGTGGGGTTATTTTGAGGTTTTTTGATATTTAGGACATTTGTTTCTCAAAATAACCCCACAAAGTTAAGGCTTTGATTCTTTGCGTTTTTTTTCACATGATTTGAAGATTCAAGTTCTGACAATATCAGCAGTTTCCTAGTCATATAAATCCGACCATCGTATGCTTTATTTGTCATTATTTTTTGATAATTTGGATATTTATTTTTTGTTATTTTCTTGCATACTATGGTCGTACACACTTCCCAGTTGTAAATTGAGGGAAATGCTTTCCTGGCCTGTTTAGGCAACCAAAATCACACAAATTATGTATTAGAATATGCTCTTCATCGATAATGTATTTAATCCTACCTTACACACGTCAAACGCTTGATAATTGAAGAAGTATAAGAATTTTTCTGGAAACAATTTTTTTCCCCATGTGTAGATGCATTCTGGGTAATGATTGTGTAAAAGTAAAACTCTAGGTGAAGCGAAAAACGAAATTACAATAAATAACAGCAGCCATATTGAGATCGAGATTTCAACTCGAAAGTTTATCATCGTCTTATGACAATTGAATCGCCTTCTCAGACACCAAGGAGGGTGAAGAAACCGAAAACAGATATGTTGGAAATAAATAATTACGATTTCGTTTTGGTTGCATGGTTTCACATTTAGACTGTATTCAGTGACCTTGAGTGACCTTGAGAACCATATTGGAAATTGGTTCAAACATATACGAAAATGATTACATTTCTTCAATTATCAAGTATTTCCTGTGTTTAAGGTAAGAGTTAATACATTCTAGTTGAAGCATTGGATCCATTATCTTATCTGTGTAAGTTTTGTTGAGCATAGAGGGCAGGAAAGCATTTACCGCAATATACTGGGCTTAATATCCTCGACGCAAATGTTGAAAACAAAAATAAAAAACAAATATCCAAATCGTCAAAAAGAAACGTGAAACAACAACATTAAGTCGAGTTCACTTGACTAGCAGTTTCCTTACCTTTTTTCTTCTCTTCTGTGAAGAGGATTCTTTTTCCAATGTAATGAGCGATCGATCAGTGGAAACAATACTTTATAACTGGAACAATTTGCCCTAATATTTGACTCTCGAAATCTATTCAAATTTTGGCCATTTTCGCGCGTTGCATTCTGGGAGGAATTATGTGGTAGATGGGAAACTTAACAGTGCCAAACGAAATCACCTGTCAAATTAATAACAAAATTATTGCTTATGCCTAAGTTCAGGAAAACAAAGGCTGTAGACGATACAGCACCCAGACTTGAGGTTGAAAATCCTTTTCATACACCCCGGAAGGTGAAAATCATTTTTCAAAATTTCCCTCCATTTTTACTTTTGGATTTCGTATTTACACGAAGTTTGTCATTTAGATAAAAAATATCGACTGCGCATGAAATTTGAAATTTTTTTTTAGAAATATCTGTTATCCGTATTAAATCTTCATTACAAGAATGAATACAACACTTAGAGGGCTATATTTGGAAGCATGTTGAAGATTAATGTCTTGTCGATACGAAAAACATAGAAAGGTGAGTAAATTCTAATAATATTAGTACAAATTCTATGTGTATGCTATTGTTTAGCAAATCCCCAAAGAATCAAAGTACTAATCGGTGTGGGGTTATTTTGAGAAACAAATGTCCTAAATATTAAAAAAAACTCAAAATAACCCCACATTTATGGGGGTAGTGCAACAGTGCTGTCCCAGTGCAGTGAAGTTAGGGGCAATCCACCCCAGGTTCATGCAGAGGAGATTGCCAAAAGTTTGGATAACATAACTCAGAGGTGGCGTTAACGCAATTTTTTACGTTTTTTACTCACATTTTTGCAACTCTGACGCATATATTCATTGTCTACCGAGTCTTTCTGACGCACGTTTGTTTCACATGCAAAATCCCCGCTTGGAACTTGGTTAAATTGATCCCTATACATGAAAATAAGTGATTGATCAAATTTATAATTTTGCTAATTCCGGAAATCTAACATTTCGTTCAGCGCAATCGAGCCTCCTTCCTACCGATCATTTTCTCATTTCGGTATTTCATATGATTTTTAAAGCCCTGTGATTCAGATTCAATGATAAACTTGAAAACATTGATCGATCCCTCGATTTGTTTATCTCGTGAAGCACGTTGCTAGGGGGCGTATCAAAAATGCAAGAAAACGAACATAACATTGAACAATAACTTATTAATTTCATACTCCCTTCTAAGGATTTTAGTGATCGTATATTTATCTAAATTACCGCATAAAATCTTCCCTTGAATGTTCAAACGCTAGATTTACGAACCTTTAGTTTCCTTCGCAAGTTCGCAAAATTCCTTCGCTAAGTTAGCAAGTTTCCTTGAGCCGTCCCCTTCATCAGCATGCGCAGATGTAATGCGCATTAGGTTTATCAATGGTGCTCACAGTAACCGATCTATCGTAAGTTTTCACCAAGTATTTTCAATTAACTCCCTCAAGTTAAGATCTTCGATTCACTAGATCTGAAGCTGATCCTATGAAGATAGATAATGGGCACATGAAAATCCAGTCGATCGCACATTAAGGAGGGTAATGATGATAAATTAGGTATGAAAACAAATCTACTTTCGGTTTCATTTGATCAGCTATAATTACAAGATTCTACCGTGTTAAATGATGCCCAGTATTGTGGTCGGACTTATATTGCCGTTTTAGACTTTGGAATGATTGCAAAAATTTTGAATTTCAACATGAAACGCTTTGACCCCAATTTGTGTAACTCCACACAGGGAGAAACTCCTCTCCCACTCCATTCACACCCATGACTCGCTGGACCAGATAATCAGATGATTAGTAGTGACATTTTTCTTGCAATTGCCTAATTAATTAATTGTTAGTTGTTAATGTGCTATAAGAGTACAATAAAAGGTATGCACAAAATCAAAAAATAGATTTTGTATGTGGTTTCTACATTTTGTATGCATTTTTACTCAAGAAAAACACTTTTATAGCTTTGACTCAACTTTTTTTCTTGTGACTCACTTTTTTGAAACTACCTGAGTCATGATGACTCACAAAAATATATGCCTACCGCCACCGCTGTAACTGAAATACAGTATCACTGTAGTTTAGAATCGATGATGTTCAACGAATATAAAAAGGGATAGATAACCATTTCCCCAATTTCAAATTTTGCTTTTTGCATAGGGCAAAGGGGTGCAACGTCGATGTGTGGGGTAATGACGACATAAGAGATGGGGCAACTTTGACACTTACTTATTAGAAGTAGAATTTCCGTTTTCCGTCGTGTTTGATTTCTGGAAAAATTAAAATCTTATGAGATCTCGATCCATGTGTTAAAAAAAACATGGCTTCCCTCTAGATCGGAAATCAGAGAAAACAAACAACTAGGTGTTGAAGTTACCTCAAAATGGTGTTGGTGTTACACTCCTTCGCCCAAAGCGGGTCTTGGCAAACATTTGCCTGTGTCTGTTTACTTCGTCATATCCTTCAAATAATTATCAGAGGCAAATAATGGCATCTCTTAATGGGAGGTAATTACTTTTTCTGAGGTTTGCGTAATAGCATTTTTCTGGTTTGGAAAAATGAATAGATTTCTGACCCATCGTTCTAAAGGAGGGATTACACGTAAGCCTCCATCTTTTGTTAGTCAGTTTTCTCCCAAAGGACCTAGATTGACATTCACTACAGCATCACGTGGTGGTAGACCTAACATTCTTAAATCCATTTGGAAAAGTTGATGATGGACATTTTGAAACAACATTACTACCCAAAAACTGAAGTGAAAGTTTCGGCAATCTCAACTCCTAAATTCCACCTCAAACTAGTTGGTGATCTAAGATGTGCTTTATGGTCCTATAATTGCTAATCTTTAAGGTTTGATTGACCTATAAAAGATGACTTCAGTCCAAACCACTTTGTGAGTTAATCAAACCTAAAAAATAAACAGTAGAAGTGTAATATTATCTGGAAAAATACAGTTGTATTTTAGATATAAAAAACTTCTGCATATTTCAGATGATAAGTCTCTTTTTGTTAAGGCCAGGGTGCATTTTGCTGCATTCCTCAATTGAGTCACAAGTTAACTTTCAAACAGGAATCACTCCTTCCCCACATTGTTTACATCTTCCAGTTTTGCACCAAGAGCACACTTATGTGCCTGGAAAAGACTGGTGAGAAGATTTGTTTTGTAAAATGTATTAAAAACGAAAAAATCAGTGAAAATATTCAGAATTTTTTTTCGTTTTTTATACATTTTATCAAAACAATCTTCTTCACATTCTTTTCTAGGTACATTAGTATTTGTTGTGCAAAAGTGAGAGTGGGGAAGGAGTGATTCAAATTTGAAAAATAACATGTGACTCAATTGAGGAATGCAGCAAATTTCCGAACATGCACCTTGACCTTAAAGGCCCACTAAACTTAATTTAAAAGAAAAAAGTTATCATTGACACATGTTACTTTTTTTTTTTATTAATCATCTTTATTATATTCCATAAAATACAGATGTACTTCGCCATCTTTCAATGATTTTGATAAAAACTTGATATATAAAGCTTGACAGATCGAAAATAATTTTTGATTGATTATTGTAAGCTTTGATGTGGTCCGTTTGCGCTGTTGTTGGTGTCAAATGAAAGATAGGCTTCTTAACAATATATTGGACATTCTATAGAATTCAAATAAAAGTTTTTTATTTTGCCCAAAAACATTGAAAATATGCAAAGTGGGCCTTTAAGGGATTTTCAGCAATGATAAGTTTTTCGAAAATAACATATATATAGAAAAGTATAAAAATATAAGAGCTAACTATTATTTCCATATTTTCAATTTTACAATTAAAGAGCCAGAAGACACTTACCTTATGTTTATGTAAAAGTTTAGAACCAAAATATTATTTACATTGATTTGCCACTAATCTGTTGTTTGGTTTCAGGGGATGGACTTCTGACTATCTGCAAACTAAGGCAAGACTTATAGCTCCACCAAAGTGACGTTTTCCTCACTATACAGACAAGAGAAATAGAGAAATACACAATGGCGGAAGACTTTGACGTGGAGGCCATGTTGGAGGCACCTTATATGAAAGAGGTAGGTCAATACTTACAAGAAAGTGATTTCTTTATTGTACAAATCTGTATAAACCTACAGTATATAACATTTAGATAGTTTAAATATATATTCAAACAGTGAAAGTAATACTTCCAATAGTATGAAATGTTTGTGTATCTTAAACTAAGTACCTTCATTGTTTTGTTCTGTCATAGATTGGTCGAAACTTGTTAATACAGCTAAGTCCTAGAGAAGTTACTTAGGCCTACGAGAGGCTTCGTTTCATCTAAGAAGGGTAATAAAATCTTTAGCTTAAATTCAAAAGTATTTGCACAATTGTTTGCATGTACATGTATCTAAATGTGAGCAGTATTTATATGATGATAGGTGACATATAGACTAATTGAAACCCTTTACCTACAGCATTATTCAAGTAAAATATATAATGTTTTGGTCAAGAATCAATGTGGAAATTTTATTTTAGACCAATTGGTTTGATTTGATATCATTTGGAATTCAGATTTCTGTAGAATTCTCATTTTGTCAATATTTTTGAAATTCGTTTTTTCTCCCAATGTTTCCACATAGACTCAACTGCCATCTATATACCATATTACAACATGTCCCTCCCTCTGTGCAGGGTACCAAGCCTGATGGATGTGACTTGCCTCCTGTGGGCGTGACGAGCCACCATAGCTGCAACCTCAGAAAGCAACAATGGGATGGGCAGGGTTGGGTTTTTGGGTGTATTTAATGTACATGATGCTTTTTTGGAACAATTTGGTACAAAAACGCATTTTATTGAAACTGTTTAACAATTGTTTTATTAATCTTCCCTGTTCAGATCTTTCTGTAACACTCTTAAAGCATAGAACAAATCAACTCCCAATGGCCACTTAAAAAATACAACCAATTTGGCAAGTAATCCTTCAAAATTCTGTTATGACTTGATTTCTTTTTCATTTGTGCAGTTAAATATTTTACATCTTTATATTTTTAAGTTTGTTCTATGCGATTTCTTAAGTTTGCTAAAGTTTCTGTGCACCATTATTACACAGAAGGCTGGATATCTTGAGAAAATCAGGTAATCAGGTAACAAAGGAATGGTGAGTTTCATGCCAGAAACTTTAGCTGACTTATTTCAAAAATTCTCAGATGCAGGCTTTTAGATTGCATGTTTGTTTCATGCCCATAATCTCTACACACCCCTAGCTTATTATATTCCCATTGATGTATTCTAGCCTAGGGATGTGAAGTGGTTAGTTGGTAAATGAGCAATATTCATACCACAACAATCCATTTCAGCCAAAATCTTTCAGTCATATTTCAAATCATTAGCAAAATATTAATTGGCTGTTCTGTTTTGTTTTCTCCCTCCCTCTACTTGCTGGTGTTTGACTATGCTGTTTCACCTGTAGGATGATGTGAGCCAGGGGAAGAGCAATGGTGACAGAGATGACCGAGACAGGTAAATTACTTCATATTCATTACATTTGGAAAAAATATAATCTTTTTGTGTCTTACACAAATTTACATGTTTATTCCCTTCTTCTTAGTTTTAAAAAACAAATACAAATATGACCTATATTATCCCCTTTGATTCTGGAAACCTGGTTCTCTTTTAAAAACATGAAAAATGATGTCATTTAACCTTTAGCATGCTGACTTAATTTGTCCATTTCATCGCGTGTGACTGACTTATTTTGCAAGAAAATGATATACTGGACTTATGATAAATATCTCGATTACTACTGAATGAATCTGGATGAAATTTTCTCAAAAGGAAGATACATTGTCCGTTACCGGGATCATATATTTTTGATTTATTTTTTTAATAAATAAACATAGCTGTGCATACTAAACTATGAATACTCCACCGCTACACCCCTTGGAAGACTCAATGTCGGGTCAGAATCCAAATCTGAATTTGCAGCGATCTAATGTTCAACTTTTCAGTTCAGAAAATATTCTAGTTTCTATTTTCGATGTCCATTAGTGGTTTCAAAAAGCCTAAAGAGCTAAAAATCAAGTATAAAGTCAAGTATGGCACTGAATAAGACATGCAATCTTATTGGATAATAAGAATGGCTGAAAAAGTGAAGTTTTTAAAAGTTTAAACTGTGTCGACCTGGAGTTGCCGGCAGTCACACGGGATAGGATAGCACGTGCGACTCTGCTCGCCGGTAGCATGCTAAAGGTTAATAACATGAGTAATGAATTGATATTCTTCTCAATCACAAATTTTTCTCAAAGAACTCAAACGCAACATATCAAACAGAGCTCTAGAAAAGTCGTTAGTCTAAACTTGTGTGTTTTAAATATGTCGTAGGTAGCAGGAAATTTCTATGGTTTTGAGGGCTTTAATTCAGCCAGCTGAACAGGTATGTGCTAAATGAGAGCCCCAGGTTTACACTCAGGCCAGAAATCACCGCTATGCCACATCGGGAGTAAAAAACCGTACAAGTGCTCAAGATCATTTTGCTCTTTAATAAGAGATATTTCACTGATCTTGCCAATATGAATCAGAATATGTAGTTAATCGCTATACTACATCTCTGACTATAAGTAGCTTCATTATCAATTAAAGTACTCATTTAAAGGCAAATGGAGCTGCATTTGAGATTGTTAAGACTTTGTAAGCATCAAATTTAAAATCATATTTAATAGTCAGGAAGTCATGTGGCTAGCTGATGGAGATACAGGGTAGGGGTGAATTAGGGAGGCTTTGACATGAATTTTTTCACAATTTTATTGACATCATTTAAACATTCTAAAAATCCATGTATTACAAACAAGATTAATTATGCGTCAATGCCTGCTGTAATGTTATCATATTCTTAAAATTGGTTCACAATTATGCCCATTGAAAAATGTAGGAAAAGTCATGTATTCATGAAAAAAATGTGTTTCAGTGTTCATCCTTAGTATTACCCAGCTATCTTACTCTATACAGTTGCTAGTGTTTTTGGCGTTGTGCATACACATTTTATAACAATGTCCTAGACCTATTTCATATTTCATATTTTTATTTTCTTATTCTGAATATACATGTTGTAATATTTAAAATCTTAGAGGTGGAAATAAAGACCCCATAAACATACACCCTTTTTTAAACTGATGTACTTTTTAACTCTAAACTCTAAATGCAGCAACTAAAGAATGCAAAATCATGTGACCATGATATACATGTACATTGGTTACAAATGACAACTGTTAGGATCACAATCTCTTGGGTATTGAAGTAGCAATCCATCACCAAATTTTCAGAATCCTAAAGCTGTTGAGCAAATTGTTTGGCAAATGTCCAACAGATAAGAGAAGTCAATATCAGTATTAATCTCTAAGTGTTTTACAGTATAAACAACTATAAGCATTTAAAATGCAGATTATTAAACAATTCAATAATTTCCAGGCGTCGACGTAGCAGAGACCGAGACCGGGATGATCGAGACCGTAAGAGAAGGTGAGATCTCTCATTTTTTGTAATTCATTAAAAGTAAAATATCTGGTCTCAAAAAAATATATGCATGATTACAATGAAACCTGTAAAGTGGAACGCCTCTGTTTGTGGAACACTTTTCAGAGTGCCAACCAACTTACTTAATGTTGAATGAACCTCTATAAGTAAAATACCTGTTTCGTTATGTGTCATTTATTTTTTGATGTTATATTCAAAGACATATTGTCCTTTTAATGTCACCGCCACTTCACTTTAACTATTAAAGTGGTAGTGTTTGGTGTCCATTGACAGTAAAATTGCTTCTGTAACATGGTGTCTGTAATAAATGGCACATGGTGACACGATGCATGTTGATGCTTTGTATAATTATGAAATGTGTAGAAAAATTCAATAGAAATTGATGTTTCTGTTAATGGAAGTTCAATTTAATATTTACTTACATTGTAGAAGTCGCAGCAGAGACCGAGATAGAGATAGGAAAAGGAGAGACCGGGATGACAGAGACAGAGGAAGGAGTTCAGATCGAGAGAGAAGAGACAGAGAAAGAGATAGAGATCGATCTAGCAGGGATAAACCTAGAAGAAGGTCGCGTTCCAAAGATCGAACAGATAGATTTCGTAAACGATCTACATCACCAATAAGGTAAACATTTATGCTACTCCTGGTGTTCTCATGTTCAATATTATTCTCTAATCCATGGCTATGGAAGCAACTAGATATATTTGATTTGAGAATGGAAAGTTTATCTCGCGCCAGGTGATTTTACAGTAGATTGTAAACAGTATATTGTGCTTATTTCAAATTCATGAATCATTTGTTTATAAGGTTTTGCCTCTCCATGGAGCTTTCTAGTTAGAATTCTTTGAAGTAAATACATGATTATTATCTAGTTTAATGGCTCAAAATGTAATTATTCTGTATTGACCCGAATAGTCTCCTATTTTTTATATGTTGCCATGGTCTCCAACTTTTTTTGTGGATGGTGTTTGGTGGTCAGTGTTCAGCAGATGGTGTTTTGTGGTCAGTGGTTCAGCCATTTGTATTCTGTGACAAATGACAGGTGGTGACATTTTGTATGTTGATGTCTTGTACTGTATTTGTTTCTGTCTTGTAGGACTGCATTGCCTGAGATGACTCCAGAAGAGAGAGATGCCAGGACAGTCTTCTGTATGCAGCTAGCGGCTAGGATCAGACCCAGGGACTTGGAGGAGTTCTTCTCATCAGTTGGACAGGTCAGTTAGGATTGAGTTACTATGTCAACCCCACAAGTGTTGACATATTTTTATAGTCTGACTTTTTGTGGCTGTGGATGGTGTTCGGAGTTCAGCATTCGGCATCTGTAACAAATGGCAGTTGCTGACATTTTGCATTATTTTGCATGTTAATGCCTTGTTTACTGATATGTTAGTCTGTGAAAAGTCATAAATCATGGTATTATCTTATTTTAAACAATTTGAAGGAGTACTGTATTTCACCTTAGACCTATGATGATGTCACGTGCACCACGCTGAGTTAAAACATTGTAGAATGGCACATCTCACCGAATCATAACATCTGAGGTCTTCGATGGTTTCACTGCTAGATATCTTGTAAATTCATGCATGTGCTGAACTCATATTCAAATAATAATCTAAATTGAAATTTTCCATATGAATAAATGTGTAATACTGTAAATTGGATTGATTTGGCGCTGCTGAATTTGGCAGTTTTGCCATTTTTCTAAACTTTGGCAATTTTGCCATTTTTCTAAACTTTGGTGAAAGATGTAAATTCCAGTCTTCCCATTTTTCCAAATTCGCTAAAATAAACTGGGTGTCAACTTAACCTAATCTGTAGTATGTAATGGCATGAGATGATTGATATCTTTGGTCGTATCACTGTTACGTAACTTCTCTTACATTCATTTTTCAGGTACGAGATGTTCGAATAATCACAGACAACAAGACCCGGAGGTCTAAAGGCATTGCATATATAGAATTTAAAGACACTGAATCAGTGACACTAGCCTTAGGCCTCAATGGCCAGAGATTACTAGGTGTACCCATCTTAGTTCAAGCCTCTCAGGCAGAGAAAAATCGTGTAAATGCTGCAACAGTTGGTATCCCAGGTATCAAAGGGCATACTGGACCCATGAGGCTGTATGTTGGATCTTTACATTTTAACATTACTGAGGATATGCTGAAGGGAATCTTCTCGCCATTTGGGAAGGTAAGTCATTGAAGGAATGCAGAAAAGGTACTGATCTGTGCATTTACAAAATAGAGTAACATCAATATGTCAGGGTGTCAGTTCTGTCTGTACTTTTGATTTTGACTTGAAGAATGAGTCCTTACCATGATTCATTGTGGCTAAATTCATCTGAATTTATGATCTATGGGAATTGAAATTGATATTTAATGGATTGTGGGTAATCTTGATTGAGCGCCTGTATTTGCAATAATAATTTTATATTTTAAAGTGACCTATGATGATGTCACGTGCACCACGCTGAGTTACGACATTGTAGAATGGCACATCTCACCGAATCATAACTTCTGAGGTCATTTTAACAATCATAGAATATTTCTAATGATTAGATAAAAATTAACAGCAATTCTCATTTCAAGAAGATGTAAAAAATCGCAGGATTTCTCAATTCAAAAAGAGTTAAAAAATTGCAGCATTTCTCAATTCTAAAAGATGTATTGTATGGAAATATGGGGCATTATTTGGCTCTTGAGAGGTAGAATGTTTAAAAAAAATTTGAATGTATGATCAAATTTTTTGTTTTATTATTTGTTTTACTAGTTTTATCTAACATTGATTAATAGGGTCAAATAAGTAGATATATTGTGTGTTATTTCTACTACAGTAGCAGTCTATTTTTTAGATTGACCATTTGAACCTAGTCATGGATAATGAAACTGGAGTTTCTAAAGGTTACGGCTTCATCACAGTAAGTCTTTATACTATGTATGTAAACAAGGGCTCCCCAGGCACGACCATTCCACTGACATTGCCAATAAATGATACAAATAATGGCACAACTCACCAAGTTGTAGTGGAATACATAGTTCAGGATTGAATTATGTACTTGTTATTTGTATCAAAAGATATCATCCATTGATGACAATAATAAAACATGTTATTCAGGGGGTCATTGAAAGAAATGTTCCAAAAGTTAAGAATTCCAAATCCATTGGTCTCTTACTATGATGTCATTATATCCATGGTTACAACAATTGGTTAGGAATTCTAACTTTATGAAGTTCTTGTATATATTTCTGCCAATGAACAACATGTTTTACAGTACAAATTGGTTTTACTGTCAGTGTTGGATAATGGTCGTGGCTGGCTCCATCTATTATGTGTTGCTCACGCACACTTTATAATTACAGATTGAACACATAAACCTCGTGATGGACAACGAAACAGGTCGAAGTAAAGGCTTTGGATTTGTGTCGGTGAGTTCATCTATGAGCATGCAGTATTTCAATTCAGATATTTGGAGCATGCGATTTTTGAATTTATTTTCTGATATTAACATATTGGGTTATTTCATTTGTTTTTTGTCCCTGTATTTTCCTTTTTAAGTTGATTTGTTCCAATCACAGTCAAAATTTGTTCCAATCACATTCAAAATTCTGGAAATTAAAAAGTGCAAATCTTAATTGATTCCCCTTTTCAGGCTTTCAAAATTGCTTCTTGTAATTGTTATTTTTACCTCATCCTAGTGAAATGTTTGGTAATCTGCAAAATATATGCAACTCAAATAACATCTTTGTTGTTAGGAGAGCCCTATATGTGCAGTGGTTATCATTGAAGTGAGAAAACATGTCTGTTAAACAGGAAGAAGATTTTGATACCAACTTATGGGCACCTACATATATAGCAGTGATTTCAATAGAATTCATAACAGGCTAAATAAATGAAAATAACAGGCAAAATTAATTGAAATCATGAAATTAACATGGAAAAGTTAAAGATTCCCTAAAAACAACAGGCGATAATCTGAAAACAACTGATGAAAATCACCTGTTGCCTGCTGCTCGTGAAACCCCTGTTACTCTCATTTTGATTATACGAGATGTATATGGGGTGTGAGATGATACAAAGTTAAAAACTGTGTCATTTAATTCTGTTTCTCAGTTTTCCAAAATGTTTTTCTTCTTAAATTCATTATGATCTGTAAAAGGTTCCATCAAAAGACTTTGAGAAAAATCTTCTTTTCTAAGAATATCAAAGTTTGAAACAGTACTCACCTAGTTAGAAATTTCAAATTTAATTTTATGACTGTCACCTTTTGAAAGCTATTCCTATGGATGTGATTTTTTCAAACAAGTCTATTGATGATGAAATAACACACTCTTTTCTCATGTATATTGGATTCATTCACAAATGGAACTGAAAATGTAATATTTGAGCTTGAAGTATAATTTATTCACTCATTTGAAATATGTCCAAAGCTTTAGTTAAATGAGGATTATGTGTGCAACTGTATTTGTTCATATCTTAGAATTCAGAAATAATACAGAATTTCACTAGAGTCAAAATATTTCTGATTTCTCAAATCTGGGGGATGGCATATATATTGTATATTGACCTATGATGATGTCACGTGCACCACGCTGAGTTACGACATTGTAGAATGGCACATCTCACCGAATCATTACCTCTGAGGTCTTTTGCAATCCATATATGTCCCACAAACCAAATATTCTTTATACAGAAATATTTTATTTAATGATATATGAAATCTTCCAACAGATATTCCAAAGTGTGCATTTGCTAAAAATAAAAAAAGATAAATAAGTGGCACCAGTTAATGAGATGAATTCATTGATGATATTGAACAATTGAATTCCATATTTTTGTCCATATTTCAAGCCAAATTCTCCTTCCAGTTCCATGATTCTGATGATGCCAAGAAAGCATTGGAGCAACTGAATGGCTTTGAGCTAGCAGGGCGACCAATGAAGGTGGGACATGTCACCGAAAGGACGCCTGACCCCCAGGGAAGTAACGCATTGGACACAGATGAATTAGATCGAGCAGGAATTGATCTTGGTGCCACAGGACGTCTTCAACTTATGGCAAAACTCGCCGAAGGTAAAGAAAATAATTTATCAAATAGTAACTTTAAACATGCTAATAAAGTGAAATGTGCCTCATGCCTTGAATAGTAAAGATAGTCTCCATTTATCAATAAACTTGTTGTTTTGACTGATTTTGTTGCATTTGATTTCCAGGTACTGGGTTCCAGCTCCCACAGGCAGCGGCAAATGCTTTGAACATGCCTCAGTCTGCCCCACCAAATACTAGCGTGCCAGGGGTACCCCAGCAGGCATCACCAGCGCCCCCTGCACAGCAAGCAGCAGCGCCACCTATAGCCACACAGTGCTTTATGCTCTCTAATATGTTTGATCCAATCACGTAAGTATTCAACATTCAAGAAATTATGTATTCTTATTCAAATTTAAGATAAAATGCTTTAAATTGAACCAGTCTATTTTCAGATTCATCAACAAAGATGTCAAGAGTCAATATCTGACCTTTGAGATTTGAAATTTTAATTTTTGTTGACTTTCAAATACTATTGGCCAAAAATGTTGCATGGAAATCATGTAAGATTGCTTGCAATGTCTAGTCATAGTATCATTACTTTTTCTGCAATTGAAAGCTGAAATTTTGATAACCTCCTCCCCTCTATGATGTATCTACATTTTATTTTAATCACTATTATCTCATTTATTACAGAGAAAGCAGCCCAACATGGGAGCAAGAAATCAGGGATGATGTAATAGAAGAATGTAACAAACATGGAGGGGTTCTACACATATATGTTGATAGGGCTTCCCCCCAGGGCAATGTCTATGTCAAGTGTCCTAGTATAGCTGCAGCTGTTGCCTCCGTAACTGCACTACATGGTCGCTTCTTTGCAGGTAAGGGAACTGTAATGGTGTGGAAAATATGTTCAAGACTGAATTCTGAATATTTGATATAAGTTGGTATAACGAGGACAGCTTATTATGTGCTGCTGTAATGTAGAAACTACTGACAGAGTAATGTCATTAATGCATCCCTTGGGCAGATATAGATAGTAGATACCATAGTCTCAATTGCTTTATTTTTGTTGGTCTTATGCTGCTCAATGGGTGCCACATAATTCTCTACATCAAAAGATCTGATTAGGTTTTTGGCATGCTGGGTAAATTACATCGTGGCCATTTTGCTCTTTTAAGTGTAATATTTATCAATGTATGTCTTGTTGAGCCAGTACATGTATATGTATTTGTATGTGTTCCAGGGAGAATCATCACAGCAGCATATGTCCCTTTACCCAACTACCACCAGCTGTTCCCTATGGCCCTCAATGCAGTACAGCTAGTGATGCCCTCAACAATACGACAGTCTGGATTCATGTAGCACCTTGCCTGATTATAGTGGACCTGAACTTCCTCATGGATAAACTAAGAACTTTAGCTTATATGACACACAGTACTATACAGTTAAGCAGGGTCATATAGGGGCACGAGCTCTTATTGATCCTGGTAGAATTAGAATTTTGGATAAACTTGTAACTCTTGCTTTCCTGACCCTCATACTACACACTGGTCTGATTACAAGCCCTTGGTTGGCACTGGACCTCATTACATAAAAAAACTAGTTTTTATGTAGCTCTTTATTATGAATATACACCATTGGGGTTACAGATTTGTAGCTGCAACCCCTTTCTGATTGTATATCTGAATTGTTGTTGGAACAGGGATGCTATTGGGCCTTTTGTGAAACTTGGGATGATTTTGCTACAAATTTAATACAATGGGGTATGGAATAAATAAGGATATATTTTAATGTGGCTGATCAGAGATCCTGCCTGATTACTTCTGCTATTATGGGTCATGATATCCCATATCTGGATAATATGGAGCCATCTCATATTTTGACCAACTACATGTATATTAATGCTGCAGCATGTTATCTAGCGTCAATGCCTGAATTATTATTTATGTGGAATTGTGTAGTACTGCAGATCTTGGAACTTAAAATCCTGCAGATTTGCGATATTCACACTTTATATAATAAAGAAAAACATTCTGGGTGCTGAAAAGACACAAAATAAGGCTGAAGTTGATTTTTTTAGTTCTTTTATTTTTAAGCACATTCCTTAAATAACAATAATGATTATGAAAGAATGTAAAATGACTTGATTTGTTGTAAGTTCATTTAACCCTGAAATGATCACATTAGGAGAGGGCATGATGCCAAGTTGACAGAATTATTTTTATGAAATTGTCATATATACAGTAGAAATATAGACCTATATAAAAATGGATTTTGTTATTTTAAATATGTAAATACAATGGCAAAATTGCATGCTTTATACTGTAGAGATACTTATTTTGATGTTACTTAATTTGGTGGATTCAGAACTGAAGTTTAATTTTTGTCTACTTTAATTGTTTATGTCATTAGGACAGGTACTTTCGAAGATATTTTCTGTATTTCTTTTAGAATTGATGACATGTAAGGGGGCCCAGAAGTTAAGTTTCTGAAGTGCATTGGATGAAAATTCCAAACTGAAAGATTTTCTCAATCCGTCAAATTAAAACGGGAACCAAATAAGTGTATCTACAAGTACAAATTCTCTTTCAAAAAAAATGGAGATGGTCTTTATTTTTGGTCAAGGGGGAGTTGCTATTGGGTACAGAAAAACTCTTAAAAATGTATCCCATATTAAGATGAAAACTGATGGAATAGTAGGTATATCTATTGGCATTAATACAATTAATTTGCATATATTATCTGTTTATTTACCCCAACCACAGTGTCGGAGTCAATGTTTCGATAGTGTATTAAACAATTGCATGAAATAGTACAAACACTTTCTGCTACTGGTAATATTGGTGATATGAATGGATGTCTAGGGAATCTTACAGGTCCAAGATATACTTATGTCAAAGAAGGCATTGGTAGATCGTGTATAGATCATAGTCTCGTGTCGGATTCTATTCTTCAGAATGTCAAAGAATGTAGAATTATTGATGAATGTTTAGAAAATTTGTCAGACCATCTGCTTTTGTTCATTAACATTGATATGGCGGACCTCCATGCTAATCTTATTACTCCAAAGCCTTGCATTGCATGGTCAAAAATGACAAATGAAGATGTGGCACATATACACAGATGACAATATGGAGGATCCTTTCACAAATACAGAATTAGAGCAGGCGGTACATCTAATGAAACCTAAAAGAGCCTCGGGACATGATAATATCACTTCGGAACATATTAAATATGGTGGCCCTTGTGTATTAGAAATCCTTACAATCTTGATGAATTGTATCATACATCAAGAATATGTTCCATTTTGAAATTGGAATCTTAATCCCACTTTTTAAGGGGGCCAGAAGGACCCACTAAATAAAGATGACCATAGGGGCATAACATTGATGATACAGTTTAGTAAGTTGTTTGAAAGATTATTACTTATGCGCTCTATGCAAAACAAGCGAGTAAAGGATATACATGAACTTCAAGGTGGTAATAAACTACACTGTTCGTGTTTACAAACATCTGTCACTCTCCGAGAGACAATTGCCTACAATCTTGAAAGAGGGGGGAAGTGTTACGTTACAGCAGTGGACGTGAGGAAAGCGTTCGATTCTGTCTGGATACAGGGTCTCGTGTATATTCTTTACAAGCAGGGTATACATGGAAAGATGTGGAGAATTATCAATATATGGTACAATATTTACAGATGTGTCATCAGAATAGGAAATAAATTATCACAACCATTTAATGTATTACAGGGAGTCCATCAGGGTGGGGTCCTGTCGATGTACCTCTATATGCGATTCACATCTGGCCTATTGGAGGAATTAGCTGCTTCTGGACTAGGAGCTGGAATTGGGGACTTGAAGCTTACAAGCCCAGCAGCATATGCTGATGACATGACCCTGGTAGCTATAGATGCTAATTACATGCAAAAATTGCTGAATATAGTAAAAATGGAGATATAGGTACCACCCCAATAAAACACAAGTTCTTTACTTCCCACCCACCAATACTCATGAAACACAAAAGCCTAAGGAACTAACACTATCAGTGACTTTGTTGGAAATGTGTATGTGTAAACATGTTGGAGTCGACTTGTCATCAACTGGAGATAATACACCATATGTCAATGAAAAATGTAGGACAGGACGCATGACAATGAATGCAGGGATTGGACTAGTATCCATGGACACTGTATGGTATAATCCCCTCACTGCATCACACATACATTGGAGTATGTAGTGCCATCAGTGACATATCGAGTAGAAGCGATTGTTCTGACTGAAAAAGAAATGAATATCTATGAAAACACACATTTTAAAATAGCGAAACAACTGCTGGGTCTTCCTCTTAATACGGCAAACAGTGCATGTTTAGCACCATTAGGGTGGAATAATATTACAACTATAATCTTACAAAGAAAGCTCATGTTTTTATGGCAGTTACTAATGTTACCAGTGGATGTAGTTAATAAGAAAATTGCCATCATAAGAGTGTGCCAATGGTTGAACAGCACGCTTACTCCCACAAACATTACGACTATGAGGTTGTTAATTTACGTTCTTGGAACCGATAATTGAGACTTTAAGCAATGCATGTTAAATCCAACGTGAAACCTGTACGTATACATCGCCCTATACAAATGCATGTCGTTTTCTCACATAAAACAATCGTTCGGTTACGATGTTTACTTAGTCCGTTACTTAGACTGCACATCATCGTGAACTATGCCATGGATCGTTATACAGCTGGTTTTCTATGATACATATTTTAAACATTCTCGTTTCGTAAGATATTTGGAGCTAAAACATGTATGACACACATCATTTTCTCTAAAAAGCATTATACTATGCATCGAAATCAAACTTGTCAGCATAGTATTCAAAAATCATGAGTATACTGATTCCCGTTCCATACCTGCCAACCTACCGTATTTTTACGGGAATCTACCGTAAATTTTTTGTTTTTTCGTAAAAAAATGACAAACTACCGTAAAAATACCATTTTTTCCCGTAAAAACGCCCGTAAAAAAATCTACCGTATTTTTTCCGAAATCTTCCGTAAATTTCTTTTGAAAAAAATCGTTTTTTCCATTAGAACGGCCGTAAAATATACCGTAATTTTTTGAAAATTTACCGTAAATTTTTGAAAATCTACCGTATTTCTGCTAAAACCAACAGTATTTCTGTTCAAACTACCGTAAAAATCTCCCGTTATTGTTGGGAAATGCTGAAAAATTGAAGTCTCCCTGTACTGTCCCTGTAACATTCCTTTACCAACCCGAATATAAATAGGCATCGGCAGGTCTGTGGTTATATCAGGTTATTGCGCATTAATCTAAGTAAGCTGGGGTGTAATCAGTCCAAACACCAACTACCACTTGAAGGAATTAGTTCTGCCATGATTTCTGTAGTTAACCAAACCCTTTTGTACACAGATCAGATCTCTATGGACCGAATGCAACAAAAATATGATTTTAGTTGCGCTTCATCTAAATAAATGAGTGGAAATGCTTAAAACTACTTGTTTTAGCGTATGAAATATGCGTAGTTTGGTTTGTTATGATCAGTAATGAACGCCACATATACATTATACATAGTTTTATCAATTTGTTTTCAGTATGATAAAATGTTGTATTTTTCATTTGATCACATCATATCAGTAACAAATACATAATTAAAAAATAAATCACCCCAGATATTGACAACTCACACTTAATCTGTTGAAATGATTATATGGGTTAAAAATGTTTCGTGGCGGTTCAAAAGTTCCACTTATAGAGCTAGAGGTGTTCCACTTAGCAGGTTCAATTGTAGTTATAAAAACACTGAAGTGTTCAAATTGTTGATCTGTTTATGAGAGAGTTCAATGGATCCTGCGTTAACATAATGTTTTATTAATTAGTTTTTAAGAAATCGACCGCAAAAACTACCGCATTTTTTCTAAATCTACCGCAAAACTACCGCATTTTTTCAAATTCTTCTGCAAAACTAGTTTTAAAAAAAATCTACCGCAAAAACTACCCCATTTTTTCAAAATCTACCGTAAAATACAGCATTTTTTGCAAATCTTAAGCAAAAGTACCGTTTTTTTTAAAAAATTACCGTAAAAACTACCGCATTTTTCAAAGTCTACCGTAAAACTACCGCATTTTTTCAAAATCTTCCGCAAAATTACCGGTTTTTTCAACAAACTACCGTAAAAACTACCGGATTTTTTCAAAATCTACCGTAAAACTACCGCATTTTTTCAGAATTTTCCCCAAAACTTCCGGTTTTTCAAAAAGCTACCGTAAAAACTACCGCATTTTAAAAATCTACGGTAAAACTACCGCATTTTTTCTAAATCTTCCGCAAAACTACCGCTTTTTTCAAATTTCTACCGCAAAATTACACATTTTTCAAAAATCTACCCCAAACCTCTGAAACTTCAGTATTTTTTTCAAATCTACCATAAAAACTACCGTTTTTTTAAATCTTCCGCATAAACTACCGTTTTTTAAAAAAGCTACCGCAAAAACTACCGTTTTTTTAAATCTACCGCAAAAACTACCGTATTTTTGTTGAAAAATACCGCAAAAACTACCGCATTTTGAAAAAATCTACCGCAAAAATACAGCAATTTTAAATAAATCTACCGCAAAATGTTGGTCCTGGGTTGGCAGGTATGCGGTTCCCACCAACGTGAAATTGCAAATCTTCCGTTCTAAACACAGCTCTGAAGCTGATCGGGTATCTGTAAGTAGCGCTTGTTTTGTATGCGCGCTATATACATTACTGTATTGATTTATTGGCTTTGCGTACACGGTTACGTTGTGAAAAAATATCGCTAGCTTAAACTCTCTAATAACGACCTTAAGGACGTAAATTAACGACCTTATGGTCGTACATTTACGTTCTTGTGGTCCATTTTGGACGATCTAAAAGTAAGTACGCATGTAAAAATGCAGTAAAATGCCGTGATGTACAGTATCTGACGTCGTATCATAGTGCTCGCATTTTGTTCAAAAAATACACAAATGTTACACAAAATCGGAAATCATTTGTATAACTCGGCATACCGCACTTTGCTCCGATTCACATTAAGTATCGAATCACCCCTAGCTATTGAAATACAAGCACCACACAACATTTGATCATGATGCAATTGCTTTTTAGAGCTAACGCACGTTAGGTTGCAATGACATCAATGAGCTCTCAGAATGGCCATATTTTACATAGATTATGTGTGGCGCCTGCATTTTACATCTTTAATGATCAGAGTGAGATAAATGTATAAATTAATATTCGCACTATACTAGTTCAATGCATCACTGTATATTATGCTATATATGAAATATTAGCTTTTTGTGAAAAATCTCTCAACTGTGCAGAATTTCTTCAAGAGGATATTCCTTGCCAGAACATTTCTCTCCTGATAGCTATAACCATATTTATCACGACATACTATGTAAAATTCCAGTAGTCTGATTGGCAATCTCACACCAAAACTAGATCATTTGCATGTGAAATTGGTCATTGAAAACTAGATGTAAACTAAATGTAAATTATGATTAATAGGATGTCATTAATATTTGTTCTATTTGTTTTGAAACTTGTAAGTTACGACAAATTCACACTTCAGTTGTGTATAGCAAAATCATTTTAATGGCTTAACATTAACAAAATGCATACGTGTGGTATGTAGCATAGCAAGCTTCATGAAGAACCATTTCAGTCACGTAAAATACATAAAGATAATGCATCTTAATATATTCAACATTTAGTACAAAATTTGCAAAATGCATGCTAAAATCATTCTTATCACAGTCAATTTTATAGGCTAAAGTAGATTTTATTCCAAGAAAGTAGAGGGTAATTTTACTAAAATTCAAATCTGTATGCTATCATCAAAAATACCACCATCCTCATTGCATTTATGCTTTACTAATTGTTCATTCTCTGTTATCAGTCTCAAATTTTGAGATAAATTTCATTTTTCATGACATATACAAAATTGTAATTGCAAACTGTTTTGGTATATTCTATTGAATCAATTAAATTCTACTTAGATGTGGCAATTTATTAATCACATTCAAATCTTGGCACTTTTCATATTGTTTAGTCTTTTTCACTCTATCAGGAAAGTTTCGAGAATATTAGAGAGATTTCGCACATAAGTGAAAGTACAACTTATACGTATACGTATGGTTTAAAGGGTCATGTCGAACTATTATATTTACTAAAATCAATTTTAAATTGTACTTAATGGAACATAACTATTCCCGTTATAGAAAAGCTCCATCAACTAGAGACTGTGAATGCACTGTCATCTGCACGTGTAGATTATGCACATTATAATTAAATGCTTGCTAATTCCGTGTCCTTGTAGTTGTACTGTATTATAAATACGATCCTTTAAAGTGAGTCATGATTCTTTAAAGTGAGTCATTACATAAACAAGTTGATTATTTCAATGTTTTCATGATCAGTATAAGTTCTATGAACTTACAAAACGGTATATTTACGTAGATGATAACGTATACAGTTGGATCTCCGTATAAAGATTTGCCTAGAAAACATTTCACTGTTAAAGTGCGTCAGTAAAAGCTATAAAATAAGAAATCAAAATATCATTCAACAATAATATATGGAAAAATATATTCCTATTGAACATGAATGACATTTGTATATCTTGGATTGCTTCTAGTTTGGCTTAGAAAGTGTGTGGCCTCTTATATTTGGATGCTTCTCTGCCATGTTATTTTCAATAAGATTAACATGCCTGAAATTCTTCAAATTACAAGACGGCACAGGCTTATTGCACAAAAAACTAAAAAATCTGAAATATACAAATGTCATTCATGTACATTATGAATATACTTTTCCATATATTATTGCACAATGGTCTCCCAATTTCTTATTTTTGCCGTTCTACTGACGCACTGAAGCAGTGAAATGGACTCTACATGTGTGTGGAACAATTAACCGCAAGCAATTTTTGAAATTATTGGCTGAGTGGGAACAGTATCCAATCAAACACTTTAACCATCAATTTGAAACACCAATCAAACCAGTAGGTTCTAGCAATTCCTGGAAACGACCCATTCAGTAGCTCAACATATGACATACAGGGTGTTTCATAACGAGCATCTCCAAAAAGTCAATTTGAGAAGAGATGGGTCTATAACATACTCATATGAACCACTAACCCCCTCCTTTCTTTCTGGAACTCTCTCTTTCCATTAGAAAAACTCCGCTACAATGTCCTGTTCCTTATAGGTCACACTGCGATTTATAGAGGTTAAAATGGTTGAAAATAACATTTTTCTGGCTATAGGCAATGCCTGGTCTAAAACCTCCGAGGAATTTATTTTCGAAATATGCACAAATGTCCATTCAAAGTCTACGTTTGAACCTTTAAAAGCCATGGTTGGACTGGGGATTGAAAAAGTTCAAGGAACTTTTATTTTGAGATTTTTCTAGGTAGACCGGAAGTAAACAGCGATAATGTTCTTTTTAAGAAGTGAGGAAGTCAAAATAATCCCGATAGAAATCACGTAAATAAATCAAATGATGATCATTAAGAAGCATTTAAACGGTAGAGTTTGAAAAAAAGAAAATCGCTTACTCACGGATGTTAGAGAACAAACTTTCAGCTTTATACCTTAGTTTAATCATGGACTTTGTGATCAGAAGTCCTTGGTTTAATTGACCGTTAACTATTTGCCTTATATCTGTTTTGATGTGGTAAGAATATTTGAGTTGACTATTCAATCAAAAATTGATTATTTAATCAAAGTTTTTGATGTTGGTCTTTTCCTGAGATGTAATTTAACAGCCTCTATATCTTAAATTCCTTTAGAATTCCCTCCATAAGCGACTGGATGTTTTTATAAGATTACATATCTAAGCCCCTAAATGGTTGGATGTTACTTTTTGTTTCTTACATAAAAGTTACATTTCATAAGTTTGGAAATTCATGACATAATTTATGAGACAAAAACAGTGACCATCTTTTAGAAACTTTACCAGTTTTATCGTCCTTACATATGAGCTAGTTATTCTAAATAAGATTTTTATTTGGTTTTGGAATCTGACCACTTGATTACCTTTAAAAAATCAAAAAGATCAATTTTCGCCATGGGTGATTACATGTAAGTAGCGCCATTTTATTGATATTGTCTATAAATTTCATTTTAGGCAACAAATAATTTGATATCCAATTCTCAATTTTGGTCAATAATGTTTCAATTTGTAGACATTATGTGGAGACTAGCTTACTTTACAAGTAGCACTAGATTTTTTCCTGGTGTAAACCTAGTTATCTCAATATAATTTATAAGGTTCATTAGACAATGATGTATAGAGGGGTCAGTTTTATCAGACCTTTTTCTGTACCGTTTTGCGGTTATTTTACTCTATAGCATTGGGATCTGTTCACATCATGAGCTACATAATTGATTGATATAAATATATGACATGTAAAAAAGCGTTGATATCAATATATCTTAATCAATATATAAATATTGATTTTTTCCAAAACGCTTTAAAATTCTGCTTAATTATTGCCAAATTGTGGTGAGCATTACAAAATAGGATATAACTAACATGGTCTCCAAAAACTCTATACCGCAATTTAAGGGTTAGCCCATAACCTATCAGGATATTCCTCTTTGATTCATTTATTCCAACTAGATGTTACACGTGCACATATCATATTTAACCTTCCTTTAAATCCCGATGTCAATTCAAAATTGTTTTAACCACAGTGTCCTTCAACATGACCCCCATTCCTTTCAATTCAAATATCTGCCCTAGATCTCATCGCATATATACTGCATCCCCGATGTCTTCTTGTCCCCTAGATCATCCACTGCAGCAGCAATCCTGGCCCTTATAATGTCTCTTGGTGATGTTGTATAGTATGGACGTTATCCTTGAGATTACCCCAAATAACCATCCTGGCATAGCCATTTCAACCCCTCATTGTTCAGTCATTCATAAAAGAAAACAGTTATCCGTGAAGAAAAATAGACAACTTTGGTATCATAAGAAAGAGGACATCATAACCTATCAGATGGTAGCTGTGAGAATTTCCTATTATTATTCATATTTGAAAAATAAGCAATTAAATCCTGGTTTCCCTTTTTGGGACACCCTGTATAAGAAATTGACTTATATATTTATATAAGAATATTACGTCATTTTTGTTGCATCTTTTTAAAGTGTTCATAGACCTGTATCTTTTATATGAGACAAGCTAATGCTAGAAAACAACAAAGCAATTCAAACTTAATGTACAACTCATTTAACTATGGAAGTAACTATATTCACCAAACACTTTCCTTCAGAGAATAGGAAACAAACTATACCAATACCAATAAACCATGTATATACCTAATGTCAGGGAATACCTGAAAAATAGGTACTCACCAATCATTAACCCTCCGATATCTCAATAAACCAAAATGATATCAATACTATACCTCTTCACAGACAATACCTGAAAAGCAGGTATATATCAAAATAATACCTATAAAACAGGTATAATGAGGCGTATACCTGATATGAGGCATATAACTGATTTGACGCATATACCTGATATGAGGCGTATATCGATACTGCGCCTTTATGCAGTTATGTATACTATTGGTATAATTAGCATAAATGAAACGCACCGTCCTATGGGAATTCAACACATACAAATACCAAAACAGTGCCTCGAGTACGCCTCATGAGTATACCGAAAGTGCGCCTCAGAAAGTATACCAAACCTGCGTCTCTCAATCATTGTCAATAGGCTGGGTTAGCCTGTTGTGAAAAATTCTATAGTGAAACCCCTGAATATACTATTGGAGAAGGTGAAAATAAAATTAATGTATATTAAGATTGTATCTTCTCTCTGAATTCCTGTGAGCAATTTGTTGAAAAACAAAACAAAACACTCTATAGGGGTTCCTGCATATTATTAAATAAATGAATAATTTTTTTTCTGATACTAGTATTCTAAATGATAAGGTGTAATTTATTGAAATGACTTTAATGCTGATATGTATCACAGTGAAAAGGCTATTTAAAGACGGGACATCAACAACTCCATTCATCTGCTGACAAAGGTTCTTGCGAAAAGATCCTAATAAGGTAAGAGTCTCATTTATACATTTCAGGAATTCTAAAGGTCTAAGTGCAGTATGACAAGTGATTTTAGACAGTCATATCCTTAACTTGAATACTCTCTGGGCATAAATAAAGTGGTTTTCATTAAAACAATATATTTTCTTTCAAGTGAAGTACCCATGATAATAAAAATATCAATCGAACAATTCGTAAAATTATGAATAGGGACTCCATGTCAATTTTTTTTCAAAATGTTGAACCTATTTACTCAAAAGCGGATCTTCTTTTTCTGGTTTTTATTACCAATATTTTTGATGACCAAAATTATGCTGAAAGCAATGGATAGCACGAGTTTTCCCTATATATATGTGGTTTTTACCTTTATCAGATTTCAATACACATCTTTTTAGACAATGAGCCTAATATTTTAGTTGGGGTCCTAATTCATAATTCTCCAGAGAGTTAGATTGATACTTCACCATCATGGGGACTTCACTTAAAAGAAAACATATTGCTTTAATAAAAACACTGTATTGATGGCCAAAAGGTACCCATCGTCAAAGAAATGACTGTCTAAAATCACTCGCCATACTGCACATGGTCCTTATTGAATAATTAGATTGAATTACAATGCTTGAAGAAATCTTTTTCAAATACAAGTTGTTTTAATATTGCTTATCGGAAGGTTGAAGTTCATATGAATTCATTTTTTCAGACAAGCATAAAAATAAGAAATTGCATGTAGTTGTGTTTTGAAATAACTAATGAAAAAATGTCAGGCTCCTGCCCTGCCACCCTCACGCATTAGACGTGATTGTCACGCATTTGCTGGAAAAACTGAAATCACGGTTCAATTTTGCGTGTGATAAAATGTCACACAAATCACGCATTATCTTGATATTTTGAAAAAAATTGTTTTTAGAATTCAAACGATTTGAGGTCACATTCCTAGTAATTATCATACTTAAGATACTTCAGGTTAATGTTAAGATGAAAATATGTGAGTATTACAACTTTATTTCTAGTAAATAAGATAATGGAAGCAGAAAGATCATCTATTTTGCTGAGGAATTGTAGGTTACCGCTTTATACTTAACCCTGAAATGCTGATCTAATATCTTCCAAATGAATTCAATTGTACAAATAACGCATACTTATCAAGTAAAACATGTATGGTTGTAGTTATATGACGTCAAGATGGTCTAATTTATAATAAAAATCAGAGAATATTTAACATGGTCACAGGACCTGTGACGCACCAAAATTATGACCCTAGAAAAATTCATTCTAAAAATGTTCTTTTTTTCATGCTGTAATTAGAACAAACATCAGGTATAAAGATCACTCATAATATAATAATATTTCTATTATAAACTGGCTGGGGCTTAGATAAGTGAATTGAATATGAAGAACATGCTTCAATCATAGGACACAAATGGCAAAACTTGGAAAACGCTTGAAATGATAGCATACAAATGAAAAATGAAAGCATTTGGGCTATGCTTCGATTGAAACAAACATTATTATTTGCAGTCAGCACACACTTGTCTCATTGGGACTCATATTTTTGTGAGTAAAAATTGAAAGTGTCGAGGCGAGGTAAATGCGTGCAAAGCAAGGGCGAACAAGTTAAGGTGTTAAAATTTAGACATGCATGTTCAAATTTTGAACATAGGTATTCCACGGTGTCCAACCTAAACGCTCTTACATGCACGACTGAGCGTTTCATTACTGAAATTAAACAAAGAAACGCTCCGGAGTAGGAAAACTGGCGGGCAGGAATGATGAGCCGTCTGACGATTACCCCAATAATGGGAATTAGAGGTATGAGTTACATATTTCGAGTATACCATTCAATGAGTGTGATATTCATGTTGTACTTGGCTGGTATTACGATCATAGTCACCCTATGCAGACAGAGCCTGTGGGAAATATTGGGTGCGGAGCAAATGAGCGGAGGGTGCGGAGCTAACGGTCATTTTTGAATTTAAAATTGGGATATTTCTGAAACTAAGCCGTTTTGGGACTTCAAATATACCAAGATATGTGTATTTGACACCAAATATCAATACAATTGTGAAAATAGTAGCGCAATTCATTCTATAGCGACGCAGTGTGCCTTAAACCTTTCCCAGACCTATATATTTTGAAATTATCCTTTTAATACTGAGTCCCCAACATTCATAAAAAATGGTGTTCAAGGTACACTATCTATACAAATTATTTTTGCATCTTGGAAGCCAGGCAGTAACTAAAATCACACAGATACTGCCTGGCTTCCAAGATGCAAAAATAATTTGCATGGGTAGTGTATCTTGAACACCATTTTTTATGAATGCTGGGGACGCAGTATTAAAAGGATAGTCTCAAAATATATAGGTCTGGGAAATGTTTAAGGCATACTGCGTCGCTATAAAATGAATTGCACTACTATTTTCACAATTTTATTGATATTTGGTGTCAAATACACATATCTTGGTATATTTGAAGTCCCAAAACGGCTTAGTTTCAGAAATATCCCAATTTTAAATTCAAAAATGACCGTTAGCTCCGCACCCTCCGCTCATTTGCGCCGCACCCAATATTTCCCACAGGCTCTGTCTGCATAGGGTGATAGTGGAAGCTTCATTAGCCGCCATTCTATTTTGCCCCGGAGCGTTTCCGCGTAAATGAAACGCTCCGTCGTGCATGTAAGAGCGTTTGGGTTGGACATCGTGTATTCATAATCAGAATTTATGTGTTGAACCATGGTATGTCACACATGTTGGGTGCCATCAAGATGACAGGGCTGGGATCTCTCATAAGGACACCGATTGCAATAAATCCAAGAAATCTTTTTAAAGCTTTGTCAATATTTTGTATTTTATGCCAAGCTTATGTCAATACTGCTACTGTTTAACATATTAAAATATATTAATATCTAAACAATCTAAAACATATTATCATCTATCTAGTTAATTGTTAGAATTATTTTAATTGTAAACCACGGCTGCGTTTTTGAACTGCCCACGGTGGAAGTCAATTGCATAATATTTATAATAAGTTTTCCCCTTATGTTTTTAAAATATGTGATAAATCAAAAATTTAAATGACCAGAGCAGATTTTGGCCCGTCATGCAAAAGTAACTAGAAAAACAGCAACTCCATGGAGTAGCAAATCCCACCGAACAAAACATGTTTTGGGATATAGTGGCCATATAAAATTTGAACCAAATCCATCTACTGGTATTTGAGTTATCAAAGATTATGTTTTTTATGAAACATGGTTGCATTTTGAAATTCAGCTGCCACAAAACATATGTCTCTAGTCATCAACATATACAATTTTATGCAAATCGGTCAACTGGTACTTGAGTTAAGATACAAAGATTTCATTTTTAATGAAAAATGGTCTCTTGGCATCAGGATATAAAATTTGAACAAAATCTATCCACTGGTATTTGTGTTATCAAAGATTACCTTTGGCGGCCATTTTGAAATTCAGCTGACGCCTTTGAAATTTCTTCTGAAGCTGATCTCCTTCTTCCCTGCACATCAGAATATAAAAATGGTACCAAATCCACCCACTGGTACTAGTATTTGAGTTATGATTACGTTTTTTAATTTTGAAATTCAGTGACCATCTTGAAAATGGCCACTGTGAAATTTAGAAAATATCTTCTTGAGCACGGTTCCTTTGTCCCTAGGCAACAGCATACAGAATTTGAACCAAATCGGTCGACCAGTATTTGAGTTATCAAATATTACATTATTTTACGTACGGTGGCCATTTTGAAGTTTAGCTGCCATCTTGAAAATCCCTTCACGAGCAGAGCTCCTTCGGTGGCCATTTTGAAGCTGCCATCTTGAAAATCCCTTTACGAGCAGAGCTCCTATGTCCCTAGGCATCGGCATGTATAATTTGAACAAAATCCATTCACTGGTATTTGACTTATCAAAGATTACGGTTTTTACAAAAAATGGCAGCCATCTTAAAATTCAGTGGCCATCTTCAAAATCTCTTCGTGAGCGAGACTCTTTTGTCGCTAAGTAACAGGATATAAAATTTGAACCAAATCGTTCCACTACTATTTGAGTTATCAAAGATTATATTTTTACAAAAAATGGCCGCCATTTTAAAATTGAGTAGCCATATTAAAAATTATTTCTCGAGCAGAGGTCCTACACCCATAAGGCATAAGCCTATAAAATTTGAATCAAAATCGTCAACCGGTATTTGAGTTATTGACCAGAGAGACGGACGAACGAACGGACGGCTTTCCTATATCCCCTTAGAACTTCGTTCGGTGGGATAATGATTATTCAGTGGTCTGTGGTCACATATGGGTAAATGACATACCATTGGAAAGAGAAGACACGTGGCTTCATGGTAAAATAAATGAACCTGAGTAACCATCACTGGTTTTGTGGTTTTACAGTGTTTTTGCATGTTGCGTTTTTGTAATTTATGTCATCTAGCTCAACTACAATTAAAAAACTAATATGGGAATGCTAAAATACAACATATACAGACTGTACACATCTTTACATTGGGCCATGTTATGATGCTTTTCAGCTTAACCATGATGTCTTGTAAGCTGACACTTGTTTTGTGTGTACTGGCTGCCATCGTTGCTGTAAATGATGGATTGTCGCATGGGTCAATAATCTCAGATCTCATCGATTTCAAAGACGACCCTCTTCAAGAACATGACAGTGGTAAGACAGTTAAATTCTTCAATGTTTCTTCATTCATTATATTTAATATTACTTGATTATCTCATCAATTTGTCAGCTTGTTCAGGTTGGGTGAGGGAACCCAGAGTTCAGAGATGACGTCAACTTCGATGGATCTTTAGGTAGAGATGACCCTATTTTGATTGATATATGACTGATAGAAATCACGCCATGTCTTTTGAACCAGGAGTCATGGGGGAGTTTTCTGTATTCATGTTGAACAGAAATAACTTAAAACGGGAATCCTATCGACAGAAGTTTAAAAGGCAAATGGTCCAAAAGTGGGTTTCGTGAGACAAATGGACATATCAATGTTAACTAAAATGGCTGAAAATAAAAAAAACGAATATAACCTTTTGCCGATTTTTCGTACAACTACTCCTTACAGTGACATGGGATTTTACAATGCAGGACACCTGAAATTATTTGTAAAGCTAGGAAATGCGCCAAAAGTGAATTTCGCGAGACAAAAATGGCGACCATTTTGAAAATGTTTTTCTATATTGATGTTGAACAAAAATAACTTGAACGGGAATCCTATTGAGTCTATTGGCAGAGGTTTTAAAACTGGCCAACAGAGTCTGTTGGCCAGTCTGTTGAACAGACGGACGGTCGGATGAACGGACGGACAGACGGACAAACAGACAGACGCACAAGTGAGCGATTGCAAAAGCTCACCATGTGAGCTAAAAAATCTTTTTTCTCTGATCTGAAATTTGCCCTCCCCCCTTGTTGGTTCCCAGATCCGCCTCCGGCAAACATCTCCTTCACACGAGCCTTAATTTTTTTAAATGATCTCTTGTATCATATTCACTGTTTCAATACTTTAATAGTAAGCACAAAAGAAACAAACTATACATGCCCTGTTAAATGCAGTGCACGGAAGCCGAACTAATTACACTCAATCAACTTCTCAAAATACTTACATCATAGTCAATACAAAAGAAATCAATTTTTCCTAAAATTGGATCATGGACCACTTAACTTTGATAAGAGTCAGTCCCCATTGTGTGGTTTAATTTGGATAAACAATTCGTCTTGGGTCTTTGGAAAAATAATGGCCTCGGGGCTTCGTCTTGGGGATAAGAAAAATAATGGCCAAGGGGCGAATTTTTCTAATCCCCAAGACTCATTGTTCATCCATTACATAAAAACAGCAGATTTAACTAAGGGGTGACGCCTGGGCCCTGAGTTCAATATACTTAATTTACCAGACGTACAGTGTTAACGTTTTTCTTTTAGCAGCCAAAGATGAGAAATTTGATTCCAAGAAGAAGCGCTTTGTTGATGGTGGTGCACTGATTGCTCTTGGTGTAGCAGCAGGCACAAGTCTCATAGGAACAACAACAAATGCTCTTCTGTCGCAAACTGGCTACTCCGTAACGGTCGGGATTGAAATGGAAAACTATTCAAAATGGTTACTGTCGGACCCGCGTGCTATAAACGATGCGGGGCAAATATCTGTAAATATTTACCTTCTACATAGATATATTATATGAGCCTATATTGCTATGTATTATGATCTCCCTATTCACGGTGTTATAGCATGACGGTTACGTCAAGGCGATTTGCAAAATTTTGCGGTAACGATAACAAAAAATGGCGGATGGGAAAGATAGCATGTCCTCTTTCTCGCCTGTAGGCAAGATTCACAGATAAGATATCCTTTTCAACTAGTTCCATTCGGTGACGTATATATGGATGGGTATAAAGACTGATCTGCCAAGTGGTTTACTAGAAGCGGAATATAAGCTGTCCAAGTTCATATTTTTTAGTCCATTTTTTAGTCCGTTCTCGTGATTTCTCAGTATATGTGCCTCAGAGCCACTCAAACTATTAACAGTAAGTAAACTGTGTATAAACAAGCCATAAAATGACAAATCCAGAACAGGAACGTGGTCATATTGTAAATAATAAGGTTTCAAACGCAATGTCGTTAGACGACTACGTATGAATTCTATGGACGGTAACGTATTGTATAAGATGTACATTAGATATTTAGCGGACGGTTACGTGCATGTACATCTTTCAAGTTAAGGTTGCTAGTTCTGATAGCCTATTTCTATGTAATTGTAATAATGGGTAAGAAATGGAATATTGAATTGCTTATATTTGTTTTCAGGACTCGCAAGAGACGCTCTTGTTTGAGCCTCTATAGGGCAAGGAAGAAATTGTGTCTTGCTTTATTTATGAAACCAATCTAAGTCAAAAAGATAGCAATGAAGAGGCAAAAGAAGAATTAGCATCAAGTACTGATGAATATGACAAAATTAATAACAATGAATCTTGGATACATATTTGAACGAGGTTCGCGTAACCGTCAATCAATTTTTTGCGTAACCGCAAATTGGAAATACAATATTATGGCTTAAGTAGAACATATTAGATGGTTTCCAATGCTCAATTGGCTTTTTATGATCGTATGTAGGTTACATCTATATACCCCGAGGTCGTTAGGCAATGTAGACCATGCCCTACCGACAAAAATAAACAAATTACTAAATTTTGTATAGTTTTGAATTTCAAACTCAACAGTTTTTCGCTTATTTCATGTTATCCCCGGGCATCAATTTGCAAAGAATAAGTTCAAAATATACATTACTAAATGCATCACCGAATGCGATGCCTGCAAAAATCGTTCATCCTTTCATTGATACACAGTAGAAGAAAATAATGCACCAACCTTAGTTTTCTGTTCCATCGCGGTCATTGTATTGGATAAATCAGTGATCGTAGTCATCTAATCTCGTTTTCAGAGGTGTCGTAACCGTCATGCTATAACATCGTGCTATTTAGCTACGCCATTAAACCAGCTTATTCTGGCTTTGTATAAAAAATCTTCTACCTCATACCCACCTACCCACGTACGTGGGACATGATACAGTCGTTGAAGTGTTCAATTTTAAAGATCTTAGTTTATCAAATCTTAGTTTATGATGAATTATAGATGCATTTGTAACGACCCTTGATAGCAAGTTGCTACTACATCCCAGCTGCGTTCGATTCCCACTCGGGGCATCGAATTTAGCACACTTTCTTTCAATTTCTTTATCTGGCTTGTTGGCTTGTTTTTTTTATACAAAGCCGCTTATTCTCATTATTTTTCAGACCCCACCAACGGCAGTGAAACCTCGAACAAAGGAAACTATGATCGCTCACAAGACTAGCAATGCAGCGAAGGGAACCTCTGGTGTCGTATCATGGAGATTTGAAAAAGGAGGCAGCGCGTATAGAATACTAGTTATGTGGTCTGTCCCCTACAGCCAAGATTTCCATAGCAACTGGCTAGGGCTTGGCATCCGCCCCGAGGAATCCACTGATCCGACCTTCGATGATATGTATGACGGTACTGACACTACCTGGTTTGCTAGGAAGGACTTTTATTACGACACCAACACGCTCAAGTTTTGCAGGTTTGATGTATGTGTGTCGGGTGCCATGGGAACCAGTCATAAGTCGAAAGTGCTTGTACGGTTCATACCCCAGGACGTTGACGATCTTGCCCCCGGTTTCAAGGAAATGATCAGTGGTTCAAAATAATGTAAACACATCAAACACTATTGCATCTTTAGTTGTAGAACTCAGAAATAAATTATGTATCTAGTCATACCGGTCTGTATGACTATAAAGCATTCCAATCTTCCTTATTCTTTCTGTTGAGACATTTAGCGCTAAAACAGCTTTTAAAATAAATTTTAATAACTAACTAGTATATCGTATGCTTTGTCTCAGATATACATTAAAGGTGCAACAATTAGTGTAGAGGGGCCATTCAACGTTCATGGGCCAGTGTCAAAATATATCTAAACTTGGATATTTCACCAGGGCTATCATATATTTTTATCATCTTCAAAGAAACCACCTGGATGAACATTATTTCAGCTGATATTCCTCTAGAAACGTGGTGGATCTTAAAAATCTATAATTGGGACTCCCTTTATAGAAGCTTTGAACTGAATTTACACTTCTTAATGCTGAAATTGATAGTTTATTCATGCATTTTAAGAAAATACATGTAGGTACGTCAAAGAAGATGTTCAGACAAATATTGACCTGATAGCTCAGAAAAAGTAAAAAACTTCGAATTTTCTCCCTAGAGTCCTAGTTGCCCCTTTAAGAAAAGTATAAAAAAAGTGCAAATATCAAACTGGCATATTAAAGATACATAATTTTTATTTCTTATTAATGCCAATTAAGTCACTAATCTTATTTTTAATTCACATAATCAAACTCAGAGACAAGACCTCAAGAAAAATAGGTTTGTATAAATTGGGAAACACAAATTAAAATTGTAACTTCAATCCTTTGCTTGTATACATGTACCCCCTCCCATTACATACTATTATACACTATAAGAACGAGATAAAAATATGTGTAGAATTATGGGCAAAAACTACGTGTTAGACATCTTTTTTCTAGTTATAATCTAGTTATAAAACTACAAAATAATTAGTTAACGTATAAGAATTCAAATCATTATATTTCTGCTTTCTAGCATACAGGGTGTCAAAGTCTGTTCTCCCCTTCACTTTTTTAATTTAGAAATAACATAGGATTGTTATATATCATCCTAAAGGGAATTTAAGTTGCCGATCACACATCAAAGAACGAATGGTGTATAGACACGCCTTAGGGGCATTCTCAAAATTCATTTCGTTTGTTGCGTACCTTCACAGGAGGTACGGATTGCACTAGACGAAATGCTCGAAGATTGGCCTTAGGGGCTATTGGAAGAAGGTGTGACAGGTGTGGCATAGACAGTAAAGTGTTCATACTCATACTCTTGCAAGAATACATCATATACCCCTCCAAATTGCTACCACATCCTTGCACATAGAGATACGCTCATCTGCCCATGTCATGCATGGTTCAGCCCTGAGTCATCTGTAGGTTAAAGCAGAGAAAAGCAGCCCATGGGCAATTCTTTCTTCAGGTTTTGCAATATCTGGTGGAGGAATTGTGAGCACAGATGCTCCTGAGATAGCTCCAAAAGAAAAAGTCACAACAATTCAAGTCAGAGGGGAACTTCCATTGGCACTTAGCCCTTGCACTGATTTTTGCAATATCTAAAACTTGGTCAAGAGCCGATATTGACCCACTGTGCAAATGGAAGGATTACCACATGTGAATGAATGACATATCATTGCAAAGAGGAGAGACATGTCTTTATGGTACATTGAATGAAATTGATATAGTCATCACTAGTTTTGTGATTTTACGAGATAACTACTTGTTGCGTTTTTTGATACGCCCTGTATGTCAACTCACTTTTGGTGTATATCAAGCCAACCAATCTTATCGAAACACAGACGACCACCTTCAAGTAGATGGAAAATATACCATCATTGTTAAAAAAGAAGCATATGCCCCAATTTCACTGTATGTACATTGATCGCCTACTATTAAAAGTGCGTGATCAAAGACTCGACAAGATGCGCAAAATCAAAAATGTCGGAAGAAAGGTATGTTTGTTACTTTTCTCTTTACCACATTAATGTCATTTTACCTACAGATGGTATTCCATATGCTGTATAAGAGACTCAACATTCATTTGGTAACAGGGTTCAGTGATTGACTTAAAACCGAAATACCTGAACTGAGTTGATAAAAGAAGCAAAATCAAAAACCCGCCGAACGAAAATGTATATTTCACAAAATTTTCTGTTTTTAGATTTCCAAAACCACAAAATCAATATTTCTATGGTTAATACAGGGTGATCACTAAGTTCTGGGAATTTACCTGTCATTTCATTATTTTTCAACCAATTTACTTGAAACTCAAAATTTGCTGACCCGCGGACCACTTTACTTTTTTTGTAACTACAATTAAATAAATTGTAGATGTGATATGTATATGAAACATTGCTTGTCAATTCAGAATTATACAATGTACACCTGCTGAAAATTTCAACTCAAATGGTAGAAAAATCTTGAAATGGCAGACCAATTCCCAGAACTTAATGATCACCCTGTATACATAATACTCAACATTACATGCATATCAGACGTTCCAACTCCCCTTCAGTATCTAGTAAGGAGGATGTTATAAAAAAATTATGATCAGCCAAGTGAGTGATTTTACCATGTGGATTCTAATGATAAGTTCTTTGCATTTCAGAGTGGTTGGATTTACATGTTTTTACTGTCCTTCACTACGAACTCTTAAATTGCAAAACATTATAAATCACCTTATAAAACATCATGAAGAAGAAGAGATGAAGATGAGAAAGATTATTGAAAATAGAGGCAAATTTAGAATGATAACAAGAAATTTCTCTGGAATAATACCAAATGAAAGTAAAGATTTGGTTTTAATTATAAATCAAACAAATCTATAATGTCCATATGACCAAAGCCTAAACTGGAACTTTTCCTCAGTCTCATCCACGTAACGCTGTCATTAGAGGTAATAGCATGGTACAGTAGAACCTGTGTAAGTGGAACACCCTCCGTCCTGCCAAAAAGCGTTCCACTTAGGAGGTGTTCCACTTACGGAGGTTTTGAGTTAACGGGGATTTAAAGAACCTACAAGATCAAAAATAGGGTTTATATGTATCACTATATCACTGGAAATATAATTCTCCGTTCATTGCAGGGCAGCTATATACCATTAATAATCCATTTGTTTTACTCAAAAAGGTATCTGACATAATGTTAATCCTCCTCATTCTGACAAAAATGTTTTCTGACATTCTCAATCCTCCTCATTCTGCCAGTCTCAGGCACAGAGATTTGTTCCTACTGCTAATAATTCATTTGTTTTTAACTGACATTCTTAATCTTACTTATCAAGTTTGAAACAAACAGCGAGGGGTATTAATAAGAGGTAGCATCACATGCCCATCTCTACAGGAGGTTCATCCAATTTGATGAATGATAATCTTATGAAATCCTTATTTGCTAATTATCAAATTAATTAGTGGCAGCGTCAAATGTTGATCTCTACAGGAGGTTAATCCAATTTGTTATATGGTAATCCGTTAAAATCCTAATTTGACAATTATCAAATTATTACCTGTTTTTATACGCAGATATCACTGTAGGAGGTTAATTCTGTTTACCTATTTATCAATATTGAAATTTATGGAAAATTGACTGTTCCACTCAGCAGGTTAATATTTCAATATGGGGTGTTCACTGTTCAGGTTTGGAGGTGTTCCACTTACAGAGGTTCAATTAACATTAAGTCAATGGGTTTTTTAAACGGAACTTTGAAAAGGTGTTCCACCTGCGAGGTGTTCCACTTACAGAGGTGTTCCACTTAGCAGGTTCTACTGTATTTATTTCACACTTTGTTTCTCTAAAAACGCCCACTGGGCATTTATTTTGCATCGATTACATACAATTCTAAAATTTTCAAGCTAATCACCTACACACCTTAGTTGAAAATTGATCAATGAATCTTCTGAATATTGGACTATAGAGGAACTCTCCCTTATACCTGTCATATACATATGACCCAAGTTAGCCACCTCGTGGTGAAACTGGGAACTGACTACTGGCATCTACTGAAGGTTATTATGTCATTACATTTTTATATAACTTATTGATACCTTGCTGCAAAAGAATGATTTAACTCCCCAATGAAATAGATAATGTACAATTCAGATTTTATAAGTTTGTTATGAGACGTGGGATGAAGAAAACACAGTCCCAGTCCCAGCCCAGCTCAGACACCCCCCCCCCCCTTCCACCCCTCTTCATCTTTTTCCCCGCTTGGCTAGAGTGCTTATAATGCCAAAATGGTGATTAGCACTTGAATATGCTCTCTTGTATTTACTATATTACCCCATGTACATCTATTTTATATAAATAAATAAATAAAATAAAAATACATGGAAAATGGTCAAACTAATATATATTTTTCAAAGCATATGGGTGTTCTTGTGCCTTCAAAACCTTATTGAATCACCAGTAGCCTGTAATATAAACACAAATAAATCTTTTAAAAATAACCGTTACAAATTATTTGAATTTTGCGCATCTTGTCGAGTCTTTGATCACGCACTTTTGATAGTAGCCGATCACTGTACATACAGCATAATTTGAGTAAAAGCCCAATAATCAGTTTGTGTCCTCTACATCTCACTATACATGGGTGGAGTAAAATCCAGATTCAGATGTATGTAATAGTATTGATGCAATCAATGGTGTTGTTCATGTCCAGTTGGGAGTAGGGCTGTAGGCACAAGGGGTATAAAAGCAAAAAAACTGCACAAAGTTTGACATTTTAAAATCAAAAGATATGTCTGAAATGTTGTCATCTGAAGAGGATGATGGTAGCTCAGTCTCTATTATTATGAACATGAAGAAACACATGAATGTGCTCAACTACAGAAGAACAACAGTTATGTAAAGTCCAGGGTAACATTTTAGAAATTGTTATATTTTATGTCAAATAATGAATTCAGTATTCCACTGCCACCTTAATGCAAACTGTATATGAGCAATTGCTCTCAAGATCACTCAGCATCGTGATTTTGACCTAGTATTTCAGTGGAGAGTTTTCAAATGCATATTCTGTGTGTACTTACTTGGTTGTTCCTTGGGTAGGGAATTTGGCAGTCAAAATGCCCTCGTCTCCAACGTGGGGTCTCATTTAAAGCTTTGAGTGATGTATGATGTAAAGCGGAATGACACAGATCAATGAGGAAAAATAATTTTCCCCACCCTATTTTTAGTGATCTTACACACTAAGAAACAAAATTCATCAGGAATTTTGAACTGCAGTGCATTCAGGATGTTCACACAATGGCCACCATTTTTTGTAAAAACCTAAAACTTTGAAAACTCAAATACTGGTTGACGGATTTGATTTTACATGCTGATGCCTAAGGAACAAGAACAAATTATCCAGAATTTCACATTGTATTGCTTGCCCGCCCATGGCCATCAATGACATTTTGTTTTTCCCAGACTTGATAAAGTATAGTAGTTCAATCCATGCTTAAAACTTGAATTTTCTTTGTCAATGTCTGTTTCGGGAATAAATAGTCCCGCATGAATTTGTCCATTTCTTCCAATCCCATTGCAACGTGAAGTCTGATTTGTTCATCAGTTTCAACTGTAATTGTGTGTTTCATCAATCGGTACAGTGCTTGGAGTTCATTTTCTAGTATCTGAAAAATTCAAGAAGAGCTTGACACAAGAAGGAAGTGATAATTTAGACAGATGATTTTTATAGCCGAATCAATTATCAAGGATTAAAATATTCATAAAGGAAGAAAAAGTTTGACAAGTGAGAAATATAATTGTTTATAAATATATGCCACTCATTACCTACAAGGAACAAAATTCTAGGAAAGGAATGATAAGTGTTAAATGTGTGAAACTATTTCTGAATAGATTTCAAAAATGGCCACAAGAAAATTTTCTCCAAAACAACCAACCATTAAACAGTTTGCCAAAAAATGCACAGACAAGAATGATAGACATCTGACTGGCACAATGTTCAAATTGAAAGAAACAATTCACAAGTGTATGGACTAATGAGTTCTACTAAAGCAAATGTACCTGGATGGCCTGAGAGCCTCCCCCTTGGAGTATCATTGTTATAACCATTGCTGCAGCCCTCCTAACCTCAATTTCATCACCTTGAGACTTCAATATGCTGCTACAACAGCTTATTATCTGCAAATAAATGAACAATAAAGTAAATATGATTTCCCGAATATTAGAGTTGAATACCAAGATACTTTTCTATGGATGAAAATTGAAGCAAAGGAACCAAAATACATCTTAACTGACTGCATGTATATAATGGTGAGATTATTGTAGTTTTCAGATACCATAGTTTTTCCCACTTTAAATCTTCAATTTATGGTTCAGTTGTAACTTTTCAAATTTCCCCCACTTCAAATTCTAAGATTTTTCTCAGAATTTCAAAACAAAATATTTCAGAACAATCTACCATCTTGGTTTTCATCAACTTTACCCTGACAATTATGTCCATGTATTTGTCTTAGTACTTAATGATAGGGATAAAATATAGGCCCATGTCATTTTAACTTTGTTAACTGATTTTTACATAAAATATTGATGATGACATGGTGTTTAAAGGTTAATGTTCGAGGGGTCAAAGGTAAATCTAATTTCTATTATTATTAACTAACACCGAATGGTCAGGAAAAAGCCCAAGAGAAGTTTTCATTTAACTTCAGGTTGCATGGAAAAAGTGGGAAATGTAACAATAATATTAGGTTACCTTTATTGAAGGTATGAAAAATGCATCAAACATATTATTATTGTATTTCTTTTTATTTTCCAAATCATACAAAAGAGCTCTCAATTTATGAACTTGAATTCTGATCACAAGATTACCAAAAATTACTATGCACAGCACACTCAAATATTAACAATATAAGACAAATCTTTCAGAAAATACAAAAGAATGGAGTAAAAGTAAACAATAATTTAAACATCATTCCCTTTTTCCTGATTTATGACAGAAATTATGCTGTGCTATTACAACTGACATTACATTATCAGATATACACATATAATCACATATAAGCACATATGGCGCATCAGCTGAAGTCTAATGAAGTGATTGATGACATTAACACTCATACATTTGATGAAATAAACAGTAGAGCTGAAATAGAAATTAACATTGATAATTATCATACATTTTTTGGCCATGTAAAATTTACAAAAAAAAACTGAACAAACTATACCAGATGACAATATAGACAGACATGAAATAATATATGATTATCCTAATTATCTGACTCTAAAGGTTAACTATAACTTGCTCTGTTGTGACCTTATGTGCCTTTGATAGTAGTGTATTATGATGAATTAAAGATTCTCGCAATCTTTATCCAATCAGCGTTTGCGAGTGTGTCGGCTCACGTATAAAAGGCGAATCCAACTCAAATCCATGCAGGGGTGTATGAGGTACTCGAATAGGAGAGCTCGTGAAATCTGAATTTATATGCACATGGTCAATGTTTACACATGTTTGGAGTTATTGAAGAAAATGTGATATGGGTGTGGTTCCGAATTTGAAGTCATTGCTGGAAAATATGATTTTAATACGTGAAATTATATCTATAAATATAGCACTAAAAATAACAGCACACATGAAGTACATGTATGATTGTGTCCAGAAATGTTTGAAACCCTTACAGAAAATTCTGTCTGCATTTTGTCACCATTGCTCTTTCTTCCCGCATTCTAGTGCTGTTTGAATGAATATATCAATAAATGTATTTCTAACTAAAATATATCACATTTTTTGTGAAACCACAAACATTTAGATCATAAAAAAATATTCAATACTTGAGTGAGCACGATATGCAAGGGTTACTAAGTTGACACAGTAAATGACCACTGATATTGTGTTAGCAAATATGTATTAGCAGAATACGCTGTGTGCATGGACTAACACCCCTCACTTTCATATTGAAGTGACTAATTGGTTTATGTTTACGTTTTAATGTGTTTTGGGTTCCTTGTTACAGCAAGGGGGGCCAGTAAAGTAGACTAACATGTTTGCATGGCAAATTTTGATCGAATATGTGAGACACTTTAAAGACATACAGTATTCTACTTGTTCATGCTATTTAGAAAGTGTATGAAATATACGATATTAATGGACTTTAGTTTTTGATGTTTTTAGAAAGCATTTAATAAATGACTTTATGATTAAAATAAAACTTGTGAAAACCACAATTGAAATCATTGTAGCTAATACCGCTATATCAAGTAGATAATATTGAAAGAAGTTCAGTCGATTCTCGCCAACTGATCTCAAGTGTGCTGCTCCTTTATGGCGAATAACATACTCAATCCAATACAAGGTTTTATTTCTCGGCTCAATTGGTTGGTTATGATACATAGAGGCACCTTTTCTTGCATTTTCTGCATATGTTACGTTGTTTATAACATCTTCCATTGCATTCTGAAGTCTTGAACTTGTGATTCCTTTTAATTGAACAACCTTGGCTGATTTAACCCTATATGCAAGCTTCTGGCAATTATATTCCTGGTCTCCAATAAAGGGAACACCAATAACAGGAACACCATAATTCAATGCCTCAAATAATGCAGAGGCTCCACATTGTGTTACAAATAGTTTAACTGCAGGGTTTGCCAGCAGATCAGCTTGTGGAATCCATTTGTCAACAAAAGTGTTTTCTCCCAAACCTTCGGGTGTTTCACCTTCATAGCTCCATATAACCATCTGTGGCATTTTGGAGAATGCCTCCGCAAAGATTTTGCGATGTTCTTTTCCTAATCGCCGAAATTGTGACCCAAAGCTTACTACAATGATTCCATGTTTCCCTGACCTTTTAACGACATCATTGTAATTTGTATCTAAAGGTTTTGGGGTTTCCATAAAGAAACCCTCTGAGGAAATGATATGTTGCATATAGGGGGCAGGGTAGTGTATAACATCATTTCGGTTCATAAGCACAAGGTTAACAGTTTTATGGATTCCTCTGATATTGTCACAAGAGGTCCTATAGCCATACTTCAAGCAAACTGCTTCTGCTATAGCATACAAGTCAGACATCACCCATCTCATTCGTAAATATTCCCAAACATTTTCCAGTCTCTGTGAAAATGTCATGACATCACTAAATCTATTAAAACATCCATTTACATATGCCAAGCTGTGCCTGGGGATTATATTAGGATCAAATGTCATGGGACCAAAATTGCTATACAGAATGATGGGTATTTTTCTGTCTGCTGCAAGGATCCTTGGAAAAATCACAATCTCATCAGCGATTATAACGTCAAAATCCTGCTTAGCTAACTGACTCATCAAAGTCTTATCCCGCAGTGTGTTCTCCAAAACATTGCTGAAAAGCTCTCCTGCAAAGAACCCTACAACCTTAGGTGCATCCATATCAATCATTAAATCCAGAAAGTTTTGGTTTTCAGTATTCTTTTGCAAAACTGCTAAATCTACTGGTGGCATTTTATAACTAATGATTTTAAAGTTTGGATCAACAGTTCCTCCTTCGGCTAATTTGAATAATGCATCATCCATCATTCTGTCAGATAGAACACATGTGACCTGGTGTTTGGCAATAGTGAGCATTCTACCAAGTTTCAGCATATTTCTGAGTCTGCTATTGTAGCCTCCATCCACAGGAAACAGTAATATTTTGCCTCCATTGCTTGTCATTGTCAGACAAATGATTGCTAGGCAACTAAATACACACAGTTTATTATATTCCATGATTTGTTCCAGTTATTAGATGATTAAGGTTCTAAACTGAAAATGTAGTCTATTCATCCATCAGGTTTTATCACCAGATATTTTTGACTATAAAAACAGCAGTCTTTTAAGGTCACTTTGTATCTACATGTATATGTAGAGCAAACAGTCTCCCATAAACTATTAATAATGTGTAACTTAACACTGTATACAACACTTGAATTCTATACTGTGGTTTATAAAATAGTATATGCACAAAAAGACAGACTTAAACCATTAAAGGCTCCGTGTAAGGTTTAAACAACCTCAGGGTCTTAATTTGCAATCCAATATTTAAAATGTGTTTTTAAAGGATTTTTAGCATAAGACATGGAGAGTTTATTTCAAGAAAAGTAAAGGTGTCATGTGTACCTTTTAACAAGAATGACTCTGTTTGGCTGTATTATATAATGTTATATAATATATTTCTAGGTACTAATTGAAATAAATGATTATCTTTTGACTAACTGACAGAGTTAATTAAACTAGAATTAATGCATCAATAACACAAACGCGAGTAAGTAGTTACCAGTGGCTTGTTTGGGTCAAATAACATGGCGAGTATAGTAGAAAGTTCCCTTTAACTTAAATTACATCTGTTTTAGTGGTTCAATTTTCAAATAGCCCTTATGTATCTAATAGTTATGCAAAGGATAGGTATCGATATGGAGAACTGAATTTAACAATGTTTTTCTCTTAAACCAATCATTGAAAACATTCTGTAAAAAACAAGGTATTTTATGTAATGTTGACAGATTGACAACAATTTAATGCGAAAATTATTTTATATAACTGTTTTTGTTAACATTTTTTGTTTTTTAGTGCAATTGTTTTTGCTCCTTTCTACCAATTCTTGAGAATGAAATAAAATGTCTTTCCAAACCTTGTTGGAACAATATAGCATATACAACATGTTTTTAGACCTCTCAATATTAAAGTTATACAAAAGAATTTTTGGTTGATTTTAAAAAAGTATTCAAAAAATTAAAACAAAATCCCCCTAAAATAGATAAAAATCAAGAAAAACTTTTATTTCATTAACAAGATACTTTTTTAAAATCAACCAAAATTTCCTTAGTACAATTACAATATTGAGAGACCTAAACATGTTCTGTTTATGTCGTTTTGTTCCAATGAGGTTCGGAAAGATGTTTCATTTCACTCTGGAAACATGATACCAAGAACAAAACAAGTGTTTGATGTGTTTTTAAAACAATATAGATGAAAGTATGTATATCTATTTCAAATTATATTGTTACCATTCAAAAGATGGCCATTAAATTGACAATTTGTAAGATTTTCAGAAATTTTTGATGACTGGTAATGTCTATTCAAAAAGTTCGCCATATCGATACCCATTCTTTAAATATGTCCAGTAAAAGAAAACGCTATCTGTCCAATACAACAAGAAAAGATATTTCACTTTTTGTGATTTTGTAACATGGGGTCTATGGGGAATCAACCCGAACTAGAAGTCTCATTTTCAAATTTTCAAAGTTGATTAACAATTTTAGTAATCATATTTCTAGATGTATTTTCTCATGTAGATTTCAAATATGACATCACTTTGTCTGAATTTTGTATATTTAATGACATAATTCAAGGTTATTTCTACTCTCATCTAGTCTATTCCAATACAATGATAAAAATTTGGACAACTAGAGAGATCACTTAAGTTATGAATCTCTGTTCCAATAACATAGATATCTCACAAAATACTAGTAATTTTCACCTTTAAGATTTGTCTGCATATTTTACAACTAATTTGATTGATCTAAATGCTGTTAAAAAGCGTCATCCAACTTCATTTAAAAAGAAATAATTTTCAAATTAAATCAACATACAGTTTTCTGTAAGTGAAATAAAAAATTATTTATTACTGACAGCAGGGAAATGAATTAACATGCCAATCTAGCATTACTTATGAAATTAAATTGATTGAAGTCTTAAGTTTTTGAATCCTAAATATTGCACCATACAAAGCAACATTTGAAATCATTTTTCAATACCAGGAAACAAGAAATGTTGCCACTTGCGCTTCTTGGTAATTTGAAATATATTGCCTCCTGCACATATAACTCGTACATTCCTTCATAATGGTAGAAAAACATTCAATCTTTCATGAAATATAAACAAGGCATTAACATGACAAAATATCACAACCAATTTGTAGCCCTATAACCTAAATTTTGCAAGATTTCGCAGGACATTTGAAGGGTTACACTGGACCTGCAAATAGCCATTCAATCTTTCATGAAATATAAACAAGGCATTAACATGACAAAATATCACAACCAATTTGTAGCCCTTTAACCTAAATTTTGCAAGATTTCACAGGACATTTGAAGGGTTACACTGGACCCGTAAATAGCCTAATTTTGGTCAAATTTGCGGGACAATCCTGCAAGTTGCGGGATGCTTGACAGCCCTAAAGGTCGTTATTCACCTGTCTGGATGATACTGGGGATATCCCTCAGATGATACCAATACTTCCCTAAGATCATCCCTGAGATATTTCCCATATCAAATCCCTCCTGGTGAATAACAACTTTTCTTCAAAAGATTAAATGTACATAATTATCATTGCATGGTCATATGACCATAATATTGATGAATTATTGACTGGTATTAAAACCTATAAAACAAACACTGTGCATCATTGTTAGCTCACATCACATAAACCTGGATACAATACAATAAACATCACTGCATCATGATGTTCTTGTCTAAAAAAATATTGATTGTTATCCTATGTTCAAGTTTTATAATTAATATCATGCTTCTTTTAAATTACAATAAAAGGAATACAACAGAACCTATAAACTATACAAATGATAAAACAAAAGAACATAAGAAAAGAAATGTGAATAATTCCACTGAAAATTGGATTTGGGAGAAAGGAAGCAAGATGACAAGATGGAAATTTCAAAATGGAAAGCATCGGAAAGAAAATGAACATCAAGAGTCTAAATCCACAGTTCTAACTCAAGTTGAGTCTATGCTGTACAAACGACATCAATCGATGAAACAACAATGCAACAAAACAAAACCAGAAACTCATCCTAAATTAGACTTTATTTTGGTTAGTGAGAAGTTAAAAATGGTTTACTGTATGGTGCCAAAAGTAGCCTCATCGTCATGGTTAACTGTACTTCTTACCTTGCATATGGAACATCCACCGAAAGATAAAGAGGTTTTTGAAATTTGGAATAAAAATGTGAAACCTCCACATTTGACAGATTATTCTAAACAAGATCAGAAAAGAATATTATCTGAATATTTTAAGTTTATGTTTATAAGAGACCCCTTAGATAGATTAATATCTGCTTGGGATGACAAATTTAATCACGTAAAACTTTACTTCTCAAAACGATATGGTCGTGACATGATTAAAAAATATCGAGAAAATCCTTCAGGAGAGGCACTGAGGACGGGAAACAAAGTGAAACTTGAGGAAATGATTAGTTACGTCAGGGATATTGCCGAAATAAAGTATGCAGATGAACACTGGCGGCCTATGACTGACCTTTGCGACCCATGTGCGATAGATTATGATATGTATGGAAACTTCTACAACATAGAAGAGGAGAGCAAGTTTGTGTTCAAGAACATTAACACTAACATATCCAATATGCCCTTTACAAATGCAGGTATCCATAGAAAAGGCATGAAGAGAACAAGCCACGATTACTACAAAACTGTTGAAAGAAATAAGCTGATAGAGTATTATTCTAATATTTCCATTAAAAAAGTGGTAAAACTGCAGAACCAGTACAAACAAGATTATGAATTATTTTCTGATGCATTTCAGTTTAAAAAGTTAGTTGAGGATTAAGGAATATCATGTATTAGGTAGTGGGTATAATAAACCAGATAACAAAGATAGGACATTGTATTATTATTTTGATGCCATTAGCCAGAGACCTATACTTTCCAATAGTTTCCAAAAATGACCCAAAATATCAGTGTCTGTTTGTTAGCGACATCCATACCTTTTTAGAAGGTAATAGTGTGGTAAGAGGGGGAGAAACCCCAGGGTTCAAAGATGACATACGCTTATAATGTAAATCTGTATTGAGATGACATCGTCGCTGATTGGTTTAGCGAGTCGATCGTTGATTGGTTTAAAACTAGGTCAATTTGAAAACCAAGATGGAGGGTACGTTTTCAACAAAAAGAGGTGCGCGAAGGAGGAAATCGTATGTCATCAATTGAATCATGGGGTTTTCCCTCCTCTTTACTGTGGTGTTCAATATTATGTTGGATTCCCTTGCCAACTCTCTTTGGTTATACAGGGTGGACCAAAAAACGACTATATTTTTTATTTGGCAATTATTTTTTGATATACTGCATGCATTTCAAATTTATGATGCAAATGCAGGAATCATTTCTACAACTGTTCCTAAAATTGGATAGATGATTGATATTGATAGCTGAATACCAGTCAAAATCCATGGATTTTCAAAAAAGTTATATCAAAATAAAAAATATGGACATTTTTTGGCCCACCCTGTATAAACACATATCTTACCTCTTGTATACAAGATCCCAGAGAAAAGCGCAAGAGTTTGCAGACTTCACCCAGATTGGAGAGAGAACTTGCCCTCACGAAGGAGTCGCCATTTTTAGCACCATTTAGGAAGGTATTGATCAACAGGTCCCTGTACATTGGAATAAGTTCACCTAGAATCATAGACAACCAATCGATGTTTTATTTACTTTCAAATTAAAATAATCCTAGATGACCTTCGTGTCATGTATAATACTACACGTCACACACGCAAGGGATGGTGAGTCCAATTATGATTAATTGCGGAATAACAAATAAGCTTCATTAAGGGGAGGGGTAAATTATGGTTTCTTTAGCCAATAGTGTTGATTTCTATTCATCATCAAGTGAAAGACAAATCAACATTTTAATATTTTGTTAGATGAGTGGAGGAGGTCAAACCAAAATGAAATTAATAATTGTTTTTCAACATCTGTTGATAATTTGACACCATTCCTAAGTAGATTATGAGATTAAGATTTAAAACTTGTCTCTACCACTTGAAAAATATATTTTGCTATGCATTTAAAATTTTAGATTAAGCTCAGCTCCAACTCTAAAATATCCCAAATTTCAAAAATCTAGAACAGCCTGCAATTTGCAACATCAACAGACTTTATTACAAAACTATTTCCCTCAAAATTGGTCACCTAGTATTATAAAGAGGCATGGCTTGTGAAAATTATAAAAAGTGCACCAGTTATAACTTCTCAAAGGCAATCAATTTCCACTACAGTTTGGACCATAAATAAATGATTTGTCGATTTTCCATCACCATTTCCAAACCATGGTGGTTTGAAAGCCCATCGTTTCCAATATTGTCTAGATACAATATCCCCTAAAATTTGTATATTTTACATTTTGTGTAATCTCATCCACTGATGTAATAGCCTCTTGAAAATTCTCTAATTTTTAACATGGGAAATCCTCACTTCAGCAAATCCATGACTCATTTATTCATTGTCCAAACTGTATGTATGCAATTTTTCAAGATAGATGATATTTTCAGAAAAGAAGAGCCAATAAGGCTTATTGATGGTGCAAGATACAAGCTATTCTGAATTCAGAAAATGCCATCAAGCTCCTTCAATATAATAATTATATAATGTGATGTGTAATGGGATGAATTGAAAAGCGATAAAGGTAAAAACCACATTTCCCATGTTATTTTCCTATAGGGAAAACTCGTGCTATCCTTTGTTTTCAGCATGATTTTGGACATCGAAAATTGATATCTTCAAAACTAGACTTTCAATACCATTCCATTCCATTGAAGATGATTTATATCCCTTGTTGAATAATCTTTTCATGCAATAAAAATCAGAAAAAGAAGATCCTCTTTTAAGCAAATAAGTAAAACATTTGGAAAAAAATTGTTGATGTGGAGTCCCTATTTTTATCATCATGGGGACTTCAATTAAAAGAAAACATATTGTTTTAATATAAACCACTTTATTTATGCCCAAAAAGTACTCATGGTGAAAGATATGATGATAGATATGATAAAATCACTTGCCATACTGCACATGGACCTTAGTCAATATGTTTACATGTTTATGTAACTAAACTTAATTTTTATTTTTATTATTGAAATATAGTAACATTTTAAACTTTGTTATATCCATTTATATTTTGATCAGTTTCATTTCATACTAATTATCAAAAAATGAATAGAGGGGGAGCAGCCCAATTCAACAAATCTGCAAGATTTATTTTATAACAAGAAAGTTTATTAATAAATTTCTAAATAAACGGAAGAGGGGGTGGGGAGTAATTTTTGGGGAGTTTTTTTATGACATTTTGTAACTCATTTTTTAAAACAGCATCAGCATTCATTTTCTGGTGATAATATCATCTGTATACATTATTTACAGGTTGTAGACCTCCACTCCTTGTTTATAACAAAAAGATCGACTTTTGTATGCTGGTGACATTCCACCTTTTTATACAGATCTCACACCTTAGAAGTATATCAGTTAAGAAAAATTAGAAATACGAGATCTGTTCGTAAACTTTCTAGTGAAAAATAAATCTTGCAGATTTGATGAATTTTCTAGCAAAAATCAGATGCCCCCCTCCATTCATTTTTTCCAATCACCCGAGTGTAATTGTGGTGTTTCATGTGTTAACAGGTTAAGCTGAATTGATAAGCTAAAAATAACTTTGGCAGATGAAGATGAATTCTAATGTTCATTTCTATCAAACTTAGTATCCGGGTGAATGACAATATCTCATCAATGCCAAGTTTATAATACATGAATGTTGCTAAGGGTGGGCAAATATGCCCATAGATAAGCTACTCTATGGCATGTCATAAGGACCTGCTCAAAGTCTCATAGAAGGGTGAGCAAATGATAATTCAATTAACTTATCAATGCCAGGTTTATAATAAATGAATGTTGCTAAGGGTGGATGAGTATGCCTATAGATAAACTTCTCATATGGCGTGATATTTTAATTACCTGCCCGGAGTCTCACTGACATGTATGACTCAATCATATGTCATTTAGAGTTCAGGATTATTATAATGCCCACAGGTTATTTCTGATTGCCTGTAGACAGTCCAATAAATTTGAAAGAGTGAAAAAAACTTTTGAAAATAAATAAATGAATCAAAATAGACTGAATTATGAATATTCTCATAATAAAACACTCTGTTAATAGTTTATATAAACAATGACTAAAATTAAAAGGCAATCAAGAGATCAAAGGGATTGTAAAAATGCAATCAAGGACTAAGAAAACACAATCCTTTCATTGTGACTTGGTGTGGAATTTGGCTTGTAGAGATCAAAGGGATTAATTTTGTTTTCATACCATCTCACACCAGCAGTATGGTGTGACTTAGTGTTAGACAGCAGGGGTTTAATCTCTTAATTTTCACTCTTAATTTTCACTCCAAGTCACACCATGATTGTGGTGTGACTTGGTGTTAGATGGTAGAAAATATTTTTCATACCAAGAAACACCAGAAATGTCCCATTCACACCATACCCTGATTACTAGTGTATAAGATAATGACTATGAGTCAGACTGCATGATGAAAATCTGTATTAATATGATAGTAAGTATAGGCTATTACTATAAGTAGACCTTACTGTTTTGTAGCTATTAATTTTATCGGATAATTTTGTTATTGTATAACATGTAACCGACATATAACAAGTATCAGTTATTTTCAATATTTGCTTAAACACAATCAAATATTTGAATAGTCTAGGCTTATCCAGGATGTGTCACAATTCAAGATTTAATTGTGATAATGGTCCTGTTGTAAAATATAGAAATATAATAAAAATACAATGAAATTAGAGAAATTACCATAACATAAAAATATGGCGTCAACTCTAAATGAGATTATAGTTTACCATAAGAAATAAGAAAAAAGAGAATTTTAGCATGTCTCGTAACATTTCAGTAAAGCAATGATATAATGTTTTGTCTGGATGAAACCATATGAACAAATTGACATTTTTAATACAATTTTTATTCATCTTGTTTTTACTTTAATTTCAATTTCATTGAAATAGATAGATAATTATTTTCTTTTATTGGACATATTTTAATTTTTATAACTATCAGATACATAAGGGTAATATGAAAAGTGGCCCACTAAAACTGATGATTATTCAAGTTTTAAAAGGGAACTTTGTAATACCCTGCCATGTTATTTTCCCCGAATTAGCCACCTGGTGGCGAAACTGGTAACTACCTACTCGCATATGAGTAATTGCCTCGCCAATTTTACAGAAAATATTAATTTTTTATCACAACTGAAATTGGGAAAATGAGTTAAGAAAGGGTTGTATTTCACTTTAAACTCAAATTTTAAATTCAAGATTTTGCATTGCTCAAAAAATCATAGATTTAAGGGATTTTATGGAATTTCCACAAGTTTACAATAGACATGACGTCACAACCTTCTTTTTCCAGAACTACTAACTGGTATACGGACACTTCAGACACTGTCTATAAAATCTAAATATTTTGAGCATCCCCTGCCATATCTGATAAGCTTGGGAACATAGACCCCATATGCTGGGATTCCCACTCAGGGATGAAGTTCTCCGTAATGGTGAGGGTCTCAATCAAATCTTTGAATAATGCATAATAATGTAATGTCCCTGTAACTACTAATAAGATACGACTACAATACAGTATTTGTAGAAATGCAATTTGAAACTGCATCTTTCTCATAACTGTTTAAATTCTACAGATAACATAACTTTACGGGTTAATAATTATTACATAATTAAAGCAAATGATATTCTTTCACTCATGTTATACCTAGAGATCTGGTTGATTTAACAAGGGCTTCCCCAAGTTTTATCCTCGTCTCCATGGTGATGTTGTTGTCAGACTTTTGTGAGAATTCATTCACCAGTAAGGGGACAACCTGGAAAAGTAAATAAATAAACAACTTTAAAATTTGTTTATAATGGGACAAATCCAATTATTTTTATCTAGTCTGAACTATTAATGGGTGACTGACTTTGTGAAAACAATAAAGTGGAGGAGGGAGTTCAATTTCAAGAAATTATGACATGATGATGCTAAATTGGGAAGTTGATTCAATTGAAAACTTAAAAAGAATCCATGGGCCCTGTGCTCACAAAGTGAAAGAGAACCTTTTTACACCAAACGCTTTTGAATACTTCTGATATTAAGTATCTGGCTGTAGTTACATTCTAAACGGTATTATTGAGAAAAATCTATACCCTTGCGATGGCATCTATAAATACATAAAATATTTAGTAATATATCTCAACATTATAAATACATTTGTGATATAATGATGTTGCCATATCCATATGATATGAACAATATAATTCATTAGCTTTCAAATAGTGTTATATCTTAAGAAATAATCAGACACCTGGATTTAAAAGTGAAACAGAACAAAACATATTGCTATTATTACCTTGTCATGACATGAGTTGCTTAGAGATACGAGACCATTAATAGCACTAAGATAGATGTAGGTATCATCATGTTTTAAGCACCCTTTGAATGTTTCAAACAACCAGTCTTGTTTGCAAAGTGTAGCAGGGGTCCTTTTTTGTATCTGTCGCGTCAGAGATATCAATGCATGGCCTTGTACTGGCACCAAGGGGTCCTTTAATTCTTCAACAGCCTGCTGAAATAATTCATCATCTGATGCTGTCCCTAATTCTTGATCTGATGTCAGGTCACTAGAGGTCTCAACAAACTTAGATTTCATCGAATCTTTAGACCCCTTAGCAACATCCTCAGTTATATTTTTAGACTCCATCTTATTGACCGTGGTTTTGTTTTTAACCTTGGTGTTTTCACTTTTGTGTTCTTCATCATGAGCATATGTAGCTGCCAATTCTTCAACTAGTGTACTCCTAGTTGATGGATCATTTGTCTGGTTAGGGGCTTTTGCATCTTCTGACTTCTTTTCGCTTCGCTTCTTGATTGTATCAACTTTTTCTGAAAAAAGGGTATTAGTTTATGAAAACACAGAATGAAATGGTCACTCCTTAAGTCCAATTTATTTGTTTTATAACTCAACAAAATCATACATGTAGCTGAACAAGTGACTTTTAAATGTGATTTGGTGATTTTTAGTTTCTTTTCTGTCAATTTTATTTCTATTCCACATTTGTACTTCAGGTGGTCAAATCTTTATCTAATGAGACAATTCCTCATGTTTAGCAGGCAGTGATCTCCAAAGCATTAGCTCATTAGGTTTATGCTTCCTGTTAAAATCTGTTTGCAACTTGCCACGTATCACATATTGAAATGAACTATATTCTGACCATAACAGCAGGTAAAATAAAATTAGGATTTCCCACTCTGATGAGAGAAAATCCTGGGAATACCACTGGTAACAACAAACAATAAAAAACAAATAAAATGACAAACACAATGATTTACAATAAAAAGTATCTGCATAAGAAACATACCTTGTAAAAGCTTGCTCCATGCTGCACCCTGTGTTCCTATGGCAACCGCAAGATCATTGGCTAATTCTGTAATCTTTGGATTCTCAAACACACTGCTGACTGTTTGAAGTAGAGGTAGGAGAGAATTCATGTCTTTCTTATCCTCCTTTGTCAACTAAAAAGATCAGGATTTATGAAATGAATGTTTAATTAATGCCCTTTTCTTTCCTACATTAGACTAGCAAACAAAAATCAGACACTTTAAACACAGTAGATGTGTATTATATGAAAAAGTTTCCTGAAAATGACTTCAATACTTTTTGTCAAAAATAGATTAAACATTAAAAAATGTTTAAGAAGAGCACTGAAATGTGCAGAGGGCATATTATGGAACTAGTTTTTACATTAAAATTGAAATTTTAAAATTAAAATTTCTGAAAAATACCTGAAAATTGCTATACCAGGTAAAATAGATGCCATGAATAGGCATAAAATGAATGAATGTAGTTACAACTTAATATGAATAGCAGATTTATTTTGTGGCACCATTGTTGACGAATGAATAGGCAAACTGATGGAAGGAGCAATGGAAGGATGCATTGTCAATCCGATAAGCTCACATAACAATGTCATAATAGCCACATCATTTATTGCTCCAAATCTTACCTCGGTTGATGTTCCTAATATGGTCATGAGGAGGCTGAGTGCGAGTGTAACACTCTCACACTCAAATGCATCATGAAGGTCTTCATCAGTGTCACATGACTGCAGTCGCACACCTCTTTCTAATGTGAACTACAATTGAGATTCTCATGAGAAATACATGTATGTAGCACTGCTGAGGGTGTTTCAATTGCTCGCATTTAAATATTCAAATTTTGAAAAACATGGATCACTAATGTCTCAGTTACATTTGATCTACAGCAACTGTATGGTGGATGTATCTTTCCAAAATCGGGAAAAATATGCAGCATAAAATATAGGGATAAGCAGTATGGTGTAGATTCTCTATATTGATTTTGTGAAGATATGGCCGCCGTTAGCCCACAGTTGAGCAAAGGTGACTGAGGTTTCAAGCCTGGGGTTTCAAGGTATTACAATAATTTTTTCTCTTTTATTTCATTAAGGAATTTTCCTCAAGTTGATATACATAGCTATAATCTTATATCGCAACTTTTTAACATTACCTTAACAATGAAAAAAAATTAAAACTTATAATTATAAACTGACATGAACAAAAATGCTGTGGAATATAACACATTATGAAAAGAAATTTGACAAATTCTTTAGACTCGTGACATACCTTCACAAACTGTACAACATGTTTAACTTGACGTAAGCAGGAATGTCCCAGTTCATCACACATCATAGCAATTAGATTAACTGTAGCTAGACGTCCTTGAATTTCAGCGAATAATTCCTGCTCCTTATCTGCCTCATTGTACAGGGTTTCCTTTAATTGGTCATTCACTTCACATGATGACAGAATCTTTGTAAGCTCCTAAATAAACATTTACTTTTTGCACCTTTAGAATGCTGACACACCAAAACAGGGTGCTTCCAAAAAATGTACATAAAATACAACACACGATCATGTCAACTTATTCAAATTTACCAACTAAAATGAATGACAAATAGCAAGGCTAGTTAAAGCTAATAGTGATCCTAGAATGATTGGACCAGCAGCAACATGTTTGTACTTGCTGTAATTGATTTGTTCCTATAACTTATTCTTAAACTTAAAAGAATGTTTTGAGATATGTAGACGAGGATAATTACACTGACCTGTAACACTGCAATAAATGTGCTGGCAGTTAGACTGTCATCTTTCAATGTCTTAAGAAGTGCCACCACTGTCATAGCTCTCAGCTCTTGTATGTGAAGTGACTCTCCTATGTCTCTGGAAAATATAATTGTCAAAGATTATTTATCACATTTACAATACATTAAACTAGATATGAGTTGTGATACAATTTGTATATGAAATGTAAGCCTACAGGGTGGTCCAAAAAAGTGAACCCCTGCAACTGGCCATATTTCCCTTATTACTTGCAGGAATTCTTTTTTATTTTCACATAATGTAGAGGAAGGTCTAAAATTTATGTTGGTACCATACATTATTTTTAGTCTTGAAATTTGCAGAAATTATAAGCTCTAACCAGACATTACTGAAAATGGACAAATTGTGATTTTCAATATCCGCGATTCTTCAACCCTTTAACACCTTTCCCCTGAGAATTTTTTAAGCTGCAGTCTTAAAGAACTAATATTTTCTGACTTTGTTCAACTTTAAATCCTGGCTTAATTATCCCATCGAACGAAGTTCGGAGGGATATAGGGAACGCCTCCGTCCGTCCGTACGTCCGTCCGTACGTCCGTCCGTCCGGGCAATAACTCAAATACCGTTGGCCCGATTTTATTCATATTTTGTACACATATACCCTATGGGGGTAGAAGTTCTGCTCGAAAGCCGATTTTCAAAATGGCCGCTCATTTAAAAATGGCGGCCATTTTAGTGCCGATTTTACAGTAATTTAGGTGCAATATGTAAAACTGTAATAGCAATATGTTTTAAATGTAAAAAATTATATAGGACATTAATAAAGCTAGAAATGTAGATATTAAAAAAGCACATGGCAGCCATCTTGAAAAATGGCGGCCTTTACTCGTTATTTTACGATTTTTGCTGTAACTCGAAAAGTAGTGGAGCGATTTTGTTCATATTTGGTATGTGAATACTATAGGCATGGCACACTGTCTAATGACACTTTTGGTAGAAGGCGGCCATTTTGAAAAATGGCGGACATTTTGAAAAATGGCCGCCATTTTAACTTATTTTACTAAAACTCGAAAAGTAGTGGAGCGATTTTGTTCATATTTGGTATGTGAATACGTATAAGCATGGCACACTGTCTAATGACACTTTTGGTAGAGGGCGGTCATTTTTCAAAATGACCGCCATTTTAACGTATTTTACTATAACTCGAAAAGTAGTGGAGCGATTTTGTTCATATTCGGTATGTGAATACTGTAAGCATGGCACACTGCCTAATGACACTTTTGGTAGAAGGCGGCCATTTTGAAAAATGGTGGACATTTTGAAAAATGGCTGCCATTTTAACTTATTTTACTATAATTTGAAAAGTAGTGGAGCGATTTTGTTCATATTTGGTACGTGAATACGTATCAGCATGGCACACTGTCTAATGACACTTTTGGTAGAAGGCGGCCATTTTTCAAAATGGTCGCCATTTTAACGGTTTTTACTATAATTCGAAAAGTAGTGGAGCGATTTTGTTCATATTTGGTATGTGAATATTATAAGCATGGCACACTGTCTAATGACACTTTTGGTAGAAGGTGCCCGTTTTGAAAAATGTTCGATGGGATTCACTACGCTTTGGCGTTGCCGTTGTTCTGGTTATGGCTTAAAACTAGCATCCTACATTTGTTAGTTGCAAAGTTATTGTGATCCAAAGAGATGTGCTAAGCTTCCACAGACGAAAACATTTATAGTGAAATCATGAACATAGCCCTATATGATCTTGAAATGTCAATATCTTCAAAAATCATGGACCAATTCTAATGATATATGGCTCAAAACATTGAATATTGGATTTTCTTTTGATTTTTAAAGATATTTGATGAAGGGGTTATCAGATTCCTGGTCACAGGGGGCACCTTCCTTCCATAAGAGGCCCCCCTCTAACTGTTAGTGTAGGTAACATACCCCTGTTGAACATTTAAAAATGCTTCAAAATGATGAATGAAAGTGTGAAATGTGTTTTCTGCTTGAATAGTGTCCCCTTTTTCATATGGTAGGGTTTTAAACTTGTATCTCTAACTGAAAGCTGTTAAAGATCATCCAATGTGTTTTAACAATTTCCGTTAATCACATTTGTAAAATTTTGTACAATATCTAATTTCCAGGCATGTTTGTTAAACGCTTGTAATTTCTTCAAAATTTAAGACTGAGAATAAATTATGGCATCAACCAAAATTTTAGACCTTTCTCTACAACATGTGATAATATGAGCCAATTCATGCATGTATTAAGAAAAATGTAGCCTGTTGCAGGGGTTCACTTTTTTTGGACCACCCTGTAGTTGTAAGTGACATATGTGGCTTATCATTTGTAAATACCTGTCAGGACTGTATGAATTCAAAAGAAAGTGAACAGAATCAGGAACAAAATTCATCCTAATATACGTAACATTAAGGAGATGCTTGCCTTGTTGTGCTCCTTGTTGCTATGACAACCCCTCCATCACACCCATTCGCAAAGTCCAGCCTCTGGTCCATCATTGGGAAGTCAGTCAAAGCTTGGGATCTTGCACATGACAACAAAAACTCTGCACATTTTTCTGTTGGAAGTTCCTTTAATAGCTTTATCAGCAGCTCTTCAGTACAGATTCTGAAAATACATGTATATATAAAATATTAGCTTTTTGTGAAAAATCTCTCAACTGTGCAGAATTTTTTCAAGGGAATATTCCTTGCCAGACACTATGTAAAATTCCAGTAGTCTGATTGGTTGGTTACTGTGTGATCAGCAATCTCACAAGTTACTAGAGGTAACCAGTGATGACATTTCATATTTTTGCCTTGGATCATCATGACTTCATACTATTTCACAGACAAATACAAAAAATGATATGACGTCATATTATTCCAAAGCGAAATCTCAAAACATGTAAAACATAATACATTTACTAGCATCAAAATTGCTAATCAGATCATTTAAATGGCTTAACATTAACAAAATGCTTACGTGTGGTATGTAACATAGCGAGCATAATGAAAAACTATTTCAGACACGTAAAATACATAAAGATAAATGCATCTCAATATATTCAACATTTAGAATAAAATTTGCAAAATGCATGTTAAAATCATTCTTATCGCAGTCAATTTTTTATGCTAACGTTAATTTTATTCCAGGAAAGTAGTGGGTAATTTTACTAAAATTCAAATCTGTATGCTATCATTGAAAATACCACCATCCTCATTGCAATTATGCTTTACTAATTGTTCATTATCTGTAATCAGTATTAAGTTTTGAGGTATATTTCATTTTCTATACATTGTAATGTGAAAGGTTTTGGTATATATCAATTGCATCAATTTTATCCTTTGTTCCTCTTTAGTTTTTTTCAACTTTCATCAATAACATTGTTTGTTTTTCTATCAGGAAAGTTTGAATAAGCTACATACATATAGAATGGTATTGAAAGTCTAGTTTTGAAGATATCAATTTTCTATGACCAAAATTATGCTGAAAACAATGAATAGCATGAGTTTTACCATGGAAATAATCTCCATTTCTGATATTTCCATGAAATTCAGTCATAGGTACATATAGGTATATATCTACAATTGTACATTTGTTTATCCATATTCTCAAAAGTATTATAGAGTCAGAGCTCAGGAATAATAGACATTGTTAAGATTGTATCTTCTCTCTGACTTCCCGTGAGCAATTTGTTAAAAAATACTCTATAGCGGTTCCTGCATATTATTAAACAAAATGAATAATTTTTTCAGATATTCGAAATGATTTATGTGTAATTTATTTAAATAACTTTAATGCTGATATGTATCAAAGAGAAAAAGGATATTTAAAGAGGGGACATCGCCAATTCCGATCATCTGCTGACAAAGGCACTTGTGAAAAGATCCTAATAAGGTAAGACTCTCATTTATACCTTCCAGGAATTCTAAATCATTGTATTATTGGACTGAATTACAATGCTCACTGAAAAAAGTTTTAAAAAATATTCATTGCTTATCGGAAGTTAATAAGGGTCATATGAATTCATTTTTCAGATAATCAAAAATATGAAATTAATTGAGTTTTGACATAACTACTGAAAATGCCATGCCCCAAAGAGGACATCAATTGCAATAAAAAGGAATATATTAAAGCCATGTCAATATTTTTGTCAAGCTTACATGTATATCAATATTAATACTCTTAAACATATTGAAAATATATTAATATCCATGGGCGTAGCGCTATTTTTCTAAGTAGTACGCCACCACCACAAGAACAAGAGTTGGTTGAACAAAAAACGAGCATTCAGGGGGGTCTGGGAAAATGTTGAAATTTGGCTGTATTTGGAGCGAATTTGCAACCATCTGGTACGCCTGTGCGTACACAGCGTACTGGGCGCTACGCCCATGATATCTAGATATTCAAAAACTAATAATATATATTACTTCCTATTTAGTTGACTGTTGATTGTTAGAATTAACTTCTTTAACTCTAAGCCAAAACTTCCATACCTTAAAACACATTTTTTCAAAACGTTGGACTCTCTCTAAGAAGAAGACCTTGTTTTTCTCATTTTATTGCATAACCAGATAAATATACAACAGAAGATCTTCAAATTCCTCACAATGAAAGTCTTCACTATATCAAATGGATATCAAATTTTGGTGACAGAACATTGGCTGAAAATAATGGATAGCATGAGTTATGATGTGTGATACTTTTGCATGTTGTTTTCCACCTTTTCACATTTCAATGCCATCCCCCTTTCTGGAGTTATTGACATAATAAAAAATTAACTTTTGTTGATGTAAAAATGAGACAAGAAAATCCTCTAATATTAGAAAATAATTCTCATATGTCGAGATTGGGTCTTAACTTTGAAAAAGCTTTGGCTTGTTGTAAGCAATAGAAGTTTACATTAATTTGATTGGAAATATAGGTGACTTTCTACAGTACATATCCTGTAATATAATGTCATGTAGCTCAATTACAACACTACTGCCATATTTATATCCATTATTATAGTAAATATATAAATTGATATGTAAATACTAAAATACAACATATACAGACTTTACACCACTGATCTCTACATTAAGCTATGCTATCATAAATTTGTACTTTTCAGCTTAACCAAGATGTCTTGTAAGTTGATGCTTGCTCTGTGTGTAGTGGCTGCTATCATTGCTGTAAATGATGCAAATAGAAGTTGTTCCCAGAGGTAATGCAATGTGCAGTAAAAATCTGACAATTTTAACCCCATTTTCCAATGCCTTTTTCTGACGAAGAGAGTAATTCTGACTTATTTGATGCTTTGATTACTGGTTACACTACACTAAAAAGGGCAATATACAATTTATGCAGCTTAAATTTTCAGTAACGTCCAAGTATGATCAGATATAACAAATTTGCTTTGCTGGTTAAATGTTGCAGACTTACAAAGTTCATATTAATCACAATATTTCGATCAATCATTATTTCCATAATTAATAATGTATAAAATATTAAAAATGAAATCCATTACTTATTTATCTTTTTGTTTTTAGTGAAGTGGTTGATAATGCTCAGTGTGCCAGTGCTAGCAATGCTGCAGAATGTAATAAAGCAGGTTTTGCATGCTGCAAAATAGTATTTAATGATGGAAAAGTGAATTATGGTTGCGGGTCAGCAGCTTTTTGTGTAAGGGTGTGCTCGTAATGATGATTTCAGACACTACGCATCATAATGGCAACATGTTTTGGAAATAAAATTTACATTTCCAAATAACACATCATTCTTTTGTTTCACATAACATATTTTATACAATCTAGAGATTAACAAATCATCAATACACAAACTTGAAAAATGGAAAAATGAGATGCTTCGACTAAAATTTCACGTCACAGACTTAACATCCCCCCAGTTTAATGCTCTTCAATTATACACATACACTTCCCTCCCTAAGTTTGGCTACCAAAAGTCATTTGGATCATTTATCAAAGCCTGATTCTCTTTGGAGAAAATCTCTCATATCTCTGAACTTTTATAACCATTGACAAAATTAATATCACATACAGACAGGCCTTGATGTGATGTCCAATGAAATCTTTAACTTAAATGGAGGGGAGTGTAACAATGCTTATGGAGGGGAGTGTAACAATGCTTATGGGGGGGGGAGTGTAACAATGCTTATGGAGGGGAGTGTAAATAAGGCCTTTATGAACTCTCAAAGGTACTGGTACATAAAACATTTATGATTAACATCCTGATTGGTGTTAGAAGTCGGTGACAATATACAATATACAGCATACAGGTAAAGCAAGCCACATAACATCAATGAAATCACACCATTAAACAAACACACAAGGCATTAAGGCATGGGACTCCTAACAAAAACAAGCTGATGACAATTTCATACCTTTTTTAGGTACGATAAAAAGATAAACTTTGGTTAGAGGCTCAAGAACAAAGTTTGTAAGGTTAGACATTTGTAAGGGCAATCAAATTATGTTAATTAACATAATTCTGCAAAAATTTGACTTCAAAATAGTGTCCTAGAGTTAGGGGATTGCTACACCATCTCTAAATTGAAGAAAATAAAAGTTAATTTAGCAGTCCTCTGACAAACATATGACTAATTCCAGTTAAATTGAGAAACCACAACCCCCCTGTGGGACAAATGTCTGACGGGCCTGTCAAACATCTGAATTGCAAAACAAAATATCACCAAGAAAGCGTTATTTGCTTATGTCTCTGAATTGCAAAACAAAATATCACCAGGGAAGCGTTATTTGCTTATGTCTCAGATTTCTGATTGATCTAATAGAGACTATATTACAGCAACACCATGAAGTGGTGAATCCAAAAGAAAAGCATGAGCAAAGGATACCATTGTGGAAAGATGACAGTGCATGTATATATTAGTTTTAGAAAAATGACAGTATATGTATAATTATAATGAACAGTCTTGATTGAGTAATTATCTGACCAGCTATCCAGTAAAACATGTTGTAACCGACTTGTTTGACAAAGCTGTGAATATTTGCAGGTCACATGGCCAGACAAAGTGAAGACAAATCATAAGCAAGACCAGCTATGATATGAGCTGGTTTGAATAATGAACATATAAACTGACATATATATAATTCTGACATTCCATATAATATTCTTATTTAAAGCCATGATACAATATTAACTTTTTATTGCTTAGAGTTCATCTTCAGATGAATTATTCTTTCATGGTGAAATTAATTTAAACTTGAGAGGGGTTTCTCAAGACAGCCTTGGTCATCACCAGGTCAACATATTATGTTTCCTGCATGCTTCAACTGTTATGTAAAATTCTTGTGTCTGGCTGTTATCTGCTTATTCTGCTACTGTCCTTGCAGCGGACAACATGTGCAAGTTATAATGCTATATTGCTTGTAATTTTTGGCTCCCTCCCCCACCACGGTGCCATAATATTGGTTTTTTTTTCGATGCAATGTAACCTCTCCGGATGGTGGGGGTAATTGATTCATTTCATTCTATGAATCATTTTTCCTGTAATTTTGTTGTTATTAGTTAGCCTAGAGTAGAACAATAAATTACATAATGCCAAACATTTTTCTCTAGTTGTTTGCGCATTCTTTTATAAGTCACATGAGTTTAAACAATGTTTAAAAAATCTACAAAACACAAAGAAAACAAAATGCTAAGTAGATAATTGGCTAAAAGGTTGGGAAAGAGAACAAGAAAGAACATATTGCTGACATGGCAGCTAGTATTAATTCAACATCAATAACATTCAAAATTCTAATGCTCACACTCATTTTGTTCTGGTCTTACTTTAATAAGTTGAAAACTGAGCTTAGTAGAAATCCATCAAATTAGATACATGTAAGCACCAAACATCAAAAATAAAAAATGAATGAAATGAATGAGCTTGAACATAACACAAATTACAATACAATGTCTGATCATGACACAACCAAACAAGGCATTGATATGCAAAATGTCACCACTGCCATTAATAACAGAAGCCCAATGTCGAACCCTGACCATTGAATACAGAACACCACCCACAAAAAGTTGGAGACTATAACAACATGTCAAAACTTCTGGTGGTGACATAATACAAACCGATGGTATTTCAATGTCTCACATCTACTTTGACATAAGCTTTGACTGATAACAAACAAACAAGTTGAACCAGGAAGTTAAAAACAATTTTAATATAAAAACAAAAACTGACGGGAAAACAACACTCGAAGTTTTGAATTTTGATTTTCAATGATCCAAAGATGAAAATGGAAAGGAAAGAAAGGATGTATTTGTTTTCCATTGCAATATTTGCAGTGGCAATTGCTATCATTTCATTAGTGTGCTCGATGTTTTTATATTTTGAATCACAAAAACAAAATAAACAAGAACACAAATGTGTACAAAAAGTCCCCACCAATGGGTGATCCCATCGAATGGTTATCCTGAAAATAAGTAGACAAGACTTTAGTGACACAATTTGAGGACGGAAAATCCAAAATGGCCACCTTAAAATTTACCCAGAATGACCAAAAATTAGTGAGTTCTAGATTTTCATACTAAGAACCACCCCTGAAAATTTATCCATCAAACAGTTAACCAGAAAACATGTGAACAAAACTTTACAGACAAGATTTTAGAATGGAAAATCTAAAATGGCTGCCTTGACATTTACTCAGAATGTCAAAATACTAATCAGTTCAAGATTTTAATACTAAGAATCATCCCTGAAAATTTGAAATTGATCTATCAAACGGTTCACCTGAAAACGCGTAGACAAGACTTTACAGACAAGATTTTAGGACGGAAAATCCAAAATGGCTGCCTTGACATTTACTCAGAATGTCAAAATACTAATCAGTTCAAGATTTTAATACTAAGAATCATCCCTGAAAATTTGAAATTGATCTACCAAACGGTTCACCTGAAAACGCGTAGACAAGACTTTACAGACAAGATTTTAGGACGGAAAATCCAAAATGGCTGCCTTGACATTTACCCAGAATGCCAAAAAACTAAGCAAATTTAGATTTTCATACTAAGAATCATCCCTGAAAATTCGAAATTGATCTACCAAACGATTCACCTGAAAACGTGTATACAAGATTTTACAGGCAAGATTTTAAGACGGAAAATCCAAAATGGCTGCCTTGACATTTATCCAGAATGCCAAAAAACTAATCAGATCTAGATTTTCATACTAAGAATCATCCCTGAAAATTTGAAATTACCTACCAAACGGTTCACCTGGAAATGCGCAGACAAGACTTTACAGACAAGATTTTAAGATGGAAAATCCAAAGTGGCTGCCTTGACATTTACCCTGAACGCCAAAAAACTTATCAGATCTAGATTTTTATACTAAGAATCATCCCTGAAAATTTGAAATTGATCTACCAAACGATTCACCTGAAAACGCGTAGACAAGACTTTACAGACAAGATTTTAGGACGGAAAAATCCAAAATGGCCGACAATAAAAAAGTGATTATGAGTTTTCGCTGATTTCCTTTTACAAAATTGTCACATATAACCACTGTTAACAATAACATAGGCTTTTACAACAAAATACACCTGAAATTATTTATAAAGCTACTAAATAGTTAAAGTATGAAAACTCAAAAACACCATTCAAAATGATACAAAGTATTATCGCGCGCTAACTTTTCTTAAGACATTCAAAATGGCTGACATGACTGAGCTAACAGGTCCAAAACCTAATCAGATCTAGAATGAAGTGAGCTGAACAAGATGTTAATGTTTTAAAAGCAAATGAGAAGCCGTTTTTCTTAAAGTTTGCAGACAAGGATTTTAGCATTTGACTTCAAAATGGCTGACAGGAAGTAGGTATCGAGTTAAATTTTTATCATCCACATCTGTAAGCACTTATAAGTTATCCCTGAAAATTTGAAGGTGATATCTGTAGCGATTTTGGAGAAAACTGCCGGACGTGCGGACTGATGGACAGACAGACAGACAAACAGACGGACGGACGCGCCTAGGCCGACAATATGGCCCTACACTATGTGATGGGGACATAAAAACCAATACAAGAGAATGATGAGTTGCTCAAAATGAGAAATGAATTCATGAAAATGAAGGAAGACTATATAAGAGGGCAAGATTTAATAGAAGAGTTGAATATTCGCATTGGTACATTGGAAACGGAGGCACTACTGGTATGCATTATAAACATATAATACAGGGTGGTCCAAAAAATCATTAACTCTTTTGCCAACATAGCATTTTCTAAGAAAAGGAAAGTTTCCAAATTTTTTTTCAAAGACCTGTCTGACAGACATATAAGTTATGTGTGGTTTAAGTTTTATTTTTATATACCACCGTAATGAGAGCACAGGCCAATAGTTTTTGATGTGCTCAATTTTTGGTGCTGAATTATTGTAGTTAATTACACATTACAATTAAACATTACAAGTTTAAAATGGCCTTCAACAAATAGAAGATGTACTTTTTGGCTCAGGTTTAGCCTCTTTCCTGTGAACATGGATTGATACATTGAAGTTACGAGAACAAAACTCTTTCTGGCACTAAGCGGAAGCAAGGGGTTGACATGGATACAGTTATCCATCAGCAAGATGAAGCAACAATGCACTGCTCCAATGCTTTTTGGATATCTACATCATCATTTCCCCTAAAAAAGACTCATCTCTCATTGTATGGATCTCACTTGACCTACACATTCTCAAGACATACCCCCAGTAACGTTTTTTTGGTGTGGATACTTAAACCTTGACTGTTCTCGAAAAGGCAATAAGCTGACATATATTATTTTTTACATCAAATTTTTTTAAGCGAAAATCAAAGCCAACTATATAATAATTAGAAAAACTTAAAAATCAGGCAGGGATTCGAACCTGGGACGCGTTCTAGGCGAGCGTTCTACCAGTATACTACCCCGACATCACTTATGAACGGGAGTAATTTAATGGATCTTATCTAAACTTCTAATTAGCTAGTCCCGTAACATTCTAAAGGACAAGGTGCAATTATTGGCAAATATCCCTATGGTCAAAATGAATCATTCGTAGGTGTAACATGAAGAATAAAATGTAATATAATACTTTGGAAAATATTAAAGTGCTCGGACACACATAAGCTGAGATAGGGATCATTTCGTTCAGTAAGGTTGTATTGACTTACATGGGGCTGTGCACCATTGACTTAACATGAGGATATCAGCAGATCCCAATAGAGGCCATTGGTTTCCATTAATTATCACAGAAATACCAAAAATACACTATGACCTGAATCGATTGCAAACTTAATAATTTCACAATACGACACAAATGGTTTATCTCATCAAATGTGCAAATATGAAGTTTGCAATCGATTCAGGTCATACTTAAAATTAAAAGATTGTACATTTTTCATCATTTTTTTCCCTACAAAATGGCTATAGAAAAATGCTCCAAAAACAACTTTTACACTTATCAAATATCATACAAGTTTGTAAAACCAAAGATTATACTATTATATTTCATTATGTAGTAACATATTTGGATAAGATGCAGGGATGCGTAGGATGTAAATGGATTTTGACAGATAAAAAAATACTTCCTGGTTTGGAATCTATGCCTCTACACTTCATGATTGAATTATGACCCTAATAAGTGGCCTATACATCAATACAGTGCTGAATATAGGTGAACAAGATACTAGTGTGCATATAAATGTAATAATTGAAGCAGAATACTCATTTTGAAAAATCAGATGAATTATTTTTTTCCCATGGGGAGATCCCAATGGAGGGTGTATAAGGTCCTTTAGAAATCTTCTAAAAATCAAATGGTCGGCCGATCATCCGAGCAATCGAAGGACTAATCATCATAATAACACCTTTATCGTGAGTATTTTTGCACAGCATTTTCCCCATTTGTTTATTATTGTATATTCTCTCATAGTTCAAAATATCACTCAGGACCCTGGGAACAACCCAAGAGAGCGTTTTTTCGAAAAAGGCAGCTTTAAAAGGCAGGATCTATGCAAACAATTCCCAAACTATTGATGAGCTAAAGAATTTAAAAACAGAGATCAATAGAATTCCTTATGACAACATGGACAGGGACTAACAGTTACAATGTATGCAAGGAGCTTGGATTGAGCACATTACAAACTATTAATCTGTGCTCACATGATGGTGGTATATGATAATAAAACTTACACAACAAAAAACTTGGGTTGTTTCGGGGATGAACTTTATCATTTTGAGCTAAATGAAAGATTATAGAATGATGAACAAATGGGGCAAATCTTATGTAGAAATACTTACGATAAATGTGTCATTTCAAAGATTTTTCATTGAATTACTTCGATCGGAGCCGGCGATATGATTTTGGAAAGGTTTCTAAATGAAGAACGTGACGTCACTTCCGAATCATAGCATTCAAAATAAGTAGCGTTTAATTACTTCCACCATTCATAATATCACGGTGGTCTAGCGGTAGAATGCTCGCTGAGCACGCGGGAGGCCCGGGGTCGAATCCCACATTCGCCTTTTTATTTTTTTTAACTAAATGATTGTTCTTTGACATTTTGCAGATAACAATTTTTTTTTATTTACATAAACTTTATATTAGAGCTTGAAAATGTAAAAACAATATATGTCAACATATTGCGTTTTGGAGCGATGTGCAGGTTTAATATAAATGTATTGAAGTAAAAAAGATTTTGTGACTTTTGAACTGAAATCATTAGTACTACGGCCAAGGCCAATTGTGTCCAAAACACCTAGATACAATTTGACTTTAGATTCTTGTAGGGGACCCCAAGGTATGTAAAAAAAAGTTTGTGAACCCTTGCAAAGCAGGCTCAAAAGTGCTGAGTCATCAAATTTTATCATTTTTGAGTCGGAGTTTGACCATATTGTGACGATTTTCGTCTCAGACGGATTCCGTCAATTGTTCGTCACGCTTAAATAGTTTAACCAATCAGATGACGGTTTTCGGCTATATAAGTGACAAATTTTATTCGGACAGTCAGACTTTGTTCAACCAACAGACAACACACACCTTTTGATTGTAAGTAACTTTAGTTAAAATAGACTCATTTTAAACCGTAAACTTTGCTTTTGTTCTACATCCAGCGATACGCAACCCCCCCTCTATTCCATCTTAAGCCTTGGCAGCTCGCTACCACTTAGAGAGAAAACGCCACAATATGCTTGAAACTATTTAATATCTCATTTGAGGTTGTTGCAATTATAATGAAACATTGTCAATATACCAATAAGGCATGTATGAAGAATTCCTGAATTCCAAAATTTGGTAGAGATATGGGATAATTTGTCCCTAAAAGTACATAATTTCTCTTCAAAATTTCTTAATCAGTCAATAGTAAATCAGTCATTTAAAAAACAGTAAGGGCCTATGGTGTATAAAACCTGATTAAAAACTTCACTGATGATGTTAGCAAATATTTCGTGCATAAGTTTCAATAAAAGGTGCATGCATCTATTTTTTCTGATTTTTCTCTTTACCTTCCCCTAAAAATTCAAGAAAGGGGGCATGGCACCTTACACTTCAGTTGTTGAACTTGTTGCTAGCTTTAAATAGAAAATGTGTATCATTATACCAAAATTTGTTATTCTAAATAAATCTAAACACTATATGTGACATCATAATATGCTAAACATATTTATTATGTACCATTTTATATATTTACAGCTTATCATTGCCATACCCCATAAAACCATTTAGGGTATGTGTGGTCGGCAATTGGAAATGCATGTACATGTATGTTTACTAATAACATTTTTCAAAATTGTATTTCAGGTGCCATTCTTTCCTAATGTTGTTAGTGTAGTTATGGTTTATGTTTATGAATGATAACACTTCCCATCATAAGTTTGTCAACTTCAACCCCTTTGAATCACTTATTAAAGCCTGTTTATTTTTGGCATATGAAATTAGAAGAAATATGGTAATAAGGAACATAATCAAGGTTTAAAAATTGACAGACTTTGATATGCTATCATATAATAACTTCCAGTTACCAAACTTATGGAGGGGTGTACATGCTTTATAGTATATATAGGGTCCATGTAAACTGCAACGAGACTCCCATTGTTGCTTCAAATAATAATTAGCTATATAATAACAAATTATAACAACAAATGATTAAGAGCCAGAGTCACTCAGAGGAGGATGTCATTACTAGGATGTCATTATTCTATTTGTTTTGTAACTTGTAAGTTCGACGAATACACACTTCCAGTTGTATATAGCAAGATCATTTTAATAGCTTAACATTAACAAAATCCGTATGTGTGGTATGTAACATAGCGAGCATAATGAAAAAACATTTCAGACACGTAAAATACATAAAGATATATGCATCTTAATATATTCAACATTTAGAATAAAATTTGCAAAATGCATATTAAAATCATTCTTATCGCAGTCTTTTTTATGCTAACGTTAATTTTATTCCAGGAAAGTAGTGGGTAATTTTACTAAAATTCAAATCTGTATGCTATCATCGAAAATACCACCATCCTCATTGCAATTATGCTTTAATAATTGTTCATTCTCTGCAATCAGTCTTCATGAATAACATTAAAAACATTGTTTTGTATTTTTCTATCAGGAAAGTTTGAATAAGCTACATTAATATAGAATGGTATTAAAAGTCTAGTTTTGAAGATATCAATTTTTGATGACCAAAACTATGCTGAAAACAATGAATAGCATGAGTTTTCCCTTTGGGGAAATACCATGGGATATTGTTTTTTAACTTTATAATCAAATTTAACAAGATCCTCTTTTCAGAAAATAAGGCTCACATTTTATAAAGTGACAAGGTGGTGTCCTAATCCATAGTTTGTCTGTTGAATTATGATAGCAAACACTGTTGTCTTGGGAGCAAACATGAGGTACAACTAATAAATGCTGTATCTCAGTATGGAACCTTGTTGTTCATATAGAATCATCCTATATGAAAAGCCATCTACTTTTAATATCATATATTTTAGGGGACAAAACAGTTATTTGGGGGTTTTCTCTACAAAAGAAAATGGGGTCCTGAGATCTTAGATACTATATCTTAAAAACTATTTTCATAATGATCTCCATTTCTGATATTGTTAATGGCAGATGCATATTGGCAATTTCCATGAAATTCAGACAAATCTATGTACCATTGGTACATATAAGTACATATCTACAATTGTATATTTGTTTATCCATATTCTCAAAAGTATCATAGAGTCGGACCTCAGGACTAATACACACTATAATTGGAGAATGTGAAAACAAAATTTATGTATATTAAGATTGTATCTTCTCTCTGACTTCCTGTGAGCAATTTGGTAAAAAATACTCTATAGCGGTTCCTGCATATCATTAAACAAAATGAATAATTTTTTTCAGATATTCGAAATGATTTATGTGTAATTTATTGAAATAACTTCAATGCTGACGTGTATCAAAGAGAAAAGGGTTATTTAAAGACGGGACATCGCAAATTCCAATCATCTGCTGACAAAGCCACTTGTGAAAAGATCCTAATAAGGTAAGACTCTCATTTATACCTTCCAGGAATTCTAAATTATTGTATTATTGGACTGAATTACAATGCTTACTGAAAAAAAAAAATATTCATTGCTTAATATTAGCTTAAGCTTAAGGCTCATATGAATTCATTTTTGAGATAATCCAGAAAAATATGAAATTAATTGAGTTTTGACATAACTACTAAAAATGCCATGCCCCAAAGAGGACATCAATTGCAATAAAAAGGAATATATTAAAGCCATGTCAATATTTTTGTCAAGCTTACATGTATATCAATATTAATACTCTTAAACATATTGAAAATATATTAATATCCATGGGCGTAGCGCTATTTTTCTAAGTAGTACGCCACCACCACAAGAACAAGAGTTGGTTGAACAAAAAACGAGCATTCAGGGGGGTCTGGGGGTTTACCCCCAGGAAAATGTTGAAATTTGGCTGTATTTGGAGCGAATTTGCAACCATCTGGTACGCCTGTGCGTACACAGCGTACTGGGCGCTACGCCCATGATATCTAGATATTCAAAAACTAATAATATATATTACTTCCTATTTAGTTGACTGTTGATTGTTAGAATTAACTTCTTTAACTCTAAGCCAAAACTTCCATACCTTAAAACACATTTTTTCAAAATGTTGGACTCTCTCTAAGAAGAAGACCTTGTTTTTCTCATTTTATTGCATAACCAGATAAATATACAACAGAAGATCTTCAAATTCCTCACAATGAAAGTCTTCACTATATCAAATGGATATCAAATTTTGGTGACAGAACATTGGCTGAAAATAATGGATAGCATGAGTTATAATGTGTGATACTTTTGCATGTTGTTTTCCACCTTTTCACATTTCAATGCCATCCCCCTTTCTGGAGTTATTGACATAATAAAAATTTAACTTTTGTTGATGTAAAAATGAGACAAGAAAATCCTCTAATATTAGAAAATAATTCTCATATGTCGAGATTGGGTCTTAACTTTGAAAAAGCTTTGGCTTGTTGTAAGCAATAGAAGTTTACATTAATTTGATTGGAAATATAGGTGACTTTCTACAGTACATATCCTGTAATATAATGTCATGTAGCTCAATTACAACACTACTGCCATATTTATATCCATTATTATAGTAAATATATAAATTGATATGTAAATACTAAAATACAACATATACAGACTTTACACCACTGATCTCTACATTAAGCTATGCTATCATAAATTTGTACTTTTCAGCTTAACCAAGATGTCTTGTAAGTTGATGCTTGCTCTGTGTGTAGTGGCTGCTATCATTGCTGTAAATGATGCAAATAGAAGTTGTTCCCAGAGGTAATGCAATGTGCAGTAAAAATCTGACAATTTTAAGCCCATTTTCCAATGCCTTTTTCTGACGAAGAGAGTAATTCTGACTTATTTGATGCTTTGATTACTGGTTACACTACACTAAAAAGTGCAATATACAATTTATGCAGCTTAAATTTTCAGTAACGTCCAAGTATGATCAGATATAACAAATTTGCTTTGCTTGTTAAATGTTGCAGACTTACAAATTTTATATTAATCAAAATATTTTGATCAATCATTATTTCCATAATTAATAATGTATGAAATAATAAAAATGAAATCCATTACTTATTTATCTTTTTGTTTTTAGTGAAGTGGTTGATAATGCTCAGTGTGCCAGTGCTAGCAATGCTGCAGAATGTAACAAAGCAGGTTTTGGATGCTGCAAAATAGTATTTAATGATGGAAAAGTGAATTATGGTTGCGGGTCAGCAGCTTTTTGTGTAAGGGTGTGCTCGTAATGATGATTTCAGACACTACGCATCATAATGGCAATATGTTTTGGAAATAAAATTTACATTTCCAAATAACACATCATTCTTTTGTTTCACATAACATATTTTATACAATCTAGAGATTAACAAATCATCAATACACAAACTTGAAAAATGGAAAAATGAGATGCTTCGACTAAAATTTCACGTCACAGACTTAACATCCCCCCAGTTTAATGCTCTTCAATTATACACAAACACTTCCCTCCCTAAGTTTGGCTACAAAAAGTCATTTGGATCATTTATCAAAGTCTGATTCTCTTTGGAGAGAATTTCTAAAATCTCTGAACTTTTATAACCATTGACAAAATTAAAATCACATACAGACAGGCTTTGATGTGGAACTTGCCAAACCTATGGAGGGGAGTGTAACAATGCTTATGGAGGGGAGTGTAACAATGCTTATGGGGGGGGGAGAGTGTAAAAATGCTTATGGAGGGGAGTGTAAATAAGGCCTTTATGAACTCTCAAAGGTACTGGTATATAATACATATATGATTCACATCCTGATTGGTGTTAGAAGTCGGTGACAATATAGCATACAGGTAAAGCAAGCCACATAACATCAATGAAATCACACCATTAAACAAACACACAAGGCATTAAGGCATGGGACTCCTAACAAAAACAAGCTGATGACAATTTCATACCTTTTTTAGGTACGATAAAAAGATAAACTTTGGTTAGAGGCTCAAGAACAAAGTTTGTAAGGTTAGACATTTGTAAGGGCAATGTTAATTAACATAATTCTGCAAAAATTTGACTTCAAAATAGTGTCCTAGAGTTAGGGGATTGCTACACCATCTCTAAATTGAAGAAAATTAAAGTTAATTTAGCAGTCATCTGACAAACATATGACTAAATGTAATTCCAGTTAAATTGAGAAACCACAACCCCCCTGTGGGACAAATGTCTGACGGGCCTGTCAAACATCTGAATTGCAAAACAAAATATCACCAAGAAAGCGTTATTTGCTTATGTCTCTGAATTGCAAAACAAAATATCACCAGGGAAGCGTTATTTGCTTATGTCTCAGATTTCTGATTGATCTAAAAGAGACTATATTACAGCAACACCATGGAGTAGTGAATCCAAAAGAAAAGCATGAGCAAAGGATACCATTGTGGAAAGATGACAGTACATGTATATATTAGTTTTAGAAAAATGACAGTATATGTATAATAATGAACAGTCTTGATTGAGTAATTATCTGACCAGCTATCCAGTAAAACATGTTGTAACCGACTTGTTTGACAAAGCTGTGAATATTTGCAGGTCACATGGCCAGACAAAGTGAAGACAAATCATAAGCAAGACCAGCTATGATATGAGCTGGTTTGAATAATGAACATATAAACTGACATATATATAATTCTGACATTCCATATAATATTCTTATTTAAAGCCATGATACAATATTAACTTTTTATTGCTTAGAGTTCATCTTCAGATGAATTATTATTTCATGGTGAAATTAATTTAAACTTGAGAGGGGTTTCTCAAGACAGCCTGGGTCATCACCAGGTCAACATATTATGTTTTTTGCATGCTTCAACTGTTATGTAAAATTCTTGTGTCTGGCTGTTATCTGCTTATTCTGCTACTGTCCTTGCAGCGGACAACATGTGCAAGTTATAATGCTATATTGCTTGTAATTTTTGGCTTCCTCCCCCACCACGGTGCCATAATATTGGTTTTTTTTCGATGCAATGTAACCTCTCCGGATGGTGGGGGTAATTGATTCATTTCATTCTATGCATCATTTTTCCTGTAATTTTGTTGTTATTAGTTAGCCTAGAGTAGAACAATAAATTACATAATGCCAAACATTTTTCTCTAGTTGTTTGCGCATTCTTTTATAAGTCACATGAGTTTAAACAATGTTTAAAAAATCTACAAAACACAAAGAAAACAAAATGCTAAGTAGATAATTGGCTAAAAGGTTGGGAAAGAGAACAAGAAAGAACATATTGCTGACATGGCAGCTAGTATTAATTCAACATCAATAACATTCAAAATTCTAATGCTCACACTCATTTTGTTCTGGTCTTACTTTAATAAGTTGAAAACTGAGCTTAGTAGAAATCCATCAAATTAGATACATGTAAGCACCAAACATCAAAAATAAAAAATGAATGAAATGAATGAGCTTGAATATAACACAAATTACAATACAATGTCTGATCATGACACAACCAAACAAGGCATTGATATGCAAAATGTCACCACTGCCATTAATAACAGAAGCCCAATGTCGAACCCTGTCCATTGAATACCAAACACCACCCACAAAAAGTTGGAGACTATAACAACATGTCAAAACTTCTGGTGGTGACATAATACAAATGGATGGTGTTTCAATGTCCCACATCTACTTTGACATAAGCTTTGACTGATAACAAACAAACAAAGTTGAACCAGGAAGTTAAAAACAATTTTAATATAAAAACGAAAACTGACGGGAAAACAACACTCGAAGACTTGAATTTAAGCGGTCTAAAGATGAAAATGGAAAGGAAAGAAAGGATGTATTTGTTTTCCATTGCAATATTTGCAGTGGCAATTGCTATCATTTCATTAGTGTGCTCAATGTTTTTATATTTTGAATCACAAAAACAAAATAAAAGACCAATGCAAGAGAATGATGAGATGCTCAAAATGAGAAACGAATTCATGAAAATGAAGGATGACTTCATAAGAGGGCAAGATTTAATAGAAGAGTTGAATATTCGCATTGGGACATTGGAAACTGAGGCACTACTGGTATGTATCATAAACATATAATACAAAGTGGTCCAAAAAATCATTAACACTTTTGCCAACATAGCATATTCTAAGGACAGGAAAATTTCCCAATTTTTTTTTCATGGACCTGTCCGACAGACATATAAGTTAAGTGTGGTTTAAGTTTTATTTTGATATACCTCTGTAATGAGAGCGCGGGCCAATAGTTTTTGATGTGCTAAATTTTTGGTTCTGAATTATTGTAGTTAATTACACATTTAAGTTTAAAATGACCTTAAACAAATAGAAAATGTACTTTTTGTTTCGGGTTTAGCCTCTTTCCTGTGAACATGGATTGATACATTGAAGTTATGAGAAGAAAACTCATCCTGGCACTGAGCGGAAGCGAGGGGTTGACATCGTTACAGTTATCCATTGGCAAAATCAAGCAACATTGCACTGCTCCAATGTTTTTTGGATATCTCCATCATTATTTCCCCCAAAAAAGACTCATCTCTCATTGTATGGATCTCACTTGACCTGCACATTCTCAAGGCATATCCCCTGTTAATTCTTTTTGTGTGGATACTTAAACCTTGACTGTTCTCGAAAAGGCAATAAGCTGACATATATTATTTTTTACATTTTCATACAACTTACAAGATATTAAATGTTTTAATATAAAGTTGACGTAGTTATAAATGTTTTTTAAGCGTAAAATCAAAGCCAACTATATAATAGAAAAACTTAAAAATCAGGCATGGATTCGAACCCGGGACGTCCACTTTCTAGGCGAGCGTTCTACCAGTGCACTTCCCCGACATCACTTATGAGTGGGAGTAATTTAATGGATCTTATCTAAACTTCTAATCAGCTAGTCATGTGACATTCTAAATTTAGAAATCTTCTAAAAATCAAATGGTCGGCCGATCATCTGAGCAATCGAAGGACTTATCATCATAATAACACCTTTATCGTGAGTATTTTTGCACAGCATTTTCCCCATTTGTTTATTATTGTATATTCTCTCATAGTTCAAAATATCACTCTGGACCCCAGGAACAACCCAAGATAGCGTTTTTTTCGAAAAAGGCAGCTTTATAAGGCAGGATCTATGCAAACAATTCCCAAACTATTAATGAGCTAAAGAATTTTAAACAGAGATCAAGAGAATTCCTTATGACAACATGAACAGGGACTTACAATGTATGCAAGGAGCTTTGATTGAGCACATTACAAACAATTGATCTGTCCTCACATGATGGTGGTATATGATAATAAAACTAACACAACATAAAACTTACATGCTTGTAGGACAGGTCTATGAAAACAAATTGGGAAACATTCTATTTGTTAGAAAATACCCCAATCAAAAGTGTACATGATTTTTTGGACCACCCTGTATATAATATAGGCAAGTAGGAACCATGTAAAATTTACTTTAACTTGATCTTGATTAATATTAATGTATTGAAGTAAAAAAGAATTTGTGACTTTTGAACTGAAATCATTGTCAAGATGAAGAGAGAGGTACAATCCTCCAACAAAGATGAACACACAGACAAATGTTAATTATATTTAATTATCAACAGGAATAGACATTCAAAGGACAAACATGATCGAAATGACAAAATAATATTTTCTATACCTCTTCTTTTCCAGCACCGCACAAACGTGGCTGATAAAAGAGATGGAAAGGAAGATTACAATGTCACACGTAGGAAACGGGAGGCAATAGCAGCAGATCAAGGTAAACATTACTTTATGAATATTCAAGAACAAAAACCTAAAGGGGGAAGGCCAAAAATTGTAAGGGAAAGAAGCATTTAAGAATACGAGAGGCCATGACAACTTCAAACACCCTAAACAATGTATGAGACCATGGGACACTTTATTAGTACCAAAATCATTAGATCTCAATGCGGGAGAACATATTAAGAGATTTAAATGTAAATAAAATGTAATTATGAATAAATATTAATAAATAGCTAGTATTTCATACTGTTTTACTTTTTAAACATACCATTATCTGTAAAATCAAATGTTTTTTGCAGCTGGAAATGTCTATGGGCGAGATGGCAGAGATGGTTCGATGGGGCCACCTGGTCCACAAGGACCTCCTGGACCCCAAGGTCCAGCAGGAAGGGATGGAAGGGATGTGAGTGATAAAAAGTTTTTATGAACATAAGAACAGGTGGAACCCGTTCATGTGATCTAAAGTCCACCATCATTCCTTATATGGCAAAATGTCAAGGCAACTATAAAGGTGACATATGATGTGATTGTGATTCAAAGATATGACGTATCACATCAACTACGACATCAGTCCTTTATTGCCCCATCAGTAACTAAACAAACAAACAAATGTCGCACACCACTGTTGATTCAATATTAACCTGTGACATCATTAACATGTTACCTAACCAACAAGAAAAAAGTATTTAGTTTTGTTCAACATTTTTCTCTATGGTCTTTTATAAAAAGGTAGATCAGTTTCCTCCAAATTTCACTGGATTATCTTGTAAACTCCTCTTTTGGTAGGTAAAAGATTGGATTTATTTGTAGGGACTGAGTGGCCAAGGACAATGGAACAATGAACTAAGCCACTTGCTGGAGCAGCTCCATCATGATATTACTAACAATAATAGAACCTCTGGTGTACAAGGCCCTTCAGGTCCCTCTGCTGGGGGTGCAGTGTATGTGAGATGGGGAAGAACAACCTGCCCAGATACGACTGAGAATGTCTATTCAGGTAAAAGATACAAGACTAGAGAAAAGTATCTCACTTCCTTGGAACAAGCTTGTAAAAAGAACTTTATTAGTAAAAACATAACAAGTAAACTAGTAAAGTTAATGATAATAGGATATAAGTGAAGTGCAATGCAAATTTAATAAAAATAGAGACCCAACCCACCAATAAAACCTCATTATATCATGTCATAGTTCTAAAATACAACTATAATGGTCTTAATTCCCTAATATCATCTTTGAAGGTATAATGGGTAAATCACACTATGCCCACACAGGATCAGGAGGCAACTATCTTTGTCTACCAAGGGAACCTGAGTGGGGGAAGACCACAGCTGGTGGGCAGTCTGCGGCATTTATTTATGGAGTTGAGTATCAAGTCAGCTATGATAACAACCCATTCCTTACAAACAATTTTCCTGACCCAACCAAACCAGCTACTTGGCTACATGACCATGATGCGGTGTGTGCAGTTTGCAGGGTACCAGATAGGAGCAGTCACTTTATGCTCCCTGCAATGAAAACATGCCCTGATTCATGGATCAAGGAATACAATGGCTACCTTATGAGTGAACGTGATTCTTCTCAAAAATCTGAATTTATATGCGTGGATGAAGCACCTGAAGCCGATGCAGGAGGTCATGAGAACAAGAATGGAGGCCTGCTGTATGTGGTGGAAGCCAGGTGTGGCTCCTTACCCTGCCCTAATTACCAAGACTACATGGAACTAACATGTGCTGTTTGTACAAAATAATCAGCCAATTTACACTATAGGAAACTTTGAAATACTGACTCACTCATTATGTGAGCCATTATATTGTATATTGTAGTAAATGTATGTTTATCATAATTAGTCTCAGTTTATATTTTTCTAATATTGCCTTATTTGCTTTTAAAAAGAATTGTCTAATACTTAACTTTTTGAGATCATTTAAATCTTATCAGGAATAAAAGGGATTATAATTTCCATGTTGTGATACTCATTCTCTTATTGATCAATTAGATACCATGTGGTGCTTAGAAATCGTGTGAATAGTGTATTCACTGGCAGTGACGTCAGGATATATTCTTTCTAGATATTCTGTATTGAATTTCTCAAGCAGACCATATCCTGTGTTGCACTTCAAATCATTCAATAACTTATAATATTCAATTAAAATGATGTCACATCACTTAATTCGCGGGAATTTAGTTTAAAAGAATTTTCATCCGATATTATAGACAGTGAAGTTGTATCAGGAAGTCCTCCCAAGAAAATGTTCACAACTGTACAACAAACACGGCCCTTCGGGCTGCGATGAATTCGCCTTCAGAAATATATACAGATATTAAACGATCACAGAACATTCAATATTTGTATAATATTTATTTCTCCTATTCAGAGCCTTATTTACATTAGGCTCTGACACTCAGGATATCCATTTTTCAAAAAATAAATTTACTCTCATTTATTGTTTGAGTATTCTTAGAATTGCTAAATGTAGAATTGCTTAACGTCAAATTGCTTAACGTTGAATTACAAAAACATGAAACAAACACTTCAATATTCGTTTCAATGGACTTGTCATGGCAGAAGCATTGCATTAATTATTTGAAATGGATATCAAACATCTAAATGGGCACTGTATTTACAAACAAAATATCACCAAGGAAGTGTTATTTGCTTATGTCTCAGATTGTTGATTGATCTATTTCAGACTAGATTATAGCAACACCATGGAGTAGTGAATCCTAAAGAAAAAATTATGGGCAAAGGATTCCATTGCAGAAAGTTCTGGAAAGTGATAGCACATATTAATAATGAACATTATCCTTGATGTGTAATTATCTGACAAGCTATCAACATGATCAAGTTAAACATAACTGGCTAAATGGATATAATGTATGGATATTTCCATGTAACATGCCCAGAAAAAGGGAAGATCATAAGCAAGACCAGATGCTTAAGTCAGTCTGAATATGTAATATCCTTATGTAAAGCGATGAGACATTAACCCAATTAGGTTGATTTGACACCTGATTTGTTATAAAATTTAAAATTAAGATAAATCTCTGTGAATTTGTTCTTTTTGTATCATGTACACAAATAGAGGTCACCTTCAGCTGATGCAATTTCAAACAAGGCATAAACATGACGAAATATCACTACCTTGTTAGTTACTGCAAATGGTTATATAACAATACTTGTGAAGTTATTGGAAGTAATAAGAATTTGTTATGGTTTTATTCGTAGACAAGGCATTAACATGCAAAATGTTATCACGAGCTATTGTTACAGACACCAACCACTGAACACCACCAACCATTAAATAACATCCACAAAAAGGTCGGAGACTAGAACAATATGTCTCCACTTGTGGTGGTGACATCAAAACAGAGCTTAGCAGAAATTTATCAATTGGATAACAACCTAACATCAAAAATAAAAATTAATGAGCTTGAATATAACACAAATTACAATAACTTAACTGATCATAATACAACAACCAAACAAGACATTAACATGCAAAATGACAGCACTGCCATTTGTTACAGATGCCAAATGCCAAACAGTGACCGCCAAATGTCAAACACCACCCACAAAAAAATTGGAGACTATAACAAAATCTCACTACTTCTGGTTGTGACATATACAGACGGATGGTATTTCAATGTCCCACATCTTCTTTAAAATGTGATTAATAACAAACAAGTTCAACCAGGAAGTTAAAAACAATTTTAATAAAAAAACGAAAACTGACGGGAAAACAACACTCGAAGACTTGAATTTAAGCGATCTAAAGATGAAAATGGAAAGGAAAGAAAGGATGTATTTGTTTTCCATTGCAATATTTGCAGTGGCAATTGCTATAATTTCATTTGTGTGCTCAATGTTTTTATACATCGAATTCACGAAAATGAAGGAAGACTTCATCAAGGGGAAAGCTTTAATAGAAGAGTTGAATATTCGCATTGGTACACTTGAAACAGAGGAACTGCTGGTATGTATCATGAAAACATCATTTAATGTATGCAAGTAAAAACCATGTAAAATGAACTTTATTTTAATGTCTTAATTATTTTTCAATTCAATTCAATTATTTATTTCATAATTCTTATATAATATACACTATAAAAACAAGCCGCTAGACACCCTAGTGGGTATATGTTGCGGTTTAACAGAAATCATTAAAATGACAACTAGACTACATATAAAAAAAAAACTTATATTATGTTACATGTAGGTATATAAAAATGGTATTAACAATTAATCTAAGGATGTACAATGTAAAAATGTTACAAAAATCGGGTACCAAAGTACAAAAGGATTTGAACTGAAAGTATGATGTAGAAGGTGTTGGTGCAATCATTCAACAAATATGAACACAAAAAAATTATATTTTATCATCAATAGGTATAGACAGCCGAATGAAAAAAATGATCCCAAAGCATCATGATAAAACATGACATCTCAATTCAGCCCTGAGATGTTTCAGGTGAAAAAGAAAGATGCTCTGAGTATCAGAATGATCCCAAAGGGTAAAATAATCTTGTTTGCATTATTCTGTTCCAGCATTTGACAAATGTAATTGAAAAAAGGGATGAAAAGGAAGATTACAATGTCACACGTAGGAAACGAGAGGCAACAGCAGCAGTTCAAGGTAAACATTACAGAAGGGGGAAGGCCCAAAAATGTTACAAGATTGCTAGTATATTAGGAAAAGGTGAAGAGTGTGAGAGGTTATGTGATAAACAAACTCAAACATCTGAAACAATTTATAATGTCCCATTCCACCACTTTTCAAGAATCCTCATCATAATCTATAACCAAAATAACCATGGAACATTTTATTCATACATGATTCATTATGGTTTCACAAAAAGTACTACTGCAAAAATGTTTTCTTCAGGTGAAGGTGTCTATTGTCGAGATGGCAGGGATGGACTGATGGGGCCACCTGGACCACCTGGTCCAGCAGGAAGGGATGTAAGTGAATAATATACAAGTAATACTTTGTTGCTGATTGGTCACAAGATAATACCAATAATACCATTTATAACCACCTTGGAAGGCCTGTTCTCAGAGTATAAGTACTAATTAATAAGAAGGCTTATATTTTACTTGAGCAATAGAGACGGGCCATAGTGGTCATTATTCGAGTTTGTACTTAGTTTTTAATACGTAGTGATAATAGAAATAACATAATTTCTGCGAGCAAAATAGTGAAATCATGGCCCAAGAGCAGAATCTTGCCTGCTGAAATGAGGTTACTGAAACATTAGAAGTTAATTCATTTTACTGATGATAAGTAGTTCTTTGGAATAGAATTCAGTAATTATGCTTTCAGAGACAAGTATTTCAACTTTGGTAATTGTTTAAAGAGGATGGGTCATGAGAGTTGCCATATTAATGCATCATGTCCTGAAGGAGGTAGAGAAATCTATACTCTCTCTGACAACTCCTCTTTTTGCTACTTAATGATTGTGTATATTTGTAGGGACTGAGTGGCCAAGGACCATGGGCTGATGAAATAAGCAACTTGCTGGAACAGCTCCATCATGATATGACTAAAAATAATAGAGACTCTGGTGAACAAGGTCAAGCAGGACAACCTGGTTCCTCTACTGGGGGTGCAGTTTATGTGAGATGGGGAAGGACAACCTGCCCAGACAAAGTTGAGAATGTCTATTCAGGTAAAAGAAACAGTATAGTGGTTCACTTCTCTTGAACAAGTTTGTCAGTCAGTGAATGAATCTACATGTATTTTAGTTAATACTTCTGACAAGTATTTCTAAAATACTATATTGCAATATACGTAATATTAACTCCCTAGTATTTTCTTTCAAGGTATAATGGGTAAATCAGCTTATTCCCACCCAGGATCAGGAGGCAACTATCTTTGTCTACCCAGGAAACCTGAGTGGGGGAAGACCACAGCTGGTGGGCAGTCTGGGGCATACATATATGGAGTTGAGTATGAAGTCAATCAAATTAACAACCCATTTCTCACTGACAATTTTCCTGACCCCACCAAACCAGCTACTTGGCTACATAACCATGATGCGGTGTGTGCTGTCTGCAGGGTACCAGATAGGAGCAGCCACTTTATGCTCCCTGCAATGAAATCATGCCCTGATACATGGACCAAGGAATACAATGGTTACCTAATGAGTCAACATTACACTCACCAACATTCTGAGTTTATTTGCATTGATGAAGCACCTGAAGCTGATGCAGGAGGTCATGCGGACAAAAATGGAGGCCTGTTGTATGTGGTGGAAGCCAAGTGTGGCTCCTTACCCTGCCCTAATTATCAAGACAATATGGAGCTTACATGTGCTGTTTGTACAAAATAATCAGCCATCAATCAACCCTAAAGTAGAATACGCCTCAATCATGTATTATCATTATGTATATTGTAGTACATGTTTATCACAATTAGTCTTAGATTGTTTTTTCTAATAGGGCCTACCAGTACATGTATATCACAATTAGTCTCTGTTTGGTTTTTTCTAATAGTGCCTACTAGTACATGTTTATGACAATTAGTCTCATTTTTTTTTTCTAATATTGCCTACTAGTACATGTTTATCACAATTCTCCCTTTCGCGGTTCGCTCTTTGAATCAGAACGTTCGTAAATATGTACTGAAAAGCACTCAAAAAGGACAAAATTTGATTGGTCAATATTTTCCCACTATGCATTTCGCGTAGCTATTTGCGTGACCCGAAAGTTCTAAATCAAACTAATTACCCAATTTTGTTTTTACACCCGCACGCTAAATAAAACAATGACACAATTGCAAGTATTCTTCTTTGTCATTGCTTTATTAATCAGTATACTGAGTTTAATCAATAAAAGATTGTACAATGTACAAAAAAATTCGGAAACTAGAACTATAGATTTGCTTTCGGACCACTGAACAGATTGACCTTGATAATAACGACACGTCTTCTTTGGTCTACTGCTCAGTTGTTAGTGGGTTTTCAACGTAACTCTATAATGTAATTTGAAGATGAATACTTTTATTCAGTTGTTGAATCGATGTTGCAGTTTGTAGGGCGGTAAGATTGGCATGAAAGTATTGAAAGTCGAATGGAATATTCTTTTTTCCAATATGGCAACTAGTCAACTGATCACGTGACCTTCTCTTCGGAATATTTTCTCACTTTTCAATCATCGTTTTCATCACGCTATTAATCAATACAATGAAAAAAATAGTTGTTATATTAAGATTAATAAGAGATCAATAGTTTCTTATAATTTTTTCTGTACTCTCGTACGGGAATATGAACGAATATATTGTTTGAAAAATAGGTGTGAAAATCCCCATGTTAAACCTATGAGGGAAAACAAGGAAGTATAAATTTGTTCCTCCGCGAACTGCATCATGGGAAATATATTGACCTTATAAGGAAATATTTTAGCGTCTCCTCTTTTGAAGAGGGAACAACGATTTCGAGAATTGGTCTCAGTTTTTTTTTCTAATAATGCCTACTATTACATGTTTATCACAATTAGTCTCAGTTTGTTTTTTCTAATAGTCCCTACTATTACATGTTTATCACAATTAGTCTCTGTTTGTTTTTTCTAATAGTCCCTACTATTACATATCACAATTAGTCTCTGTTTGTTTTTTCTAATAGTGCGCACTAGTGCATGTTTATCACAATTAGTCTCTGTTTGTTTTTTCTAATAGTGCGCACTAGTGCATGTTTATCACAATAAGTCTCAGTTTGTTTTTTCTAATAGTGCCGACTAGTACATGTTTATCAGAATTAGTCTCAGTTTGTTTTTTCTAATAGTGCCGACTAGTACATGTTTATCACAATAAGTCTCAGTTTTGTTTTTTCTAATAGTGCGCACTAGTACATGTTTATCAGAATTAGTCTCAGTTTGTTTTTTCTAATAGTGCCGACTAGTACATGTTTATCACAATAAGTCTCAGTTTTGTTTTTTCTAATAGTGCGCACTAGTACATGTTTATCACAATAAGTCTCAGTTTTGTTTTTTCTAATAGTGCGCACTAGTGCATGTTTATCACAATAAGTCTCAGTTTGTTTTTTCTAATATTGCCTACTAGTACATGTTTATCACAATTAGTCTCAGTTTGTTTTTTCTAATATTGCCTACTAGTACATGTTTATGACAATTAGTCTCTGTTTGTTTTTTCTAATAGTGCCTACTTATATGGTTTTAAACACAGTTTATTCAAGACTAATATATATTCTTGCATTATTCAAATATTAAAATAGCAGCCATGAATTTATAAATTCTAAATTCATCAAGCATGGTTGTTTCAAATATAATTCCAAAAGCTTTTGATATTACAGAGTTATCAAAAGTTATTCAAAAATGAGCATCGAGCATCCATTTTAGAAAAACATCCTCCAACAATGTTAGGCCCATTAGGTCTGAGAATTTAAAATTTCAGACAATCATTTAAGTTATCAAATATGACTAATAGTGACACAATCTTCAAGTGGATGGACAGACAAATGGAATGGTCAGATATATATACAAAATATATATAGAGATTATCCTATGAGGTTCAGGGTTTTGGGGTTATCCTGAGGCAAATATATCTGCCCATGGGCTGTAGGGTATTGCCCTTGTCTCTAGAGTACAATACCCTGAACCTCATATAGGATAATCTATACTATACTACTGTATAACTAGAGTATGGCATGGTGACTTACTTGATATGAGATATGCCCTGCTGAGTGAATACATGGAGTTGAAATAAAGGGGACAGGATATAGTTCAAAGCCCCGTATAATGTCGATCCTGGCCTGGCACCCTGTAGTAACTTGTGTAGGATCAGCACTGTAGAGGTCACATCTGAACATACATCAGAACTTGAACCTGAAATTCATTCATTTATTCATATTATATTGATTTATATATTTACTTTGAATCAATTTTTTCCTTTGCTTTTGTTTTTTATTATCTATTGTAATCACATTTTGCGGCATAAATAAAGACATGAAGTGAACACTCAAAAGTGTGCAGAAATCTTCATACAAACTTTAGAAGAAAAAATACTTCAGTTATGTTATACATTGTGTAGGAAATGTACTGCCCTTTACCTCCCATACACTGCAAGATAGGACCCAACAGAGGTTCTATTACATGTTGCTTTGCCAGCATTTGTTGCTGGGACAACATCGTCTCTATGGCAACACAGACTATTCTTATATAGAGGCCAGTTTGTGGGCTTTCTTTTGTATTTAGCAGAGAAAGGATCTAAAAGAAAGAAAGCTTATATATGAGATCTTTAATCTTAAAAGATAGGAACAACCCTGAATGTAACTTTGAATTCATAATTTTTACAATCTTTTTATAAAGATTCCTCATTATATAAGTTTGTGTCAACTAAACTGTTCTTAACTTAAGTTGAAAACAGGTATTGTCATTAATTGCAAGATGGCTATCAGTCCATTGGTCAATCGACAACCAGTTTTTCCAGATCTGCTGGCAGGGTAACAAGGCATTAACACGCAAAATGCCATCACCTGCCATTTGTTACAGACACCGACCCCCAAACACCGATACCACCACAACACCATCCACAAAAAGTTGGAAACTATAACAATATGTCACCACTTCTGGTGATGTCATAAAAAGAGATTATCATTGGTTATGAAGCATCAAAGAGTTTTGCGTGAAAACATTGTGTACCTGAGGGGCTATGAGGCTGTAGAACTGCTTGGGTGGAGTGGAGGGTGGGCATGTGGCAATGACCACACCCAACACATCTGTTTTCTGATGCATCTGTATGCTACTGCTATCTGTAAAGTACCACCAAACAAAAGATTAGCTAGTTATATTTATAATTTAATATTACAATAGCTCAGTGGTAGAGCAATCGCCTTGTAAGGGAGGGGTCGTGGGTTCGATCCCCATTGGGGTGGACTGAATTGATATTCATTTTTATGTATTAAAACTAATTTAAATACCCTTCTCAAGAAAAGATTGCAGATGAGTTAAATGTGGACTCTGGACATGGGCCATGACACTGATATGTAGATTAAACACAGGTACCAACCTGACCTCAACATACTAGAGCATTTGAGGATCCACATTGAGATGAACATACCACCTTAGCTTTAAAGCAAGCTCATGGTATCATGAGGTCTAGTTAATACCTGTGTTAAAGGAACAACAAGAATGGAAAGACACAAGTTAAAAGGAGGTTTTGAAAAAATTGTCTGTTGTATAGTTTTAGGTCTCAATGTTCCATTATATTTAATGACTATTTTCTAAAATGTCCCTATAATTCTAATGAATGTGGCTATTTCTGCATCAATGAATCTATATTTGAACAGATGTCTGAAAATTTTCTTTTTTCAGAAAATAAAATTAAATTAGAATTCTAAGGGAAATACAGGATGAGCCAAAAATGGTAAGCCAAACAAATATTGATAACTCAGTCATCCAGTATGGGTCATATTTGGCACAGTTGATCCTTGTTTTATATTCTTTCATTGGTCTATTCCAAATGGTCACGATTTTATGGTAATTTAACAAATTATGCTCCATATGCCAAAACATGCCAAAATTACCCGAACCCCCAGAATTTTATCTTTGAAACTTGGTAGAATAGAAGAACACTGAACAAGGTTCAATTGTTCTAAATATGAAACCATGCTGGATAACTGAGTTATTAACATTTGTTTGGGTTACCTTTTTTTGGCTCAACCTGTATTTGCCGGACTTTCAAAAAGATTGCTTCAAACATTTTACACTCTCTATCCTTTCTACTTAAACTGCTTAACTGATCTGACCTGTGACAGTATCCAGCATGCCTTTGATGACGTGTGCTACACCATTTGGACGAAGCAACTGCTCAGTCAGTAATTTCCCACAAATCTTTCTCAGCCAGTTTGGAGTTTTTGGGACACCATCCTAATAAATAAATAGAAGAATTCATTTCTTATTCAGTTGTTAAATATACAGTGCAGTGCATGTAAATTCACTATTTCAATTCAATTGGATGTCAAAAAACATCACTTCGGATTTCAAGTCTCATTTCAGACATACACTGAGTATTGCATCAAGTTTGTTAAAATAGTCTTGCCTCAAGACTATGTACCCCTTGTGTTTGAAACTAGACTACATGTAGTAATAAACTTACCTTTGGATTTGAGCTTCCCTGTAGCAACATAAGCTCTCTGATGACCATAGGTTGGTACACCCTATTCAGTAACCTTGAGAGACTGCTTTTACAGTAGTCTTTATCTTTGTCAGTGATCTGACGGGATCTTCTAGGTTCAACTTTACCAGGCTCATCTCTCCCAGGTTGTACATTTGAAGGTGGAACTTTATTTTGGGCTGTGTTTGTTTTGTCTTCAAGGTTCATAGCTTGTGTTTCACTTGATATTTCAGGTACTGATTCAACATGGCTTGCGGTCTTGTCTGGAGGGTTCGTGTTCATTTTTGCATTTTCAGTTTGGCCAGCCTCTGTAGGACTTTGATTCCTAGCTGAAGGATTGGTTTTGTTAGATTGGGTACTGGATGTAGGCTTGGATTTATATACAATAGGAGCATAACTAATCTGTAGTAATCCAGCAAGTATATCACCAAGGTGACGTGAAAGTATAATACTCCCGAGGGAAGGACTTTCGATGCATTCCAATAGTATGTCAATACATGTAAACAGACGATAGTTCATCTCTAATATTCCGATCTTTTCTTTCGATGATGTCACTAAGAAAGAAGCAAACTCTGATCTAGACTTTAACGGAAGGCCCAACCCTGGCACCAAGTTAGGGCAAATCCCTAAACAAACTAAAAACTGTATGGCCGTCAGTATTATTTTCTGTTGTGCAAAACTAAGAACATCATCAGATAACTTAGGGGCATTTTTTCCAGGTTTCTTTTCCTCCGCAGCCTCAAATGCAGCCCTTCCCTCTGTATCCTTGACACATTTTGCATCAATTGCCTCTTTAAGACACTTAAGGAGTTTCACAATTGTCCCTACAAATGTCCACTTTATGCCATACACACCTTGAGTATTACCAACATTAATAATCTCGCTTAGTTTTTTATACTTCAAATTAGTTGTGATCTCCTGGTGTAATATCTCTAAATTGGTTTTTAGCAACTTATTGAACTCTATAGCTGGGAGCCCAGTTTCTGTAACATCTGTAATAAAATTAAAATAACTAAATGCATAAGACCTTTTGTGTCTGCTACAGAAGTACATGCCAGATAAATTACATGCATAATGAAATCAGGAATAAAGGAGTAAAGGCTTAGTAGCTGAAACTTTCATTCTCATAAATAAATATTAATTAACAATGGGCATCAGAATGGTTTAAAAATATTCTAGCCATTTTTAAGGATGAAAATGACATCTATTAAGAAATTGTATGTTTTTACACCAGAGTCTCCATGGTTACTATTCATGATGCTCATTGCGCCATCTATTACCTGTAGATTGTTGCTCTACTGGACTGACAAGGAGATGTATAGCATCGAGGACCACCAGTTGGTCATCCATTGTTGATTGCTGACCTCTAGTTCAGTTTCTCTTTCACTATTGTATCATTAGTCCCACTTGCCAATGCTTTCCCTGGACTGGTCAGTTGTTTAAACAGGAACTTGAAACAAACAGCAACTGAACTGAAAATACACAATACAGTTGTTATATATAGTACTTATATCTGAACTAAGGCAGAACATATGAACTTCAATTATGACAAATAGAGAATTTTTCAATTTTAATTTCCTTACCTGAAAATACTGCCGTTGAGATGGAATGAATATACTTTGAGAGTTTGGTGTTTTACTTGGGAGATATTGATGTAAACATATAAGATCATGTGATATTAGAAAATAGATAAATTTTGAAACAGACTTTATGAGTTAAAATTTTCGAGCCATTTGTTAGATCTATTTTTTGATATTTCTCAAGTCATAATCTTTCTGGATATTACAGTAGTAATATACTTGAAGATGTGCCAGTTATCCTACTTTATATTTGAAAATGATGTGTCTTTTTAACATTTCAGATTATACCATAGGTCTGATCCCAGGTTTTGGAAAAAACGGATGAAAATATAGTATGTTTTTTAGACACCAGAACACATTTTCCTCAAGCATATAATAACTGTTATTGAAGATAATAATATAAGGGAATACAATAGTCATTTAAAAAAGCACATTTCGAATACAAAAAACATAATATTTTCCGACACACAAACCATAGGCCAAGGGTCAAATCACAAGTCAAAATCAGGGGTAAAACATTACGTCCCTAAAAAAGACTTTGTTCATTCAAAGTACACATCGGCAGCCAAACTCCAGTGCAGTGATACATGTATATCACTGCGGTGGGCAGGTATCTCACCGTAAGCATGGTAACTTCGTAATAAACAACTGACGTGATTGGTTCTAGTCCCATGCTCAGGTCGCCTGATTGTAAAATTTAGACAATTTCATTGGTTGATTTGTGCATATTAACTAATAAACAACACGTGCGGTAAACTATTATCAACACAACTTTTACTCAGAATTCCTTCCGCGGTGATTCCGTCTCATATTTCAATAATTTTGAAATATTTTGACAAAATAATGATTGGGGAACATTCATGAATACATATTTTATAAGTTGTGTGAAAATTGACCACATATATGATGAAAAGGGGAACTATTTTCACCAAATTTTGGTGATTTTCTTCATCTGCCCGCCGCAGTGTCTATACCGAGACACTGCATGGGAGTTTGATCGGCAGCCGCCATCCAAATGTGAAAATATTGTTTAAGGTACAGCTTGAAAATAACATTTTGGTAAAAAATTGCTATACCTGCACATGTTATTTTCTGGTACAAAAAAAAGTATGAAGGCATGTATCAATTTCTTTGCTTTTTTCAGCAAAGTATCATTACATTGTCTTCTTTTAGAATATCTAGTAGGCATTCAATGGGAATTCCAGGAAATTCTGATATTTCACACTTTCTATTTTTCCAAATTTTCTTTCAAAGTTTCCAGACAACACAGGAGCTACCATTGACCTGTTTCCAGGTTTACTAAAAGTAGACAGTGTAATTATACTTTCCTGAAAAAAGCAAGGAAATACACACATGCCTTCATACTTAATTTTGTACCAGAAAATAACATGTGCAGGTATAGCAATTTTTTACCAAAATGTTACTCCAGCTGAACCTTAAAGTGACCAACCTGTGGACATGCATGCTTAAACAAAGTCAACGAAAAATTCGAATTTTACACATGCTAATAATATTGCATATCAGAGACCCTATCTGTTGCAAGACTTATGCCTGGCACAACCGTCACCATGTTATTAAGTGTTTTTAAGTTTCGCAAGGATCCTGCCATGACGCTGGTACTGTGCGTATTGCAGTGAAAGCCTGGTATAACTGTGACAATGCTATATTATATTTCAAGGCAAAGCCTGATATGACCGTGCGAAACTTAAAAACACTTAATAACACGGTATGGTTATGCCAGGCATAAGTCTTGCAATAGGTCTAGATGACATGTGGCTTACCATATTCTATGGCCACTGAGTGTGGCCATAGAATATAAATAAGACACTCTTTGTTGTTTTGAATTTGCCTTTAAATTGCCCAGCCGTCTTATTTTTATTGATGTAAACATAATAAACTCACCTTCATTGATCTTTACCCGCAGACCTAGTTCATACATTTGTCTACTGCGCAGGATATTTATTCACAAAAGAATTAAAATAAAACTGTAAGAAATATTTTACAACAAGCGGCCATCTTGACTAAATCGCTATAGCGGAAAAAGGCATGCTTTCAAAATGGAGAACGAGACAACGGCTATTTTAAATGAAAACGTTCAATATCTCATCAACAAGACAAGCCATTACCATTTCAAGAAAAATTAACAGAATGATTTCTAGAATATCACATAAATTTATTGAACGACGGCTGAAGATTTTACAATAGTTCAAGGTGTTCCAGATGGAATCACTTCTAGCCAAGAATTGGCTAGAGACTCGAGTAACATGTGGCATATCATACATGTAACTTCCGGAACCCTAGTTCAACAAGTTAAATCCAATACCACGGCTTTCATTTATAATCTGAGTGTTCTTGTTGCCGTGGTTGGGTTTAACTTCCGTGCTAAGCTTTCATTGGTTGCAAATTCTCACTATCAGTTATTACATGGGCTTTCAACTAGTTGAAAGCCCATGGTTATTAATAAAACGCGCATAGAATTCTATGCGTTGCCATAGGCCATCATTAAAATTTTTTGCATCAAAGGCCGAATAGGCACGGATGTAAAACCTAGGACGGGCCACAAGAAATGTCAGATAAGAAATAAGGCCCAGACTAGGTTTAACTTGTTGAACTACCGGAACCCGTGAAAAAGCGAGTGAGTTTTACAGTTACTTTTATCTCTTGGATCATATTGTGCTTATGCTCACTGGTTGACGCAACAAAGTCTGTGTGCAGACATCCATTAATGTTTACTAACTTCTGGAAGGTACAGTAAGTGACAGTCTCATTCTGTCTAGAGTCCATTTCATTGCTTCATTTCGTTGGTAGAACGGCAAAAATAAGAAATTGGGAGACCATTGTGCAATAATATATGGAAAAGTATATTCATACATGAATGACATTTGTATATTTCAGATATTTTAGTTTTTTGTGCAATAAGCCTGTGCCGTCTTGTAATTTGAAGAATTTCAGCCACGTTAATCTTATTGAAAATAACATGGCAGAGAAACATCCAAATATAAGAGGCCACACACTTTATAAGCCAAACTAGAAGCAATCCAAGATATACAAATCTCATTCATGTACATTATGAATATTCTTTTCCATATATTATTGCACAATGGTCTCCCAATTTCTTATTTTTGCCGTTCTACTGACGAAATGAAGCAGTGAAATGGACTCTAGCTAAGTTTTCAAAACATGAAAAAGGAGACCTTATCTGTTGCAAGACTAACGCCTGGCGTAACCGTCACCATGTTATTAGGTGCTTTTTAAGTAGCGCAAGGATCCTGCCATGACCGTGGTAATGTTATCGTGAAAGCCTGGTATAACCGCGACAATGCTGTATTATATTAAAATGCCTGCCATGACCGTGGTAGTGTAATCGTGTAAGCCTGGCGCGACCGCAACCTTTATATGACATTAATGACCTTCATGTTTCGCCCGTTGCTGTTGGTATTTTTTATGAATAAATCTTATTAATTGATCATTATAGAAAGTATATGCTTTCGAATCGAAGCTCCTTAAATGAGAGTAGAGATATAGTTTGTTCGCAAATTATTTATGAGTAAAAATTAGGTTTTCGTTGTGAAATTAATACACATTTTTAGTAGTCTTTATTTACATATTTAAGGTAGTTAAACACGAAGAAAAATTGTCATTACAGTGTGCTCATGCTACTTTAAATACAACCACGGTCATGAGAGGCCTTGCAACTATTGTCACGGTCATACGGGGCTTTAACATTACCATGGTCATGACAGGCCTTGCAACCATTGTCACGGTCATACGGGCTTTAACATTACCACGGTCATGACAGGCCTTGCGACATAATACAGCATTGTCACGGTCATGACAGGCCTTGCAAGCATTGTTACGGTCATATCAGGCTTTAACATTGCCACGGTCATGACAGGCCTTATAAGCATTGTCACGGTCATATTAGGCTTTAACATTACCAAGGTCATGACAGGCCTTGCAATAATTTATGGGATTAGGACTGCTATAACCGTGACAATGTTTATTGCAAAGCCTGGCATGACCGTGACAAGGTAATATAGTATTGCAAGGCCTGCCATGACCGTGACAATGTAATATAGTACTGCAAGGCCTGGCATGACCGTGACAATGTAATATAGTATTGCAAGGCTTGGTATGACCGCCGTGGCAGTGTAATGTAGCATTGCAAGTTCAGGTATGAGAGTGGTGATGTAGAAATTTATGATTAGGACTACTGCTTTAACCGTGACACTGTGTATTACAAAGGCTGGCATGACAGTGACAAGGTAATATAGTATTGCAAGGCCTGCCATGACTGTGACAATGTAATATAGTATTGCAAGGCCACATATGTGGGTGGTTATGTAGAAATTTAGGATTAGTCCGTGATAATGTATTGCAATGACTAGTACTAGGGCACTGTAAATATGAATCATAGTAATGTCAGAAATATCCTTAAACAATTTTAAGTGATCGTCATTATAATGACACTATACAATTAAACAGTTTAATACTATATGATCATGGTGTTTAACTACCTTAATTACGTTAATATCAAAATTACTACTAGACATTATATTCACATTATTTCCGCATATTCTAAAATAATTAATCATTTACACAGAATAAGACAAGTTATTTATGTCACGCTAATAAACAATTTAAACCGGAGACATAAAATATACAAATATTTAAGAGTGGATAGTAAACAAATCGCTTAACAAACAACAATAAAAAATTCTTAAATTAAACGTAAATGTTACGGCCGCGCCAGGCTTCCACGATAACACTCACGGTCATGACAGGCCTTGCAATATAATACAGCGTTGTCACGGTTATACCAGGCTTACAAAACAACACTGCCACGGTCATGGCAGGATCCTTGCGCTACTTAAAAAACACCGAATAACATGGTGACGGTTACACCAGGCGTTAGTCTTGCAATAGATACAGTTGGGGACAAAAATAAATGACAGGTCGATTTTCGATCACCATTTCCTAATTATGGTGGTCTGAAAGCCCATAATTTCAAATATTGTCTAGATATATATCCCTTAAAATTTGTATATTTTACATTTTGTATAATCTCATCCACTGATGTATGGCCTCTTGTAAATTCTCTTATTTTTAACATGGGAAATCCTCACTTCAGCAAATCCACCTGTCATTTATTTATGTCCCCAACTGTAGCATGTGTGAAAAAGTGTCTGAAAAAGTTTAAAAATTGGGATTGACTTACTTAGGCTCGACTTTACTTATTGATACCCACTTGAAAACAATACTAATGATACAACAATTCTTACCATCTGTCCCATGAATATTGTGTTCTCACTGAGGTTGTAAACCTCAAAGAAAACTAATGAATCCTATTCTGCTTGTCGTGAAAAATGAAATTTATTATCGCCCACTCAATGCTTGTAGCGCCACCTATAAAACGTTTTAAAAAGGGAAAAATCGAAAAATCGTCAGCTTCATAAGCTGGATTCTTTGCCATCTCTAGCTTGTCAGAAGACACAAAAGGGATTTTATAAACAGTAAGTATGTTTGCAAGAGCATTTTTCATTGAGGATTTATCGAAGAATGGTGATTATAATGCCTATATTGTGTTACTTTGGGAAAAAAACGTGGGTGATAATAGACATGTAACCTTTGAGCCAGCTGTGTTCAGTTGCCAACGTGGATCGGGCTCTTTTGAAAGACAATATGACACTGACATTATACTAAATTACTTCCTCTACCAATATTCAGTTGTCTGCTGGTATTTCCCGAGGCTAGATCTGTTGTCACACAGTGTAGACTGATTATTCATGAGTTTGACTCCATTCCAATAGATTTGGTCAATAGTCTACTCCATTCCAATAGATTTTTATTGACCAATAGAAACCAATTGATAAACAATAAACAGGAAATTCAGCAGTTTTCATAATCAAGCTTTATCCCTCATCTGTCATCTCAGATAAAGGCTGACATCTGGTACTCTTTTCTACAATAGTACATGTACATGTACATGTATAATTTCATAGTGAATACACATCCTTTCAAATTCAAAAGGTTCAATTTGAATAAATATTTTAGGTTCGCTTTGTAGGTAAATATTTCAGATTCATCCAAATGGTAGGTTTGCTTTAAGCATAAGCTTTGCTTTAACCTTTAGCAGACCACCGGCGACCGCGTCCGCCCATTCAAAACTACCCCCAGAATCCACCGGCGGATCCGGACGACACAAATCTAACTTTTGAAAACTTTACTTTTTCCCGCCGTTCTTATGATCCAATTAGATTGCCCGATTTATTCAGTCCTTAGAAGGTGACTTCCTGTTGACCTAGAAATGGCGATGTTTCGAAAAATATTTCTCAATTCAACAATTCAACAGTGTTTAAGTCGTTTTTAGTGAACAAATCGTACAAAATGACGGCCAAATACGATCACAACGAAAATGTGGAGGAAATGGATTGCGATTTCGAGCTCTTTAGGCTCTTGGAAGCCGATAATGGTCATCGAAAATAGAAACTAGAATATTTTCTGAACTGAAAAGAAGAACATTCGATCTCTGCAAATTCAGTTTTGGATTCTGACCAGACGTTGAATCTCCCGAGGGGCGAAACGGCGGATTCTGGAGGAGTATTCATGGTATATTCAAGCCCAGTCGTGTTTATGTACGAAAAAAATTCATGAGAACATTTTTCTCATGAGCCACGCTAGTGTATCTTCCCTTTGTGAAAATTTTATCCAGATTCATTCAGTAGTTATTGAGATATTAATTATTTAGTCCAGGCATATCATTTTTGAAAAATAAGTCAGATGCGTGGGATATATTTGCTGAAATAAGTCGGAGTGCAGAAGGTTAAGTGATGTTCAGATATACGTTCGAAACATTTTGGTGAGTTTGAATTGTAATATAAACCACAGAGCAGGGGTTATTTCGTCGAATACACCCCTTAGGCACAAAAGCTTTTGAACCGGAAAGCGTTTGTGCCTAGCCCTGCGGGGTGTATTCGTCGAGATTACCCCTGCTCTTTGGTCTATATTTCTTCATTATTATATCAATGTCATGTTCCCCACGTCTCTCTCATTGGTCTACAATTACATGTAACATAAAAATAGGAAGACATACTCAACTACCATGCCTGTGACATCAGTCAAAAGGCATATTCAACAGGTATATTCACCAGGTGTATTGTTTCTTTTAGTGTAAATCTGTAAGTAATATGAAAATATCTAATAATTCTTGTTCTTATAAGACTTTCCCAACAGTAAGATTCATACTATTTTCTAAAAAATCCACAAGAGCTTTGGGGAATACACCGTGCCAGAATCATCGAAAGATGAATAGGTATTCACCTCAATAATATGAAATATTTGTATAATATCCATTGGTAAGTTTACTTTTGGTAAAGTAGGCGTTTCACTATGAATGTGTTCACCCCTGACATCTATTGAATGAAATATGGTGACTTGTATTTCCATACTAAATTATATGATTGTATAGCCTTATAAATGGTTTCAGCTACTTTGAAGTGCGTGAAATGTTTAATATTTTGTGCCAGATGGAGGTCAGCCTTTATTTGTAACAAAACTTAAAGTTTCTGTTTTAAATTTCAGCTAACTGCACGAAAAAATCATGCCAACAATTGGAAGCTTGCTGGGTATAAACAGCTCACTAAAGTTTGCTGTTGGGGTATGGATGTTCTGTAGAGGTTTGTTTATAGCAACCATTGGTTGCTATGATGAAGCCAAGAAAGATGCAAAAACCCAAAGAACAGTTTCTGGAGTAGGATTAGATAAGAAGGACACTGTTCCTGAATCAGTCCCTACAATGGTTGAAATCAAACGGAAAATTCCAGCGCATTGTTTCGAATCCAAGCTCAGCACCTCACTCTATTATGCAATAAAAGATGTTGCCATGGCAGCAATATTTTACACAGCTATGTGCTACTATGACAACCATTACAGTGGTAACATAGTATTGGATGCTTTCACATGGAGTGTCTACTGGTTAATGCAAGGAACTATGTTCACAGCTTTCTTTGTGGTGGGTCATGATGCTGGCCATGACAGTTTCTCGAACAATTGGCTAATCAATGACCTTATCGGGACAATCTTCCACACGTTTCTATGTACTCCATTCTATGGTTGGAAACTCTCCCACAGACATCACCATAAGAACACAGGGAATATTGACAAGGATGAAGTCTTCTATCCTATCAGGGAAGATCTTCCTGGAGCAAAAGGCATGGTGCTTCCTGGGTTTGGATTAGGTAAGGATTTACATTGAAACCTATAAAACACCTATAACTGACTTAGTGTTAAGAGAACCTCTATAAGTGGAACACCTCCCAAGTGGAACGTTTTTTAGCGGTACGAAAGGTGTTCCACTTCGATAGGTTTTACTGTACATTGATATATGCATTACACAGTGGAAAATGAAGCTAATCTGACTGATATTTATGTTAAGTGACTTGAGTTTGATGATAGGTATTTTTGATGTGATCTTATAGCACTATTGCTAGCAACAGGTGACACAAAATATAGCTGCCTATTCAGAGTGTTTCTCAATAAACATTTACTTTGGTAGTGCTATTGTTAATAAAGTTAGATTATTATTAGTAATACACATATTTTATGGAGTATGCACTATAAATTCTATTTTCATTTCAGGCATGGGTTACTATGGTTACCTGGTAGGAGGATACACCCCGAGGAATGTTCCACACTTTAACCCCTTTCACGCTTTCTACTCTAAGCATGTGAAACCTATGTGCATTACCATCACAGCAGTTCTTTTATGGTCATGCTGCCTTTGGAAGTACGCTCAAATTTTTGGACTAAAAAATCTTGTCTGCTATTATGGAATCCCATTGTTTATTTTTGCGACCTATTGCGTTCTGATAACATTCCTCCATCACACTGAAGTGAATGTTCCATGGTATGGTGACAGTAAATGGGATTATGTGAGAGGGCAACTGTCAAGCGTAGATAGACACTACGGCTGGGTGCATGGCCTCATTCATAATATTGGGACCCACCAAATACACCATCTATTCACTAAAATACCACACTATCATCTTGAGGAAGCCACACAGCATTTCAGGAAGAATTTTCCAGAGCTTGTGAGAATCTGTGATGAGCCTATTTTGCCGTCCTACTGGAGGATGTTCAAAAAGTACTTGGACAATGGGACCGTGAAGAAGGATTCCGATTTACATGTGTACCATTAATATTACTTTATTATTTAAAATGATGAGTCTTTTTCAAAACGACTGTTTGATTTTCAATAGCTAATTTGTATTTCCGTCCTACTTGAGGATGTTCAATAAGTATTTGGACAATAGTAATTAAGTGAAGTGAACTCTGAACAATTTGCTACTTAGTACACAGTATTTAACTTTGTTTTTATGTGGGTTTTCAATGTTACTAATTGCTGAATTTCTGGAAGTATTTCTACCTATGCTTACCTATGCTTACTTATGCTTACTGAATTAACTTGTATACAGTTAAGGCCATATATTCATTAAATGAACAATGTAGAGAAAATAGAATCTCATCAAACATTCGGATAAATGCAAGACAATCCCATTATAATCTGTGTTATGCTTATAGCTTTATACAATCATATATGCCGATAAATCTAGTTTTACTAAGTGCCATAATTATCCCAACGAACGAAGTTCGGTAGGGATATAGTGAAGCCCTCCGTCCGTCAGTCCGTCAGTCAGTCCGTCAGTCAGTCCGTCCGTCCGTCCGTCCGGAAGATAACTCAAATACGAGTTGACAGATTTTCTTCATATTTAGTGGAAAGATGTATATTGGTGAATAGTTGTACGCAAAAAAAAATTTTTTCAAGATGGCCGCCGCTTTAAAAATGACCGGACTTTTTCACAAAAACCATAAATTCTTCATTCTAAACCAAAGTAATTAATATTATTGTTTGAAATTTTGGTAGTATATTCGCAACATCTATCTATTTCACATATATTCCGTGTTTTTCATCCTTACCCCTAGGGGCTGTGTATGGGGGGTCAGGAAAACAGTAATTTTCGCTAATTTTTAGATCTTTCTGAAGTATAGCTTTATTATACTCAAATGAAAGGCAATTAAGAGTAGATTGCAAATATTGTATCTTTTTTCTGATTCGAGCCTCATAAAATTCAAAATGGACGTCTAATGTACGATTTCGCAATAATTTTTCGATCCCTTCAAAGTATGGCTATATTATACTCAAATTGAAGGAATTTTGGAGTAGATCACAATTATGGTATTATTCTTCAGATTTGTACCTCAGAAAATTCAAAATGGCTGCTTTGCAGGAATTCGCAATTCTAAAATTTAAATTTTTCAATTTTAACCAAAGTAATGAGTATAATTGATTGGAATTCGGTAATTGATATTTTGTTCGTTGGGATTTGCTACTCCGCGGAGTTGCCATTGTCTAGTTTGACATGTGAGCCATTTACAAGCTCAGTCAACTTGAATATGAAACATGTTTAATGTCTTTATTTAGGAAAACCTGTTTCATTTGAATTCAAAAACATTTCAGAATTGGGAACGAAAGGGTGTATGCCAATTTTGTCAAACACAATAAAATTATTATCAGTATTGGTTATCAATTTATATTTATTCAACATGTACTCTAATAAATGCCCTTTAGAGTTGTTGTCTTGGAGTCTGTTTTTGTACCATTCGTAGTAACGAATGTTTGTAATTCGTAAATATTTAAAAAGTTACAAATGAGTTACAAAGTAAAGTTGCGAATGGACCATTTTTGTACGCTTTCGTAAGTCATCCGTAATTTTTCAATTGTTTAGAGCCTAAGATTTACGAATGGGTTGACGTCATATTCCACTGTTGTCAGGACAGATAGTACAACAAACAGGGTTTATCAAAATGATAAAACCAAAGTCATACAATAAGAACTTTATTAAAATAAAGATTCCATGAAAAACAAATATAGAAAAAGGTTGATAATAAGTTGATCATGGTGTTGCCCATTGTGTTCCCTGATTTAGAATGACAAAACTTCACATCACAATATAAATGAATAAATAAGAAGTCGTTCGCAAAGTTATGAAAGGGTCAGAGGTGCAATTAAATCTATGAACGAAAGCAAGCATGACGTCACTATTTTCGTAATTTTACAAATGGTTCCTAACTTTACGAATCTTACGATTATGCAACTTTATGAAATTCGCAAATTAAACAATGGACTTATGAACATTCGTAAGTACGAACGGTACAAAAATGAGCCCCTGGATTGTGATAATAGAATGGTGGGGGAGGGTGTATTGTTTTCTTCATGACTGGTGTGCATTTAGATGTTTTTTCTTGCTTTTTCTACATATTGTCACTGAGCATGACTATCTCAATTCATCTAAGTACATGTATATGTACTGGTTATATATTTTTTTTAACTTTTGCAATTGTAATTCAGATTACCATAGTGCCACTAGTGACTTAAAACAAACTATGGAAAGATATGCTAATTTGAAGTAACAAGTCATACTGTCCAAAAATATTATTTCTATATGACTAATATATGAAATATGACTATATATCACAGGTCACAATCTACTGGAGCAAAAAATAAAGCACAGAAGTTCAGTAAACCAGAGCACAGTGTTTGAGATTGATGCAAAATGTCATAAAGAATTCTGTTTTTCAGGGTATAGTATATTTGCAGTATATTTAAAATTTATTTATGGCACTAAGGGTTGTAACTCAAATAAAGTGTTATTAAGTTATATTAGTGTCAAAGACAAAATGATGTTAGACTTGTTTAAATAATATAAGTGGATGTATTTATAAAATTGTGCTAAATGTAACATTAAATGCCAATGTATAAGCAGATGTATTTATGAAATTGTGCTAAATGTAACATTAAATGCCAATATATAAGCAGATGTATTTATAAAATTGTGCTAAATGTAACATTAAATGCCAATGTATAAGTGGATGTATTTATAAAATTGTGCTAAATGTAATATTAAATGCCAATGTATAAGTGGATGTATTTATAAAATTGTGCTAAATGTAATATTAAATGCCAATATATAAGCGGATGTGCAATTAATAAAATTGTGCTAAATGTAACATTAAATGCCAATGTATAAGTGGATGTGCAATTTATGAAATTGTGCTAAATGTAACATTAAATGCCAATATATAAGCGGATGTGCAATTTATGAAATTGTGCTAAATGTAATATTAAATGCCAATGTATAAGTGGATGTATTTATAAAATTGTGCTAAATGTAACATTAAATGCCAATGTATATAAGCGGATGTGCAATTTATGAAATTGTGCTAAATGTAATATTAAATCATCTTTGAATTCCAAGCTGGTTATAAAAGTTGGAGCAACTGAAGCCTTTTGAATCAAGATGACATTACATGCTAATGTATAAGCGGATGTAAATTCTGGGTTTGTTTAACGGTTTAATATGGTTTTTGCAATAAATTGTTAATTTCATTCTATATTAGTATTTTACTATTGTTGTTCTATCTATCAGTTCTATCAACCTCCATACACGGTGTATTAAAGGGGTTCATCTATACTACTGTACTTGTCAAAATTGAACTAGATAATGACAATGCCAAGGCATAACAAATCCCATTCTAATACATGTAATATCTTATAACTGTCAGACAAGACATTTCCCAAAATGGCCACCATACTTAAAATGAATTACATAAAGATAACTTGACAATCTTGCATGTATTTACATGCATAACATGGTGCCATTTTTCAAAACAGGTATAGCTAAGTTGTCAAAAGAATGTGTCATGCTTCAGAGTATATGAAATATCACAAAATCATTCATCTACTTTTCCATTTATAGAAGCTAGAAAGCAGCAACTCCATGGAGTAGCAAATCACATCGAACAAAACATGTTTTGATAAATAGCAGTCATCTTGAAAGATTATTCTTGAACAGAGTTCCTTTGATGTTCAGGTGTCATCTGGAAAATTTCATCTCATTGACAGGCAGATCTCTTTTGTCTGGGCATCATCATATATTTGAGCAAATCCGCCAACTGGTATTTGAGTTATCAAAGATTATGTTCTTATAAAAAATCAGTGGCCATTTTTAAATTAAGTTGCCTTCTTAAAAATCTCTTGAGCTAAGCTTCTTGTCCCTAGAAATCGGCACATACAATTTGAACCAATTCCATCAATTTAGTATTTGAGTTATCAACAAGGAGGATTGGCAGCCATTATTCAAACTCGATACTCCGTTGCCTGGCATGGAACAATTAAGTAAAAATATTTCTATTAAATTCTCGTTGGACCAAGTATTTCGAAAGAAGATGTACATTACGAATATTATGGTAATATTCAAGTTTCATTGGCAGTTCTAGTTATCAAAATATGAGTAATATTTTTACTAAATTGGTCCATGCCGGGCACTGGAGTATTGAGTTTGAATAATGGCTTCCAATCCTCCTTGATTATCAAAGATTAAATTTTTTATGAAAAATGGCGGCTATTTTACATTGAGTGGCCATACTGAAAATTTCCTCTTGAGCAGAGGTCATACAATCATAGGCATAAGCCTGTAGAATTTGAAACAATTCAGTCAACCGGTAGTTGAGTTATCACCCGGACAAATGGACAGATGGATGAACACACAGATGGATGGACGGACACAATCTCTTACGTAATCAGTTGCACATACAGTTTTATCTATCCAATATACAGTGAACACAAACATGGTAAATTATATTGGTCCTAACTCTTATTGATCATTTATTTACATCTTGATTATACAAAAGAAATTATACACAAATTAACATTTAATAGGCATGCCCTGAATTTTGAAAAATGACATTTGACTGTATGACACTCACTTAATATGGGTATTGCTGCCAAAAAAACACTTCATCTTAAAATGAACACATAGGTACATGTTCATACTTTTACATGGATAAGAGAAACAACTACCTGGTGTATTACATTAACTTTGCTTCTTCTTTGTACTGAGAGTTTATAGCAAGGTACGAGTATATGCAATAATTGTGCACATTTAGAAAAATTGAGGTTAAAACCCAATTTATTTTGTAATGGCTCATATTGAGGTATATCCAGCTATAACTTGTGATGATCATGAGTAGAAAGTTTAAGATGACAAAAATAGAGAACAATTGACAATTGACAACACTGTATCCATTAATGATCCAGCACTTATTACATAGCTGAGATCTGTTCATTGATAATAGGATTTTTCCAGTCATTTATTATATCGTCCAGGTGATTGTCCCAGTCCATAAGTTGTCTATAACTTCTCTGTTCCAACAGCGCTCGAGCAGCTTCAAGGCCAGCTTCATCTATATTGCACCTGCAATGAAAAACCAGACATAATAGTACATGTACAGTGAAACCTATAAATTGGAACACCTCTAGAAGTGGAACACCTTTGTTAGTGGAACATTTTTCAGAGTCCCAAGTCAACCGATTTCATGTTAAATGAACTTCTATGAGTGGAACACCTCCCAAGTGGAACACTTCAACATGTTTTTCTGTACTATACACTAAGATTAAGACCCTTTATGCAAATTCACAAATTCAACTGGTAACTTAACAAGTGAAATAATACATGTTGTAGGGAAAATCATGCATGGTTATATGAAAAAGTTCTGAAAGGTAACAATGCACGTAAGCTTTATGTGAACCAAATATCCTCTTAATTTATGTAGATGTAACCTTTTCACTATAAATGACTACAAGGTTTGATAAAGGGAGCCAAATACTCTGTTAAATTCATTTCAGTTAAGCATTTTGACCCACCCAGCCAGTCTGTCTGTCATATCATATACCCTTTAATTTAAGAGAGTAAGATATCTGGATGATTCCAAAATTTCCAACACCATCCTGACCACTGCTTGTAAAACTTTCTGTATGAAAACATTTGAGATTATTAGTGATTTGAAGGGCTCTGATTGGTCAGTTGGCAATTCAAGAATAAATACCTGTTGATATCCTGCTGTTTCCAGTTTGTATCTTTTTTCTGATACACTGTGTAAATATCTCTTTGCTCTGAAGATATCCTCTTGTTATTTACCTGCAAGTAAAGGAGAAATTCTATTTTACAATGAATACATATAGGATATCCTATGATTTTGAGTGATATCATTTTTGTCCACGAGTTGATATCGATATCTGGATGAGTGAGTATAGCGAATGAGTGCAGATATTGACCTAAACTAAGGGATGAACAAAGAAATACAATTTATTATGATGTACAAGGTCAGTTATTTAAAAGTTCCATTCAATTTTATGTACATGTATATTTCTGATAATGTCAGTCTGCCATGTGTTCACAATTCCTCTTCCAAATAATGATTTGTCTAATATCTGAGTAGAAATATATTGACTTTAGTATAGCAGCTTTGATATAATATCCATAGCTTTAAAATCTTGTTGAAGTCCCGTTTTGATATAGAACATTTTTAATTCAATTTTAAAACTAAGTAACAGATGCAGCATAGCAAATCCCATCAGAAAACTCTATGCAGGGAATTAAAGGGGCAACAACGGATATATAGTAGAGATGAGGTGAGACTAACTTTCTGATAATTCACAATTCTGTTTCTAAAAATCAGACAGTTCTGCCTTTATTTCATCCTTGTCATTTGATTTGTAAGGTTATCTTAAGCAAAGTAGACGTTCCCTTTCAATTTTAATAATGAATTTGGATATTTCTGCATCATAAATCTTCACCATCTTCCAATTTTGATCAGATACTTCACTCCTGGTAATGTTCTCATGCTATTTTTCGTTTCGCAAAATAATCAATAGAAGCTTTGCTTTATGGCTTGAAATCTTGTTGAAATCTCATTTTTACAAAAATGTTTTTTATTCAAATTTAAAATAAGTTCTATGACAGTAACCGACATGTAGAGAATATTCTCTATACTTATACTTACCATTAAGAGACAGCCTCCAGGATAACTGTCCACTATTTTTTCTGCTATTTTCTTTGCAACTTCATTTGGTCTGAAAAACATGGACAACAAACTCAATGACATATAAATTCGTTCTGTCTTGTCTAGGTGCTTTACTGGTAAATTAAGCAAGATAAACAAAAAACTGGAGCAAATTCAATAATTTTCAGGATTTTTGGAATACCAGAGACAGAGATGGTTAATCTACAATATAACTAAGATCTAAGGCTGATAATGCATTAAATACAGATGACTTTCAGAAAAGGAAAAGTCTCGGTTTGGAGAACAGTCTCCTGGGCTAATAATTCTTTTTATGAAAAATGTAGAAATATCACCCAAATTAAATTATGAATATTCAAAAGAGAACATTTAAATCTATAAGATGTATAAATATCACAATTGCCCTAAGCAGGGATAACTGTGCAATAGACCAATTCAATAGAATACAAGTCTCGATTTGATGAAAAAAGTTCATCGGTGTACTGCGCTAATAATTTTTTTATGAAAAATCTAGAAATATAAGCTGTCCCTCAAATGTGTCTCTGATTGTCCATTCTTCCTGGTTATTTCTAAGACCCTTCCTATATTCTTCCCGAGTACAGGCCAAGGAACAAGAGTTCACAGTGAGTGGGGGAGAGTTAACTCTTGTTCCTAGGCCTGTGTCCCAGTATGTCTAAAGTTTACAATGAACTTACACATTATCATCCTCATGTTCATTAGCTTGGTAGTATCCACACATTGCCAATCCTTGTTCTTTGCAATATGCATCAACCTACAACAAACAACTGTTCACTTTTGAACTAGTCAGGTGCATAGGAAAGGTGCCTAAAAAAAGTTCAGCCCAAATAATGAAATTTTGGGCCCAAATCAATATCAATTATTTTGATAAAAATTCAACATTGTTAAAATGAATTCCATGCAATAGATTAAGACGACTGATGAGAGTGAGGCTGGATTTAGATAACAAATGTCAAAAATAAGAAAAGACCAAGTGAGCCTCACATTTATGAGGAGTGATAACGCAGGCTCAGTGAGGGAGTTCAAAGACCACACTGGACAGGGTGGGTGTAGCTTACTCGAATCTCTAGCCAATTCTTGGCTAGAAGTAATTCCATCTGGAACACTGTAAACTATTGTAAAACTTCTCGTCAGGGTTCAATAAAGGTGGAGTGAAAGTATAGCAACAGATTTCGAAAAGTCATATGTTGGATTTTGGCTATTCTCTGAGGATTTAAACAGGGGCATATGTTAGATCAATGCATAACCTCCAGGAAAAGCACTCATAGAGCCCACCCACATGTTTTTTCTGAAATGTTGTTCTGATTTTCAACCCCTTCCATCCCTGCTTTTTTAATTTTTGTTACATCAATATGTTGCTTTTTGACACACAGTTAACCCCTTTAAAGGAATAAAGGATTCATTCGGGGGTTTAAAGATATCCATTACGGGTGACCAAAATTAGCTGAAAGCAATGGATTACATGAGTTTTCCCTATGGGAAAATAACATGGGAAATAATGTTTTCCACTCTATCTAAAAGAAATCACTTATTCCTTTAAAGGGGTTAAACTGTGTGTCAAAACACAACATATTGATGCAAGCAAAATGAAAAAAGCAGGGGTGGAAGGGGTTGAAAATCAGGAAAACATTTAAAAAAAACATGTGATTGGGTTGTTTGCATCTTTCCTGTCTCAAAGTTGAAATTATTTTATCATCTCTAGGATTGCTTTTCCTGGAGGTAATGCATTGATCTAACATATGCACCTGTTTATAACCTCATAAAACAGCCAAAATCCAACATATGACTGTCCAAAATCTGTTGCGATACTTTCCCTCCACAAGAATTATTCTAAAAACCGTCATGTTAATATTTCATGAATTGAAATGGAACTGGCTAGGCTCCTTGATGAGATATTGCGTGATTTTGTCAGGATTTCGTCTTAAGTTAAAACAAACAGCTCCAAAAAATGGCGATATTCGAAAACAAGAGGAACTGTCGTTAACGTCTGACATTAGTAACTGGCTCTAAGTTAGCAATCCAGAAGATGTGAACTAATACATTGATCACTTCATGTGTGATTTGGAATTTTTGATGAGGTAATAAGACCAAAACTCACAATTCAATTAAATTGTGAAGTGGAAAAATGGTGAACATTTGATTTGAAATTTTATGATTACAACATGATCCGTATACAGCAGTAAAAAACATGCTGGGATTTATCTGTAATGACCTTGGATAACAAGTCGCTACTACAGTCTCAGCTGTAGTGGCTAGCCCTTATGGCTCAGGGGTAGAGCGTCTGACTCTGAGAGCGGAAGCTCCTGGGTTCCCGTATGGGGCATTGAATTTAGCACATTCTCTTTTGAGTCTAGTATCTGGCTCGGTACACTACAGCTCCAGACGGACGTGCCCAAGGGTCATTACATAGACGAAGGCCACAATATTATAGTGGCCTCCCGGAGTGGCCTTAGAAGAAGATAAGGTGTAGCACATTAATAACTTGCGCTTACTGCGCTGAACAAAGTTGAATCCAGGTTGTAACAAGGTTGGCATTTTATAGTTATAGGAATGATTGATGGTTGCCAATTTCTAAAAAACATGAAGAGTCATACCTGAGAAAGTGCCACCTCCAACATTGGAGCTAAACTCAATGGTGTATGGAAAAATGGAAAACAATCGACGATATTTATTGTCTTGGGATCTCCCTCTCTCTGTCTAGGTGCAACTAAAACGCCATTTACAGCTGTATGTGGATATTTTGCCACATGAAGTAGCAATTTACAGTAAGCTTTCGCATTCACATTGATTTCTGCCATGGTTATCACTGTAAGTCAAATCAGTTTACACAGAGCGAAACAGTATCACACTAAAATTTTTTAAAAATCCCATCATATTTCAATAACACTTAAAAACATTCAATATATTAACAATGTCAAGATTGATTAATTTGATTTACAATTATGTGACAACAAAGAGGTTCTATGCATAATCAATTTTATTTTAGTTTTTGATTTCGCTATATAAAGTTTGTCACTTAGATACTGCCTTCAAACTTCCGGTTACAGATTTTTCAAACTTTTAAAAAGTTTCTACTTATTTAGTCCTTACATTAAATATACGTATTTTTAATTAATGTTAACTATCTACAATGATTGGACAAAGTCTTGCACTACTTGCTGGAGTGTTTGCATCTCTAGCAACCGTCGCAGGAAAACTTGCAATGTCCAGTGAAATTGCTGATTTTTTCTTGGGCCTGTGTCAGAAGCAAATGTCATCTGAAATGAATCCTCAATGTGGAGAGGTAATAACTTTTCTTATTGCAAGTGTATATTCATTTTGGAGGTTTCATGATTTGCCATATATGTAAATGTTGTCACGTATGTAAAGAGGTATGTTAGAGGACAGAGAGGCAATGTCATTCATGCTAACCTCTTTCAAAGGCTGCTGAATGGTCTGATAGAACAGCCTTTGCTTGGCCTCTACAGGTGGCTAGAGAATCCTGCAACTGAAACTAAAATACTGAAATCTGCTGGAAATTCACGAAGTAGCAGCCAGAGATTTCCCATGGGCTTTCAATTAAGCCCATGGATTTCCAAATGAACTTTAAAAATTGCTGAACTTCCGGTAGCTCTCATTCGGAAATCATAATCACCTGAGATTTTGTCCATGAAGGTATATTGTTGGACAAATGACTGCGCTGTATGTTTTAAAATGATCTACATGGACAGCCTCTCCATCCTCTACATGCTTGAAATTAGAGATCTAATTTAAAGTTGTGACCCCCTGAATTAACAAATGTAAAAACATGTTCTTGTACTAACAATGTTTTTTCCAGATTATCTTCGGATTAAGGGCAATATTCTTTGGAATGATATTCCTATTCAATGCCATAATGTGGACATTGTTTACAAAGTCCCTTCAGAAGTGCTCATCGTCGCTTGTTGCCACAGTCACCAATACAGCTTCAAACTTTTTTACATCGGTAATTCCTTTTATGCCTATATATACCACTTCATGATTACTTTTTGAAAAATGTAATGCAACATCAGTAAATATACTCGTACCGGTATGTTGGTATGATTCCTCGTTGGTATATGTTATTGCTACCTTTTTGAGTAAATCATTTTGGATCATTAAAAATAAATAAAATAAAATGTACTTGATCATAAAATTAGCAGTTTGTGTGTACTACTGTACATGTTATTCTAATTGCATTTGATTTCTAATTATGTTATTTCCAGGCATTATTGGGTAAACTTTTATTTGGTGAGATCCTAACATTGCGTTGGTGGTGTGGTGCTTCAATGATAGTTCTAGGGCTGTTGTTGATTCACAGAGGAAGCCCAAAGTCAAAGGAGTCAGATGACAAAGGCAAGAAAGTGTCTTAGGTTTAACCACGGAGAAAGCTGTCAACAGAGAAATCTTGTGACAAGGAAGTACAGTACAATGGAATTAGTATGTCTTATGATTCACTTTGATAAAATCTGATTCACTTTCATGAAATCATAAGTCTTAGAATGGTCTTAGTTTATAAATTAAATTCCATGAAAGAACACATTGAAAAAAATTATTTCTTGAACTGATGCCATACATGCCATAGGATTATGAATGCTTATGATGTATTCATCTGAAAAATCCGAACTTGAAGAATCTTAAAACTTTGTATGAGGAGCATGCATTATTTCCAATACATTTGCATGTACTTCATTTTCAGGATGCTTTGCCTACATGTCTGGTGCTCTGCTCCTTCAATTGGAACAATGATGTGTAATTCCAGTGTTGCAAGGAAAGACTGGGTGGCCTTAATTACCCTGATAATGCCCAAGAACATTTGCACCATCAGTGTGTTGGAACAATATATGAGTGCATTATTCTTCTGAGAAAATTTAAATGTATTAGAATGGATATAGAGCATGTTAGCTAAATTTTATTTCCTCAAAGATAAATGAGAGATGATGAACCTCAAATGTATAAAAAGTATACAAAAAGCCACATGTCATGGAATTATGAGATAGAAAATATTGTAAAACTTAGTTTCAATCTGTGTATCATCTTGTGCCTCAAAGCATGTTATAGTTTCCAACTTTTAGTGTGGCGGCTGTTGGTGTTCCATTGGTTCAAGAATGCAAATATAGCCAAATTAACAAAGGATGGATTTATCGAGTGCTACACGAGAATCATGTTAAATCAAGAAAACAATTCATTTGATCCCTTTAATCCATTTATTCTATAACAATGCATATGTTCATTTAATCAATGTCAGTCTGTTTTTAGAGAATACATTTCAGGCCCGTAGCTAGGATTTGCCAAGGGGGGTAATTCCAGGTTGGTTCACTATTGACAACTTTGGCCCAAAATCACATGAAAAGTGCTCAGAATGGTGAAAAACTGCATGATTATGAAAGAATTTTTGGCCAGGAGGGGGGTTGTTCAAACTCCCAACCCCCCCCCCTCGCTACGGGCCTGCTCTTTCAAAATAAAGAGAAACAAGCATTCTCATCAACAGAATGACATATTTGCTACATAATTTATCATAACCCATCTACAGTATTACACCTGGCAGGATTATGTATGGCATCTACAGTATCATATCTACAATTCAATAAATTAGAGATGTTGAACTGATATATTAATTTTGTATATATTTACGCATATATTTACACATTGTACAACTTACAAGTCCATAGATATGAATCAGAAAGTTTGCCCTTTAGAAATATTTTTCAATATTAACTACAGAGTTAGGCAAGAGGGGAGTTAGTGGGATGAAGCAAGGCAGAAGAAGCTAGGCACAAGTTGAGCTATGTAAGAGAGCTAGGGTTTTTAAGAGGCATAATAGGGGTTAATATTGTGGGGAGCAGGGGGATGAGGGAGTTAAGTAAGAGGAAAGCCATGCTTAAGGAAGCTAAGTATAAGGGGAGGCATGAGTGGAGCTAGACATAATGGGAGGAAGGCATAATAGGAACCAGACATGAGAGATCAGAATGACTGAAAATGTTTGAAGTAAAATGTCACATCATCAGAAAATGTTTGCCTAAATTATTTCGAAAACAGTAATTTGATTACACTATTTTCAAATCCTGGCTTCTATACCCATGTATACTTACGATAAAGTTTTTGTAATATAAGATACATTTAAGTACATAATGTTATTTATGCTCATCACCATTCTGAATTACCAGACCCTCTCTTATCTGCCGTTTGCAAGTGGAAAGTTAAAGACAGACAAAGGGGGCATGGTTATTGTCATGGGCGTAGCGCCCGGTACGCTGGGTACCAGATGGTTGCAAATTCACTCCAAATACAACCATATTTCAAAATTTTCCTGGGGGAGAACCCCCAGACACCCCTTAATGCTCATTTTTTGATTCACTCAACTCTTGTTCCTGTGGTGGTGGCGTATTACTTAGAAAAATAGCGCTACGCCCATGATTGTGATGGCTCATCACAAAAATGCCTCATCTTTACCTTTCTAAGCTTCAATCGTGATTGCATTGCAAGCACTGGACAATGTGTGTATGTGACACTGTGAACACCTTAAAATGGGCACACCATGGAGAATGAACACCTCCAATTTGGAAGTGTGTTATAGCATGTATTAGTTAAGCATAACTCACATGTATCTCTGTGGAATGATATATTGGAATTTTGAAGGTCTCAAATAGCCCAATACCCGGTACTTGAAGTTACAAACAAGTGATTGCAGCTGAAGAATCTATTTTAAATATAATTTTTGGCTTAATATGAAAGTCTAAAGTTGCTATTTTTGTTTTTTAAATTTTGAAGCCTTACAAATGCCCAACCAATCCAAATTGCACTTCTAAAATATTTTATTTAATTTTTTTCTAGTGAAGCATCAAAGATGCTCAGCATCTTTTGGAATCTGGAATTCTTCACTGATTTCAATTTCTGCTACTCCATTTTCATCATCTGATTTATCTAGGTCAAGGTCACCTAGTTGGTCATCAAGTTCAAGGTCAGCAGATGAAATGGCACTGATTGGTTGTACATCTCCTTTGCATTCATCCACTATATTTGGATGTGGTTTATGTAGTTCCTTTAAGTTACACAAACTTTTAGCAGCGTATGGTTCAACATATTTAGCTACATAGCTAGGTGTACCCCTTGGATCGTGAACTGGATCAGTTTTCCAGAATTGCTTTTGAGACGCTGTTAAAGGACGTGTCTTGTTCCGCTTTATTTCCGTTATCAACCAATCTGTAAGTTCCTCATTGAAATACTCGTGGAAGACATCCAAGATTTTTTGCTTGGATCTAACAAACTTTACTTTTGCAACTGTGTTTTGGTGTAGGAAAACCTTAATAGCCTTCCAGACCCCTTGGAAGAGAGCGTTGTGATTGAGACAGATGACAAGGCCCAGTCTTTCTGGGTAGTGGTTGGACATCACCTGAGTGACGCCATAGCCAAGCTTGGGACTGCATGCAGGGACAGTCATACCTAAAAAAGACGTACAGAAATTACATGTAGTAGAGCATTTGAAATGATTTCGAATCGTTATTGCAATACGTTGTATTGCTACCGTTGTATTTACATGAAAAGCCAACAGACTAGAATTAAAATATGTTGATCTTACATGAGGAGATGCCCTCAATAGCAAAATCGCCTTGAGTAATCATCTTTAAAGAGACACGAAAGGAAAATACAAAGAGAGTGCATTTCAAAGATATCATCTCAGTTATACAATTTTTTTGCTATCATCTTTCTATTTTAACAGTTCTGACTTGAAGAGCATGTTGTGGTCTCGGGGGTTTGAAACTGCCATCGGAAATTAATTTCATGATTTGTAGGGGTAAATCATATTTTTACTAGATGTTATTTCTTGATGCTATTGTAGAGGAAAATTCACATGAAGTAACAGCCTAATTGAGACCTTAGAAATGCAGGTAATCATGTAATAATTAAGCCTCCCTCTAGAATCAACGATACCCACATAAGGTAGTTAAATGAGCACCACTTATGTATTAAAATGATTACCCACATATGTATTAAAATGACATCCTAAATATTATTTAAAACGAGTACTCCGTTATGTACATTTATTGGAACTATAGGATTTTACAGTGCATGTACGATCGAGAATGGACACCTACGATTTACCTGTACAATCTACAATGATGAACACCAATGAATTACCTGTACAATCTACTATGATGAATTAACACCCACGAATTACGTGTACAATCTATAATGAACACCCACGAATTACCTGTAGAATCTATAATGAACACCCACAAATTACCTGTACAGTCTTTAATGAGCACCCACTAATTACTTATACAATCTATAATGAACACCCACGGATTACCTGTACAATCTCCAATGAACCCCCAAGAATTACCTGTACAATCTATGATAAACACCCACGAATTACCTGTTCAATCTACAATGAACACCCAAAAATTGCCTGACCATATAATGAGCACCCACGAATTACCTGTGCAATCTATAATGAAAACCCAGGTATGTATGCCAGGTTTCATTGTTACTTTAGCGTTCTCTATCAAGTATGTGGCATGAGCAATGGAATCATCAACGTTGTTTCTTCTGCTTGAGGCCTGGGCGAAACAGGAGTAGATCACCGGCCGACCCATCTCATCAAACCCGACTTGCCTCTGAAAACAATATGCAAATCGTTGTCATCCAATTTTTAACCTTAGCTTTATTTTGTTACCACCCCAAGTGGTGGCATATTGTTATAGTCAATAACGTTTTTTGCAGACGATGTTCGGCGGTTGGTGTAAGGAGGTCAGCGTTCCCCGGTGATGACATTTTTGCTTGTCAGTGCCTTGTTAAACAATGAAATAATAACGCTGTTCATGTATGTTTTACTGCATCATCAAAAAACAAATAACAAACAAACAAAGATAAAAGTTAAACAATCAATTAATAAACGATGCATATACATTTCTAGTTTCTCTTTGATTCTCAACAGTCTTTACCCTGCGTGCAGAGTCTAGTTCAACGAAGCTCTCTTTTAAGAAGTGAAGTTAAACGAATGCAAAGGGTAAACAGTCTTGATTCTGGTGTTGCAATATTGATCTTCCTTACTTGTGGATTTATTACTTTTAGATATCCTTTGAATAGTAGGAATTCTGTTCCCTTGGAACGTATATAGCCACCTACCATGTTATGAAAACCAGGTTTTTCATGGCACCATCTGCAATCCATTGTCAGAGGTTTGTTTTTCCTTCGCCATTCCACAGCATTCTTTAACAGCTTCTCTGCCTTGTCTAGGTCCCACTCTCTCGCCTTTAAGAAACGTACCAACCTTGAGATGAAAGTAACATATTTTATACGTTCATTTGGGTATTCATTGTACAGTTCATGAAATAGTTAATCTCAGCTGATACTAGTCTCATACTAATGTCCGATCATAACTTCGAATAAGAGTTGCGTTTCAAATATTTATTGTGTGACATATACGAGACCATTGTCAATGCTACCAGGGAGAATCGGACCTGCAGGCCTTACAATTTATACATGTTTTTTCTGTTTCGGACAATTCGATATATGATGTATATTGTTTAGTTCCTCAAAGAAATCAACAAATATTTCGTTGCGGTTTTATCTTTACATCGTTTTTTCAATCACCGCCATCACTTTTCAAACGACGTTAACATAATAAAACTTAATTTGGATATCATTCACCATTTATTAAGCAGTAAAAATTAATTTGCTCCATGGGTGACAAATTATTTCAAGTTTCCTGGTGAATGTCGAGTCTCACATCATACGAATGTAATTATACTCGATCTGTCTACATGGGGTGTAATATGGAATAGGACTTAACGGACAATATCTTCGTCTGTCATCTCCCGAAGGAGATACGTCACTGCGAAACATAACATGGTAACTTTATCATTATAAATCAAAAGATGCTCCCAAGCCTCTCATTGATCATCATACTGTAATCGTTTGACTATAATGAATGATTTCATATTTGATGGATGTACGTTTACAAAGGAGCACAGGAGACTACAAGCCTAGTAGTTGAAACGAGAAAATAATGTACTTTCAGTTTAAGCTATTTATGGCTTCCCTCTCAATTGAATGAAGTAGTTATAATTATAAAATATAATAACACAATTACACAATTTTTCGTGACAATGTCACATAATATAGCCAAATATTACCGCACAGAAGGCCATAGATATCATCGGGAATAGTAAAATTTGACAATCCAAATGATTTTATTGTAATCATATCACATATCCAAATATTGTCTATGTTTATACTGCTAAACATTCAATTGAAAATTTTACCTTTTCACTCATATTTTGGGCTTGAAATAGTTTTAGAAATGATAAAACGAATCCTACTTGAGCAGCCATTTTGAATTTAAAATTCCAAAATGACCCCCACAATAACTTTATCTAACATTGCTGCTATAGAGAAAAAATATTAAAAGTCGACTTTGATTTTTGTAAAAACGATTCAATCCTCCTAGAATAATGAAAAAGCATTCTATCTCTAAATTCATATGTAGTCTCCTAAATGCGATAGCTCGCATTTTATCCCATGCCCGCAATGTTAAAGATTCGAATATACGCTTCAAAAGTATGGTCAATATGACAACTTTTATTTAACCATTTTACATGTAGCTATCACAGGATAGTTTGCATTCGAATAGTTCTTTATGATGTGCCAACAGCGTAAAATATATTTGACGCTCTCCGTTAATGTTTAGAGTATGAATTTACAGGTACTTACCATGTTCCTTATCTTCAATCAAAACCGAAATATAGAATTAACTTACGTTTCTGGATTCGTGAAGAATTCTGGTTCTCCTTCAAGAGGCTCCACGCGCTCCATTCTCTTACGTAGCTCCTCTATAGCACTGGGCTTTTCAGCCATCTTGTTGGTTTGCTCTTTGGTTAGTTGTAGACCTTAAAACAAAATGCTCTCATTTAAGAAGTGAAGCCAAACAAATGCAAATGCTGAAATGGCATTCCGTTGGTAGCCAGGGCCATGGACTTAGAGAAATGAACTGAAATTTCCAATTGACTCAAAGTTCTCACCACCCTCATTTATCCATCAGATGAACAAATATAAATCCTCAGAGCGAATCTCGGAAAATTGTTGTACAAGATTCGTTATTTACAATTAAATAGTGAAATCTGTGAATGGCGCCACTTGAATTTGGTGTGGGGCATATTCTCAAATTGATTCCTCCGCTATTTTGACATGTTCGAAAAAAGATCACGGCTGAAACTCCCTAAATCACAAGAGGTTTCATTGAAGTACAGAAATAGAGATTATCCTATATGAGGTTCAGGATACTGGGATTATCCCGAGGCAAATATAATATATTTGCCCGAGGGCCGCAGGTCCCGAGGGAAAATATATCATATTGGCCAAGGGATAATCCCAATATCCTGAACCGACTATAGGATAATATGTTTATCCCATACCAATCTTGGTCATCTGGTTCACATTGTTCAATCGTGGAAATATTTTAGAATATTCATGTCCAATTTCGTTTCTTGGCCGTGGTCAGATTTTCCTGTTCTCTCAAATATTCCGACATTTATTTTCTGGAATTTTTTGATTGATTAAGTGGATGTTCCTTCCCTTTTTTAAACCATCAAACAGATCCCGATTGTCTGTGTTTTCCCCATTGTCGTTTACAGTCATTACGCGAACGTTACAAATTATGAACAAATATGCGAGCGGAGATTATGACGTAGCGGGCAGATATACTATATCTGCCCGCTCGGAGCGGGACGTAAAGCTATATCTGCCCGCTGATGAAAATATAAGTTTTTACAAACCGGCTTTATGTACCTGTAACACGTCCAAGTATGGGATAAAAACTGATATGGACTATACTATATACTATTAGTAGTACTATATAGTACTACTATAGTATATTGGACTCCCTTCGTTTTACGTCCTTGGATATTTCTAGAATTTTCTAGAATTTCTACATTGATATAACTGATGACTAAAACAACTTTGCAAACATTTAGCCATTTATCTTGCAAACGATTCTGAAAACAAAATACATTTCTTGCAATGGAGTACTTTACTGATTGAGGCCATGGTATGATTTCTCCTTCGGGAACATGTGAGAACTACCACTTGCTAGTACGTACCGGTACGTGATATGGCAATGCTAAGGATGTAATAGCTACTGTAATTTGTTTCGTTGCTTTGAGACAGTTAAGACAACATTTTCATTTTTCTATTCGTCGATTGATCCGCTCTGTGTATTACTATCAGTCTTATAACTGAATTAAATAAAGTTAAGCGCTGGATATGGAAAACGGTATGTTGTTAACCATAAACTGTTCAAGCAATTTATTTATTACACATTTATCGATTAAGCATTTGAAGCTTAAGGTTTACACCGACCTAGCTTGTATCCCAGAATTGAATCTGTTGTAAGATCTCTTTATTGTTTTTATAGAAAATCCCAGTAGTTGCTTTAAACCAATTCCAAAAAGCGTAGGACGATTTACCAAAATATTTGATTGACAGCTTAATTACATTTTTTAGAATGCGTTGCCTAGGGATTTATTTATTTTACGTTAATGAGAAACGTCAAAGCTGTGCACTTCTAATGTCTCTGGTAGTACTATGCTACTCTACTTGGTTTGCATAAATCTTTATCCCCTAACATGCTTCATCCCCCATGTGTAGAGATACTGATGCTGGTATGTTTAAAGGCAGAATCAGAGCTATGGGAGTGACAAAATTAAAGGCAACATATACGACTGACTAACAAATATATTCCTTACAATCTCGAATTCAATATCTCTCAAAAGATCCGCAAAAATATTTGAGTCAAAGATATTCTAAAATTTAAACAGTTTTTTGTTTAGCTTGCTCGCTAGATCTGATTCTCCCTTTAAAGCAGTTCTACATGATGAAAAATTAAAATGGCTTCCTAACTGCAGTCCCATAATTATTGGTAATCCTAATTAGCTCCCCATATTGTTAAGGTTTACATTAATCAATTTCCCTCAGAGGCATATGTGTACCTTGATTTTGAGAATAGGGTTAATTATCGTTTAAAATGTATGTAGAAAATGACGCAAATCATTGGACTTAATTTTCTATGCTCAATCTAGGTACAAATATGCACTGTTTGAAAATTGATAATGAACACGTGACTTGTAACTCCAATGAGGAAGCGTAACTGAGAGACCGTAAGATCTTAAGGGAGGGGTTAATTCAAGACTAGCTTCACTCGAAATATTTTGGACACCCATTTCAATACAACTGTCCATCGCTGGGTTCTATTTATCTTTTATTTCCTCTTACTTGAACGTCTAATCATATTCCATTAAGATGAAGTCAATGGATACATATACATTACGTCTAATATTGAAACCATCAATACATTGTTTTTCCAAATCTAATATAACAATGATTTACGCTAGTTTATATTGATTGAAATGGAATAGCACAATGACCTTTAAAGGATAATTTCTATATGTGAATACTATACTATGTGGAATGTTGTACCGTATATGTTTCAATGGCGCTAGTTCTTTGGCACTGGCATTTATCATTGTCGTTGTGAAACTCTTCAAATTGTCTATTTTATTCACTTTAGTCGAGACCTTAATATCTTATTTTAATTTGTCATTTAATAATATTGCACTTTAAACTCTAGTGTTTACCAAGTACATTCAGTATGAAGTATTAATTAATTGAGTTTTTTGCGATAATAGAAACAGCATTCGTGCAAACAAGAGGCCTATTTGCTCACTACTTAAGCACTCGACTTTATTTAACTTTTTTATGTTTTGTTACACGTTTAACAGTAAAACTTGTCTTTTTGCATATTTTCTAATGTTAAACATTTCCTATTTTAAATCTTAAGATCAGATACTATTTTATTCCAACTGCCTCCATGTTCGGATTTCTGACACTGGCTAGGATATCTTAAAGAGAGAATCAGATCTAGCGAGCAGCCTAACAAAAAAAATGTTTCAATTTTAGAATATTACTGGCTCATGTCATTCCTTTTCATGTCTATTTTCTAAAAACACCCAAAGTGCACAGTTTATTTCGGGAAAACTTGAGATTTTTACAACTTTTCTATAAGAATGATTACCATTCTTATTATTTAGGAGAATTTAAACATTTTCACCCTTTTTTGCACTTTGAATCCCTTATAACTTCACCAATTCAAAACATATCGTGAATCTTTTGGGAGATATTGTATTTGAGATTGTTAGGAATAGATTGGTAGGTCAATTGTACATGTTGCTTGTAATTTTGTCACCCCCATAGATCTGATTCTGCCTTTAAGTACCAAACACTTTCGCATGATCTCGAAAGTGTGCAAACTTCATAGGGTAGTTCTTGCTTATATATACGAGAGGTGATTCAAATGTAATGAACATAATTTCCTACAAAATCTCGTCCATTACTTTTGAATCACCCCTCGTATATTGCTATCAGTCCAAATGACATAATCATGCACGATGCAGGGGAAAGTAGGGGAGACCGGAGATATGATATGGTTTGTACTTTACACATATCATACGATAGACCTTTGGATGTTTTTGATGATCAACCTTCAGACAAAATGACATTCCAAAATTAATATTGTCATCTTTGACGTATACGCCGACGTAACTCAAATTTTTAGCAATACACATTAGTATCATTTTTCACGTTTCATTACTAGTAATTAAAAGTCCGACACTAATGGTGTTATACACAATCATTTAATCTATACAACCCCCAAAGTAACTTTATTATTTGTAACCCCCAACGTAACTATATTCTCTATAACCCCACTGTAACTTTATTTTATACAACTTTCAAAATACTTTGGCTTATTCTATACAACCCCTTAAGAAACTATATTCTCCACAACTCTCCAAGCATCTCTTCAACCTTCAAATTAATTATATTCAAATATACAGCCCCCAAAGTAACTATATTCTTTCTCAAGCAAAATACACCGACCCAGAACGATTAGTGCCCCATTCAGATACAAGCTGTGAACCACGAGGGATATTAATATAAGGTATTTAATTAATCAAATACAATATGAAACTTATCTGATATATGAATGCCACGTCCTGTTTTCTTTAATCAATTAAAGAAAACGTTATCCCGTCGTTATGATACAACTAAACAGCTTTATTGAAAACAAAAATGTTCCAGACTCACAATTCATTGTGATACACAAAAAATAATGTAATTGAAATATCGAGGGTCATCACCGTACAGATGACAAAATAAGCAAACCAAAGCAAGCAAAAGGCATGCAGTTAAATCGATAGCTAAAAATTACACGTCGACAAAGTGGATAAGTTTGAGCAATAATTTACTATAATTCACTTACTTTGTTTTTAGCTTGCAACAAGGGTCGAGGCAATCTGACAGCTTGCAGTTTGTGGTTTACGTGGCAAGTCGACCAGACACATCAAGATCGAGCAATAAGAAAGTTGATCATTTATTTTCAGTCACTTATTTCAATATCATATTGTTTGATGATTAACCAATATCTGAATGCAACTACAATGCGTATATTAATATCCAGCCGTATCTGCTGTATTGGAATAAATCCAGATGTTCCATCGTTTACAAACAGCGCTCAATACAATGTTGAAGTCCTATTGTAAAACAAGTGAATTTTCATTTCACTTATCTCAGATTGATAATCCAATTGACCAAAGTGATGAAAATTTGTAGAACTAGATTTTTCTGTTTAAATTCATGTGGCCTTTTCCCCAAAGACACTAAAACAATATAATATACTAGTACATAATAATTATCTGTAAATTTCTAAATATGAAATCATCATTTTAATTCTTGCAGTATCGTTCATACGTTTCAGGGTGTAAAAGCAAAGGTGCAAAACGGTTTGAATGATTGATTGCAATAAAACCATCTGAGTGAATGCACTTTCGCAAGAAATGACTCCATCTGAGCCTATGTGATCGCTTATTCAACACAATTAATGGATATTGTCAGTACTTTTATTTGAATTGTGCGACCGAGAAGCTTTCGTATTTGAATCATTTGCCGCAAGCTCTCGCCAAAGACATGCTTTACAAGCAAGTAGAAATATTTTTGTTATTTATAGATGGAACTCTTATCTGTCGTTTGAAGGAATGTTAGTTGTACATACTACAGGCCCGTAGGCGTAGCCAGGATTTCCTAGTAAAGTGGTGGAGGGTAACTTAAAAAGGGGTTGGGGGAGGAAAATACTAACCTTGGATGAAGAGCTTCATCCGAGTACAAACCAAATAATAAGTGGCAATTGGCATTCTTAACATGAGCTTTTCTTCGTTAAAAACGAGACATTCGGGCATCAAAATTAGGTCTCTACCGTAACTCCATGGATTATGACAGATTGATATTTTTATCATCTTGAGGACTGTAAGAGTAAAACAAAGTCCATATGATTATGACTTTTTACGTGGTTTTCAAAAAGATATATTTTCCAAAAATAATACCTTTAAGAACGGAGAATAGATATGTTCTTTCCACACGGAAGATTCTATTTATTCCTAGGATCACTTCCTTGCTGAAATCAAGAGTTTGAGGTAATTCTGTATGTTCAGTTTTATGGCTTCCCAGTTGGAGTCCCATGTTATTTTCAGGAACACTTAACTCATTCCATACATGGTGTACTTCTTTCAGTTTTGCACAAAGGGTACACAAATGTACCTCGATAACTAGTTGAGAGGAAACAATTTTCTAAAATGTATGAAAATTCAGTGACCTACTTTTCAAAAGTACAAAAATGTAGGTCATTGAACGTTCTCCTTTTTTATATATAAGAATATTCATTAACCTCTTATCAGTGATAATCAAGGATTGTAATTATTTGTGCAAAACCGAAACATGGTACTCCAATTAGGAAGCCATTTAAATGTCTAAACATACGGAACTACCTTAATTACAGTGTATATCACTTCCCTATGAAAGCTTCGAAAACACCTGTATACCTAAAGATATATGTTTGTATGACAGCATTTGGTTTAAAGAAGCAACGTTTATAAAACAGCTTTCATACAGCTTAGATTCCCAGGAAATTTTACATCTGCAAGAAAGAAGAAAAGAGGCACGATTGCATATATTTGCAATGAATGTATTTTTGGATTTTGCTATATGGCTAATATGCTTATGCCTGGGTGTTTTACACCGTTATTAAAAGATGGCACCTTTATTAAGTAATACAATAATTTTGGATAATGGCTTGGGATAGTTGTGGTTTGTTTTCCTTATGACTGATATACACCTAGATATGTTTTCTTTTTCTTGCTAGGTTCTTTAACAATTTTTGGTCTTTTCCCTTTAGCAATTGTAATACATATCCATATAAAGTAAGTTACTATGCTATTTCCTTTTTTAAATACTAGTTTGGTTTAAAGGCATTTACTCTCACATTGTGCATGCTTTGAAAAACGGCAGAATGTTATATCATTTTTATTCAAAAGAAAATTTATTGAAGCAATGTTTTATTACAATATCATTTATATTTAATATTTACCTCACAGAATTATTGTACCTACCGTAGTGAGCATTCATGTAAGAATATACATGTACATCTTTGATTCGCGAAAATATAAAAATCGGATGAGGCCATATTAACGAGGGGATTGATAATATATAGAAGAAAGACAAATTTCTCATCCGATTGATTTCTTCAAATCACAACTAACACCCCAGTCACATTTGTCGCACGGCGGCCGCAAGTCGACCGCAGATCAATTAAATCGGTGAATTTCTGCGGCGAGCGTAGAAAAACTACGCTCGCCTTGCGGCCTCCGTACGGCGAAAGCAGATTTTTGCAGGCCGCAGGGAAGGCGTAGAAATTATAACTCGGAGTTATAATATTTGTTCATTTCTGAGGTCCCCGTAGAAATCAACTGGCTCAACAAGATTGAATCATTATTTGTCAATGTTTCACGATCACTTTTCATTTGATATTGCATCCTAGCACTATGAATAACATTTATAAATTATCCCGATGTAAATAAAATGACAAAAAGTATTATTTATCAACAGAAATTTAAAATTCACCGTGCGGCTGCCGTGGGAAATGTGACTGCAAAAGTATGAGAGCGCAGAAATTCCACGGCGAGCGTAGAAATGTTACTGGCCGCAGAAATGATGGACCGCAAGGTCGCCGTAGGAAATGTGACTGGGGTGTGAGTAATAATAGTAACTGCTTCAAGTCATTACTACATATGCTTTAGTTTCAGCATCTTCAGAGTCCAAGATGTATGGTTTTGTGGTGTCGTAATGTTTAGATTGCCTCGTAAAAATACAGACAGTTCAGTTATCTCATAATTTCTGATTGAGTCTACGTAATTCAATTTGTTTTGAGAAAGGTTGCCTATGAAAAGCCACGAAATTAACTTGAACTTGAACTCATTGGGTATTTATCAAAAGAACTCGAACACGCCTCTCGGGATTAACAGATTAAATAGATTAATGTGATTAAAGTACTTATACTGATATTTTAGATACGAGAATATAAATACGTCTCCAGAGATCTTATTATAAAGGAGAAACTACCACTTCCTTTAATACTCAACGTTTTTGTTTATTTTGTACTCCGGCCATGCGATCGGATTTTCAATAATGCGATCATCTACAGTTCTACACCATTCAACATTTAACTTCACAAATCATCCAGATCATCTCTGAAAAGTCTCTTAGTTAATCGTAAAGACAAGATAGATATTTTTGAATATTTTTAACATGGAAACATTTAAATCTTGTGAAACATGTACAAGGTAAGAAGTATGGCTCAATAAATGTTGTATTGAACCCCTGTAAATCACATCTATAACAAAACCTAATATAAAGACTCAATGTACAATATGCGTGTATTTCATACTTGAGTGGGTTTGGGATAGATATCACCCGGGAATATATATATCATATCTAAGGAGCGGGCAGATATATATATGTCCCCCTCCAGGCCAAATGCGGGCATGCGCAGATATAATATATCCATTCCGCTCCCGGAAATTTTTCAATATAATTGTTCTTTCTTTCGTGCAGTGTACTGATGCATTGTCTGGACTTCTATGAAAAGATGGATCTGAAAAGTTGATTGAAATTTTGTAAAAACATGGATAAAAGACACGAAAATGACACTAATTTGAGTGATAAAGAAGGAGCTACCAACCAAGATTCAAATACCAAATCAATGTTGAGGATTTTCAATCATCTACCCCAAACCCACTCAAGTATGAGATACACCAGTTATGTACGATCGGGAAATATCTATATTTCCTTTAGTCCCTTCGGCCCCTCGAGAGATATAAATATATCTCTAAGGATATACCCTATACCCACAACTTCCCAGTAAATAACCCTTTAGTTTGTACTGTATAGCTGTCATATAATCGTATTGAAAAGATTCACTCATTCCAACAGATAATAATCCTGACATTTCGTAACACATCTGTCACGTTTGTTTGACCTTTTGGCAATTACAAGCTATCATGCCGTATTTTGATGAACTCGCCACATGGTATGGTCGGTTCTCAGACGTAATACGTCTTGTTTTTGTAAAAACGATAATATAATCTGATCTATTTCCTCAAATATTTGGGTAAACCCTTTTGATAATGGCTTAGAGAAACATTTACAGACCACCAGTTATATTTAACCCAAAATGAGAAAAGGTCATCGCTAAAACTGTTTAAAAAATCCACCTGTCCGAACTGAACGATGTAAGATATATGCTTGATCTGCCACCAGTACCGACTATACTTCAGACTTTCCTGAGAAATAGGTCAAGGCCTGCAATGATGGATATAGGTGGCCGTTAACAGAGATACTTTGATTCTCCTAACTTGAACGGACATAGTGAAATAAGTACATGGTTAAAATCATGTTAAGTGAGATCATTTGACAGAAAATGCCATTTCCAGATGGTTAGACTTAATCAAAATGTTGTATTCACTGGACTCAGCTAGTCTTTTAAAGGGGGTAACATGTTCAATTCATGTAATTACAATTATAAAGCAAAGGAGTGGCATCGATATGGAGAAGTTTTTGAAGACACGTTTCTCTTAAACCAGTCATTAAAAAAATCTAAAAATTTAACACATCATCAATTTAATGGTCATCTTTTGAACGGTAACAATACCATTTGCAATACATATACTTTCATCTATATTGTTTTAGAAAACACACCAAACACTTGTTTTGTTCTTGGTATCACGTTTCCAGAGTGAAATGAAACATCTATATCGTTCAGAACCTCATTGGAACAAAACGACATAAGCACAACATGTTTAGGTCTCTCAATCTCAAAGTATCTTGTTAATTAAATAAAAGGTTTATCTTGATTATATAACAGTTATATAAAATATTTCTAAATACATTTTGAATTAAATTGTTGTCAATCAGTCAACATTACATAAAATACATTGTTTTTTCAGAATGTTTTCAATGATTGGTTTAAGAGAAAAACATTGTTGAATTCAGTTCTCCATATCGATACCACTCCTTTTGATGAACCAATA